AAAAGAAGAAGAATCTACAGTACATAAGCATTTGCTAAGAGCGTAAATGCTTTTAGCAAAGAAAATAAGAAGCAAAAATAAACTGAGTTCGAGTTGCATTAGTTTTTGTTAATTAATAATTTAGTTATTTATTATTTATAAAAAATGAAAATCTGTTTTGGTTTTATACAAAAATAAATTAAAGAAATAGATCTATCAATTAATTAAAATAGCTAATTAAATAAGTGGTTTTTAATAGAAAATTTTTAATATGGTAAATTAGAAACTTATTTACAGACTTTAATTTGCAAGCTGAATTATCAATTACGTCAATAAAAATTGTAATATTAATGCTATCAGTGAAGAAAGTTCAATCTTGGCTTTAATTAATGAATTAAAGTGTAAGTAAGATTTTATCTTTGAAATTGAATGTGAGAATATATTTTTTGAATAGAACATAACTCAATTTTACTAAATAAATATCCTTAAATGGGTATTTAGAAATAAAGAAAATGTTTAGTAAATAATTTTATTTCTTTAATTGATTGTAAAATAATAGATATCTCAAAATAATCTAAGCTATTTAAATATTGTTTCATGAAATTACAATGTAATTAAATTATATGGAATATATTAGCTTCAGTAAATTAATAAGGTATCAGTGGAGAGAATAGTAATAGTATTTCAAATTAAATATTTGGTTAATTAAATGAAAAACCTTATTTTTTTTAATTCAAGTTTAATTATTCATTTCTAAATTAGATAATTACTGTTTTAAGAAGAATTAAGGAGTCGATTTTTCACTGAAATTTTTTCTAATCAATTTAGATCGATTGATTTAATATACTAAGAAAATATAATATGCACATTAAAAAAGGTAATTTATAATAAGAATTAGATGACTTTAGCGCATTAAATATCTATGTTGAAAGACAAAATAATAATAATTATAATACTTAAAATGAATTTATTCTTCAATTATTAATTATTTGGAATATTATTAACTATTTTTAGAATAAAATTTCAGTAAAACTTTAGAATAAAAATAAATAAAATTAATGTTTATTGTATACATAATTGCTTGAAATTTAAAAATAAATTAGTTTAATTTAATATATTTAATGAAAATGAAGATATGGTAGTGTAAATTCTATTCTATCTTTTGCATATATTTTGATTTTCAAAGACTTAAAATAATTAATATAATTTTTCTTTGTAAGCTAGCTGACTAGGCGAGTCATATGTCTCAATATACATTTTCAAGTATTAAATTTGAAATATAATATGTTTATAACCATAAATTTTAAGAAATAGAAATAATCATACAAATAGTCACCTTCAAAAACCTAATTTTTAATAATTGTAAACTATATCGCATTTAAAAGTGAGGTAATTATCCTTATTAAATAGGAACATTTAATTATTATATTATATTAAATCTATATTTAATTATCAAATTGTGTAAGCATATTCTTTTTATATTCAATCAACTATTATTATTTCATATGCATTTAAAATGTTTTATTTAGATCACATTTTTTGTCTATATTCCCTTAAATTATATAAAATATTTATCTGAATTTTCCATTTATGTTAATGTTACTTGAGTTAAAAATTTCCAGTTTTTCTATATTATTAATTGATGGCTTTTAAATTAATCTTAGCCACATTAAAATTTTATTTAAAATTAAAAATTAATTTCTTCCACATTTTTCATAAAATTAAGATTTTATTCAAACCAAAATTAATAATTTAACAATTATTTCCATTAACAACTTAAAAGAGAAGTTGAGGCTGTTTTTGATAAAAATAATAATCATAAATCTTTAAAAATTCTAATAAAATAATTATATTTAAAAATATTATCTGGAAATAGCCTACAAAATATCAATAAGCCAACAAATCATTTACAGTAATTACAAGAATCATAATTTAATTAATGATTGATTGTAAATCACTTATTATTTTACTTAATAATATTAATCATCAAAAACATATATTAAATTTCATGCTTGCTACTTACATTATATTACTTAATTTTAATAGTAGTAATGTATTAAAAATTTTGGGTAAATAAATGTTTATATTAGCAAAATATATTTACCAGAAGTAAATTTAAGGGAATAAGGATGTGAAAAGTATTTTTGCATTTAGTAGTTTGAAGGTGTTACTAAAATGGTTGATTTCAAAGTTAATTGAATTTTTTACATTGATCTTAAATTTCTACACTGATCAAATTAATCCTATCAAACTAGCGATAATTGCAAAAATTCAGTAAATTTTTAATTACCATAAACTGAACTTTATCTCATTATTGAAGTGAATTTATGTGTGCTTTTAATTTGATTTTTAAACCTCCCGAATTAATTTTAAGTAAATTAGGACCAATTTTTTTATATTATTAATGTGATTGTTACAGTCAAATCAAATAAAATTTATACAAGGATAGATATTTGAAATTAAAAGTTTCATACATAGCTTTATCATTTATTATGAATAAATTTCAGTATTTACAAATAACAGATAATATATTTAAATGTTTTTAGATTAACTATAAATATTTATGTTTTTAGAAATTCAATAAAACTTAAAATACATAATTTCCAGATTATAGCAATATCATAACTTATATTAAATATGAAATGTATAGTTAGTTTTTATAATATTTGATAGATAATTTGTTACAAATGATAGTAGCTTGAATTCTAAAGCTTTTATTAATTTGAATGCGTATTAGATAAAATTTAATTAATTTACTAATGATTAAGATAACTTTATTAATTTGTCAATGATTATCACCTAAAAGCGATTATTTTCACTAATAATAGCTAAATATCTAGAATCTAAAATGAAATTATTTATTTTGTTAGCCATTAAGATAATTTTATTAATTTATCAATGATTAGCATTTAATTTTATAACTATCAGATAAAAGCAATTATTTTATGCTAATAACAGCTAAAGATCTTGAATCTAGAAGCAATAATTGTCAAATATCTTAATAAAAAATGAAACATCAACAAATTTTTACTCTAAAAATCAAAATTTTTTTATTAATGATCCTAAAAGCAAAACAAAAAGTCATAATTTCTAAAATAAAATGGTAATTTTTTAATTGATTATAAATTATTGAATATTTTATTTTATTCTTTTGCTCCTTAAATTAATTATTTGAGCAGATATATATTTAAAAGCAAACTATGCTAGATAATATCAATATTTCTCTTTTTTCTTCTGATTTAAAAGTACCCAAAATAAACTATTAACCAATTTCACATTGATTTTATTTCTTTAAGATAATCACATCACTTTAAGTTATAACATGTTTATTTATTATCAAGAAAAGAAAATGAGAAGTAAAAACAGAAAATTTAAGTACTCTAAATTTTGTTTTGAAAAAAGGGTTATTAAAAGTATTAATTTAAATGAATTAAAATACTGAAGAAAAAATAGAAAGGTTCTTTTAAATTATATAGTTGAAGATTGAATATTATATTTATATTTCAACCAAAGACTGGGCATTTTAAAACTTCTATTTTAGTCATAAAATTCAATTTTTCCTAAAATTCGCTTGATCTCTAATTTGTATATTGATTTAAATATTTTTTTCACTTCGCTAATAAACTTTAGCAAATTATTATATATTTGGTAAAATTTATTCTTTACAAATAGATACCTCACAGTGAGTAATATATCTATTTAACTTATTTAAAAATAGAAAATTGTTAAATTTATTTTATCTTAAAGAGCAAAACTAAGCAATTTTAAAAATTTATAAAAACATAGTTGGAATTACTCAAAAAAATATATCATCAAGTAAGATGGGTTTTTAAAAAATTGCTAATCTTTTTTTTTTGCAATAAAAACTAAGTTAAATTAATTATTTTTTATGAATATATAAGATAATTTTCCATAAAATTTTATATTATCCTTAATAATAAACTCCATACTTTTTATTTTCTTAAAAAATGCTATTTAATATTTAAGATATAGAACTAGAAATTTAATAAATATTTTAAGAGCAAAATAATAAAAAAGCAAAAGAATTTTCAGAAAATTAGCTATTTTTTAAATAATTATGTAATAAATTCATAAAGTTATTGAATTATAAAAGGATAAGGGATATTATTCTGATCATATATGGCGATGATTTTAATGCAATTAAAAAAAGAAAATTTATTAAAATAATAAAATATTTAATCAATTCCGCATTCCTATCTATATCCTTTTATGGTTCTTTTTAATTTAATTACTTTAATAAACCTCTTTTGAATCTATTAGCAGAGCAACTAAAATGTAGAAATTTTAAATTTCAATTTTAAGACGCCTTACCTCTTACCTCGCAAGTAGTAAAAATTTCTTATTGAGGTATTACAGTAATTCAAAAATAAATAAAAATGTTAAATTGATATTTCCATATTATTTTTGCTTTGAATCTATAAAAATTAGCAATAATAAGGAATAAAGGTAAAATTAAATTTTAAGAATTACAAAGGAAAAATTAATTTCTAATAGATATATTTAAAAGAATCAAAAGAATACTGTCTATTTTCTATGTTTATTTTATTTATTTAATTAGTGATATTTTTTAATAAAAAACAATAATTTATCTTAATTCCAAATTTAATTAGTAGGAAAACACTTGTAAAATAAAAAAAAAATATGATAGAATAGAATTAGTAATAAAATTAATATTTAGAAGTATATTAATATTTTCTTATTATTTATTATCTAAACCAATTTTTTATTTCATTAAAAGTCAATAATATCCTCTTTGATTAATCAATCTGCTATTGGTATCGATGAGTCATAAAAATATTTAATTTCATGAATAAATCAAAAATAAATTTCTTTCTTTAACTTTTACTTTTAGATACAGTTTAATAAACTTTTTTATGATATTTTTATAAAATCTATTTTTTTAAATAAAAATATTTTGATCAAGATTTATTATTTTTATTGTTATTATTATTTCATTGAGACAAAAATTAAATATTTAATTTTAATAAAGCAACACCAAAATGGAAAGTGTATGCACAGCTTTAACCAAATGTTCAGATCTTTAAAAAGTGGAGCTTTACTTTGGGTAAGAGTAGTTTTTAATTAATATAATGCCAAAAATATAGATATCAATTAATAATTTACAAGTTTACTTATTACTTTTAATTAAAACTAATACTTTATTAAATTCGAAATATACTTTTTATTTTTGTTAATTATAACTTATTTATATTATATTTTAAAAGAAACAATTGTATAGATAATAAAGGAATAGCAGATTTAACAGCATCATTAGAAAGTTAAACTAAAATCTCTACTTTATTGCTTAATTTCTAGTAATAATTAGTTTTCTATTAGAAATAGTTTTGAAAATTTTAATTTAAAATGAATCAATCAATCCTCAAAAGTTATTTAAAAAGAAAAATCACATTAAAAAGAAAATTTTTTAAATTTTATTATTAATAGCAATTTATTTCAAATAAAAAATTAATTGGGACTACTTTTGTTATAATTTTATTATCTTAAAACTATAATTTATAATTGAGTGTATGGATAATTATAAGTCTGAAGAATCACAGATTTACAAAAAAAAAAAAAATAAAAATGCTAAATTAAAAAATCAGTAAAATTCAAAAGTTTTTAAATTTAAATTAAGTTTATATTCACTGCTAGTGAATTAAGTAAACAGGTGATATTTTGAGGATTAATTTTATAATTAAAAAATTTTCTTTAGAATTAACAATAATTTTTGATTAATTTAATTAAATAAATTAAAGTTTAAACAATATAGGAGAACTTGGTGCATAATGTTTATCTAATTGTTTAATGAAATTTAAATAACTTTAAAACTTAGAGCTTAACTTAGGGTAAAATAAATTGATTAAGTAAGAAATTAAATTGAATTGTTTAAAAAAGCTATAATCATATTGGAAAAATAGGTGCTTAAAGTATACTTTCTGCTTTAGCTCATTGTACTAATCTTTCTACTTTATCACTAGATTTAAAGTAAATTGACTAAAAATAGAGCTATTTTATTAGTGAGTAATTAAAATGAGTTTTTTGTGAATAATTATAATATTATACACAATCAAAAAAACCAACAAAGCCAAGAATTATTAAATATAAATTCAGAAACGCATTAATTATTACTCAAATAATTAATTTGATATAAAGCTCATATTAGTTTACTCTAAGAATTAAGAACACATAGAAAAATCCTTCAAAATATTTTTACAAATTTTATATTTAACTAATTATAAAAGGCATAATAAAATATTTGCATCGAATTTGGATTAATAATTGTGCTTAGATTTAACAAGCTATGAGAATTAATTGAGCTTAAAACTTTCTCTAGAGTATTAATTAGTTTATGTTATCATTAAAATATTTATTATTAACTATATTAAATTTTTCAAGTTCTAAAATAATTTTTAACTTGCATATAAATATTAAGGTATAATAGCAGTAAGTAGTTTTACTAAAATCAATAAGGAGAATTGGGTTTTGCAATTAATTTTATAAATAGCTCAATAATTAGAAGTTTGGATCTTGGTATATAGTAAAAATACATGTCAAATTAGTTTTATTTTGGATTTTAGTTAATTTTTTTTTTTAACTACGAATTTTGAATGACTAAAGTACATTTTTAAAATTTAATTTAAAAAAATTAAAATGAAAAGCTCAATTAATGACTAAGAAGCATATAAACTTGGTTCTATTTTGGCAAATTGCAACAATTTAGAAACTCTAACTCTCAATTTGAAGTAAATATATTTTATTTAAAATATACTTTGCTTTTCTCAAAAAAAATAATTAAAATTTAATATTTATTGTATAAATTTACTATATTAACATTATATTTAAACTAATAAAAAAGGGATAACTATCTCTTATAAGCTTAAGGAGCTTAGAATTTATTTTCTGCATTAAGTTGTTCCTAAACTCTTCAATCTTTGACATTAATGATGCAGTATTTTTTATATTTATTAGAATTTAAAATAAATTTGCATATTATAATAAATAAATCACAGAGTTTTTATTTCAACTTCATCTTAAAATTCTATAATAATTTATCAGTTTATTACTTTCCACTTATTATGATATGTTTAAAAGTATTTTTTATTAAAGACAAGTAAAAATTGGAAATGAAGGGTTAGTAAGCTTGTCAAATTTCCTAAGTAAATGTCATTTACTCTCCAAATTAAATCTATATTTCAAGTAAAAATAATTTTTTAATTCGTTTATAGTTGTAATTGATATTTAATAATATCTTATTTACAATGATTTTTATTTTTATTTTGAATAAAATTCTTCTTAATTATACTAAAACTTTAAATTTATTTTTCTAAAAGCAGAAATTAATATAAAATAACTAAAATATGTTTATTTAAAAATATATTTTTATTTACAAAAAGTTTAGATAATATTGGATTGCAAAGTATTTAAAGCTTCTAACATTCACTTTCTATTTGCTCTAATCTCTCTGATATAGTACTTGAATTGTAAAATGTTATTTTTCTTGCTAAAAATACTTTTATTTATTTCAATTTTTTTTGTTTCTTTCATAATTTATAAATTAAGATATTAAATTAATCAAATAAAATATATACTTACAGAGCTTAAATGGAAAAAGAAGGGATATTCATGTTAGGAAACGCTTTTGGAAATTGCGAAAACTTATCTAAAATTGATATAAATTTAGAGTTAATATTGCTTTTTTTTTATTTAAATTTACCATTCATCTAAAATTTAATTAAAAAACATTTAAAATTAAATTAAAATATCAAGTTATAATCAAATCAATGATGAAGACATAGAAAAGTTTAGCTAATCTTTAATAAAATGTTCAAAACTCTCATGGTTACATCTTAGTCTCATGTAATAAAAATTGTTTTTTTTCTTCAATTTTTGAAGTTAAACTATACTTTTATATTTGATAAATAGTTGGTTAGTTATTTATTATTAACTTAATTTTTTATTAATTAACTTTTAATAATTCATAAAGTGAAAATTCTTTCGGTTTAAAAGGGGCATAAAAGCTTTATGAAAATTTAGTTCTTTGTACTAATCTATCTTCCTTATACCTAAAACTCGGGTATTATCAGCTTTTTAACTCTTTTATAATTTTAAATTACTTTTCTATTTTAATACCTTTTTAACAATTTTTAATATTAACTAAAATATCTAAAGGAGAAACTAACATTCAGAGGGAGATCTTGAGTAAAAAATTTCTTTTTTATTTATTTAGCTTTCTTTTAAATTTGTTAAATTTTATCTTAAACTAAATAAAAGTGGAGAACAAATTGATTTCGATAGCTTGACTCATATAATCGCTAGCTCAGAACATATTACTCTTTATGACATAAGAGCAAATCAATATTTCTACTGAAATATAACTTGATGACTTACTAAATTTAAGTCTAAATATTATCAATTTTTGTTTTGTTTCGAAAAATAAATAAAATAAAATTATTAATATCTTTCATTTTTTTTTTCATATTACAAATATTTCATAAATAAATAAATAAATCAAAATTTATAGTTAATGCTTTTTATTTTAGAGATATATGCGATAAAAATATATTTAATAAAAATAAAACTAAAAAATTTATCTTGTAACCTAATTAATTTAATACAAAGTGACCTTAAAACTTCTATTTGCATGAAATAGCTAGCTAAGATGTTTTTCATAAATTCATAACTTACATATTATTTACAGAGAATTTTGGGTTTTTAATTCTTAAATAACAAAAAATATTTCAATACTTTAAATATTGTAAATTTTTACTTACCCTCTCTATATTTTTACGAACTACGAAGTTTAAAGTAGTAAAGTATACGAATACTTCGTAATACCTCAATCACTAGAATTTCATACCCTAATTTTCAGATATCATTTCTCATATTTCACAAAAAAAGAAGCCAATAATAAATTTTTACTTTTATTAATTAATTTATTAAATTTGTGTTTTATTTTTACAATAAAAAAACAAAAATGTGAGAAGAAGAATTTTTAAATTTTTTACTTTACTATTAATAAAAGCATAATAACTTAATAATTGGTTATGGTTTGTTTTTATTTCTTTTAAATTTAGTATTTCTTATTTAAGTGTTTTTTTTTTTAGATTTTAATCAATTATTTTATTAATAGATAGATAGACTAACTTACTTTTAGGAAAATTTGTATATAAAATAAATAATTAAACAGTAATAACAATTTATTTATGAAAAATCAACAAATTAAAATATAATTATTTTAAGATCACTAATAAATCTATATCATTCACTCTTATATTATATTTAGAATAACTTATTTTAAGTTATTAAATTGTTCTTATGAGATTTATTCCTTCACACTTGATATTGATTTTCTGCTAATCAGAATCCACTTCTACTTTTGTTAAGTATAAAGCTTTTCCAATAGACAAATAAAAAGAATCGTCATAAGAATTGTTTTATTTTTTAACTCATTATCAAGACTTGTAAATGCTTATAATTTAGAAGAAATAAACTATTTAACTATTTTTTCGTCGTAATTTAGTATTCCCTCTGAGCTAGCTAAACTTAGGAGCTACTCTAGCTTCATGTATTTTGAATCTTGCTATTTAAGATCATCTATTTTTACATTTTCTAATTTTTAAGATTCTTTTTTTCTTTCAACAACTATTGATGGTTTTTCATTTTTAGCATTCAATGTAATTTTATTTTCATCAATTTTTTAAATACTCATTGATGCATCAAAATAAGCTTTACTCTTCTGTTATACTAAAGGAGCTTTTTCTTTACATTCATTAAATATGGGTTAGACTGAAGAAGCAGCTTTTTTCATATAAGAAAGGCTACTCTAAGGTCTATTAACAGCTTGAGTTTAAGATAGGCTACTTGTTTATGGGATACCCTTACATTCCATATATATATTATCGTTCTGTTGAATTCCACGAACAGACCTAGGTGCAAAATTAGGAGGAGAAGAAAAAACCATATTAGAACTATATTTAAATGGAGGATTCAAAATATATTATTACATAGCATACACTGGATTGTAATATGCTTTAGGAAGAGATTCAAATTGTGCTCTTTATTAATCATCTATTTTTTAGATAAGACATATCAAGGCTGTATCTTTAGTAATTAATTAGTAGTCTATAGCTTACTGTTCTGCTGATTGAGGGCTTATTTCATTATTCACAGATTAGAATGTTATTTATTAAAGCTTTCCTAATTTAAATACTGATTCTTTAAGTTCTTAGTTGCAAGTAAATGAATCACTACTTTACAATTTGATTTATTTTACTACCTCTTAACTCTTAGAAGAATCATAATATTAAATAGTAATTACTTTCTTTTCTTCGGGGATTTCGTTAATCTTTACAAGAGGTTGAAGGAAGAAATGCAAATTAAAAACTTCTTCTTTTAATATAAAAGGAATATTTTGAGGATTAGGGTAAACTGATTCAAATATTTGCTAATCAAAGGTAACTTTAAATTTATCAAGAGTTGCTGAGATGGTTTTACATAAGATTTTAATGACAATTGATGAAAGATCTTATTCAAATTAAACCATTTCGTGTATTCCCTTTCCAGCAATTGCGCTCTCTTGAATAAGAATTTTATCAGCTGAAGAACCAAATCCTATAAAATGGACTCTGTTTTTCTTATTATTCCTTTTGATTTCTCTAACTACAGATTAGCGATTTTAAACTGCACCGTCTGTAAGCACAAATATTTGTCTATTATAACCTCTTATATTTTAGCCGTAGTAAAAGATATTATTTAATGGAGATAAAATATCTGTACCGTTCATATCAGCACTATAGTCCTTAATTTTATTACAAGCAAATTTAAGTGTTTAGCTATTATATTTCTATGATCTTTCATATAATTTTTTGAAATTGGAACCAAAACTAACAATGTTAAAGTAACTATCTGGGGGTAAACTTTACAGGAAAAGTTGCAAAGCCTCCAAAGCCTTAGTGAGAGGTTTACCTCTCATAGATCCACTTCTATCAATTAAAAATATGTATTCACTTCTTGAGGATTTTAAGTGATCAATTAATTCTTCATTAACTTTATCTTCAAATTGTTCAGTAACGAAATCTTCTCCATTTTATAAAGAAGCTTTAATTGCATCATCTAGTTCTTCAGTTTGTTTTTAATTCATATCTGGTAAGAAGGAAACCATAATAGATTCTCTTTATGGGATGAGAAATTCTTTTACTTTATCTTCTTCATAAATACTACTGTGTCCATATATTACCTAAGGCTCAAACATTCCTTCAAATTGAAATAATACTTTGAAATGGTAATGATCTTATTATTTTTCTAATTTTTAAAGCTAAAATTAGGTGTTAAATTCATCTATGATTTTCTTTTCAATTGGATTCTTTTTATCCATAGCTTCCATTGAAGTTATTTTACCTGTACATTAAATATTAAGCGTGAGAAGATTATTTCCAAGTTTTACTTCTACTTCATTTTCAACATGATCAACTTAAGAAATAGGAATGTTTACAAGATAAAATTTATTTAAATAGGTTTAGAGCTATTAAGAAAAAGTTAAAGTTATTTTAACTTCTTCATTAGGTGGTAAATTTCCTAAGCTTATCTTTAAATATTCATCTTAGTCTAAAGTAGTTAATTCAGCATAAGAAACCAAATTTCCTTCACTCTTGTTTTATTGATACTCTTTTTATGCATTGAATTTTGATTTTACAACTCCCTTTATAGTTTTATCTTAGTATTGGGCTGAGAAAGATTCTAAGCAAATGTCTTCAGAAAGAGGAAACATATACACTGATTCAGAGTATTCATAAGGTTAAACACTTTTAAATGTCTAATTTACAGTCATTTTGAGAATGTTATTAATAACAAAGCAGTTGTATTGCTGCTTTACTAAAGTAGCTGGAACTTATTATTGGTTATTCTATAAATTATAAGTTATTATTATTAACTGCTTGTATAGACCTGTCATGCATTTACAGATTCTCATTTTTTATTTATATTTACTTTGTTATTTTTTAGCTTTTTTATGTTATTCTTATATTTTTTAATTAATCTTTTTGTTGATAATTCTTTATTGGATCTTATATTTGAGTAAATAAATTTAATTAGTTTACATTTGTTATTTATATTTTGTGTCACCTTTAAAAAATCAAAAATTAATTTGTTTCTCCTTTAACAAAATCAAAGAAATTAATCAGTAATTGTTAATATGTAGAAAAGTGAAATGTTATAATTTATCAATCATCTTCTCATAGACAATCAATTTTTTGCTTATCATGTAATTTGAGAATAAAGATATTATTTATTATAAATCCCCTAATTTTTATATTTTATAAAAAAAATAGAGATCAAGTTTCCTTTCATATTAAATAAAATCTTAGAAATAATTAATAAAAATATTTTTTACTTTAAAACAAATATATTATTTTTTATTTTTTGGGTAGGTATGATTGTTGAAAGGTAAGTTTTTTTATTTGAATATAAAATAATTATAATTTGTTAAAAATGGAAATTTTTATTAAAATGTTTGAATTTTTTAATGATATTTTATATAATTAATTTCACAAATATATAATTGTATGCAAAACTTATTCATTTTATTTATCTTTCAATAATTTGTATGTCTTAAACTAGTCTAAAAACCTAAAGCACAAGCAGTTTCAAATTTACTTTGAGGCAGTATTGCTTCATTTATCATTGATGAAACAAATTCATTTTCGAAATCGCATATGATATCAGAGCATCCTTTAATTTGAATAGGCTTATCATTGTAAATCATTTTAATGAATTTTTTAGAGGTTTGCTTATCTTAATAAATTTCAAATAATACTGTGGAAGCAAAAGGAGCATTGCTGTGATTTTTATTATTTGATGGATGGAGCCACTCTTGGAAATCTGTAGTATAGGATGAGTATCCTGCAGCAATTAATACTGCATTAACATTTCCATCACTAGCACTATAAAATCTAAACTTGTATTTTTAATCTCTTACAACACTTATTAAATCATTGAAAATAGTGCTTGTTTACATTTTTAATAAATCTCCACTGTCACTGTTGAAATCTAAGTAAAGTTGTTAGAAGTCATAAACAAAATTCATTTTTAAGATAAATTAATTTGTGAAATTGGATGGCAATTTAATTTATTAGTAAATATCGCAGATGACTGAGTCCCAATAATTAGCAATTACCTTAATTGTGACGTCTTCAACAGTCATGGTGCTTTATAAACCAAACAATTCAATAAATTCTTGTTTAAATTCTCTTAAAGATTCGTCAAATTAGTTGTAAACATCAGTGTTGAAATTGAATGCTTTTAAGACATCATATCCATGGCAAGTGTCAGAGGGTTCTAAAAGTCTTTTATCATCAGGTATCAAAACGTTGATAGGAACATAACTGTTGGGGAGATTTTTACCTTCTAAATTTTCTAAAATCTACTTTCCATCTGCAACTTAAAAAGGGGGCAAATCTGTGCTTGGATTGAATTTCCAATCTTATTACATATTTTCTCCTTTTTGCTAAAATATTCCAAACAGTTAACTCAAAGCGCTTTGTTAAGCTCTATCTGAACTAGTACTAAGTACACTAACATTCTAAGGGCTATAGCTTTTTTTAAATAAAACATTATAATTATTTTTTAAAAGCACTTTTAAAGTAATGTTATTTTACTTCAAAATTATTTTCAATTATTTATTTATTATCATTTTTATATAAAATTATTTAAACCTTTCAAAAAACTAAAGTTCATTTCAATAAATATTTTTATTTAAGCTATTCAAAAAATCTAAATTATTTATTAAAATTATACTAATCAAATAAATTATTTCATTTTTTATTCTAAAATTATTTATTAATTTTGATATGAGAATATATTACAGCTTAAATAAAAAAGTTTTAATATTTCAGCACATTTTTTTAGATTAAAAAATATGTTAAAGAACTTAATTCTTTCTTCATTTACTTAAATATGATATGATACTTTATTAAATGTCTTCAATTTTTATGAACCTTTAAGTAAAATTTAATCTATCAATCTTAATTTACTTTCCATTATTGAATATAGTAGAATTATATCTCCTGTAAAGCTCTTAGCCTATCAAAAAATGTTATCTTTGTCCTACATTAGTAAGTGTGGTCAATGGTACATTCCAATTGGTTCTGTAATCCCAAAGGTCATAAAAAGGAGCACGAGCGCCATGTCTTGAAAGCTCGATTAATTAAATGAGTTCCAAGCCTTCATTTAATGAACTACTTTATATAGTTTGACAAGCAATTAAAATTAAAAAGACAGAGCTAATTGAAAGCTTTAAGTTTTTAGCTATCATTTTTATCAATTATTCTTTTATAAAAGAAACAACAATTCAAACAAATTTTTGTTATTTTAATTAATACTTGTTTTGTCAATACTTGATTAATTTATTATTGATATGTCTATTGATTTTATCAAAATAAAGAGCTGTTTGTTACCACCTTTTAATCTTCTTACTTAATTACTTAAATATATATTATATAAAAATTCATTGGATATGTTTCTATTTTATTATTTTGAATATTCTTGTTTTTATCAAATATTTTGATGACAATAATTAAGTAATTTATATGAGATTGAATTAAATAAATTATAATTTTTAGTATTTTCAAAGAAAAGAAATAATAAATTGATTTATATTTACTAAGAGTATGTCTTATTTTTTTAATAAGCATTTTACTAATTTGATTATATATTTCTTTAAATTAAAACATGATAAATTAATTTTAGTTATTTTTAATTAAATATAAGACTTAAATTTTTGATTATATTACAACTTAAAGCAAATTGTTAATTTCAAAGAATTACTTTACTTAAAATTGAAATCTTTTTTAAAAAATTCTCATAATATTTTAAATTGAAAATGTCAGTTTTAATTGTCATCTAATATTCCTTTCTGCAGTGCTTTTTAAAATATTTCATCAGGTAAGATAGCTTATTTAGTTATTGATGGTACAAATTCATCTTCGAAATCGCATATTAATGATGAACAACCTATAATTTTAACTGGTTAATCATTGTATAACATTTTTATATACTTTTTATTTGTGCTTTTGCTCTGATAGACTTCAAAAAATATCGTGGATGAAAAATAAACGTTATTATAAGAAGCATATTTTGTAGGATTTAACCATTCTTAGAAATCTGTGGTATAATTGATATGTCCAGCAGCAATTAATAATCCATTTAAGTTATTATCACTACCAGAATAGAATCTAAATTTAATTTCACTGTGATTTCTAATAATATCAATAACATCATTGAAAAAAGTTGTAGTTTGCATCTTTAAAAGTTACCCAGAACTACTTTGGTAGTCGATATAAAGTTATGTGAAATCATAAACAAACTATAATTTCTTTATAAATAATTGATCAAATGTTTCAGGAAGAGGAATCTATTCGTAAATATCACAAACTACCGAATCCCAGTGATCAGCTATCATCTTTAAACCAACTTCACTTGGATTAATTTGTAGATTAAATTTTTATACAAACTCTTTTTTAAATTCAGACATTTACTCATCAAACTACTTATATACATCAGTAGTGTAGTTTATTTATTTAAGTTTCTAAATACCTTCGCTATAACTACAAGATTCTAAAAGATAAGGATTATCAGGTTCTCTAACATTTATAGGAACATAACTATTAGGTAGATTTTTATCTTACAGATCGTCAATTAATTTTTTACCTTCTGATAATTTCAAAGGTGGTAAGTCTGTCTAAGGATTAAATTACCAATTTTAATGTACTTTTTCCCCTTTCTAGTAATATATGCCATACAATTAACATAATGCACTTTATTAAGCTCTATCTGTCGAAGTGCACAGAACACTAATCTGCTTTTAATCAAATCTAAATAAAATAATAAATTTATATAAAATGTGTGTTTATCAAATAAATTTCATTTTAAATTAATTTTATTTAATATTTTTTCGAAAGAAATATTTTAGTTAATTCAGTTATCATAAAATAATTGTTTTAGAGTATTTTAGAATCACCAAATGTCTTACAATAAAATTAAATCAAATAAAAAATAAGGGAACTAACAGTATTATTTAACATAAAATTTAGATATTTGTGTTGGTTTCTTAAAATTTGAATAATCCTCATTAATTTTCTACTAAAATAAACATAAAATTTTGATCGATTTATATTTTATTTTGTATTTTTTAAATTTATATACAAAAATTGTTTTAAATTCATATTAAAGAAATCAAATAGTGTATTTCTCTTTCGAAATCCAATCATTAAATTAATTTTAATTTAGGTTTTTTGCAATTTTTTTCGCTTAGGATTATTTAAAAATAATAATGCCTTCTTCAATATTAATGTTACAAAATAATTTATAATTTCACTAATTTAATAAGATTTGAATTTGAAAAAAAAAATGAAAATTTATTTAAGCTTTTGATTTATGAAAATGTTTACTTGCCGTTGTTAAATATTGTTGATTGATATCTTTTGTAGATTTCTTAACCTATGATATAATGCTGCCTCTATCCAATAGGAGTTAGCGCCTGTAAAGGAAGAGTCCAATTATATCTATAGTCCCATATATCATAATATGGAGAGCGGGATCCATGTCTAGCTACTTCTATAAGTTAAATAAGTTCTAAATCCTAATTGATTTTGCTATCTTCCATCGCTTTAATTTTAACTATTAAAATATGTAAAACTCTACTTTTTGTATCAACTTTTATATCTAATTAGCCTTTTTATCACCAATTAAGTAATTTTAAATAGCGATTGAATTAAGATACTTACTAAAATAAAAAAAGAATATGATAAAAATTCAAATCTTTAAAATAATGAATTTATTCATAAATTAAAAACGGAAATTCTTAAAAAAACAGACAGATCTACATAACTAAAATAAAACTCATTTGAAAGATATAAATTATTTTGCTAAAAATTAATTTTTATTATTCATAATATTTTTAATCATATATTAAATGAATATTAATGTTGTAATAAGATAAAATCCAATAAGAAGACAATAATTAATATAATGTAAGATATTTATCATTTATTATCATTATTATAATAGAATCATGTGATATTAAATTATTTATCTATTGAAATTTGATTAAAAATATTTTCATACAATTGCTAACACTCATTTTGGTATTTATCAATCTTTCTCATTTTATAAAGGTAGAATAGTGATTTCTTCATATTTTTTTTAAAAAAATATAGTTTAGAAAGGTTGTAAATGGCGTGTGAGTCGGTAGGGTACTGCTTCAAATATTTTTTGAAGTAGAAAATAGCATTTTTGAAATTATTATTTAGCATATAAACTGTGGCTAAGTAGTATAAATAAATATATTTTTTATTATTTAGTTGTATGCAAGATTTATATGCTTTGATTGAATTACTGTAAAGCTTTTATTTTTGAAAAATGGTACCAAGTCTAAAATATTTTGAATCATCATATGGATTTAATTCTAAGCTTTGTTCAATAAATTCTACTGCCTCTTGAAACATGCTTATTTCTTCATAGATACTTGCTAATTTATTCAAGCAGTCACCATGGTGTGAATTTAACAACAAGCATTTTAGCAAGTATTCTATCTACATTTATTGTTAATCTAAATCTGATTATAAGCTTAAACCATAAAAATAATATATATTTGAATCTTGTATTTCTTCTGTATCTTCTGTTATTTAAAGGCACTTATTTAAAGCATTTTCTGTTTCTTCATCTTATAAAAAGCTATCAATAATGACAGCATCTTCAATCAAAAGATAATTTTTCTTAGTTATTTAAGTGCTTATTATTTAATAAAATAATTTAATCTATGATCAATTCACAAATTATGTTTACTATTTATCACTTTCTTGTTAATAAAGTGAATCTTATTTATTAGCTTCAAAAATATTCATTATTTAATGAATTCGTTCTTCTTATTATACAACTTATTTAATTTCAATCAACTTTTGGTGATCTAATGTTCCTGTTGTTAAAACAAATAATAATTTTATATAAATAATTGACATCTCAAACATACTTTTAAATTTATTAAAGAAAATAAATAATAATTTTCTAATATTCTTCTATGAATGAATGGATGAAAAATTTAAAATATTATTTTCCTATTGAATTTTTATGTGGAATATTCATTTATATATTTCATATTTTAATAATTTATTCAATTATTTTTTTAAATTTTTGGATTGAATAATAATAATTTATTTATTTAATTAATTAATTACTCAATTTTTAATAAAAATCTTCATAGAGATAATTTAGAGATGTTGCATCCTTTTCAGAAGTAATTTAATTGATTAGACTAACTAAATCAGAGTCAAGTAAATTTATATGTTCTATGTAGTTAGATGTAAAATTTAGCAGAATTTAAATAATGCATGAAAATAGATCAATTGTATCAGGATTTTTCTGTTATGCTTTTTATTCCTCTGAAAATACAGATATTTCACCTAAATTTAGAATTTATAAATTATATAAAAAAGATATGCAAACTATTTTTTTACCTAATATTCCTTTGTTATCGTGTACAAACATATTACTAACTTTTAAATTATAATACTCGATTCCTTGGCTCTTCATCAAAAAAAAAATATCTATGTAATCTATCAAGATTGAAGCTAAATTAGTATAATTTTATTCATGTTTAAGATAATTTTGTATTGATCCTCCTATTTATTTATTCACAATTCATTCCAAAAAAATTACTTAAAATACAAAATATTCAAATAATAAATACCATTAGGAATTTGTATGCAAATACTAAAATGACCATTTAGAATACCTACACCATAATGAGATAAAAAAGCTTTCTTTTTATAAATATTTTCTTCAAAATTTCTGTTTCTTTTTAGATCTAAAGTAGCATTATAGACAAAATCAAGCATTGATAAAGAGGAGTTATACAATTTCAAAACACACTTTCTTTTTGATTATTTCTACTTGCAAATTCTTATGCTGATAGTTTAATCTACCTAATCCTCATCATCAATAATAAATTCTTCCTCCCTTAGGTTAAAATTTCTATAAGTTTCAACCCAATTTAATATTTTCGCTTATTTCATAATTAAGTAACATAAATATTAATATTTTGATAATCATAATAATTTAAGTAAATTAATAGAAACTCTAAAAAATATGATTAATTATTACATATAAAATTCAATTAATGCTATTCAAATATATTAAATCAAATTATAAATATCTATTTAATGATAACACATTAGCTATAATTTTAAGATGCTAATTTTCTTACCAGCTTTTTTATAACTTTTAAAATATTTTTAAGCTAAAATTGAGCTCAATACAAAATTCTTAAAATTTAAATTCATTTAATTCTAACCTACCATACATATATACATTGATAATAAATGATAATGAGTAAATATTAATATTTTTTGAAAATAAAAAAAATATATTAGTTAATATTTAATCAGAATAAGAATGAAAGATATTTTAAGCAAACAAAAAAGTTAAACTTTATTTAAAGATAATTTTATAAAAAAAAAAAACATACAAATAAATAAATGTTTTTAAAAAATTTTCACTAATTTTTAAAAGAATGATACAAAAAAAGAAAATAAGAAAATTAAAAATTTCTTAAGTGACGTAAGCACAAACTAAAAAAGATGATTCAATTTTCTGCCATCTAACTTGGTACCACTCTTTTCCACTACTACAAAAATAAAACAACAAACTAAAATTATCAGTAAGCAACTATATCATGAAGAACATACATAAAACAGTTCATATATATATAAATGAGTTCTTTTTCAAAAATTTATTTATTTTTTGATTTTCTTAAATAAAAAAAATCTTTTTCATTTTGATCAAAAGTTATGTTCGCTCTATTCACAACATATATATGAATTACTACTCATTTCTAATATATTTTTAAATATTTATTAAGTAGTTAATTTTTTTGAAATTAAAATAAAATAATTTAAAAATTACTTGAAGATTTAATGAAAGTAAAATTATTATTTTTAAATTTTAACATAGTTAATATCATTTTTTGTTTATTCTATTAATTGAAGATACGATTCTCTAATCTAATTCTTCAAAACTTTCATTTTTTAAATATTTTGATAAAAAAATATCCAAATATTTAATCTGTAAGTCGAGTGACTATAGAATAGCGAGCTGACTTTCATAAAAATTCTAACAATCTATTAAAAAAAGAAATTAATGATTAAAAAATTTTGAAAATAAAAATAAAATTATACTTTTTTCATAATCGATTGCCTATTAATTATTTTATATTTCTAAATACTACGAAGAGCAGCCTACTAACTATATAGCTGCCAACTATTCTTTACTTAGTATAAGTAGGATAGCTTTCTTCAAAAAAATTACATCTTTATACAATTAAAAAATGTCTAATTATTAATTGACCTACCCTTCAATTAGTTTTTTGTTGAAATGGTTTTCAGTGTTTTTGTTTTTAACCTTTTTGAATAATCTACATATATTAGAAATATTAGGGAACCTAATTTAAGTTTAATAAAGGTTATTTTAAATATTAAATAATTTAATAATTTACTTAACCATATAAATTGCTCTTTAAACACTCTTTAAAAAATTTTTATTTTAAATAGCTTTAAACTTTTATTTATAGTACTATTAAATTTTCTTAATATTTGATTCTGGAATGCAGCAACTTTTATCTTTCTAATGTTCTGTAGAATAAATTGGTATTTTTGCATTATCTACGCTATAATTTATCAGATTAGATTTTGTATTTTTTAAATTTAAGCCTAATTTTTTAATTGAATTGAATTGATAGTTACAGTTTTTACTATTAGCTGCTGTTTTCTAAATAGGAGATGCAATTTTTAATTAGAATTTAAATTATTTTGATTCATTTAATCTTCTATTTTCATCTAATTCGTCTTTACCAGTAGAAAATGTGAGGTTATTATATTCTACAGATTATCTTGATTTAGCTTTAAAAGATGGGACGATGATGCTTTAGCTGATTTCGCTATTTTCAATTTCATTTAGAGCTTCAGTTTGACTCTATTTAGTTTCTAAATCCATATCTTACTTTTTCTCGAAAAATTTATTTTCTGACAATATTTGTTCATATGTGTCTTAAAACATATTTTATAAAAAGAAGAATAGTAAGTTTTTTTCAATCATTTTTCTCGAAACAAATTTTGCAAAAGCTCCGAAAGTCATTGAAAGAGCAAATGTACTGCTAACTAATGCCAAAACTTCAGGAAAAGTAGGGAATGAAATTTAAATTTACTACAAAATTTCATCAAGTTGCAAAATAACTTCTAAGTAGGCAAAATTTTAATTAAAATTAAATTGTTAATTCTACTAATCGTATTATATTGGAGCAGAGAATTATGTTTCTTTTTAAAGAATAAAACCTTAATTTATTGAAGTTTATTGCATTTAAGTCTTAAAAGTGCTTACCACTTACTAATCTGAAGAAGTGAAAATCATTGCATTTCTGTAGTTTACCTATGGTTGAAGAGACGTTATATTAAACTAAGAAGTGTACAACTTAATACGGAAACCCGATGTATCGCCATTAAGTAAAGAGTTTATATCTTCTTAGCTAGCACAATTATTAGCCGTGCTTTATTTAAAGTCATTTACTTAGTAACAGCCATACACAAGTATAATAACAGTTGATAAGATGTCCTATTAGGTTTTTAAAGTCAGATATTTATTCTACAAGATTTAAAAGTCTAAGCAACTAAATCCTTTAAGTGATGGATTTTGGCATTAAGTTATATTTAGAAGGGTAATATTACTTTATGTTTAGTTTTAATAAGTGAAAAGTGCACTAAATTAAAGATATGTTTTATTATTTTTTGCTTAGAGATCATCTAAATTTTTGTTTGTGTCATACTCATATCTAAAAGCTATTAGATCCTAATGGAGAGGAACATCTATTTGTTCATCTGTAATAAAGCTCTAAGATCTAAATTTTGGGTTAATTTAATTAGTCCCATATTACCAACTTAAATAGATCAAATAGGATACAGTTGATACAATGATCATAATTGATAATAATGCTCCAATAAAAGTTCCTTTTTTTATTGATGAATTTCCTATATAGAACATAAATGGTTACGAAAAAAAATCAAATGAAACAAAATTCATTTTTTTTATTTATTTATATCTATATTTGTTTGTAGTTTGTTTTGTATTTTACTTTAATTAATTTCTACTATTTACTATTTTAATTATAAAGCTTAATAATTATCCCATAGCTTATTAAAATTTTGCAAAATATGTCTTTTCTGCTTCGAATATAGAATTTTAAAAAAATATAACATGAAAATATTTGATACCTAATACATCTATTCTAATTATATGTTCACATTTCAAGAAAAAGTAATTAAAATATTAAAATAATTTTCATTAAAAAAATAAAATAAATTAAAGGTGAAATAAGAATTAAAAATATATCATCAAAGTAATTAAAATAATAAACAAGAGTGAATTCATAAATAATATCACAGATGAATGTCTTATTTAATTAATAATGTAAATATATGTATTCTACTCAAAAATATCTAAAATAAAAAATATCTAATTCAATTTCTGTTTGTCTATCAAAGTAGAATTTTGATAAATGCTATTAAAATCAATTAAGAAAGGCATATTTGACTTTTAATTTTTCATTATTATAATTTTAATTATTAGCAAATCAACTTTTGAAATAATTTTTTTTCAAAAAAATAACCTTATGATAAAAAATTATTTTCTAATTTTAGATAAAATACAAACAAAGACATTTTTTAACTTAATGAGTATATAGATAAAAACGAACAAAAAATACATTTGATTATATTACAATACAATTTCTTTTTATATAATACTATTAGATAATAATAATAAAGAGGAATATTATTTATCTATTATTGAAAAAGATTCTAGATAGACCTCATTCTTTTTTGAATAAATTTAAACACTTGCTTTTTATATTATTATAATATTATTTAAAACTATTACATATTAATAATAAAGAGGAATATTATGTAGCTATTTTTGAAAAGTTTCTAACTAGATTTCATTCTTTTTTGAATAAATTTAATTAGTTACATTATATATACACATTTACTAAATACAATGAGTAGTGCTGCTAAAGAAATAATATCTATTATAAAATACTTAAAAAAGAAAAATTACCTTTTTTTAAGAATAAAATTGAAAGTATTAGCTTATTTATAATGTTTTGGTTTTATATTTTTGTTAAATTATTTTGAAATAAAATTATTCATAAACACTAACTAAGACATTAAATTCTTTAGAAAAATTGTAATTAAAGAAAACTTTCTTATTAATTTTGATTTTAGTTTTCTTATTACAAATATTTTATCTTACTTTATTAATTAATAAAGAAACTATGAATGCTTGAAGAGACAAACCATCGTAATTTGTCAGTAGAATGTCTAATTACAAATAAATAAAAACTCAAAATTGCATTTAAAATTAAGCATTCAGAATTAAAACAATTCAAGATTCTAATTACAAAAAAATTAAAACTCAAAATTGTGTTGTAAAATAAATGAAATAAACATGTAGCTAACATTCAACAAATAAATAGAAATATTTCAAAATTATAAATAATTAATAAAAAAAAATTAATAAATACAAAATAAAATTTGCAAAAAAAGAAAAGAAAATCATGTTTTTTTCTGAATTAACTTCATTTATTAATTTATTCACTAAATAAGGAATTGATTTTGAAATAAATAATGACCAAGTAAAGCAATATGTCAACTAAAGCATATCTCCAGAAAATTAAATACAGTTAACTGATAACCTCATAAATTAATAATTTCTCTAAAATGAGTAAACATAGAAAGTTTAGAAACAAAAAATTAATCTAACTAAACTTTGCTTTTCTTTAACTTAAAAAAGCTTTTTCATAGGACTTGCTTATTAATGTTTCCAAAATATTATTGGGTTTTTAGGAATCTTTATTTTAGATTAAATAACTGACAACTTAAAAAATTTTGAACAAGACAAGCAGTTTATCCTTCTGGTTGAGCTCATAAGTTTAGTATTATGCTTTTTTGTAAGAAGTGTTTTGTTTTCGAGGTTTAGTTGGAATTAAGCTGTCTGGAGATCATAAATGAAAGCAACTCTTTAATACCTAATTTTTAAGAGATCCTTGAAATAAGAAATAAAACTTGATAATCAAATCGATAAAAAAGGGTAGAAAGAAAATACAGAAAAAGCTAGTTAAAGTCCAGAAATATTAAATTTGATGACTGTAGATTAAGAACATGTTTTAGAAATGTATTTTGGAATAATAGAAACAACTAGCGGCATTTTAATTCTTGCAATTGCACTCTATCTTATTTATTTAAAAATCGGCTCATCTGTACTTACAGGAATATATGTGATGATCGGCGCTTTATTTTTCAACATGATTCTAACAATATTTTTAGGCGTAACTATTTACTTTAAGGATAAAATTTTTATATCTTAGCTAATTTTTTACAAATATTATTAAATAAAAGGTTATATTTTAAGTTACTCTAAAAAGAAAAGATGAAAGAGTGTAACTAACAAAGGATGTTCTTTCTGGCATTAAAAATATCAAATACTTTGGTTGGTAACAAATTTTTGAGAACAAAATAAGTCTTCTAAGATAAAAGGAGTAGAAGTCTCTCTTATAGGTTAGGATTATGTTTGCCTTAGTTACTATGTTTTGGTCAAGTATAAGCTATATTCTTCTCTATACATTTTTAATTAAATATGTTGATGATGATAATTCTATTTAATAGACTAATGTATTCACAATAATAGCTTTATTTGGTTATTTAACTTAGCCTTTATCAAGTTTACCATGGGCTGTTAGTAGTATTATCTAATCTTTCGTTTCATTCAACCGAATAAATTAATTTGTTAATTCAGAGGTCTGTTTAATTGACAGAAGTAAATAAAAACATTTCTTCATTTTATTAATTTTTATTATATTAAAAATGATTTAGATAGTCAAATTTAAGAAGATAACGATTTTGCAATAGAAATTATAAACAAAAAATTTGACTGGTCTTTTAAAAATAGATTAGATAAAGATTAACATTTTAATGAAATTGATTAAGATTAATTAAAAAAAAATGACATCGAAAATTAGTCTGATATAAATTTGAATGAAGAGCTAAAATCAAGATTAGTAGAAAATCATGAAAGTAGCTAAATAAATAATGTTAATTCTGAAAAAAATAATTTTGAGATCTATATTCCTTCTCTGAAAATAAAAAAGGGGACTCTTAACTTTATTATAGGAGAAATAGGTAATTAAAATCTATTTTAATATATTGAGTTTTTTATTGATTTAAAATAATTTTTTTCATGAAACAGACAAATTTGGGGATAAAAAATAAATTAAAATCAAGAATTTCAATTTAAAAAAATTTTTTTGATGTAATTAATTTTTGAAATTTGCAATCAAAGAAAAATTTTTAAAAAGGCTAAAATTAATTAAAAATTTGATTAAAAAATTATAAAGATTAATTTAAATTAAAATTATAAATATCATTCATTAACTAAATTATTTTATAAAATCATTCACTTTTACATAAATTATATTCAAAACATCAGCCATTCAAAAAAATAGTGATCTCAAGTCACTAAATTTTTGAATGGCATTTGGCTATAATATAAAATTAAATTTAAGTAAAATAATTGTTTATATTTAATAGGTTCAGGAAAAAGCAGTTTACTTTTAGCTGTTTTAGGAGAAATGAATGAATAAAATTTACCTTATAACTTATATGAATCTTCATAATCTTATGAATCTTATTTATAAACTTAAGGCTAAAATAAAATAATTCTGGGTGGAAAAATATCATATGTCTCTTAAAATCATTGGCTATAAAATAAATCAATTAGAGATAATATTTTGTTTGGAAAAGAGCATGATGAATAATGGTACAACATATGCTTGGATGCTTGTTAGCTATTAGAAGATTTAAATTCATTCAAAAATAGAGATTAAAAGCTCGTAGGTCCTGATGGAAGCAATTTAAGTGGTGGATAAAAGTAGAGAATCGCTATATGCAGGGCGGTTTATTCAAAAAGTAATATCTATTTATTTGATGATATATTTAGCAGTCTTGATATTCATGTAGCTGATTAAATTTATGAAAAAGTAATTCAACAAATTTTAATAAATCAATTAAAATGCACTGTGCTTTTTGTGACTTCTCACTACAAAATTATATAATAGTCTGATGCATCTCAGAATATAATCTATATTGAAAAGGGAATAATAACTCTAGATAAAGATATTATAGCTAACTATTTATCCAAATCCGAATCATTCTTATCTCAAAATATACTCTCTAATTCATTAAGTAAAGAGAAGTTAAGTTCAATTTAAAATTAAAATAACTTCAAATTTCAAGTAAAGATCTAATTTTTTAATTTATTTTATTTATTTAGCATTCATTTGATTATGTGTTTTTTCAGATCAAAAGTAATAAATAATTTTTAAAGGAAGAAGAGGAAAAAATTGATGATAATGAGAAAGATGATGTAGAAGAAAAAAGAGAGAAAGGTAACATAAAATGGGAAACTTACTTAACCTATCTAAAATCATTAGGATTAATTTTATTTTTGCTTTTTGTTTTGCTGGAAATAACTGCTTAAGCAAGCTTTATACTAATTGATTTTTGGCTAAAGGATTAATCTCAGGATATAAATGATAGATAATTAAGTTTTTTAAATGACTATTTTCATGGTTTTAGAAATACATTTACTTTTTTAATTTTAGCAAACTTAGCATTTTAGTTTTTTAAAATGCTTATATATGTCTTTTCAACCTAAAAAAGTTGTTGTATGCTTTTTAAAAATCTAAATTAATCAATCATGAGAAGCAAAATGAAATTCTTTGACGAAAATCCATCTGGAAGAATAATTAATAGAGTTTCAGAAGACTTAATCTAAGTTGACCAAGCTTTACCCTTTATACTTTTGATTTTGATAACTCAAATATCAACTACCTTATGGTAAATTTAATTAATATTTCATTTAACTATTAAAATTAGCTGCTAATTTTATTATTATTTATTTTTTTATAAAATTAGAAGCATTTTATATTCTATTTTATATAAAAATTTTGTAAAAAAATGAATAAAATTTTAAATATTAAAGGTATGCTATAGGAATATGCATACAACTTCCTTGGATAATATTGTTGTTTTTCATCGGATTTTTCATGACATTTAGAATTTAGAAAAATTTTAAGGTTGCTAATAGAGAAATTAAAAGGCTTTTGACAGTGAATGAAGGAAAGCTGTTAAACCAAATATAAGAGTCATGCAAAGGGCTAATAATCATAAGAGCGTTTAGTTAATAAAAGTAAATGTTATAAAATTACTTAGATTGTCTTTACAATTATTCTAAATCATATTTACTTTCGTAAGGACTTTAAGCTTGGATAATGATTAGATTGTTGATGATTAATAGTTTAATTTTGGGATTCATAGTTATAACAGCTATCTTTTTTATTTTCTTTTAATTGACAACTTATTTTTCTACTGTGTCTATGTGTTTAACTTATGCAATGACTATATCAGCAGTTTTCTGTGAATTAATTTTTTCTTTTTTCAACCTAGAATAAATTTTGGTTAGTGTAGAAAGACTTAGATAGTACTTTGATAATTATTAAGAATAACCTGAAATTAAGATTTGTGAATAAGACACATAACCAATTACTTAAAGTAGCATTAAAAAATCAAAATAAATAAAACATACTATCATAAATGATATACCAGCCTTTTATTCAGAAGATAACAGAGAAAATTATCATTTAATATTTGATAATGTTTTCCTTAGTTACGATAAGTAAGACTATCATTAAGTGTAAAAAAATGAAGTTTAAGTAGAATATCCTGTATCGTTTGCTTTAAAAGGGTTATCATTTAAGATCAAGAAAGGAGAAAAAGTGGCCTTCTATGGAAGAACTGGAAGCGGAAAAACTTCAGTATTAAACGCTTTGTTTAATTTATATTAAATTGAAAAAGGAAATATTTACATAGAAAATAGAAATATAAAGCTTTTGTCTATCAACGAACTCAGATCTAAACTATCAATTATTCCTCAGTTTGGTTTTGTTTATGAAGGAACTTTGTTAAATAACTTAGATCCACTAAACTAAATGTAAAAAGAAGATATACTGCAAATTTTAAATTAATCCTAATTGAATATAAAGGGCTGTCTTTAGGATACTCATTTTAATTCAAAATAAAATAATTTAAATGAAAATGAAGATAGTAATAACAACAATAACGTTAATTTAGACTTATAAATTTAATAATCTGGATAGAATTTATCAAATGGAGAAAAACAAATTATAAACTTTTTCAGAATTTTACTTTAAAAAGCTGATATTGTTTGTTTAGATGAAGCTACTTCTAATATGGATCCTCATGCTGATAAGCTTCTGCATAAACATCTGTTTGAGTTTAGTAAAAATAAAACTTTGATTGTGATAGCCCATCGTTTAGAAAATATCAAAAATTTTGATAGAGTTTTTGTTATGGATTCTGGAAATATAGTAGAGCAAGGTCATATTGACTAGTTAATTTAACATGAAAATGGGTTTTTTTCTCATTTAAAAGAGACTCTTTGATTCAAATATTTAATAAAAAATAAATAAACATTCCAAAACAAATAACATTTTTAAGGAAAAAAGTTAAAAAAATTTTAATAATTTTTATATTTTTATTTTCCAGTTTGTTTCAAACTAATATTTTAAAGACACTTTAATAAAATTTCTTAGTAAACAAATTAAAATCGAATATAAAAAATACATTTTTAATGTTTTTGTTCAGCTTTAAAAGATTAAAACAACATGAAATATAAAATTAATCGATATGATATAAATTGAAGAAATATTTTTTTTAATTAGAGCATAAATAACATTTGTATGAAATAAAATCAATTGTAAGTAATTTTCTTTTTCAAGTTTATATTTGAACATCTTTTTGCCATTTTATAGAGTTTGGTATCTGTTGTTTTTAATTTGTTTAAGTAAAATTAGTTTATTATCCTAAAATCATTTTCAGTTTCTTAATTTTGTTATAAATAAATTTTGTTCTGCTAAGCAACTTCAAAGTAGCTTTAGAGTCTTTTCCAATTTTTTTAAGTTCTAAAATACCTTTTTAATATTTTATTCAAACCTAAGATTGCTACAACTTTATACCAAAATTTTGATTTGCTTTACAAGAATATTAAGAATTTGATATAGTTCCTTTTTAAGTTGAAATTGAATAAAATAAACATATTGTAAAGCATAAATAAAACTAAAACAGCAATTATAGCAGTAACAATAGACTATGTATACTTTTGATCATATACTTATTATACAAAATTTAAGCTTAAACAAACTATAGTAATAGATTGAACTTTAAAATCTAGGACATTCATCTTTTTTTATCTATAAGGTTAACCTTTTTGTATAATAAATAATTATAAAATAAATTTAACAATAAAATAAAAAATGAATAATTTATTTTTGATATATATATTTAAATATAATAATAATAAATAAAAAAATTACAAAAGTAAACCAAGAAGCAGTAAATAAATGAAATTATGATAGATGCTATAATTTGAATTGAAGTAACATTGTAGGAATAATAAAATATTAGACCAAAGAAATTCTTATACAAGAGCTTAAGCAAATCCCAGAAATAATAATTAGTTCTGTATTCAGAAATGAAAAACCCAAAAGTAATTTAATTAAAGTAACTTTTAATGAAAAACCGCCTTCTATGAAGCATGATCAGTAAAATAGATGATGGCAATATTAAAGCTAAATTAAAAAAAACTACTAGCAGAATTTTTTAAAAGTTTTATTGCTCTTAATTGCAATATAATGATAAGAAATCTGTAACAAAATAAATATTATCAAAGACTTAGCATCTTACCTGTTTTTAAAAAAAAGATAGTTTAATTTTTAAAATTATTTTCATTCAGTTTTATATTCTTTTATATTCCAAATTAAGAATTTTTTTTTTGAAATTTAATAAATTTAAAATTTAAATTTTATCAAAAATAAATAATTAAAAATAATTATATTAAAACAAACTTAGAAAAATGGTGATTTTTAAAGCTTTAGTAAATAAGAATATGAGGTATTTTAAGTCAAAAAAAATTAACTGAATTATAAATAAAAATTTACTGATTTGTAGACTTTTAATAAAATGGCATTCTGAGAACAGTAGATATTAATGAGAGAAAAAATAATCATCTAATATTTCCAATATCTATATTTTTTGTAATTCTTTAGGTAAAGGCAATATAAAATATAGCAAAGCACTAAAACTATCCAAGTAATTATCATCAAATTTATACTCCCGAAAATAATACTTGTCTCTTATTAAGATATTTAATGCTGCAAGCATTCCAATATTCTGTATTAGGATATTGAAGCTTTGCTAATATCAATGAATATCTGTTATATTATGCTTATGAAATTTCTATTTTAGCTCATTATTATTCCTATCATAAAAGACTAAAATAGAAAATATTTGATTATACTTATGAAAATGTATTCATCATGATAGGAGGGTTATTGAAAGAGCAAAAATATCACTTTTAATAATAATCTAGATTATATTTATTTTAAAGTTTGCTTAGTCATAAATATTAAAATTAAATATCCTAATGATATCATAAATATTGGATAAATCATCTCCATGAATAATGCTTAACTACACCTTTTTTTAAAAGTTGAAGAGAAGTATTAAAAATATTTTAAATTTAAATTAATAATTTTTACTTTTAACATTTTTAGTTTAAATTCATGTAGTATGGTTCTCCCCAATACAATCCAATCCTATCGCAGTCTTCGCAGAGAGCGCCAATGTGTCCTTTTTTATTTGTGATTTGATTGAATACTAAAATATTTTTTAAATTTAATAAACATACCTTCTTTGCAATAATAATTTTAATCAGTTAATAAAACATTAGATTTTTAAAGTGAATCAGACTTAGAATAAAGTTTATAATCTCCAACGCAATTTTTACATTTATACAAAACTGAAGAATTTTGATTAGCTCGCCAATATTAAGGAGACAATAGTATCTAGTCACCTTAACATAAAACTTCTTAATTTGGACATGGATAGCAAGCGTTAGAACCATCTAAATTGTATGAGTCTATGCATTTGTTACATTTATAAAATTCATTTTGGACTTGATTAGGAGTTGAGCCTCTAAGGCAACTCTAACCCATTTGAACATAAATCAAAAATGAATATGCTAAACTATATCCTATAACTTACTCTTAACTATTGAATTCGGTAGTTTAAATCAAATCAGAGGTTATTTCCAAAACAATTAACTCATTAAAGATAGAAAAAAGTTCAATTTATTGAGTTAAATTAAATACTCCGTTTTATTGCTTAATTTTATTATTAGTTAATATACCTTTACCACTAATTATTTTAACATTCAGAGTAGCATTATTTTACAAAGCGGTAAGTTCTTCATTTTCATCATTTGAAAGTTTAAAAGCTATGTTCTCCTAGTTAATTTAATTTAATTTTATTGAATTAATTATTTTGTTTTTAAAAGTAAAATAAAGTTTTTATAAAAATTTACTTATAAATGACCTCCTTAATGATTTTTAATTCTATATTCAGGTTAATTTAGCTTCAATAAAGTTTTATTTAGATAGAGATTCAGCTTTGTTGGAAAATTTTTGATATTTTATCCATAATAAAGAGCTTTATTTAAAATAAAAGTATTATTTGAGTATTTATTAACACTTTAGCATGTCTGTGAAGCTATTGCTCCTCCATACTAAGATTGATTCTCCGCGAAAATATTTTTAGTCAACTCTATTTGATTTATTAAAATTAATTTTTGGTCATTCTCCAAGTAAATAGCCCCTCCAGATATTGAAGCAATATTTTTATAAAAAACAGATTAGTTTATTTACAAAGAAGAGCTCTTTAAAAAAATTGCTCCTCCATTAATTAAGCCTTCATTATTTTTAAAATAAGAGTTTTAGATTTGAAATTTATTTTATTTGTCTTTCTATGAATTAGTTTAAGTTTAAGAAAGATAAAGGCTTGATCCATGCAATGCTATATTATTTTGAAAAGATGAATTTTCAATAAGTATTTCTTATGCAATAATTTAAATTATTCCTTGTTAACATGATCTGCAGACATTATAGCTAGAATTTAGTTAATAAATTGTACAAATTTAGCTATTTAAATAAAAGATATTCTATATCTGATTTATTGGAGAAGATAAATCTACTTTATTTATGATATTTTAATTGTTAGATACAGTTGCATTGTAAATATTTATAATTTAGACTTGTGTAATATTAACAAGATTATTTAAAAAAGTATTTTTTTAGTAAATGTTATTCATTTCTTGATATCTATAAGCATTTTCTATGAAAAGCATCTTTTAAAAAATTTGATTCTTAATTTAACTTTAATCTATTTGAGAAATATTTTCACAAAATATTTAGAATGAGGAATTTTCTATATCAACTTCATACACTTCCTAAATAGAAAATAAATAGTTATTGGTTCTATATAATTTTTATATCAGATTATCGATATGAGAGGTAATTTCATATTATTTAGTTAAAGTTTCAATTTTATTTTTAGAAACTATGTTTTTAAACAATACTGCTGCTTTTGTAATTGCTTAGCTCTCAAAATTTAAATTACCACCTTATAGAGAAAAATTATCAATAAATTCGCTTTTTTCAATAATTAAAACAATTCTAGGAGAGGCACTACTTTTTATTTGCAGAGCTCCTCCTTTAAAAACAGCAAAATTTGTGGAAAATATTGTTTGGCTAATAAAAATATCTTAAGACCATGATAACAGTCCATCTATAAAAAGTGCTCCTCCTTAGGTTTCAAAATCGTTTAAATGAAAAGCCATATTGTTGCTAAATGTACAATTAAACATGTATAAATTGCCTTTATTCTAAGATATCCAATAAATAGCTCCTCCATTAATTGCTAACCCTCCAATAAAATAAGATTGCTTCATAATAATAATTTCACTAATTATTTAAATAAATCCTCCATTTTTTGAGGTTTTTGTATTTAGATAGCTTTATTAGCTTATCAAATCCTGGTTTTCAAACTGACAAGACAAAAAACTAATTTATTTTACAGCACCTGAAATCCAGTTAAAAGGACTGTTAGTGTCTAAGTAAAGAAATTTTGAATTTTTAAATGCTACACTCACAGTTGGAGCTTAAAAGTAAAAACCAAAAGAGACCTACCCTAATGATATCTTAAATAATTAATTTTTAATTATAAATTCAAATAAATAAAACGAATATTTAAAATATAATTAATACTTTATTTAAATCGGATATGTATTTGCTATTAGAAAGAACAACATTTTAAATATCAACTAAAATATCTTATTTTGAGTTTATTGATACAGGAGAAGCATTTTACATATTAGAGTTATAAATAAGATTCACATTTTCACCTACAAATCCGTTTAAAAATATCCCTTTAGGGTATTTATTATTAATGTATAGTTTTATGTTATCTTAGATTATTAAAGCATTTTAAATTACTATTAAATTGTTTTAAATGTTAATATTTGATAATTTTACATTATTAATATTTATATAATTTGTTATTTCTTGAAGTTAGCATATTTGAGGAGTGTTTTATTAGTTTTTTGTTTAGGTTTACTAAATGTTAGAAATTAATATGTTTTCACTACTTTTTACTTTAATAAATACAAATTGAATATTATCAACCATTGAAACATCAGTCAATTAAACTGTGTTAATATTTTCAATTTAGACTATAGCTTGGATTGTATCAGACAAAAATGTATTTCCTGTTAAATTTATGTCACTTATTGAAATAGATTATTAGCTATTTTATTGGAATGTATTATAATTATATAACAAGGAGTTTTAGGAGTTTATTAAATTATTTTAAATTTTAAATTTCTATAATCTTGAAGACTAAACTAACTCAGAATTTGATTAGCTAACTTACTGCTAAAAAATTATATAGTTGATAATACTAGTTTCAATAATCTAAAATCCATTTATATCAAAGATGTTTGAAATTATCAGTGGACAGGCCTAAAACTGTGACTATTGTAAAGTACTTTAAACTATGACAAAGTTATTTATTTATAAAGCTGTTAGAAAGTTAGAATTGAGAATCTAAGACTCAAATTATAAAATGCTTTAATCAAAAGTAAATTAATTAAATTAAATATTAATTTACTAATTTTTTTAAAAATTTTGCTTTAAATCAAATAAAATAGTTTTTTAAGTTAATCTTGATTTTAAAAATGTAAAATTTTAAACTAAAATTGTGACATCATTCATATTTATAGAGACTAATGAAGCTCCATCAAATTCAACCTTATTATTTAAATAAAAATATAAAAAACATTAATCATCAATTCATCTTGTATTCTCTTATATTTTATGACAATTATACCAAATTTAAAAAAAAATAATTTTTATTTAATAAATAGATAGTTTAAGTGAACATTTTTCAAAAATTTTGTCTAATAAAAGAGAAATTACATGATAAAAAAAAGTTAAAATAAGAAAAAAATTAAAAATCTATTTTGTTAATTTTAAAGAATAACTTAATTAATTACATTATTGAATTATATTTGATTCATAGTTAGATTTAATTGAGAATTTTAGAATACATTTTAGATTTGAAGAAGCTAATTTTTTTTGGCAATTTAAACGTTTGAGAATTCAACTTTTTGTAGTAAAACATTAGCTTTTTGCAAAGTCGAAATATTTAATTATAATATTTATTGAGTGCTCAAATAACTCTAATAAAATTTGCATCCAATTATTTAAAATTCTGTCAAGTTTTAATCTACTATAATTAACCCAAAGGAATTATCTTAATATTTTGGCTGAAAAGTTATATTTTAGAAATAAACTTCATTAAACCCAGATATTTGTAAAGAATTTAGTTATTAAAAAACTATGTTTTATCCTTGTGAAGAAATAGAGCTTATGCTAATGGTAGCAAATTACAGAGACCTGATAAGATTTTTTAAGTTAGATGAAATGGTTTGAGTCTTATACTCTGTGCATAAATCCCCAAGGAAAATCAATTATAAATCTAATTACTTAACTTACAACTCATTATAGAAGATTATTGCTTCATCGAAATTTATCTCATTTAAAATCAGCTAGTCAATATTTGCTTCATTTAATCTATTGTAATTGATAGGATTCAAACGAGTTCCATCACCTAATCTACTATTTATATCTAAACATTAGACATATATGCTCTACTGTTTTCTGTAAAAGCACCCTTAGTCTTCCTTTTGGCAAAGATAGCACTTTCTTCTGTCTTTATCATAAGTAATTTAATAATTATTAAGAACATAGCTAGAGGGCAAATTATTCCTGCAAGAAAAACATTCAGCATCATATAAATATAGAGGGTTTTGAGTTACATCTTTATTTTAGATGCAAGTTTCACACCTATTTTAAACATTAATTTCTTAAAAAAATATATTGAATAAAAAAAATATACATTATTGGACATATTTAGCAGTCATCACCATCTTAAGTGAACGAGATCATACTTTAAAAATTAGGAATATAACTTTTTTTGAAGTACAGCATACCAACAAAGAATTGATTAATTAAAGTTGATAGTGAATCGTAATTACATTTAATGCATTGAGGTTTATTATTTATCAATACACATTATAAGCAATACTATCCACATTTTATTTTATTACATCGCTTATATTGCTAATCAAAATAATATCCTTCTTGGCATTCAGTGCAAAATAATTAGTAGTTATTTATTGTGCTATTGTAATTAATTCTTTCTTAAATATTAAAAGGAGTTCTTTTGTAAACAAGCTATGAAGTAAAATTAAATGTTCTGGTTCCTATTTTTAAATAATTTCATTAAATTTTAATCGATAAAGAATACGCCATCTGATTTATTAATTCTATAATAAATAAACTGTAAGCAACGAGCATAAATTATGCTCAAAATAAACAAAATTTTTTAGAAAATTAATTTTTATTTAAAATACTGTAAATGCTCATTAATTAAGGCATTCCCTAAGTATCTTTTTTGCCCAAAAAAAAGTGCCTAAGTAAATAAGGTAATTTTTTAGGTTTTGAATTAGGAGGGTTCTTAATATATGAGTATTTACAGTTATAAAAAAACTTGGCATTAATTAAATAATGAAAAAGTAAATTTAACCTCAAGTATGCTTTATCACTGAAAAAGAAATTGTTTGTATATAGTTTTAAATATAAAATTAATTGCAATCAAGTAACTTTAAATAATTAAATTTAATTTTGAAAAGTAAAATATAATAAAAATAAAGAAATTAATTTGAGAATTAATAAGATATTATTTTTTACCTTCATAACATTTAGAGCAGCCTTAAGGGCATTTAAGACACCCATTTATTGAAGGGATACTAAATTAATCATTACATTTAGTGCATTGATACACATTTTATTTTGATTAAGAGTCAAAATATTAATAACATTCTGAGCATCCAAAAATCTTTTATTAAATTATTAAAAATTATAATGGATGAAATAGAATGAATGAAGTTTACATTATTTTAGCATTTATCCTATTTGCATTAAAACCTCTGAATATCTAAAACAGAGCTTGCACTACAAAACTGACATATAATATTTGAAGAAAGATCTGATGTACAAACTGAACAATCTTTTGAATTAGTTGAGCAACCTAAAAAGCATGAAGATTAATCTGTTTACATGTAATAATTTATACTACATTACTTGCAAATTTATATAGACCCACTGTAGGCACTACCTAAATTATAAGTCCATAAATTTTCAGTTAAGTCAAACTGCTTTTACCCATATGAAACCAATAAGCTATTATAATCGCAATTTTATATATTTTCTACACAAGATAATCCTTTTTATTTTAAAATATATTAAATATGTCAAATATAATATCATTTATTTATTTCAAACTAAATCAATAAAATTACCATCATAAAATAAAGAAAAACCATCTTTGCATTTTATGCACTTTTTAATATAATTGCCTAAAGCAAATTCATTTTAAGTGACTATTGTTAGTTTCTATGTGTAAAAATTGAGTACTTCATCTTAGTTTTCTTTTATTTTGAAAGGTTTGATTATTTTTAATTATTTTTATTTCTTTCTTACCATATTAGCATTCATCACAGTTGGCCTCACATTTCTAGCAAGATAAAAGATCATATGAGACAATGAATTTGTCTTTGCATCGGATGCAAATTAAAATAAAATTAAAATATTGTAACTAGCTTGAATCATAATTGATTTGATCTTTAAATTATGCAAAGCCAGAAATAAATGTTGCATACTAGCAATTTTCACAGTTACTAGGGCACTTTTCGCATACTCCATCATTTAAAACATATCCTTTTTAGCATTTAATACAACTTACAGAGCTTGATGAAGCTTGTACACAGGATTAGCATGAATTTTAACCTATTAATAAATATAAATTGAATTATAATATTTGAAAAAAAAATATTTTACATAAATTTATTTAGTTATTTGTCAGCTGATATGAACCAGAGATTGATTATACTAAAAAGTTTGTAGCCTCTAAGTCTCCTTGGAGGATTTAAACATTAGAATCAAAATATACAATATAATTTTTGCAAGTTTTATAACTATTAGAAGGTTGATTCCTATATTAAAAAATAATTAATCTAAAAGAAAATATTTCTTTTAAATTAGAAATAAATAATTATTTGTGTTTTGATTGTTCTTATTTTAGTTTAATGAAGGAAATATGTTATATTTTTGTTAAATTATTGATAAGTTATGTAAATTATTTATTTTTTTTAGAAATAAAGATTTACCATAATTCGCTCTCAGCTGAGCAGTCTAAGCAAGTATAGGTTGGAGTTTATAAGTAGAACTATTAAACTTCAGTATATTAATATATATCTGATCTGCATTAAATGCAAATTTATTTAACAGAAGAAGCTTAATACAAAAAGTAGCCTTAAATGCATTGAGTACAAAAAGATGGAGAAGTACAAGAAAAACAACTAATTTTTAAATATTCAGCTAAAATCGATTACAAAAATTTGTTTAATTTACCCTTTTGGACACTTTTTTGATGGGTCATGTAAACAGAATTGCTAATCATAGCAGTCTTATTTGATATATTGCAATTTCATATCAAAAAAAAGCTAATAATCTTAAGACTAATAGTGAGATTTTTCTTCAAGACTGTAACATACATCATTACCTGGATTGATGTAGTATTGAGGGCATAGAAGACAATTTCTGTTATTTTAAGAAATCTTTTAGCAAAAGCCTTAGTTATTTGTGCAAAGCATATCCCCATTTGAGTCAGGAAAATCCATACTTTAAAGAACACATTTATTATTGAAATTTTTAAGCTATGTTATACAAGAATTACCCACAATTAACCTTAGTAAACTGTTAGAATTTATGCATGCTCCACTATTTTAAATATCACAATAATTTTATGGACAAATTAAGCAAGTTCCTTTATTTAGATCAGCACAAACGCCTTTTTGAAAGTCAAAGAATAATGTTTTAATATTAAGTAATTTGAATTAAAAATTATCTTAATTTTTAATGGTATGTATGAATTAAATTTTTAATAAATATTTTAGTTGCTTTTGGGTAATTAAGTTTAAATTTAAATTTTTAAATTAAGTAAGTTAGTACCTTAATAGTCAGTACAATAAATAGCATAAGGTTGAATAAGATCTTAGCATTTTTTTTCGGTTATTGATGACAAGCATTAATCAATATGACACCTGAAGCATGAACCATTAAATGCACACATTCCATTTTGATCCACGCACATGCCTTTAGACAAATCAATAAGTTAACAAACTAGTGTTAAAGGATTGATGCAGAACTATTGCTAAGCACACATAATCTTATTTTTTAATTAGTGTTAAGAAATTAAATCTATCAGTTAAATAAATAAAATTACTGCTATTGGTTAATTCTGCTTAATACACAGCTAAGTATCCTTTTGAATTCCTTTATTAATAAGATATAAATTTCTTTATTTGCCTTGAAATAATTAATTACCTATTAAATTTGGGTTTTCAAAATCTAACTTAACACAATAAGCTAATCCGTTTGAGTTTATTTATAGACAGTATCTGTTTTTAAACAAAATCATATTTTAATAAAGCATTTAATATTAAATTATACATAAATTTATAAAAAAATAAATAATTCTATTTTAAATTCATAATATTGGTAAAATAGCTAAATTAACTATCAAAATGCTTCATATTAATTACTCTAAATCCTCAGATATAAAGGTAACCACTCTATAAAATTTTACCCTTACTTTGTCAGTTTTAATTGATAAAAAAAATCAAATTTTTTGCTAAGGGATAACAAAATGAATTGAATTAAAGACAATTTTTAGCATTAATTAAGTAATTTTTTTATTTTTTTGAAAATTAGTCCTAAATATAAAATATATTAGAGAATTTAGAGTAATAGTTTTATTTATCAATTATATTTTTTTATTTAAGAATAAAATATTTTTAAATTAAATTTTAGGATTTAATAACTTAAGATATAAAGGCAACCTCCCTAAAAAATTTTACCCTTACTTTGTCAGTTTTAATTGAAAAAAATATTCAAATTATTATGTTTCGAGGTAATAAAATGAATATAATTAAAGATAATATTCATTCCATTTTGAGCCTTAATTTAGAAATTTTTAGTTTTTTTGAAAAATACTAAAATCAAAATGTCTTAGAGAATTTAGAATAATTATTTTTATCAATTGTATTTTTTTATTTCAGAGTAAAAAATAAAATGTTTTTTAGTAAAAAAGAATTAAACTTAAAGTTAAATTTTAGGAGTCAATGTTAAATTCATTCTACTAAAATTTTAAGAAATTTTTCTATAAAATAATTTTTATAATTCATTTTTGTTAATTCTAAAATAATTAATTAAATTTTAAAGAAAATTAAATATCAAATAAGTTTGAATAAAACAAATATTTGTGAAAGCAGTTTTTAAATGTAAAAATAATAATTAATGAGCTGTTATAGTTTTTTTAAATAAATTGAAAATAATTTTTAGAAATACCCTTTGGTATAGCAGTTAGATGCTCCATATTTACCATAGTTTTATTTTGGAAGACATAAATGGGTGTCTTTTTCTTTGCCAGGATTTTAATCAGACAAAGGTATACATTCTCCCATCGATATACAGAATTGCTATTAGCATTTACTTGCTAGAATTATGCTTTATGGTAAACACTATTAATTGCTTGAATCTCTGCCAATTTTATTTAAATCAGTAGGAGAGCTCATTGCTTCACATTTATTATTGTTGTCTGTATTGATACAAAACATGCCATCCATACAACCGATGCTATTAGCTAATTATTACATTTTAATATATTTTATTAATTTAAAAAAAATACGCATATTTAAATCTTAGCAATATTAGTTAGAATTTTTGGATCTATAAATTAAATTAGGGAAGTTTGGATCAAAATCTTATAGTGTCTGACATTTTTATAATCCTCCTCTATGATAATTATTTAAATGAAATAATTAATTATAATTTACTTTTATAAAAATCTATAAATATTATTTTATTTTTAATTGTTAATTACCCAATTTAAAGTATGCAAAGTGACAATCCAAAGCAAGAAGCTATTTCTGTGTTAAAAAATCTTAATAAGAAGAAAAACAAAAAATATAATTACAATGTGAAGTTATCTAATCTTAGTTAAGACATTGTTAGTAGATATCAACACCAGTTACTAAATTTCCTTAGACCATATTTCCCATAATAATACAGTAATTCATACTTGTATTTATATTAGTATAAATACATGTACCTGTAACGCAAGTTTCTATTTGATCACCTTATCCTAATGGGTCTAAGTAAGGCAAGCAAAAACCCGTTATTGATTATCTAGCATATCGATTTAGTTTTTTTTCTGTAGTAAGAGATTTGCAAGCATTCCCATTTTAATCATCAAGACAAAACTATCCAGAAATACACCTTGAATAGTTTAGATATTTTAATTATCAAAATATAATTTTAGTAAAATTACCAGACAGCATTTGGTTAGTCTTGCTAAACGCAGTAACCATTCTAATCTATCCCAACTGTTTAAACATTGATATCAAAAGGAAAGCAGCCTTCTTAAGAATATGGATTATTTGGATTTTATTTTTTCTTACAATATTATTTATTGCATTTAACAATACCTTTTTAAAATTGATTTTATTGAAAATTAAAATAATTCCAAATAAAATCAAATTTACTTGAGTAAAAAAGACCACTAATTGCACATTAACGATTGAAAGCTATGCCCTAAAATTTTTAGAATATATTTGAGAATAAAAAATAAGAAAAAGTAATAAAAATTACAGATATATTTTGATTGTCATCTAAAAATTAGCAAATCCCTTAAAAAGAGTCATAACAGATATTATCATCGATAGGACAAAATATGCCTTTTAATAATCTGTTAGTCCTTTTTATTTTTTAATCCTTACAAAGAAAATATCTATTTGATATTTCTTAGGTAATTCCTCTAATTATTACACTTTTTTTGCTTTAGCAATATCCTTATTTTATATGTAAAATACCTGATTTAAAAACAAAAAAAATTAAATTCTTATTTTGTTAGTTAAATAAATTTACTTTATGGGATACCTTCAAGAGAAATTTGCTCATTTAAACCTATACATTCATTATTTGCTTCTTGTATGGCAACAAATTGTTAGGTTTGATCTACATTTACACACATTCTTCTATTTCTTGTTATACAAACATTTTTATTTTTACCAAAACAGTATTCTATTTCATTAAAAAACTATGAATCCTAAACGCAAAATCCTTTTAATCTTTCTTTACCAATATATTTTTCCCCATCTATTTCTTTACAAATATTTTCAAAGATGTCATAGCACTAATTTTTTTCTGGGCAAAAACACCTTGATATCAGCATAAGATTCTAACAAAAAATGAAAAATAGATAAAATTTTTTCATTATTTATGTATGTGTGACTGTTAATTGTTATGACTTTAAATTTACAAAATTTTATCCTTATTTATGGTTTTTTTAGAAATTATTAATTAATACAAAAAGAAATAAATTAAATAAGCAAATTTGAATAAAATTTCTTGTTATTCTAGTCAGGATAATTCATATCTACTAATGAATATAATATTTAGATATTATTTAACATAACTCATATATACATCAAAGAAAAAGTTAAAAATTCTTTAAACTAATTGATTAAACGTAAAAATTTTATTTAGCAGCAATAAAAGTGAATTTTTAAAAATACAGACAAATAATCGTAGCAATAATCATATTAAATTTTCAAAGCTAGAAAAAATTTTTAATACTATAATAATTTCTTTTATAAATGAGAATAAATGCTTTATTTTAGTTGTTTATGTTTTTAATTAATTTCTGAGAATAGATAATTTTATTTTTTAATTTACTTTATTTAATATTGAACTATTATTTATTATAAAAGTGTAATTAGAAAATTTTTAAAAAAATATATATTTGATTTTTTTTAATATATGTTTGTTGAGGAAATATTTAAAGAACTGAATTCTATTGTTATTGATTTTTTATGTAAAGATTATGCTAAATTATTTAGATTTAACAGATATAAATATGGATATTATTAGTAGGAAATATTTTAGTTTACAAATATTATTTAAATATAGCTTGCCATTTAGTGATTAGGCAACTAATTATTGATCAGAAATTATAATAATTGATTATTTATCTTACTAATTAATAATAATTCTTATTAAAAAATGTTTATCATTTCACCCAAAATTATTTAATATTTATTTTGAACTTTTAAAAAATCTATGCGCTTTTGATTAATTAAATGTAAAAAAAAGTGCTGATCTAATCTTTTCTTAATATATTTTTGTTGAGGGAGGAAATATTTAAAGAACTGAATTCTATTGTTATTGATTTTTTATGTAAAGATTATGCTAAATTATTTAGATTTAACAGATATAAATATGGATATTATTCGTAGGAAATATTTTAGTTTACAAATATTATTTAAATATAGCTTGCCATTTAGTGATTAGGGAGCAACTAATCATTGATCAGAAATTTAAATAATCGATTATTTATCTTACTAATTAATATTAATTCTTCCTAAAAAATGTTTATCATTTCACCCAAAATTATTTAATATTTGTTTTGAACTTTTAAAAAATCTATGCGCTTTAGATTAATTAAATGTAAAAAAAAGTGCTGATCTAATGTATATTTATGTAACACTTTAAGTTATCAATATTTGATAGATTTCCCAACTTACTCTTGAATAAAAAATTTCAGAAGTACTTTTAAATTATTTGTAGATTTTTGAGATTTTGTTCGGATTTTTAATAGGAGAAATTATGGTATGGTAAATTGATTAATTTTATTTTATCCTATTAAAATCTGAGTATTTAAAATTTCATTACTTTATCTTACATGTATATATCCAAAAAATAATTAGCATTCATCTTTAGAATCTAATCAAATTAACTTTTTTCTAAAAATAATAATACAAAAATGACCTTCTTAGTTACATATTAACATTTAAATAGATTGATTGACAGTGAAATATTATTATAATGAAAACCAATTATACTTTTGAATTAAACATTTTCTAAAAATTAAAATAAATTTTTTTTCATTATCATTTAAGAGATTAAATTAAAAATTATATAAAATTTGTTACAAAATAAAATGGAAATAAAAAATTTATAATATATTTATAAAGTTTAGAATGTATTAATTATATATCAACTAAAACTTGGTCTAAATGTACTACAACTCATATTATCATATTGCATGCTAGGTACTTCTTTGTTGTCGCTATTTTCTTAAATTCTGCTATTTATTTAGATTTTTTACAATTCTTTTTCAATACAAGTAAGGTTAGAAGATTTTTAATTTAAATTCATTTAAGAGTTAATAAAATGTGATTTTTTCTATTAAATATTCTCATCATTTTTTACACAAATTTTATGGTTTTGTAATTGATTAAACACTTCTTTGACAAATCCATTTTTATTTTTTCTAGATCTTTTTTTTCTAATAGTCTCAATTGTATCAATTGAATCTTATAATTTAAAATTTTCATTGCTGAAAATATTCTTAGTATTAGATTCATAGTTAGATTTAGCAGAGTTAATTTAAGGATGAATTTTATTGATGTTTTTACTTTATTTTATTTTTTAAATAAATTTTTTTAATATGGTATAAACCTCTTTTATACAACTAATAAAATCAGACAAGATTATTATGCTAAAGAATGAAATTATAATCCAACCTAGCATCGTTAGATAATCTTTTTGATCTTATTCTTTTAAGTCATCACTTTATTGTATCATTATTGCATAAGATATTGAAGATGCAAGAAAGAAAGTTACTTATAAAATTTCTTTGTAATTATAAAACTTTTATTTGTAAGGCTTCACACAAAATAAAATTATTAAAGAGCAAAAATGTAATCCAATTTGTAGTCCTATTTAAGCATTTATACTAATTTGTAATCCTCCGGCTATTATCACATAAAGGAATTTTCTGAAATAAAGAAATATTTTATAGAAGCTATTTCTGAGATGTTCGCCCATTGCTTACTCTAGAATGGGGTAATTTTTATATTTTAGAGGATAAATTAGTGCAAAAGGGAAGAAGCAGAAAATAAAAGATAATCCAAATATAAAGTAATTTAGATATTCTTCAACATATTCAGGTTATTATACAGTGAACAACTGTAAAATAGTAGAGAATCCTATATCTTAGTAGACACTCCAAAGTAAATCTAAAATTACAAAAGGTGTAACAAGGTTATTTTTAATAAGGGCGAGATATCTGCCTACGTACTTTGTGTCTTTGAATTTCAATGCTAAGAGATGTAAAATGAGCATAAGAGACAGCAGAGTTATCAATAAAGAAAGAGAATCACCTAATATTATATTTAACTAAGGTTATAATATGCAAGTATTAAAAAAATATTCTTTTATAACTTACCTAGATTACTAAGAAGGAATCCTTGATATTCATTTTCTTCAAATATCTCATCAGATTAATAATGTATTTTTTTGTAGTTAGGCAATGTTGAGAAATAATTGAAGAATGGTATTTCAAAACTCTTTTAAGATTCCAAGAATTGTCTTAATTCTGAAGATATTCTACATCATTTTTTAGTTTAACAAAATTTTAGTTAGATTTATCTTTGAGTAATGTCAAACAAAAAAACAAACATTTCAGTTTAAGAAAATTAATTAAAAGTATAAATTTAATTTAAATATTTAATAAGGAAATTTTACTTTGTATTAATGAATAAGTTCAAATAAATAAGTTAACAGATGTCTAAAAGAGAAGAAATAATCCAAAATGAACCAGTAATTGTTAGTGGTATCATGGAAATGAATGTTATAGTTGAAGCAGCTTTGCTTGCATCGCTTAGCTATTAAGAAATATGAGTATCGACTGGCTTATCATCTTCTTTTTTATATAAGTGAACAAGAATTGGATTTTTCTGATAAGCAAAGTTAAAATTATTTAAAAGCTAGTTATCCATAAAAACTGTAACATTTTAACTAACATCTATTTGGTTAATTGGAAATATGCTGATTGAAATTTATTAGTTATTTATTAATGAAGAATTGTAAGTAAATTAGTTTTGAGAGAGATTATTTATGTTTATTAATATTTTATTTTATAACTCTAAAATTTATTAGACTTAAGCACTAAGTGATATTTAAATAGAGTTCTTATCTTGAGAATCAAGACTTATTAATAGGTTTTGCTTAATTATTTAAATACACTCGTTATTACTATTAGCACTATAATTTTAAGGACATTATTAAACGCAAGAATTATTTCCTAGTAAATAATAATTAGATGCGCATTTAGAACAAGTATTAAATGATGAAGGACAAGATAAGCAATTCTATACTAGACATTTTTCACATTAATTAGTGGATGGGTTCAAATTATATGATTAAGGACAAATAGGAACACAAATGTTTGAGCTTGATAGTTCGAATCCAACTTCGCATTTTTAGCAAGTAAATATTTGAGTATTCTAATTGTAACTGCATTAGTTACAATTTATTTATGTGCTTTAACAACTTTTGCAAGTCTTATTTGAGATATCAGAAATGAAAAATTCATTACCGCATTAATTTACACATATTCCTTACTACAAGAAAGTATTGTTTCCACATTATGTACAACTAGCTTATCCGCTATCCGTGCAACTTAAACAGTTTGTTTAATCAAAACAGGTCCCACATTACGTAGGAGAAATGTAGTATTATTTCTTTGGACAAACTCTTAAGCATTATCCTTAATCATTTAATTAATAATTTTGCATACACTGTTAGCAAATTTAGTTTGAATTACATTACTAACACCCATCTATACATTTAGAACAAGAATTTTAACCAATCTATTAATAATACCCCAATGCACAAGAGCAAGTTTAGTCATTATTCCTATTAAGAGCTTAATAATTAGGACATGAGCTACAAATCATTTAAGAATTAGAAATTGAGCAATTTTGACAATAAGATGGACAAGCTATGCATTTACCTTCACTATTTTTCATGTAATTTGGCATACATTGTTAGCAAATTTAGCTAGAATTACATTATTAGCATCCGTCTATACATTTAGAACAAGAAACTTAATCACTCTATTAGTAATATCCTGAAGCACAGGAGCAAGTTTAATCATTATTCCTATTAAAAGTCTAATAATTTGGACATGAGCTACAAATCATTTAAGAATTATTAATTGAGCAGTTTTGACAATAAGACGGACATGGCATACATTAACCCTAGCCATTTAGAAAATAATTTGGCATACATAGCTAACATGATAAGTTAGAATTACATTATTAACACCCATCTATGCACTTAGAGCAAAAAGCTTAACCGTTTTACTGGTAATATCCTGAAGCGCAAGAACAGGTTTAATCATTATTTCTATTAAGACTTTAGTAATTTGGGCATGAGGCACAAATCATCTAAGAGTTTTAAATAGAACAATTTTGACAATAAGAAGGGCAAGCTATGCACTAGCCATTAGAATTTTAAGAATAAAAATTATTTTAGCAAACACATAAATTTGTAGAAGAACTCAATGCCTTATTTTAACTTTAATCGCAGCTACTACAGCTTCCTTATTAAGTACAAGTTTTGCAAGAAGAATCACAAAAAACGCATTTTTGCTACGAAGTTGAATAAAAAGAACCAGTGTTACATTGTTTCTAATCTAAAACTTTAATAATTTGATTCATTATTTAAAATATATTTAAATGATTAAATAAATAAGCTACGATAAATCTGGTTGTTTAATGTTAGACAAAGTATTTTATCCTGATCCTATTAATTATTTTAAAAAAATTATTTTAGAATAAGATAAAATAAATTTATAAAATACAGGAAGGTAATATCCACTTTATATTAGATCTGAAGGAGAATTCAAGTTAAAAGTGTAAGCCTGCTAATTGTTGGTAAACGCTTAATCGTATGCTTAAAATTTTTAGTGAAATAAAATTATTTTTACATTTACTTTTTAAAATAAATAATATTACCAATTATCTATTTCTGTTGAATAAATACATTTTTGCTATTTATTTGGGCAATCATTACAGAACTATTCTATACTACTTTCTATTACAATAGCGTAAAACCAAGATGACCATTATATTCAATTAATTACTACATAATTTCATTATCATTTATGGTTTCAATAATAAATTGACTATTTTGAGCCTGTTTTCAAATGAAAGGATATATTAAAATAAGAAAGTGTAAAATTAATAAAAATATTTACAGAGTATTAGGTAATAAGCGCTTAAGTGTATGTTGATAAATAAATAGGAATTGATGGTAGATTATTTAATGGATTATACTAGCCCACTAAAATAAATATTCAATAAAAAATTAATTTTATGCTTAAATGAAATAATATTATTACACAAAAATTAATCGTTGCATGAAATAAAAGTATTATCTCCATTCTAACTCTTTATTAAATTAAATAATGTAAGAAATTAAAATAATTAGTGAGAAAAGATACTCCAGTATCAAATATTCCTTTATTAAGTGTTTAGCATTTTGAGATTGTCTTGTAAATTTGATAATTCTAGTAAACTGTAAATTAAAAAATATGTGATTAAATTTACTTAAATCATAGGTTTTTAAATTTAATAAAATACCCTAATAATACCCATTTAGTACTTAAAAAGAATTTTAAACATTAATTGGTTAACCAACTCCTACTGCAAACTATAAAAGATATTTTTGAAAAATTAATTATTAATTCTTAGATTAATTAATTAATATGAGTTCATTTAATTACCTTATTTTAGGAGAGGTATTCAATATCAAAAATAGCATAATTGCTTTTACCAAATGTATAAGGAGAAGGTAATTATTATGATTTTTCGAGCTGATAGCTTGGATTGAGCTTATAAGCTGTTATTTAATAGGTCAAAATTATTTAAGCATTTTAAAGAAAAATAAATATAAATAAGGCTACTATAAAAGTTGTATGATGAGTCTAAATGGGCTATTTCGTTGTCCTTGGTTTATTTATTTAATAGTTAAGTTTTAAACATAAAACTAAAAATTTAAATGTAAAATACTCCAATATATCCGATATAAACACAATTTGTAGCTTGTGTTTGAATCAAGTTGCCGTTTAAGTCATATACTGTGATTTTATATTAATATGTTTCATTTAAATTATTGCTCAAGTAAGAAAAAGTTAATATATACCTGATAAGGAAGAAGGTTAATTGTTTGATTATTTTGAGCATAACGCAAAAAAGTTTTAATTAATAAAACAAGCACTCAATTTGATGGTAGAGTCACTAATTACATTTTTGAAGACCATATCTTAATAGTTAGATGCTAAACACTTGAGAAGTGTTAGTATGAATATTATTATTTAATAGAACATTTACAGAAGTTTTAGCCTAAATTTTATTCAATTTACTTTTATAATTCCAAAATTTTTAGTAATTAGAAATTAAATAATGTTATTTTCTTTAATTTTTTTTAAGCATAATATTGATGAATTGATAGTAAAATTTCTTAAAAGTAAGGAAATTAATAAAAATCAATCAATATACTAATTTAAAATAAAGCTAACTAGATTTCCCAACACATTATTTACTCTTAAAAACAAGCAAATTTGATAATAAAATACTAGAAAGTAATATTTAATTATACATATATAAACAGAAATGCGATTCACCCACTTACTCTATTATTTGCAATTAATTGAATAATTATTATTATGATAAATTTACATACATTACTTTTTAATGAAGTAAATTTTCCAAAATAAATAATTATTTATATGGTAAATAATTAATTATTTCTAACTTATTTAAAAGTGATGGATGAAAAGAAATAAAGTTAATAGTTCAATTCAAATGCAAAGTAAGTTTTACAAAAAAATTTGAGTAATTAAAAATTAGATTCCAAAAATGTCTTTATTTTTAAAATTTGATTGCCCATAAAAAACCATCAAAAAAATATAGTTAATATTTTATTTGCTTAATGAACTATTTTTCAAATTATTTAATCAAAGTATTATTTTTATTTAAAAAAAGTATTATTAGATATTTTCTTTTATTTAAATGGTCTTTCATATTATGAATGAAAAATTAAAGGTTATTTATTCATCATTTTTAATTTGAATGAATATGTGGAAGTATATAATATGCATTATTTTAAATAATTCAAATGGTTAATACTGTTAAGAAAAACAATTAATTACAAAGATTTAAATTAAAAAACCTATTGTTTCCAAAATAGATCTAATCAACAATAAAAGCAATAGTTTTAACCTAAATAACTGAAGTATTTAATTAAATAAGTTCGAAGTAAAACAAAATTTATTCTTTTTTGAATTAAATTACAGACAGTGAGAGAGAGATTGAAACATTTAAACAAAGAAGGCATTTGTTATTAAAAATATTTATTTATTTAGTTATTTGACACTAATATAAAACATCTCCTGTCTTTTTTTTGTATAGTAAGAATAATCTTCATTTTTATAAATTCAAATTATTTCGAAAATATTTCCTAAATCATCTTTTATTAGTAGGATTTTTTTCATATCAATAACTTATTTAAACCTTATTTAGTTTATATAATGATGAAAAATGACAAAGTCTTCAAATATATAAACACTCAATTTTTGTCCTTTTGTCTGTCTATTTGATCTATTTATAATAATTATCTCAGAATTTTTATGAATATTTAGATAATCTTTACAAAAATAAAATTTTATTATATAAATTTATTTCATGAAAATTATAATCCTAAATTAAATGAAATTTTAAAACTTATAAAACAATAAATAATTTATTTACAATGTAGATTCTCTTATACTAACTAACGTCTACCTTACTTATACCCCTACAATGATTTTATAGATTAAACACAAAGAAGTTAAAAAATTTTTTTTTTTGGCTTTATTAAGGAGGAATTACTGTTCGTTCCTTCTTTACATAATCAAAATTTTTATTATAAATTTTTATTTTTTTAAATGTATTAATATTTATTTCATGAAAAAGTTTTTGTTTAGTATTGTAATAAATACCCCTTTTGTAATGACTAAATAAATTTATGTGGATAGCAATAATAATTTTTAGTGGTATCTAATAGGTTTAATCAGAGTTCTAAATTAAATAAAATGTTCATGCATTTGTTGAGACATATAATTAATTTAAAGAAGGAAATATAAAAAATAATATTTTAAATTAAATAAATCAATTTTGATTATGTATCAACAAAGTTTTTTTTAAACTCTCTTACTTGAACAAGGATTTATTTTTTAACTTATATTTACCCTTATATTTATTAAAAGCCTATTTTCTAATAATAAGTAACATAACATAAAATTTTTTTGTACTAAATATTTCAAAAATGTTAATTTAACAATAAATTTTCATGTTTATCAATTTTATTTTTTGAAAAAAGTTTTATGAATTAATTAATTTAACGATTTAGATAAATATTTTTTAATATATATTTTATGCGATGTATCTTGTATTATGAAATTTGATACAAAATTATTATGTTTTGTAAAATTTCAATGCAGCTGGCTATTACTAATTTATCTATTTATTTATGATTATTAATTAGATAAATTTCCAATAAAAGATTTCGTTTTTAATTATTATTTAGAAATTAAATCTAAATTGTTGATTTGTATATTTTAACTTGTATCAATTAGAAATGATAGAAATCAAAGAATTTTTCAAATAATAACATGTCAAACATTACATGTGGACCGAAATCTAAGGCCTATTAGCTTTTGTAATAATAAATTATCTTCTTTTTGGTACAACTAGTGCAGTAGGGCAAATTTATTTCTGCATACCTGTTCTATTTTTATACATGATCTTTTAATTGTCATTATGTTGGACTCCTAATTATAATTCAAGATTTATTTTCAACATGAGCAGTTGTTCAATTTTTACTATATGCCTGCCAACCTTTATTTGGTTTTATATGAATGTCTTTTCCCCTCTAATCTTTTTAGAATTAAAACAAGTGGAAAACTGCACTGCATCAGGAATCCTCAAAACTAGTTTAGATGGAATTGAAGCTTACTCTCTATTATATGTTGAATATACATAAGAAGGTCATTCATATTTAGGATCAGCTTGTCTTACAAATTAATTTTAAGCTAACTATTACAACTTAGTCTCTCCCTTTCGCTTTTATAGATACAATGATACTTTTGAGTAAGTAAATTAATTGAACAATCAAAGTATTTTTGTATTTATTAAAAAACTAAAAAAAGTTGTGGACCAGGTATTGTAGATTATCCAATCACAAAAACTAATAATAAAAATCAGTTTTAACAAGATTTTAATGGATAGAGCTTGAATTAAAATTTTGATATCACAAATGGAGCTTAATCTCAAATAGTTATTTCCCCTAAAAATGAATACCACAGAAACTCTAACTAAACTACATCTTATAATAATAAATATGGATATAGATATCATCCATATCCATACTATGGGGAAAGTAAAATACAAATAAATATAATTAACTTCTACTTCTTTATCAATTTACTAATAAATTAATTAATTCTTTCATTTTGTCATTTCAATATTTGAATTATTTTAATTCTTAAGCAAATAAATTATGAAATAAGTAAATTATTTTACATATAAAAAATATTTATTTTTTTTCATCCATCAATAGAGTTGAAGGATTGATAAAAAATTATTAAATTTTATTGAGAAATGACTATACTAAATTTTTAAATAATAGGTAGTTATGGGATGTGTTTGCAAAATTATACATTTAGTAAAGTCAAAATACCAACCTGGATGTGTGGATAAGATACTTAAGATTTCGAGATTTTAACAAAACCTAAAACATGCTATGTCCTTTATTATAACTAGGATAAAAATTTAGCTTAGCAAAATGCTCAAAATTATTTAAATTAAAGAGAATAAAATGAGCTAGCTGTTATCAGTTTTGATTAAAATATATACTATCCCAAAAGAGTTTTTACATATATCATTATTTTCTTATATTATCCCTTAATATTATCTCTAAATAGCTTCTTTCAATATTCAACTGACTGGGCTTTTGAAAAAGTATCAAAAAGCAGATAAGAGTAGCAAAATAACATAATTGATTCAAATTCTTAATCTAATAAAAATTTAGAAATGGGTCTAATTGAAAATTAATAACCTTGAAAACAAAAAATTCTGATGAATTATTCTTTCTTTATTTCTATGAAAATTAATTTGATTAAATAAAAAAAAATATTTATTTATTGAAATCTATTTAGTACAATATAAACAATTTTATACTTTATATTATTTTCACAAAGAAACATAAAAATCTATCATGTTTTTAGCCTTAATCAAGATCCTTCCTATTTTTTAGCATGCAAATTAATCAATTTCTCCTCCCCTAATAATTAATAAATTAATTGATTTCATAAAAAATATTTATTTTATTAAAATGATATTTTTAAATTAATTTAATGAATGAGTTTACTCCATGAATAGAAATACAAATCTTAAATTAGATAATTTCGTTAATTATTTTGCTAGCAATTTACAGCCTGTTAAGCTAAGAGAATTTGTTCTAATTAATTAAAATATATTAATTTATTATTAAAAGTTTAGAAATATATAAATACCTCATGTATATTGTTAAATTATTTAATTGTTTCAGTTTAGAAATATCGTTTGCTAGTTTTAAGATAGATTTTTCACTTAAATAATTGCCGCTGTTTTATTAAAATTAGTTTTATATAAAAATACTTCAACAAAATTATTTTAAAGAAAAATATTTAATATTTTAAATTAAATTTGAATCAATAATTTAATTACCTTAAATACAACTTCAGTTATTAAATAGATAAGCAATTAGAGATGCCTTCACCAAAGCCGAGCAGACAATTTTAATCTAATTAAGAGTCACTTTATGATTAAAGTTATTTAATGCAATCACGTGTTTAAATTTTACCTCAAATCTATAGTAATTTTAGTCAAGAGAGGCAACTTGCTCATAAATATTGTTATTCCAAATAGACTTACTGGATCATATTAGCCATTACTTTTATTTTTAATAGCTTTTATAAATGTTTTGAAAATTTTAAAATTTACTTTGCAATAAAATTGAGTTCTTTTAACTTTTAGCATTTGGTTATCATCTAAAAGAGCTCAGCAATAGCTTTGCTTTCTAATTAATTTTCACTTTTATTATTTAAAATAATTAAAATTAATTTAATCAAAAATTATTTAATTAATAGTTTTACCTCAAATCTAAAGTTAACTTTTCTAATTTACTACAATTTGCTAACTCACTAGCAAACTCTTGCAAACCTTCTCCTTAAATCTAGTTTTGACTATTTCCAAAAAGAAAAATTTAAATAATTTATTAATAAATAACTTTACTTTATATATAATTCAAGCTATTCCAAATCTGGCAAATCACTAATTAACAACCCTAAAATAGCTATACCATCAGATTATAATTTATTGCTCCTAAAAGATTAAAAACATAAAAAATCAATTAATTAAAATTTAAACAATAAAAACAAACCTTAAAAATAGAATTAAATTTTTTATTTCTTTGCTATTATCTAAACTTTGAACTAAATTCATCATGTCTGAAGCTTCAATCTAAAGATAACTTTAATTTCATAATTATTTGTATTGGATTCATTAATAAAAACTGATTAAATTTTTTTACTTTAAGTTAAGTTTTAAATATTTTAAGCGTTCACATTTGCTTAATTTTTGATATAAATTTTTGAAATTAGAAAATTCCTCCACATCACTAAATTATAATTTTTAAATATTATTTTAAAAATTATTGTATGAAATTAAAATGTTCAAATATTTACTCAACTTCAAGCTTACTAATAATTTCATAGTTTTCATCAATCTTTAATATTAATTTTTTGTTTAATTCTATTTTCAATTTATTTATTCAAAAATTTACTTGAGAGAATTTAAAAATATTTTCCTTGTTAAATTCTAGCATAGTTTTCAATCTTTCTATTTTAAATAAAGTTGGTTGAGTTTATGATTAAAATTTTGGATAGCTTAATGAATACCTTAATTAGGATCATAGTCTTCTTTATTTTGTACCTGCAGAATTTCTTAAACAATTAAAACTCTTTAATCTCTACAAATCTCTGAACTTTCTGTACAAATTTACTTTATGCTTGTAAAACAATCATTCAAAACATAAAAATTATCGACTATTTTTCCTAAAGATTAAGCGGAGTATTTTTCCTCTGAAAAATAATTTAGTTTATTTTAATCATGTAAGGTTAATAACTAATTTCTAGAACATTCAAGGATTCTTAGCAGTACTTCTTCTTATTTGACAGTGTTATATGTCCTTAAAATAATAGAAAATTCATTGCTAGAAAAAAACTCAAAGTCTATATAACAATTTTTATTCATTAAAAGAAAAAGTATTTATTTAACATCCTCTTTTTAAATAGAGCACTTTTCTTATATAAAATCAATCAATATTAAAACTTATTCCATTTTTCTTTTATCACAATTCCTTTTTACTTTTTTCTTAGTTAATTGTTTATTTATTTTAATAAATTATTTAATTCTTGAAAAAAACAAAGTATTTATTTATTTATTTGTTCCCATCCAAAACTTTAAAATCAAAATATTTGTAAATGATCAAAATTATTAGTAATAATTTTAATCTATTTAATTGTAAAAAAGTGAAAATTAAATAATTTTATAAGATATCAAAAAAACTATCAGAGAGCTTTAAATTTTGTAATTTCAAAAGCCATTTAAAATAACTTAAGTCGATGTTTCTGAAATTAATTTCTTTATTGGAATAAAAACTAATTTATCAATACAAATTTTAATTTTGACAAGAAGAACTTATTTAAAAAAATCCTTGTTTTAAGTAAAGCATTAATATTTAAAATGATAATTTAAATTTTAAAATGTTTTTATATTTTATTTTTTTTTTGATACATAAAATAAGTCTTTTATTATTTAAAATTTAGCTATACACTATTTTAAAATCTAGTGGCTCCAGTGAAAGCCAATTCACTTGTTTTTAATTAGACGTAATACTATAAATAAGTCACTACTTTAAATATTTATAATATTACTACATTTGAATGTAAATTTTAATAGTAAAAATAAACTTACAATTATTGAGAATTTTAGTTAAAATGAAGAAATAATAAATTGAAAAAAGTAATAAAATGAATAAAATAGTAAACGAACAAATATAAAAGTTAAACACAAAACTATATTAATACTATTAATTAATAAAAAAGTTTATAATATGAAGTAATTTATATTCAGTAACAAATATGTTTTATTTTATTTTTCTACCTCAACTTAAAAGCTTTTCAGTTGACTCAAATTATTCTTCGTTTCCTTGATTTTCTATTTCGGACTACTTCTCTAATACTTTATAGCATGTCAAATGAACTATAGCAATTTAGCATTTTCCTGTTGATGTTTCAAATATTTCAAATCTTTTGGCATTTTCGTATACCCAATCTTCATTATCCTCACTCCATGTTAAAATAAATGGCTCTTGACATAAATCACATTTACCCTAATGAAAAAATAAATTTATTTAATCATAAAGTAATTTTTTTGAATTAAAAATATTGTTATTTATTTATTTACATTAGATTTACTTTGAGGGACAAAGTAATTTTTTTCCGTTTCAGACTCGCTTTCTTATTCTTTTTCAATATCTTCGTCTTGGCAATCTATCCATTACTAAAATATTTATTTTTAATTATTTTCAAAAATTAATTTTATAATATTTTTACATTAGCATCGTAGAATAATTATCTATTCTTCTTTTCTTTTTCTTTTTCTCTTTTTGATTCAATAATTTTTAAATTTTTTATTGTATGGTCTTCTAGATGGCTCTTAAGATCTTCTTTTGCAGAAAATCTAATTCCACAATTTGCACATTAATAAGGTAGACTATCATAAATAATGCTCCTTGAATTCATTATAATTTCTTCACTATTTAAAAATATTAACAAATTGATTAATTAAAATGATTTATTTATATAAAAGCAATTTAAAACAAAATAAATAAAAATATTTATTTAAAATATAATTTACTCAAAATTAATTAATTATTTTATTTATTTAATAATAAAAATTAAGTTTCTTGAGGCTTTTTCAAGCAGAATAAGAAACATAATTAAGATTAAAGAAATTTAATTATTTTTGGAAAAAAATTTTCCATTTATTAAATTATCAAATTTATTTTATCATAACTAACTAACTAACTATCTTAATGGTGATTCATAATATTTTATAAGACAAACTTTAATTTGGAGGATTTTGGAAGAGTAATAATAATAACTTGAAATAGATAGGATAGATAGATTATTATATCGAAGACGAAGATGATAAAGAAGACGAAGTGAAATTATTTAAATTATGTTGGTTGAGAACAGTTGTGATTAATAGATTGAGTTAGTGTGTTATCTTTAAGATAACAGAATTTGAATGAAAATAATAATTTATTTATTATATATTCATGTAAAATTTGAAATAGAATAATTATTAAGATTGAGTAAATTAAATTAAATTAATAATAGTTTATAAGTAAGTAAGTAGGTGTAATAATTTATTGATTGATTATTTATTTATTTAATTAATTAATTTATTAAATTAGATTAAGTTGTAGATAGATCTGAATTTTATTTAAATAAATATTTTCAAGTCTAATATTTGGTAGCATAGAAATTATTATGTTTTATTGAAGAGTATTTAGTTTATTACTTATGTATTTATTTATTTACTTATTTTGGATTTGATTAATAATTAATATAACTGTATTTAATCTAAATTGTTTTTGCTGATGATTTATTTATTTGTTTATTAATTAATTTATTTATTTATTAATTAGAAGAATATCAATAATTTAAATATCTAATTAACTAACTAACTAACTTACTATATAAATCAGTTATGGAAAAATGTTATTTTGGTTTTTATTGAAAAAAAAAATTATATATTATATATTTAAGTACTTTCTATTTAAAAAGAGTTAGGGGTGAATCGAAGTTATTTTATTTTATTTCATTTTCTCTATTTCGCTAATGAAATAATATTTTGTGCTCATTGTAGGTTTTATGAAATTAAACAGTTCATAGAACAAGCTTGTTTTATCTTATTGTATTCCAGCTAGGTTGTATCCACTTTAGCTTATTTATCTTATAGGGGCTATCTATGTTGGGGGAGGGGGTGGTTGCTAATAAGGAGGTATTATATGAGGGGTCTAAGAATTTTATTCTATCTAACCGCTACTATTTAAGTTTTAGCTGCTACCTTGGGGAGTTCTGTTTCCGTTCATGTTTTGAATGTTTTATTACTGCATATGAGGAAGAGGAGGTGGTGGTTAATGTTAAGGTTAAATAATTTAGTTGAAAGGAGGTATCTATCTTCTAGGAATGTTGTTGTTATTTTAGCTTTCAATATCCATATTCATTTAAAAATTGTTTTGATTGTCTATTAATTAACCTAGAGGAGTGGGTGGAGGAGGAGGGGGCTATTAATATGGCAAGCTAGGTCCTGGGGGATATTTTTTTCTGATATTAAGATTCATGCCTTAGTTATCTTAGGGCCCACTTCCCGCCAGTCTTTAATTCATAAACATTGGCTAATTTGATTGCGATTATTAGTTTTAAATATTAAAATCTTGATTTCTTTGAGCGTTTGATGAAACATTTATATTTTAACTCACAGTTGTTTGGTTTTGCAAAGGATCCTAATTGGAAGATTACTGCATATTGTTACTAAAATTATGTGTAGATGTTGGTAGTATATTTTACATCTATAAAGGTGGTTTATTTATTTGCTTTTGTAAGGAGGTATTTGAATTGAAATCTTGGTTGCTTCCAAATTGATTCTATGATGACTGTAAAGAATGTGAAGGATGATTTGGCTACAAAATGCTTTGCAATGGAGTAAGGGTTTATTGTTGCTTAATTTCGATTTGTTATTAGCTTTTAGGTAAAAATTGTTAATTTGAAGATGGTATCGATTGAGGCATATTCTGCTAAGGTTGAGGAGGTAAAGGAGGTGGTAGACTTGTATTTAAAAGATTAGGAGTTTAAGGAATATATGGCTAAATACCTTCTTAATTACTACCTATTTGAATATGTCCTTGACTAGAATTAAATTAAATTTATTGCTGTGAAGAAGTTTAAATTGGTTATGGCTCGGGTTGACTTGCTAAACCATAACCTAAGCTTTACGTTGGCATCAGAAGCAATCCTTAAGGAGTTTTTAAATTTTTGCTTTCTTCGTTCAGCTTTTTTACTCTTTCTTTTTAGATATTCTCTGGTAATCTATTTGGTTTAACTTGTTAGTTTATTTGCTATTAATTCTATAGATGCTATGCTTACTAGTTTTGAGGTCTAATTGAAGCTGGATTATAAGTGTTTGAATCATTCTTTTAATTAGAGTTTCCACTCACCTACGGTACTGTTTTTACTTTCTTTTATGGTGTATTGCCATTAATAGTATCAACCGATGGTTTATGATGCGGGATTGACGAGTTTGCTGGCTTTTGCTATACAGATGGTGACTAATGAATATGACCAGAAATAGGTTAAATAGGTTTCTTGGGTTTCTTTTTAATTTAAATATCTACATCATTATCATCTTTCTTATTTATTTGCTAAGAAGAGCTATTTAAAGAAGAAACATTCTGCGTAGTTAGCAAAGAGTTTAAACTCGTTTAGTTATTTTACAATATATCATTTTATTAACTTTTAATTTACTAATGTTGTTATTATTATTACTACTATTAGCTTTATTGCTAAGGATTGCTGTTTATTTCTGAGTTTTGATTGCTAGAATTCTTTCTCATCTTTTGTTGCTGTAGCTTCTTTTTCTCTTCTTAACTTAATTGACTAACTTACTGTTGTTAAATAGGTCTCTCCTACTTTTACTGAGGTTGTTAGCTACTTTATGCTTGCTAAGGAAGAACAGGTTTTTTCTTCTTCTTTTCTTATAAAAGCTTTTCTTGCGAATTTTTTTAAGTTTATACTGATGAGTTGATCTACTAAGATTTCTTTTGTTCAATCTCATCAATAGCCTTTTTTAAATATATATTTGGATCTATGTTATTTTTAAAATAGTATAATTTTATTTTTTCAACTGATTCTTCGCTTAATCCTTAATCAATATCAATAAAATGGTTATTTCCTATTTCTTCACCCATTTTGTAAATAGTCTCATCTGATACTTTTTTAACCCAGCCTAACCTCATTAGTTTAAAATTTTCAATTTTGGATGCATCATTTTTATATTCTTCAAAAATATTAACAAAAATCTAGCACAAAGCTTCCTCAAGCTACTATACAATACATCTTTTCTTATCACTTTCCTTTTCTAATATTAACCTATTTATCAAATGCATTAATCTATACTTATTCTTAGCCTTTGATGAGCTGTGGCTTTTTAGCCTTCCAGTTATAAATTTTGCAAGATAAGCCCTACCTAAAATATATTCTATGATCAGCTCATATTATGAATTAGTAACCTTATCTTAAGATAATAAATCTGATAAATATTTATCAAATTTATTGATATCAGTTCTATCATCTTCTGTTAATTCTTGCCATTCGCTTTTTACTATTATTTAATTCTGAGGAAGATTCATTTTGTTTGCTTGCTTGCTTGTTTGTCTTTGTCTCCTTTTTCAGCAAGAAGATATTTGAAAATATAAATATTTTGTCTAATTATTGCTTGAATTTATCAATATAAATTACAATAAATCCTTTTTTAAAAATTAATACACTATTTTATTTAATTTGTTCCATATAAAAAAATCAAATAAAGCATTTGCATCTATAGTTTTTTCTGATCCTTTTTCTCCATAAATTATTAAGCTGAATTACCTTATTTTAAACATAGTCATTAATTTATTATTATTAGCATCACTATTTTAGTTAAAATTAAAAATATAATTAGAATTATTCCTTATAATTTTATGAAATAAACATAAAATTTCATTATCTTTACATTCATTTTCTTACATGAAAGTAATTTGAAATAAAAATTGTAGATAGATACAATATATTTTTAAAGATTTTAATTAAATAATTAATTAGTCATTCTTTAAATTTATGCTAAATTTATTATTAAAAACTTTTTTTCTTTTTAAAAATATAATTTTCTATTATGCCCTTCTAGCAATTATTTACAAAATTAAAAAGAAACGAAGAGTGTTAATTAACAATTTTTTTGTAGAAAATAAAATCTTTTATTCATAGAAATACACATGTTGGTATATTATATAAACGTGCTAGTTAGTTGAAGAATACGTGTTTTTTACTATTTATAATAATAATATAAATCAATAAAAATAAATTAACGTTAATATGAATAATTAATTACTTTACATTTTAGATTTATTGAAATTGTCAAAATTAAAATTAATAAAATTTTTTCTTTGTTAAATATTTTATTTAGTTTTTTTTTTTAAAGTTGATAATTTTTAAGGATTTCTACAAAGCTTTATATGAACGTTTTTTCTTTTTATTAAATTAAAACATTTATTTTATGTTAGATAGAAATAATAAAATTCCTAAATAGAATCCGAATTAAGAGGATTTTTTTTTTAATTTATTTTCATTTTCTATATATATTAGAAAAAAATGTTAATTTTTTTGCGAAACAAACTTTTTTTTTTGACAGATTTAATTTAAAAAATGTATTAAAAATTAGATATTGGTTTAATAAATAGTTTAGAAAAAGTTATTCTTTTTAAATTAATTATGTAATTTATAAATTTTAAGATTATGAGGTTAGTTAAATCAAAACTGAAATATTTTAATTTTAATAATTAAAAAATAATTGTTTATAAAAGAAAGGTTTTTATGACATAAATTTTTAATTTAAATTCAAATAAATTAAATCATTTAAAATAACTTTTAATTAATTAATAAATTTAATTATTTGTTAGTCTTATTCAAGATCTTTCACTCACCACTAAGACAAGATTTATTTTTATTAGATTCTTGGAATTCTTTTTTAGTTTGAATAATTGAATTATTGTTACTCTTACTATTTTAATCTTCCAATAAAAAAAATGTTGATCTTTATGACTAGACTGCTCTAAAATCTCTAAAGGTTTATCCTTCTGATAAATCAGAACCGCTCTTGTAAATTTTGAGCATAGTACCTATATTTTGATTATCTGGAACTTAAGTTTTCGCTTCAATTTCTCTTAAAATTCTTCCACTTCTTAATTTTCTTCTTTTTATGGGTGAATTAGGTGTATTAGTTTAATTTTGATCATAGATTGTCGAAATAAATTATCTACTGTCTAATTTAGTAGGCGAAAGATCTAATCCTATATTTTGATCTTAATTATAATTTTAAGATTCTCTATTTTGTACACTATCTTTGCCATCATCTATTTATTTTTCTTATTTTTAATTTAAATCTTTCTCATTATAAGGTACTATAGTTAATTTTTTGTTTCTGTTTTTTTTATACTTTGCATAGACTTCTTTTATTGCTATATATATTTCTCTAAAGCATATTATAACTTCGAATATAATAATCAAAGAAAATATAGAAAGGATAACCCAGCAAATAGTTTTAGAGGTCAAAGAATCGCTATTATCAAGCTAATACAAAACAAGTACAAGGATATGACAAATTAAAAATGATGAGCTCTAAATTCCTTCTTTTATGTTCACAAAATTTGCTTTAAAAGGTTTTAATTTTATTGTTATTAGCAACAAAATTAAGTGAAATATTGTTATCAGTAAAATTTATGTAATTGGAGATGTTTATAATGCTCCAATTACAACTGTGTAAAAGAATTTCCTGAAGTATAGAAGAATCTAATAATAATTGAATTGCTGATCTTTCGTTAAGTGTTCTTTTATTTCTTTGTTAGACCCAGAATATATGATAAAAGTTAGATACACAGGTAATATAATTCCAAAGAAACTTACAGAAAAGATAAAGTAATTTAATATTTCAACTGCATACTTAGCAACATTTAGAGTTATCAATTACAAAATTACTGAAAAGCTCATGTCTTGATAAACAACCCAAAGCAAATCTGCAATCAAAGTTACAGGAAATAATTTCTTTTCTATCTTTATTAGTAGATTTTAGACTTTTTTACACTTAGCAAAAGCATACACCAAAAGTTTTAAAATTGCATAAGCTAAAATAATTATAGCTAATAATGATAATGTATCGCCTATTTTTATTTTCAAAGAAAAATTTTATTTTAATTTAAGTAATTTTTTTTATTTAAATTTATATTACCCATATTGCTAAGATAAAATCCTTGAATGTCTTTTTCGCTAATTTAAGGTGGTGTGTCATAAACTATTTCTTCATAGTGATTTATATACTCAAAAAAGTTTGGAAATGGTATTTTGAAATTCTTCTAGGAAGATAAGAAAGTGTCTAGGGTAGAACTCATTCTTTTAAAATACAAATATTAATAAAGCATAAAAAATGAATTAAATTTACTAAAATTATATGAATGAAGTCATGTAAATAATTTATGAGATATCTAGTATAGAAGAAATCATCCAAAAGTTTCCTGAAAGTGCTAATGGAAATATTGCAGCTATAGTAGCAGTAGAAACAGCCTACGTTGCAGTCTCAAACGATTTAGAAGCTGCAGGGCTTTCATCTTGCTTTTTTTATATGATTTAAATATCTATTGATTATTGAGGATTTATAAATTGATTTGTATTATCATTGATAGAAATTGTAACAGTTTATTTATTATCAAGCTTTTTAGTGGTACTTATTGTAATTAGCAATGTAAAATTATCTTAAATATCTATTTTATAATCAAATTGTCCTTATAAAGCTGGAATTTACAATTATAATTCTTTCTTAATATCTTCAAAGTTTGGCTTATACTTGAAAACCATTTATATTTAATTATTTGACTTATATTCAAGCATAAATTAATTTTATTCAAAACAGCTACCTTTTTCATCTCTTAATTAATTTGGTAAGCACTTAGCATAGCAATCATTTTTAAAAAGTTCAAAGCCATTCAAACAAGAAGAGCATTAATCTATTTGTTTATCACACCCTAAACAATTTTTTGCTTTGCATGCGATGCAAATGTTATTTTGAATTTGGAAACCTTAACCACAATTCAAAACACATTCAGTATCCTTGAGAAAATAGTTATTTTTACATTATAAACATTTATTTTATTGGTTGCACTTTTAACAAAAGTTAGTTGAGCACAATTAACAAATGCCTTAAGATAAGTTTTCAAAATATTCATCTGGACAATTTTAAACACATGATAAGCCATTTAGCAAATAAAATCCACTGCTACATACCTTACAAGAGTGTGAGTCATTGCACTAATTACAATTCAAAAAGCAAGAGGTGCATATATTTTTTTATGTATCCTTAAAGTAATTTTATGGACAATCAGATAAACACTAGCTATCATTTAGAAGATAAAAAGTTTGTACACACTGATTGCATTAATTAGAAGAAGAGCAGAGTTCACAATTTTACATACATATTTAGCATGCTTTACTTTAACTGTCAGGATAGTAATTGTTTGGACAATTTTTAAGGCATTGTTGGTTTTTGTATAAGTAAAAACCATCTTAGCATAAGCTACATATTCCACTAGAATTGCATTTAATACAGTTTTATTAGCATAATTAACAGATGTTATTAGAATCATTATAATTTCCATCTGGGCAATTAGCCAAGCATTAATTTTTCTGATATAAATAAAAACCATCTTGACATTTTTTACATGTATCATTAGAATCACATTAAAGACAATTTTAGGGACAAGGTTAGCAAATATAATTAGAATCTTTGTAACTTCCATCTGGGCATTAAATTAAACAGTTGTTTTAATAAAGTACATAATCTGAAATGCATTATTGGCATTTTGTGGGATCTAAATTACATTTAATACAAAAACTTGGACAATTTACACAAATTTATTGAGTATCATCAGCATATTAATTAGAATTACATGAGTTTTGACATTATTAGTTGACTAAGTAAGTTAGAGGTTTACATTTTGTGCATGTCATTTAACTATTGCAAAAAATACAATTTTGAGGACAATTAGCATGACATTAGCCTTTCGAATCACAAGATTAACATCCACTATTACATTAAGTACATTTAAGTTATCCAGCATCATAATATCCATCTTAACATGAGCATATTTAATCGTTTTATCTAAATGTTCCTATTTAATATAAATAAATGAATTAAATTATTTGAATAGATTAAGAGTAATTTAAAAACAAATAAAGATTAAACTAAACACGTTTTTGTATATTTTTAGATTCTAAAAGTATTTAAATTCATGAATGGAGGGGGCTTTTTTTGTGTTTTTTTGTAAAATTTTCAAATAAAAAACATTTCATAAATGCTGAAATTACCAATCGTATTACAATCTGTACAAACTATTTTAGCCCCTTGTTTTTAGCATTCTTTACAATTATATGGGCATATCTAGCAAGATTAATTTACTCCATCATCATAATAACCAGATTGGCATGTACATGTAGATGAGAATGAGTTAAAATTTCTGTTTTTGGAGCTATCGCAAGAGCTACATTATATCGTATTATCACATTCATAACATGTATAATTGCATTAAACGCACTGTACATTAGTACCATCATCAAAATAACCAGGTAAGCACTAACAATTACCTGTATTACTTCTATTTAATGTAGGATTTTAAAAACATTAAAGACATCTAATTGAATTCAATTGGTTATCGAGCTCACACGTTTGACAGTAATAAGGACATTTAACACATTTAGGCTGTGAGCTAAGAGAATAATAGGATTATTTACAATCACACTGCTTTGTATTGTTGTTAAAGACTCTGAATTATGTAAAATCACAAGTTAAGCACTTATTTTGATCACTGCATGTTTTGCAACTTGGACTACATTATTAGCATATTTAATTAGAATCCATGTAAAATCCATCTTTGCAAACACATTATGAATTTGAATTTACAATCATATTGGCTTATTTACATGATAAGCATATATTAGCATCACTTTCTTAGCAAGTTGAGCATAGACTATTACACCACATCAGAGAGTGAGTAGGTTATATCACTAATTAATAATTTAAAATGTATTTTAATTTGAAATGTTATTATCATTATTTTACGGTATACATTGTTTTGACTATCATAAAGGATTAAATTCTCTTAATACTAAAATTATTTAAATATAAATGAATGAATAAATATCTTATATCAATAAAAGTTATTTAAATAATCTTTTTTAAAAATCAGCTAGAATGAATGTTTTTGGTATTTAATTAAAGCTAAATTTTTGATAATAGCCACAAATAGAATAGCAAATGAATAAATTATAATACACCATAAACCAACCAGTATTATTTATTGGCTTTGAATGAATTAAAACTGAATAGAAATTAATTATTCTGTGGATTACAAAATAGTGTTAAAAACAACCAGAATTTTAATTAATATAATAAATGAGTTAGTTACTCTTAAAGAGTCAAATCCTGAAAAGCTTTGATTAATCGACTAATCTTGATCCAAGTTGCTTGACAAAACTGAATATTTAAAAGATAAATAAAATAAAAATTATAAATAACACCTAAAACAATTTGAATAAAATATTTATTATACTTTAAAGAGAGTTTTGATCTATTATTACAACTTTTTATCCGACTACGCGGAATTTAATTAAAGGTTTCGAATTTAATATAAAAGCTGATAATTAATTGATTTTATTATCTTTATACTGTTGTCTATATATTTAATTAGCTGATTAAGCTAAAAAGATTCTTTCTGACAAAGGCTATTTTAATTGTATATTTAAAAAAAATAAACCACTAAAAAATATGAAATAATTTAATGAAGATATTACTATTTAGGCTTGAATCATTTAAATTGCATCAGAGTTCTAAAACCAAGTAACACCATTAAATTAACCCAATATCATTGTTTTTTACTTCTTATCCCAAACTTTAAAAGTTAAAAACTATTTATTCATGCTTTTTATATTGAAAAATTACTTGTTATTTGTCCTGAAGTCGGAGACATCATTATGTCATCATTCTATTATATCATTAAAATAATTAGATTTAATTTAATTTTTCAATAGAACTATTGAAGCAATATTAATTTATGGTAGAATGAATAAATGAATTACAGGGTTAAAAAATAATCCTTTATTAGGGTTATTAATTCCAATTAAGTAAAAAAATGATTCGTATGTCTATTGATTGAGGTCATAAACTTTTATATTTATTAATGAATTAATTTGATAGTAAATGGGTCTTTTATCAAAAAGTGATTACTTCTCTATTCGATATTACTATTAGCAACAGCCTATTATTAGTAATAATTGAAATTGGTTGAATATATTTTATAAAATTACAATGTATTTACATATTATGAATTAAGCACTTAAAAAAAGTTGAGACCATTAAAGCTTAAAGAGGCAGATATTTTATTTATTTAATTACTTTAGATGCTGTATACTAATTATTTAATTAAATATTTCTGGATTGAATATTTTTTTTTCTTTAATTAAATAATACTAGCTAATGCTGAAGAAGATCCGCAAAGAAATTTTTGATCCTAAAAATTATTAATTAATCATAAATTTTAATTTTTAATTGAAAAGTAAAATGTTCATACATCGATTCTAGAGACTTGGAAACAACTAACATTGTTATTTTCAGCAATTTTTTAAGTGGGTGTTATTGACCACGCTGATTGTATTAAATAATATAATGAGTAAAATAATAAAAGAGTGAATGATGAATAAAGACTATAAAAAATTTAAATATTATCACCTTGAATTTTATTTCCATTGAGGCAAGTAACAAAAGTATTTTAATTTAAGTAAGCAATAGAAGTAATAGGGTTGTTCATCCTAGTTAAAAGAGTGGCAATCGCAAGTTGTAAATTTATCAGATTTAGTAGAATTAGTAGATTTTAGTGTAAATATTTTCTCATTTTATAAAAAACTGAGTAAGAATATTGTGAGTCTATTTATCTTGTTTTTCTTTATTTTGTTTATATTTTATCTCTTTTTAAATTATTATGCGATTTGATTTGATTCTAATTAAGTAAAAATTAATGGTTTTTATAGTATTTAGATCTATAACTATAATTCAAGAATAAATTAATGGTTTAGTGGATTAGAAAAATTTTTTAATAAATATTTATCAAATAAAATCAAAAGAGCTCCATTATTTCTTTTACATTTTATTAATTTCATATTATTTGTATTTCAAAAAATGTAATAAATCTAAATTGGTTGAATTTTGCTAATTCAATCAATTTTACTTCTATATTAATTGAGTAATTTACATTTTTCTTTTTTTCAAATGTATTTTCCCCATTAAATTACACAATCATATTTATAGATTATGTAATCCTGATGCTGGATTAATATTACAGAAACTAATCAATCTTAAAAAAATCTAAAAAAAATAACCCACCAACACTCATACTTTAAATTATATTCTTATTACTCACCAAAAAGATATATGAGCTTACGTAAATCTGCTTTAAGCAGCTAAAAATATATCTAATATAAAATAAAATAAAATTAGTATTTTAATCAAAAGAATTTTCAATTAAAAATATTGTTTAAAATAAATTAGTTTATTTTTAGTTTCATTAAATTTTCTCAAAATAGTTTTTTACTACTTTTTTATTTTATCATTTTTAAATATGAGTAAAAATAAATCATTAAAGTAACATTTTTTGAAAGTTAAAATTAATTCTAAAATATAATTAAAAATAAAATAATTTCATAAAAATTTTATTTAATTTATTTACTCTCATTAATCAAAACCCTAAAAAACTGATAAAACAATAATAATCAAAGTTAATAAAAAAAATATTATATTTATTCCTTTAATAAAAAATATGTTTATATTGTTTTAAATAATAACTAATTTATAATTTAATAATATTTCCTTTTCTTATTTCATCTTTTTGATATAATTTTGCATTAAATTAATTAGAATTTGTTAATTAAATTATTTTCGTCAAATAATTTTCCTTTTAAAAAGAGATAAATTCTTTGCCTTCTATTTACTTTTTTAGATTGTATTTTTAACTATATAGCCACAAATTTCTTTAAAAAAGCTACATTTTAGACACTTTAAGAAAGTTGCTATGTTTAATAAAAAATCTATTTTATTAATTGATAATCTTGCGTTTTTTTAGTAAATGTGAAAAACATTACTAATCAGGCCAAAAGGCATTGCTATTTTATGATTTTGTAGTGAGAGCATAGTACTTTTAATGTTTTTGTATAAATAGAATTCTTTCAAAATAAATTAACACTATGCAAAAAATAAAGTTTTGATAATGCCCAATATTAACAAACCAAATCTAGCAGCTTCTATTCATATTTTGTAGTCAGTTTTTATTTTATTTTACCATGAAAAAAATATTTTTTATAATAAGATCTAATCTTTGAAAAAATTTTGAATTGAAAATAAATGAATGACTTGAATCTAATTTTTTAATGTTTGAATATAGCATTTAAAAAAAATAAATTAATTAAAAAAATAAATCAACAGATTTTTTTTAATTTATTTTTAATCAATAAAGAACATGATTTAAATTTAATAAAAAATATTTGCATTGATTTAAAGTTACAATTTTATATATATTTAAGAAAAATATGAAATATATTTAAATAAATATCTTTCTATAAATTTATATAATAAATTATATAATGATTATTTACTCTTTCAATCAATTACAATTTTATTAAATTTTATCATTCACATCAGGTCCTTTGAAACTTACATTTACAGAATTATTACAACTTTTTCTATTTTATTCTTCCATCAGCATCATAGTTGATCTTTAAGATTAAAGGTCTTTAAAATCTCTAAATGTTTGACCCTCCACAGATATTCCTGACTAACTTTAATAAAGTTTAAGCAAATTACTTATATTATGGGATTCTGGCACTTAAGTTTTAGCTTCTGCCTCTTTTAAACTTTTTTCATTCCTTAAAACTCTTCTTACAGGTGAGTTTAGATCATATTTAATTTGAGTTTAATTTTGATCAATAAGAGAAGAAATAAAAAACCTACTGTCTAATTTAGTTGGGGATGAATCTAGTTCTACATTTTAATCTTACATTTGAGTTTAATTTTCTTTTTTACTAGAGCTTTCTTTTTCATCTAAAATTTCATTATTTGATTTTTAATTGATTTCTTTCTCATTATAAGGAACAATAGTTAATTTTTCCTTTTTATTTTTCTTGTACTTTATATAGATTTCTTTTATTGCTATATAAATTTCTCTGAAGCATAATATAACTTCAAATACAATTATTAAAGAGAATAGAGAAAGTATAGCCCAGCAAATATTTTTAGAATTAGCAGAATCACTTTCATCAATAAAATACAAAGAAAGCACAAGGATATGGCCTATTAAGAAAGATGAACTCTGAATTCCTTCCTTAACATTCAAAAAAGCTACTTTGAAGGGTTTTAATTTTATTATTATTAGTAACAAAATTAGGTGAAATAATATAATGAGTAAAATTTAAGTAATCGGAGATGTTTATAATGCTCCAACAACTACAGTATAAAATAATTTCCTTAAGTATAGAAGAATTTAGTAATAATTGAATTATTGATCTTTTGTTAAATGTTTTTTTATTTCCTTATTAGACCCAGTGTATATGATAAAAGCTAAATATAAAGGTAATATAATCCCTAAGAAGCTTATTGAAAAGATAAAGTAGTTCAATATTTCAACTGCATACTTTGCTATATTCAGAGCTATCAATTACAATATAACTGAAAAACTCATATCTTGATAGACTATCCATGATAAATCTGCAAATAATGTTATAGGAAATAGCTTACTTTCTAGCTTTATTATTACATTTTGAATTTTTTAACACTTCTTAAATATTTAAACCAAGAATTTTAAAAGCAAATAAGCTAACAGAATTACTACAAGCAAAGATATTGTGTCACCTAAATTTCATTATTTTTTTAATATTAATTTTAAATTAAAAATAGGAAAAAAAATTATTCAAAAAATAATTACCCATATTACTAAGATAAAATCCTTGAAGGTCTCTTTCTTATATTTATGATGGTATATCATAAATTATTTCTTCATAATGATCCATGTACTCAAAAAAATTTGGAAATGGGATTTTAAAATTCTTCTAGGATGATAAAAAAGTGTCCAAAGTGGAAGATTATCTTTTTATAATTTAACATAAATAAAACCATTAAAATGAAGTAAAATAAATTACTCAAATTTTAAGAATGAAGTCATGTAAATAATTTATGAGATATCTAATATTGATGAAATCATCCAAAAGTTTCCAGAAAGTGCTAGTGGAAATATCGCAGCTATTGTAGCAGTAGAAACAGCCTATGTTGCAGTCTCAACTGATTTTGAAGCAACTGGATTTTCATCTTATTTTTACGAAGTAATTTAAATATCTATTGATTGCTTTGGATTTATAAACTCGTTTTTATTATCATTTATTGATACAACAACATCTTATTTACTGTCTATCTTTTTAGAGCTTTTTATTGTGATAAGCAAGGTTTAATTATCTTAAATATCTACTGTATAATCAAATTATCCCTACAACTCTGCTATACTCACTTGTAATTTCTTCTTAATATCTTCAAAGTCAGGTTTTGATTTGAAAATCATTTAAATTTAATTTTTTGATTTATATTCTAGTTTAAATTAATTTTTTTCAAAGCAGCTACCTTTTTCATCCCTTATTTAATTCATCTAACACTTAGCAACACATTCATTTTTAAAAAATTCAAAACTGTACAAACAAGAAGAACATTAATCTATTTATTTATCACATTATTGACAATTATTTGCTTTACAAGCAATGCAAGTATTATTTTGGATTTAGAAACCTTAACCGCACCTCAAAACACATTCATTTTCTTTAAGAAAATAATTTTTTTTACATTCTAAACATTAATTTTAATCGTTACATTTCTAACAGTTGTTTGTGGAGCACAACTAACAAATACTTTAATTTACATTTTCAAAATATCCATCAGGACATTTCTAAACACATAATGAGCTATTTAGTAAATAAAATCCACTATTGCAGACCTAGCAAGAACTAGAATCATTGCACTTTTTGCAATTCAACAAACATTAGGTACAAATATTTTTTTAAGAATCTTTATAGTATTATTAGGGGCAGTCTGAGAGACACTAGTTATCATTAAAGAGATAAAAATTTTGCATACATTAAGCACATGAGTTAGAAGAATTACACTAATAGCAGTTTTTCATACATTACTCACATGTTTTACTAGCTTCTTATTGAAAGTAATTATTAGGGCAATTTTTCAAACATTATTAATTTTAGTATAAATAAAAGCTATCTTAACATTTGCTACAAATTCCAGAATTATTGCATTAAATACAATTTTACTAGCATGATTAACAGATATTGTTAGAATCACTATAATATCCATCTGGGCAAGTAGCCATACATTAATTATTTTAGTATAAATAAAAGTTATTCTTGCATTTTTTGCATGTCACATTCGAGTCACATTAAGAACAATTTTATAAACAAGTTTAGCAAATGTTATTTTAATCTTTATAATTGCCATCTGGGCAACTAGAAAGACAAGTGTCTTAATAAAGTACATAATTTGAAACACATTACTAACACTTTGTAGGGTCAATATTACATTTATTGCAAAAATTAGGACAGGATATACAAATTTATTGATTATTATCAGCATATTGATCTGAATTACATTAAGTTTTACATTAATTATCAACTAAGTATGTTAGAGGCTTGCATTTAGTGCATACAGTTGGACTATCACAAAATATACAATTCAATGAACAATTATTCTAGCATTCACCATTTGAATCACAAGATACACAACCATTTTTACACTAACTGCATGTAAGCTATCCTGAATCATAATATCCACTTTTACATGAACAGAATTAATCATTTTGTCTAAATGTTCCTATTAAATTATTATTTTAAATTTATTAAAATTCAATAAAATTTTATATAGTGATAAATTTTGTAAATAATCCAATATAATAACACCAAGCACTAATAAAATTTTGACATAAAACCATTTTTAGGCTTCTGAAAAATAGTGATACTGGGCAGGTGCTAATTAATGATGACTAAAGGTATATAATTTTTAAATAGGATTTATTTATTAAAATTAAATATTAAATTAAAAAGTTTTATTTATTATCTACCTGTTGTATTACAATCTGTGCAAATTATATTAGCTCCTTACTTTTAGCATTATTGACAATTATATGGACATTATTAGCATTTTTAATTTTCTCCATCATCATAATATCCAGATTGGCACTCACATTAAGAAGATGAATTTAATTATCTAAATTTAGTTATATCGCATGAGCTACATTAACTTTTATTATTACATTATTAACAAGTGTAATTGCATTTAACGCATTTTAAATTAGCACCATCATCAAAAAAACCAGGTAAACATTGGCAATTACCTATACCGCTTCTATTTATTAAAGGATCTTAGAAACATTAAAGACACTTGACTAGATTTTATTAGTTATTAAACTCGCATGTTTAACAGTAATAAGGACATTTGATACATTTAGGTTAAGAATTTATAGAATAATAGGTTTGTAAACAATCACATTGCTAAGTATTATTATTGAAAACTCTGAATTATGTATCATCACAAGTTAGGCAAGTATTTTAATCACTACATGTTTTACAAGTTGGATTGCATTTTTAGCATACTTAGTTTGAATCCATGTAAAATCCATCCTAACAAATACATTAGAAATTAGAATCAACCATCATATTTGGTTATTTGCAAGATAAGCATAGGTTAGGATCACCTTCTTAGCATGTTTAGCAAAGACCATTACACCATTAAAATGAGTTATTGGGTGACAGTTCTGATTAATTATTAGAGAAAGAAATATTTTAAATTAAATTAAAAATTAAGCTAATTTACTGTAAACTTTTTTTTGGCTGTCAAAAAGAATCAAGTCATCTTAATACTAATTTTATTTTTAAAGAAAAACAATAATTTTGAATTTAGCTGGATAGAAAATTTTAATTTTTCTTGATAAAGTAGATTATTTTATCTCAATCATATTTAGGATATTTATAACAATTTGATTTTTAAATGATTGATGTCTACAAATTAGATAAAAATAAAATTTTTTTTAGCTGGATTAATTTTTAATTTTAGAAATGAAGAGAATTATTTAATTTGTCAATTTAAAATAATATGAAGAAAAATCATAATATTAATTTATCTGGTAAAATAAATCACTTACTCTTAAATAATCAAATCCTGCAAATTTTTAATTGACTTGTTAATCTTTAGATAGGTCGCTATTATAAACTATATTTAAAGTGATGATTTTAAAATTAACATATCTCTAATAAATAACTGCTTACTATAAAGAAAATTTTAATCTAATATAACAATCTTTTGCCCCACTACTCGGAATTTATTAACAGGATTTAAATACACACTATTTAGTAAATTTAGTTATTAATTTATGTATGAATATGATTGCATATAATTAGAATTAAAGTAGAGTAAGAACATCTTCTTAGACAGTGGCTATTTATTTATTTATTTATTAATTAAAATTAAAATTAATTTTAATATTTTAATATTTTATGTATGTTTTAAAGTAAATTACCAATTATTCTTGAATCATCTATATTTTGCTGTTAAATTAAAATGACTAAGTTTGTTAGTATGATTTATTGTCTGATGTTTTTTAACTCTTATCCCATACTTTAATAGTATTATAATATTTTAGTTATATATTTATTTTATTTTATTTTAAATAATTATTTATTTATTTATACTTGTTAAATACCCTTGGCATAATGAAATCATTGTATTGTCATTCTTTTATTTTATACAAATGATAATAAATAAATAAACAAGAATTTTGATTTCTATAATTAAAAAAAAATATTGGATAAGTAATAAATTTTTACAGGGTTAAAAAATAATCCACGATTCGGATTTGAGCAAGAAAATGTCTCATATGTTTTTTGATTCATATCGTAAACTATATTTATTTATCATTTTATTGATCAAAAATAGTTTTCAAATTAATTCTATTTACTTCTCATTTCATTATCACTATTAACAATAACCTAGTATTTATTTATTTAAATATTTAAAAATAACTTCATAAATGTAACAATGTAAAATCAATTAAATTACATATTGTGAATTAAGAGCTTAAAGATAGCTCAGATCATTAAATTCTAAATAATATGATATACTTTGAATTTTGTTATCTTTGAAATTATATACTAATTATTAAAAAAAATATTAGTCAATCTCCTACTTTCAACCTTTAATTTAATAAATAATATACTTGTTAATTCATTAGATGAGCCAGAGACAAATCTTTATTCCTACATTTTTTTGTTATATAAAAAATGAATTTCATTAAAATAATAGAATGTGTGCTTATACATCTAACCTAGCAAGTTATAAGCACTCTATATTGTTGACTGTATCAATTTATTATGCTGGATTTATTGACCATACTAATTATTTAAAAAAATAATAAAAGGATGATGGAATGTATTAATGATGAACATTTATTTATAAATAAATACCTTAAATCTAACGTTTCTCTAAGCATACTAAAAAAGTATTTTAATTTAAATAAGCTATAGAAGTAATGGATTTCTCCATCGTTGCTAATAAAATTCCAAACACGAATTTTAAATTAATAATATTTAGCAGAATTGATAGACTTTAGTATAAATATTTTCTCATATTAAATTATTGTGTAAGAATATTGTGAGTGGATTGATTTATCTTGTTTTTCTTTTTCTTGTTTATAAACTCTTTTTAATTAATTATGTATTTTTATAGACTCTAATAAAGTTAAAACTAATGGTATTTATAATATTTTCTCATGTAACATTGATTCATTGCATATTTATTTTGTGGATCAGAAAATCTTAATAATACAAAATATCATATTAGCAAGATTAATTTATTTACTTGATTTACAATTCATTTATTGCCTATTATCATACATTTTTAAAATCAATCACTGAAATTATTATATTCACTTATGTATGGTTCTATTTGATTTTAATATATATATGATGTATTGTATATGTTGTTTATTGTGAGCATATATAATCAATTGGAATAAATATATTTATATATGAGTAAGCAAAATAATGTTGATTGAATCACAATTAAATTTACTCTACAAAAATCACTTTTAAATTAATTGAAATTCAATTATTGTAAAACACTTCTATTATTTAAATACAGAGTTGAATTCTATTTAAATTTTACTTGAGCTCCCTCCTTACATAAAAATTCTTTAATTAGTGAACAGTATTATTTTTTATTTCGTATTTGATTTCAAACAAATTATTTCAAATATTTAATAAAAAGACTTACTTTTTATGAAAAAATAAACATCTAAACAAATTTATAAATGTATCTTTTAAAAAAATTATTTTAGTTTTATTAAATTTTGAATTAAACTATCATAAATCCATAAAAATGTAGGTACAATAAATTTCTTCAAATTTTTGATTGATACAAAAACATTCAAATCATAAGCAAGATTCAAAACCCTTTTTTAATCTGCTAAAGCCAAAGAATTTTCTAAAACATGTTAAGCTGATACAAATTTAATCTCTATTTGATTACCAATAGCTATTACTTTTTCATATTAAAATTATACACTATATAAATTCATATTTTCATACCACTATTAATTAAGATTCCATTTTGAAATTTTTTTAAGGTTAAATTGGATAAAAAATAAAAAAGGGGGATTGCAGAGAGGTCTTAATTAATAAAAATTTACACTATTTTCGTATTATTTTGATGATTCAATTATTCTATGTATAAATCATAAAAAAATAAATTAAAATTAGAATAGGATTCTAAGATGATGAATGAATATAAAATAATACTTTACTGGTTGTTTAAATTAACATCAATTATGCAATAAAAAAGTGCCAAAATGCTTATCTGATAAATCTAAAATATCAATTTTTTATAAATTGTATCAAAACTAACTATCGATTATATTTACAAAAGGCAAATTAATTGATATGTTTTGGATCGTTTTTATCATTTTTTAATTATTAATATTTTTAAATTTTGAAATACAAAATAGATTTGTAGAACATGTAAAGTCTATTAAATAAACCTTACATTTTTTAAATTAAATATGTAAAAAAATTTATTCAATAAAAAATTTAATAAATAATATTAAAAGTAATGTAAATGCTGAGTTAATTTTTCACTCTTCATTAATGACATAATTTTTATTATTAATTTCTTTTTAAATCAGAACTACAGAATTATTATTACTTTTTCTATCTTAGTCTTCTATTAGCACTGATGTAGATCTCTAAGAATTAGGTAATCTAAAACCTCTAAATGTTTAACCCTCCTATGATATCTCTGACTGACTCTAATTATGTTTAAGCATATTACTTATACTATGTACATCTGGAAGTTAAGTTTTTGCATACATTTATATAAAACTTGCTTTATTTTTTCTCTTTCTTTTAAATCTTACAGGCGAATTTACCTCAAACTTGATTTTTGCTTAGTTTTGATCTAAAAACTAAGAAATAAATTATCTATTTTCTAATTTAGTTGGTGATAATTCTGATTCCAAATTTTAATCTTAAATAAAATTCAATGATTCTTTATTAGGCATACTCTACTATTCATCTCCAATTTATTTGTCTTATTTTTTAATAGTTTCTTTTTCATTATAAGGAATGATGATATTTAGTTTTTTCTTTTTGTTACATTTGTACTTATCATAGACTTCTTTTATGCTTACATATATCTCTTTAAAACATAGTAAAACTTCAAATGCAATAATTAAAGTAAATAAAGAAAGAACAACCCAACTAATACTTTTATAACTCATAGATTTGCTTTAATCAATTAAACATAAAACTAGAACTAGGATATGACATATTAAGAAAGATAAGCATTATATGCCTTCTTTTATATTCGAAAATCTTTCTTTAAAAGGTTTTACTTTAATAATGATTAAAAAGCAAATTATGTAAAATATTATTATTAGTAAAATTTAAGCTTTTGGAGAAGACTATATTGCTCCTATCACTAAGGTATAAAAGAATTTCCTGAAATACAAAAGAATTTAGTAATAATTAAAATTTTAATCTTTTGTTAAGTGCTCTTTTATTTAATTATTAGCTCCATTATAAATTAAATACGACAAGTATAAAGGTAATCCTATCCCTAAAACACTAATAGAGAAAAATAAGTAATTTAATACTTCAACTGCATATCTCACTGAATTTAAAGCTATCATTTAAAGAACAACTGAAAAACTCATATCTTGGTAGACTACCCAAAGAAGGTCTATTAATAATGTAATGGGAAATAGCTTGTTTTCTAATTTTATTATTACTTTTTAAGCCTTTTCACATTTTAATAATAAGACTTTTAACATCTTCAAACTTAAATATAATCCAAAAATTATGGCAAGTAGTGAAATTGTATCCCCTATTATAAAATATTAAAAAACAAAATACTTACTTATAAAATATCTTTCAGAATATTTTAATAAATAGATTTTATTAAAATTTTAATTAATTAGAAAGTAAGTCAAATTATTTATAAAAAAAATAATAAGACAAATTTTTTCTTAATTTGATATTTAAATAATTGAAAATGATTATTTTTAATAAATTACCCATATTACTAAGATAAAATCCTTGAATGTCTTTTTCAAAAATTTAAGAAGGTGTTGGATAAGTAATGTCTTCATAGTGATCAAAATATTCAAAGAAATTTGGGAAAGGTATTTTGAAATTTTTCTGTGAAGATAAGAAAGTGTCTAAAGTAGAAGTCATTCTTTTTAATAAAAAAATATAAACAAAAATCTAGAAACTATTAAAATTTACTCAAATTCTATGAATGAAGTCATGTAAATTATTTATGAGATATCTAATATTGAAGAAATCATCCAAAAATTTCCAGATATTGCTAATGGAAATATTGCTGCAACTGTGGCAGAAGAAACAGCTTAAGCTGCAGTCTCAATTGATTTAGAAGCAACCGGATTTTCATCTTACTTTTATTAAATTAGTTAAATATCGATCGACTACGTCTGATAAGCAAATTCATTATTAGTATTATTAATCTCAACTGTAACTGTTTATTTTTCTTAAAGTTTTTTAGAAGTAGTTAAAGTTATGAGTAATGTTAAATCATCCTAAACCTCTATGATATAGTCAAATTCACCTTATAAATTTTAAATTGTTACTTATAACTCCTTCTTAACATCTTCAAAATGATGTTTAAATTTGAAAAGCACTTTAATTGAGTTTTTCGATTTTTATTCAAGTTTAAATAAGTTTTGTTCAAAACATCTCCCATTTTAATCTCTTATTTAATTAGTTTCACATTTAGCTACACAAACATTTTTAAAAAGTTCATATCCATCTAAACAGGAAGAGCATTAATCAATTTATTTGTTACACTCTAAACAATTATCTGCTTTACAAATGATACATTTATTTTTTTGGATTTAAAAGCCTTGGCCACAATGTTAAACACATTCTTCTTCTTTGAGATAATAATTACTTTTACATTCTAAGCATTTGTTTTAATTGTTACATTTTTAGCAAAAGTTTGTTGAGCATATTTAACAAATACCTAAGGAATAGTCTTCAAAGTATCCATCTGGGCAATTCTACACACATTATTAACCATCTAATAAATGTAATCCATTTCCACACTTTAAGCATGAACTAGTATTGCTGCATTTAACGCAATTTTCAAAGCACAATACACATATGTTTTTTTAAGAATCTTTAAAATATTTTTATGGACACTCAGATAAACAGCTGTTATTATTTAAAAGATAAAAATTTTGTACACATTAATCACATGAATTAGAAGAAGAGCATTTATCACAATTATTCATACATTTCTAGCATGCTCTACTTTAATTTTCAGGATAATAGTTATTTGGACAATCTTTAAGGCATTATTAATTTTTGAATAAGAAAAAACCATCTTAACATTAAGTGCATAATTCTTTAGAATTACATTAAATACAATTTTACTAGCATAATTAACATATATTATTAGAATCTTTGTAGTTTCCTATTGGGCAGTTATCCAAACATTTCTTTTTTTAGAATAAATAAAATCCATCTTAGCACTTATTACATGCTTCAGTAGAATCACATTATTTACAGTTTGCTTAGCATTATTGGCAGATATTATCTGAACCTTTATAGCTTCCACCTGGACATGTTAGCAAACATTTATTATTTTAGTATAAGTAATAATCATCTTAGCATTTATTACAGTTGTCTATTTAATCACATTAAATGCAATTAGATGTACACTATTAACAAGTATTACTTGAACTTTTGAAGAAACCGTCTGGGCAAAATTATAAACAATATTTGTTTTAAAACAAATAAAAACTATCAAAACATTAATTGCATATACCAGTTGAATCACATTAAGCACAATTTTTTTAACATTATCTACAAATATTATTAGAATCTTTGTAGTTTCCTTTTGGGCAGCTAAGTAAGCATTATTTGTTTTAGTATAAAAGAAAACCTTCTGAGCATTAATTACATACATTCCCTGAATCACACTATTTACAATTTTATAAACATTATTGACAGACATTATTATTATCTTTAAAATTTCCATCAGGACATTAATTCAAACATGTTTTATTTTGGTATAAATAAAAATTATCTTAACATTTGTTACAGTTCGCTTAGGAATTACATTATAGGCAATTTAGCGAGCACTTTTAACAGATATTATTTACATCTTGATAATATCCATCTGGGCAATTAGCTAAACATACCTTGTCTAAGTATAAATAAAAACCATCCTTGCACTTATTACATATTCCATTAGTATTACATAAAATACAATTCTATTAGCATTCCTAGCAGAAATCATTCTAATTTTTATAGGTTCCATCTGGACAAACAACCAAGCATTTACCTTAATAAAGGACATAATCTGAATAACACTGTTAACATTTTTTACCATCTAAGTTGCATTTACTACAATTTGAAGGACATGGTTCACAAGTTTATTTAGTATCATCTGCATATTAGTTAGATTTACATTATGTTTAGCATTATTGATTGACTAAATATGTCAAAGGCTTGCATTTATTACATTAATTTGAGTTATTGCAAAAGATACAGTTTTCAGGACAATTTGCTTGACATGATCCATTTTAATCACAAGAAGTACATCCATTGTTACATGCTTTACAAAATATCTATCCTTAATCATAGTATCCTTTTTAGCATGAGCATGTTTAATCATTTTATCTAAATGTTGCTATTTGATTTACTTTAAAAATAAATTAAAAATTACTATAATTTCTATTTATTTATCATCATAAATCTAAATTAAAATTTTATTTTAAATTAATTAATAAGATAATTTAAATCAAAATTCTATTCTTTTGAAGGGAAAAGTTTATTTAATATATTAGGTAAATATAATATTTAATTTTTCTTAATAAAGAGAAAATAGAAAAGCTATTTCTTCTCCTCTTTGCGTACTTTAGTAAAATAATAAGTACAGTAAATTAATTTAAGGAATTTAGGTTTAAATTAAATTAATAAAAAATAATTGTAATACCATAAATATTGCAAGATGTGCAAACTATTTTATTCTCTTATTTTTAACATTCTAAGCAATAATATGGACACTTTTAGCACAATTAATTTTCCCCATCATCATAATATCCAGATTTACACCCACAAGAAGAAGAAGAAGATGGGTTTAAATATCTCAATTTACTATTGTCGCAAGAACTACATTTATTTTAGCTTGTACATTCTTAGCATGTGTAATTACATTGATTACACTTCAGATTTGTACCATCATCAAAAAAACCAGATTTACATTCACAATTACCAACATTATTTCTATTTAATTATGTATTTTAGAAGCATTAAATACATTTAATTGTATTTAAAGAGTAATCATAAGCACAATTTTAGCAGTAATAGGGGCATTTTATGCAAGTGGGTGAAGAATTTTATGAATAATAAGATTATTAACAATCACATTAATTTGTTTTACTGTTGTAAACTCTGAATTATGTCTCTTCACAGGTTAAGCAAGTATTTTAATCTTTGCATGTTTTACATGTTGGATCACATTTTTAACATAATAATTTAGAATTCATGAAAAATCCTTCTTTGCAAATGCATTATGAATTTTAATTGACTATCATATTACTGTATCTACATGTTAAACATAAAGTAGGATCACTATCATCACATGTCAAGCAAGTATCGTTGCACCATTAAAATGAATTATCAGGATTTAATACTTTTCAATTCAATTAATAATAAAAAAATTTAACCTGATATTTAAAATATGATAATTTTTTACAATAAACATTATTCTACTTATCGTAAAGGATCAAATTCTCAGAATACTTATTTTTATTAATTTAAACAAAAGTAAATATAATATCAATTTAATTTATATTTTATAAAATTAGGTAATTTAATAATTCTTTTATTTAGTCTTTAATAGTTAATATTTTATATACTTCCTAGAGTTTAATTATAAATTACACTCATGAATATAAGTAACAATGCATATAAGTAATTAAGTATGCATAAGGTGATCATATCTTTTTATATTATTCTTAGAAGAATAAAGAAAACTCCTTACAAAATTTATATAAAATGAATTACTCTTAAATAATCAAATCCTGAGAAGCTTTGCTCGATTCTTTAGTCTATAACCAAATTACTAAAATAAACTAAATATTTTATAAAATTAAAAGATAAATTTTTATCATTTTCGATATTTAAGTTGCTTAAAAATTAGGCCATATTAAAGATAGCAACATTAAAGTAAATTTTTGAAACGAAGATAAATAATATAAATAATAAAATAAAGTATACTGTTTAGAGAGTTTTAATCAATTAGAACAATTTTTTATCCAACTACACTGTATTTGACAAGAGAATTCACTTACAATTATTATGAGAAAGATATTTTGGAATCTACATATTATAATTAATATATAACATTATTGTTAAAGTACGCCAAGAACAATTTTTAGGAAAGTGGCTATTAAATAAAATATATTTTATTTAGGTTGAGTGAAAAATATAAATCATTTATAAAAATAAATACCAGTATGGATTGAATACTTAAAAGTGGAGAGGTATATCCATGTTTTGTTACATACTAGTATTACTCTGTTGTTGGAGTTTTTAATTACTTATCCCATACTTGAATAATATTTTCAAAAAAATTAATGATATTAGATACAATATTTACTATTACTTGTTATCTATCCCTCACAAGAAGAAATCATCAGATCATCATTCTTAATTAAATTAGTTAGATAAGTTTATCGATTTTAAAAAAATATTGAAATGAAATAAAGAATTAATTACAGGGTTAAAAAAGAGACCTCTATCTGGCTTTGAACAAGAAAATGTTTCATATTTCTAAAGATTCATGTCATAGACTTTAATTTAGTTAATTAACATTTCATTTTAAGTAATTATATTAAATTAAATTATATGTTACTTCTCATTTCTGTGTTGCTGCTGGCAACTACCTTTTGTTAGAAATTAAAAATTCTACTTCGTTTGTTTAAATGATGTAAAATGAAATAAATACATATTGGCCAACTAATGCTTGTAGAAAAGTAAGACCTTTAAAATCCTATGTAGATGATATCTTATTGATTTGGTTATCTTGAAAACTATATACTAAAATAAATTATTGTTTTGTTTCATATTTATATCCATTTTGAGTAATTAATTAGGTACATGTTATTGATTAAGCAGACCCAGAAACAAACTTTTCATCCTAAATTATTCAAACAAATAATTCATATGATTTCAAAATTAATTTATTATTTTTTTACATTTATTCTGACAACTAAGGAGCATGAAGACCCACTAATTCCTGCTATTTTTTTCTTAGTTGTAATAGACCATGCTTATAATAAAATATTGAATAAAAACTATATAAAAATAAATGTAAATGTATGTTTACCTTAAATTTTATTTTTATCTAAACAAACAACAAAAGTATTTTAATTTAAGTAAGCTATAGAATTAATATCATTTTAGATCTATGTTAAAAGCTGACTGTAGGTAGTTTTTAAAATTGATAGAATAAATACAGCTATCAAATGTATATAAAAAATGTATCTTCTCATTTTAAAAGTTCAGTAATAAAGATTTTTTTTTTTACAGTCTCTTATTTTGTTTTTCTTAATTTTGTTTATTTTTTCTTTGAAAAAAGCATGAATTTTTTATTAAATTCTTATTAATTAAAAAGTTTTGTTAATTTTGCTAAAATATTTCGCTAATATAGGTTTTATGGATGAGAAAGCTTACTTAGTAATAGTAAGTCATTTTGAAAACCATTCATTTTAACTTGAAAATAGGTACTGATTTTACAATTTTTTTGTATAATGCTTAATAATATTTTACCTATAAAAAAAGTATAAACTAATTTGTTCTATTTTTATATCATTTTTTAAAATAAGTTTCTGATATTTAATTTCATATTTTTTTGATTGATCACATAAAAAATATGTGTAAATAATATAAAGATTATCTAAATCTAATTTTCTAAATAAAATATTTTAAAAGTATATTAAATAAATAAATTAATCTATTTTTATATGTTTTTTTATATCAAAATTAATTTTTTTTATAATTAATTCTAATCATTTAAAAGTTTTATTTGCTTTAATTTAATAAAGACTCATATTTAGTTAATATTTTTATCTAAAATCAAAAGAATTTTCTCAATTAAACAAATTTTTTTATTAATTTATTAACAAAAAATTAAATAATTTAATTTAATCCTATTTTAAATAATATTTTTCAAGCTAAATAAATCTTTCAAATAAAATCTTAAATAATATGACTTTCCTCAATAAAATAAACTTCATTTTTTATTGTTTTTTGTTGATTTTTATTAACATTTTTCCTCCTAAAAATTTGTAAGAGTTAAAAAAAAAAAATAATTAAAAAAGAGTTTTAGCCAATTTAAAAGTAAAACTTTTGTTTTTAAGAATTTAAAAAGAAAATTATTTTTTTAATAAATTTTTTGTTAAGAAAATTAGATTTTTTATTTATTTTAGAGCTTAAAATAAATCTGGATTTGAGATCTGATTAAATTAAAAAATAGATTGATTGATTGTAAATTAAAATTTTCTGATCGATTAAACCTGATATCTTTAGATAGTTTTATTAATTTCTACTTAACACTTTTTGCCATTCAAAATTTACTAATAAAAGCTTTTATTAAATATTGCTCAAAAAGGCGCTGAGTAAATTGAAAGCGTTCAAATTAAATAAAACGATTAGATAAAGTAAGAGGGACAGCTTGTAATTAAATTATATGATGCTCATTTTATTGAAATAATAATATTTAATAGGAAACTTTAGATAAAGATTAGAAAATAAACTTTACCATGAAACCCAAAAGCTACAATTTGTTTTTTAATAGAGTCACTCAATTTATTGATTTTGTTTACAAAAATCAGTCAAGCTTAATTGAAAATGAAGATTTATCTCCATATACTTGCTATTATCTTTAATCAGAATATGTTGTATAAAAAGTAAAAAAAGTTGAAACAGAATTGAAGCAAAAGAACCTTATTCAAATTTTGTTTAAACTAAACTGGAAACTATATTTTTTAGGCATTTTATTAAGTTTTGGTTAATATATGTCTGGATGTGTAGGCATTTACTTTTTAGATTTGATTACTAATTATTTGAAGTAAGACCAGCATTAATCTAAATGGATGTTTTTTGTATTAATTGTTATGCTTTTTTGTAGTTTTTTGCTCAAGACTATTCTATTTGCTTAACAAAGATGGGTAAGATTAAATCATACATCTATAATGCAAACTCAGCTTAGGTATTTAATACTAGAGAAGTCATTCAGAATTTAATGCTTCTAAGACAGTGATCAAGTGTAAAGCAAGATAGACCAAAGCTAATTGATGGCAGTAGACACAAAAGGATCAGCTTTGATTTATTATGGTCTAGTTGAAATGATCACTTCAACACTTACTCTAGTAGTTATTATCTACTTTGTTTATGTAAAGCTTGGAGCCAAGGCAACTTTGAATGGGTTAATTGTACTTATTATTGCATTATCAATTAACATATTTATACACAGATCTATTAATGTAATTAGTTAGTTTCAATTTATTAAGTATATCATCAATTTATTGTTGAATTAAATTTTGTATAGATTTTGTTTAGAAAGAAGAAAGAAATGACTGATAAAAGAGTTTCCTTAACGAAAGATGTTGTAGAGGGAATTAAAAGCATTAAGTACTTGGGATGGGAACAAGTATTTTTAAAGAAAATCGAATAAGCTAGAGAAAAAGAATTTAATCTTACTAGAAAAATCTAACTTTTGGATTGTCTTGGCAATATTTTGTGGATAAGCTTAGGCTATATTTTACTTTATGTTTTTCTTAGTGCATATTCTGATGAAGGCAATGATGTATTGAAATAAAATATATTTACAGTCCTTGCTCTTTTTGCTTACATCAAATAACCTTTAGGAACTATCCCTTATGGTATTAATTTCTTTTTAAAGGCCAAAGTTCAAATCAATAGAATTGATTCATTCCTTTAATTAAAAGAAATTTCTTAAATTGGATGTAAATTAATAAGTGTAAATCAAACAATTATTAACTTTTTATACAATTTAAAATGAACAGATCATATCAGTCACAAATTAAATAGTCAAAATGCAATTACAATAATTAATGCTTAGTTTTTTTGGCCAAGTAATGATAAAAGATAAAAAAAACTAAAGTAAGAATTGAAGTTTAATGAAGAAACTTCGACTGATTTATTTGAGTAGGAATAGGAAGGTTTAAATCACATAGAAAAGAGATTCAGTGTAAAAGTTCCAGATCTTTAAATTAAACAAGGATCATTGAATGTAATAATTGGAGAAATAGGTAAAAAATAGATTATTTTGATTTATTTTATAGATGTATTAAAAATTTAAAAGGATCAGGAAAAACTGCACTTTTACTCTCTATATTAAACGAGTTGGATCATTGCTAATTGAGTAAGAAGAATAAATTTTAAACTTTAATATATTTTTTTGATTAATTATTATATTACCAAATAGGTGAATTTTAAGAAGAGAACAAAATTGAGATATATGGAACTATTGGATATGTATCGTAAAATCATTGGCTTCAAAATAAAACAATACAAGAAAACATATTGTTTGGAGAAAAGTTTGATTAATAATGGTACAATTAATGCATAAAGGCCTGTGAATTAGATGAAGATTTTAGGTATTTTTCAGAATCAGACTAAAAAATTATTGGACCTGTAGGTAGTAACCTTAGTGGTGGCTAAAGATAAAGAATTTCATTGTGTAGAGCAGTTTACTAAAGAAAAGATATTTACCTATTTGATGATATCTTTAGTAGTTTGGATGCAAAAATTAGTTTGAGAGTCTATGAATAAGTTGTAATACATCTCCTTAACTAAGTTTTAGGTTCTACTATTCTAATTGTGTCTAGCCATTACTAATTCATTGACTTAAACAGATAGAACCTAAATTTAATTTATGTAACCAATGGCAACATTATTTAAAATAAATAAATAATTCAGCAATATCTCAATGACTACTAAATATAAACAAAACAAGACAATGAAGAGTATAACTAAAAATCATAAAAACAATTAGTCGATTAAGAAGACTAAAACTTACCCAATTAGAACGTAATTAATAAAAATTTAATTAGTATCATCTATTTAAATTAAAAACCTCAATTTCTCTATAATAAAAAAAAATACCCTTTTGCTATTTTAAAACTTTTTTTATGGTTTTGTAAAAAAGTAGAAAAGTAGAAAAGTAGAAAAGTTCCAATAAAAAATAATGGGATATATGGTATATATAATATGATTTTTTAAAAATTATTTTCAATTTGGAAAGTCTGATTAGATGAGTATGATTATATGGATAATTGAGATAAAAAATATTTAATTTTTTTATTGTGAAATTAGTACGATTTTCCATATCTATATCTGTGACAAAATATCCCGGATGTTAAGTTCTCTAAAGGATTACCTTTAACCATTTTTTATAGTTATGATATTATTAAATATAAATAATACTAACTTATTTTCTCATAAATTAAGACCTATTTTAATTAATGCCAAATTAAAAAATAAAAATTATTTTTACTTATTTCGACTTTAGAGTAAATTAAAAATTGACCTTAATTTATAAGGATTTGTAGTATTTTTATTTTAATATTAAAATAATAGTTAAATAACATAGAAAAAATTAATGAAAAAAATGGAGAACCAAGTTAAATATAATAAAATAAACCAGTTTTGAGTAAGAAAAACGAAGAAGAAAGGGAGAAAGGAAACATAAATAGAAAAACATTAATCTCTTTCTTTAGATCAAGGGGGTTTTTATTTTCTCTGATTCATTTATTTTTAAGCTTTTCAATTCAAGCTAGTTAAATGCTTACTGATTTTTGGCTAAAAGACTATACAAGGAGTAACATCAGTTAGTCTTCATTTCAATAATTCTTGAGTTATCTCTTTGGAGGATTTAATGAAATTTTTAAAGCCTTAACACTTATAAATTTCATAATAGCATTCTTATGTGGATTTTTTCACTTTTTGAGCTCTAATAATAGCAGCTAGTACTTGTTTAAAATACTCAACAAATAAATTATCTTTAGTAAAATGGTTTTTTTTGACAAAAATCCTATAGGAAGAATTTTAAGCAGAGTGTCTTCAGACTAAAGTAAAATAGATGATATTCTTTAAACCCACTATCATATATTCTTAGAAAAGCTAGCCTATCTAATTGGGTAAATAAAATCTTCTCAAAAAATGAAAAACAAATAATTTAATTTATTAGATTTTGATTTCAAATTTCCATAATTATAAAATTATTTAATTTTAATTTGATTTCTTATTATATTTTTAATTCAATTTTTAATTAAAGATACCCTATAGGCATGATAATATAGTTTCCATGGACTATTCTTCATTTTACTTTGATTATCCTTCTAGCTATTTAAATTTCTAAGAGATACAGAGCCAGCAGTCGAGAACTTACAAGATTGCATTCTGTGAATTAGGGACAAATGCTAACAGTAATAAGCGAAAATTCTTCTGGATTAAGTGTTATAAGATCTATGAATAAAGAAAGGATAATCATGTAAGAGTTTATCTAAAGTATGGAAAATAACAATTAATCTTAGATTGTTTAAGATGCTGTTTCTGTTTGGTTTGTGATGAGGCTATTCATTCTCTCAAATTCTTCATTTTTAATTATTGTCATTTCTAATCTATATATTGTATTTACTGGATAAGAAGTTACAGGTAATACAGTAGCATTAGGATTGATTTACTCAATGCTATTCTCGACTGTATTTTCTGATGTTATGAATTACTTTAATTATTTTGAATAAGATGTTATATCTGTTGAGAGAATAAACTAATATTTAGATAATCCCTTAGAAGACTTGCAAAGTAGAAATTCAATTTCAAACGATTAATAATTTAGGGTGGTTTTTGACGAGGAGATTGTCAAATAAAAAAGTGATGAAGATTTCGCGATATCTTTTAAAAATGTTTACCTCTCATATTCTAAAAATAACGATAATTTTGCATTAAAAAACATATCTTTTGATATTAAGAGAGGAGAAAAGATTGCTTTTTGCGGAAGGACAGGCTCAGGTAAGACATCCATTTTGAATGCTTTATTTAGGCTTTACGAAATAAATTCTGGTTAAATTTACCTTAATCAAAAAAATTCAAACGAAATGACTCTTCAAGAATTGAGAGAGTAGCTTTCTATCATACCATAATATGGCTTTCTATTTAACTCTACGATGTAGGAAAATCTAGATCCTTAAATGAAAAAAGCCAAAGAAGAAATGATAAAAATTTTTAAGAGATTTGAATGTTTAAAAGTTCTTGAGCAAAGCAACAGCAAGTAAACCACTAAACAGTAAAATAAATCTTTAAGTGATAAGTAAACCGGAATAAAAAATTCGTATTAAGAGCTTCAACAGATAGAAAAAGAATGTAGTAGTTAAAAAGAAAATGAAATTAAGTAGTAATAAAATGATAGCTTAACAAACTATGACGATAATTCTTAATTCTTAGACATGTTAATTTAAGAAAGTGGTAAAAACCTTTCTAATGGAGAAAAGCAGATTATTAATTTTTTTAGAATAATTTTAAGAAATAACTCTATACTTTGCTTGGATGAAGCTACATCAAATATGGATCCTAAAACAGATAAAATTCTTCATGAAGAACTATTTAAATTTAGTGAAAATAAAACCCTTATTGTAATCACCCACAGATTAGAAAATATCGAAATGTTTGACAGAGTTTATGTTATGGATAAAGGAGAGATAGTGGAATAAGGTCATGCCTCAGAATTAAAAAAAATACAAAATGGTTTTTTCAATAAGCTTTTAGAAAACAAAATTTGATTAATTAAAATATTTAATCTTTAAGCCAGTTTGTTTTCCGTAAATTTTTTATTGAGAGTTAGTTATATATTCATTTATTAGCATGAATAAATTTATTTTTGTTTTATTCTTTCTTTCTTTTTATCTAAAAAATATAAATTAATTTTAAAAAATCTATCATTTATTTTTCAATTTTTTAAAAAGGTAAACTTATTAAAGTAAAATTATTTATTTTTATATTTTTTTAAATAAATAATTTAATTCATAAAAATTATTTAATAATATTTTCTATGAAAATTAATTATTTTATTTGATAAAATATGTTTAAATTTTTAATGATTATTTATTGATACATTTAAAAAAATAAGCTATTTCAATTGATAAAGAAATATGTTTAAATTTAAAAATTTGTTTAATTTTTTCACTTTAAGACAGATAGTTTGTTTTCCATACATTTTTAATTAATAAGAATTTATTTAGTAACATAATAAATATATTTTTTTTGTTTTATTCTTTCTTTTATCTATTAAATAGAAATTTGAAGAAATCAATCATTTTTAATAAATTTTTTATAAAGATAAATAATTTAATTCATAACAATTATTTAATAATATTTTTTTTGAAAATTAATTATTTTACTTGATTAAATATGTTTAAAATATTAATGATTATTAATATATTTAAAAAAAATAAATAAGTAATTTCAATTAATAAAATATGTTTAAAATTAATTTTTAAAATAAAAAAATATTTTTTTCTTTCATAATTTTGTTTAATTAGCTTTTTTATAATTTATTATGAAGATTCATATACTATTTTTCTTTTAAAATAAATATAAACTTACATTTTTTTTGTTAATTATTTTTTAAATTGCGTTTTTCATTTTAGAATTTTTTAATAATTTAATCGATCAAACAGCACTCATCGATACTTTTTCTAAAGTATATTCTTTGAATTAGAATCTTTGAGGTTTATTTTAAATTTACTTGGAAAATTTTCCAAAATGCTGAGAAAAATTACTATTTTTAATGTTTTCTGAATTAAAGATAAGAGCTGGGTTTTTTTAGAAATCTTAATTTAAGATTTTTTTGTTCAACATGTTATGCTCACTCTGATTGTTGGAGCTACTTTCTAAATGCTAGTTTTTATTGCTGAATTAAAGCTAACTTAGATCTGGCTCTTAAAATTTTATACTCTAAAAATTATATTCTTGTGATCTTTAACTTTTCAGTTAATACTTTAGTCTTTTGGTTAAGTTTTCTAGAATATTTTCTTCATTTGAATTTAAATCATTTGCATGATCAAAAGATTTCTTCTTTTAAATTGGCATAATATATGGTAAATTTATTGTATTTGAAATAAAATTTTTATTGCTATAATCAGTATTATTAGTATCATTTTCTTCATAAATCTTTGGTTTAAGATCCTAATGTTGATGATGAAGATGATGCTCTTTTTTATTATTATTTTAGTTAATTTTTTCACTCGCTTTGTAATTAAATCCTGTATTTAAAAACTAAGGCTGCTACATTTCAAATGGTTTTGCTGAGCTTATTTTTTTTTATAAATCTTCTATTAATATTTATGTATTTTAAATTTGCTGATCTTTAAAAGTAAATAAATCAGTGATTTATTAGTTGATTTATTGGTCTTAATTCATATGCAGGGTAATCAAAAACTCTCTTCCCACCTCTTCAAAATGCTCAACGTTCATTTCTAAAAGGTTACTTTAACCATCTTCTTATTGAGTTGTTACTGTATGTATTTTTAAAAATTAATAAAATAGAGCATTTATTTGTTTATAATGCTTAAATAAATTTACTTTATGGATTTTTAAAACCTAAAAAGGAGCATTCTAAAGTGTAGGATTTTGGAATTTGGAGCTCTTAAAAACCTACAACTCTTGCAGTACCAAGTTTATCTCTTTAAACAGCAAAGCAACACTTTTCAAAACTAAAATATTATTTCCTCTGTGAATATAAGTAAGGAAATACTTTAATTAGATTGTTTAATTCTTTGTAATTAGGTTTATTTGTATTTTCATCTTCATATCTATATTAACAGCCATATATGAATGCTCCCATTGATTTAGAATGTCCATGAATATCACAAAGTAGTTCTACTTTGCCTTTACTTTTCAAGGTTTCTTTTTCTTGTTTAGGAGTTGCCAAATCATTGCAGGACTCTTACTTTTCTGTTTCCTGTAGTTTTTATATAAGTTTTTTAACAGAATGAATAGGAGCATGAATGTAATCTAAAGCCTTTTTCCATTTTCTATTTAAATCATTTCCAAACAAGCAACATCTGTAATTTCCATATCTTACTCCATCTGGATTCAGCATAGGGATCATTCTAAAAATATATTTCTTCCTTAATTCAACCGCTATTTCATGATCTGACAGCAAAAAGTCAAGCATTCCCTTCATAATCCAAGAAGCATTTGTTTCACCAGGATGAACTCTGCTGCAAATTATCACTTCTTTTTTGTCTTACTATTTTATTTAAAAATTATTTACTAAATCTAAATCTATTAAGTTGTCCTTTTGAAGTCAATTAAATTAAGCACAGTTTGTTTGTTTGTTTGTTTTCAATTTTATAATTTTAATGTAAAACTCGTTTTAAAAATTATTTTTAAATAGTAAAATTAATACATTTTGAGTTGAAGGTTCATTGATTTTATCAGAAATGCTGATACAAAATACTTTGTTTCCTGTTATTTAAAAAATAAAATAAAAATAGAATATTATATTTAAGAAATTTTTTATTTACCTATCAGGGTTGTTGTTAGTGATTCAACCTTATAAAATTTATTCTATTATTGATGTTAATTGAGCTTTGATAGATAATGAGTGAGATTAGAGTATGTATAAGGCACTGAATGAGCAAAATATACTATATCATCGTCATATTTATAAGTATATGTAAATGAGAGAGTGCTATAATAAACCGAAGGCATATTAATACTATTCCTGTAGTTTCTTTTTTTATTTTAAGCATTGTTATTAGAGTTGTTATTTAAATTTGAATTGCAATTAGTGCTATTAGTGTTTATGTTATTATTATTATTGTTGTTGTTGTTATTGTTAGTTTAATTAGTATTTTAGTTGATTTAATTATTACAACTTTAATCTATTGAATTTTACTAATTATTTTAATTTAGCTATTAATAAATAAATATGTTATTATTACTGATCATGTTACTGAAATTTATTCTTTTAAATTCATTTCTTGCATATTGAATGTTTTCACAATCTCTATGCCACTTCTCTCCCTTTTGCTCAAATGCTTTTTAAGAAAATACAACAGGCCTTAAACCCTTTTCATAAAGGCTCCTTTCTTTGTAAAGATTCACAATATTGAACTTTACTTTTGTATCTAATTATATTTTTAATAAATGTTTGTTTAAATAAATAACACAAAATAGTTTTCTAAATATTGTCATAAACAATTTTTACTTACTTTTTTTTATATTCAAAGTTCTAAAAAAGTACCATTAAGTAAAATGATCTGTCTAATATTTATTATAAAATTTAATTAAAATTTATACAATTTAAATATTTACTCCAGAGTCAAACTCAAGTATTAAGTTATACTCGTTTTCAGCAACCTAAATATTTTAATTTAAAAAGTCTTTATTTCTTTATTTCAAATAGTTTTAGAAAGTGTTAAACAAGCAAGAACGTTTAAAATGTCTATCTTCATTAGTAATTTTTGTGGAAATTTAATCAAAATTTAGATTAAAAACAAGTAAAATTTATTTGTTTAACTTATCATGTATGTGTATAGGAATGCATTAAAAAAATTTAGTTAAATTCTAATAATTATCCAGTTATGAATAAAATAAGCTTTAATAATATTCAAATGCCATAATATAATAAATAAAATGCTTTAGAAATTTTAAACAAAGATAAACGAAAGATTTTTAATGAGTTTTATGTATACTCCTTTTAATTTATTAATATTAAGAAAATATTTTTTATTAATTTTGAAAGTTTTTTAAATAAAATTTACTCATAAAAATTTTTTCATTGAATTATGAAAAAAATTTTTGATATTTTAAAAATGCTTTAAACTCAAACAAAATTAATAGGAATAAATTTTTATAATCTTTAAAAGTATTTTTTATTATTTTAAGCATCTCAAATACTCCCATTCTTCTGATGATCGAAAAATTATTGAAAGTGAATTAATTACTTGCTTACTGCAAAATTAAATACTTAAATTAATCTAAAATAATTAGGGAGTAAAAATAAATAATAACAACTAGTTAAATTTTAAGAAATGAAAATAAATAGGCTTTTATATCTGGATAACAAAATGAAGCAAGTATTTAGAATCAACTTTAAAGTTTCGAACTTGATAAATCAAAATTTAAATAAAGTTTTAATGATTTGAATTATTTACCTTATACACTCTCCTTAAATTACCACTTTCAAATTTAGAGTCAAATAAAATAGCTGTATCATCTACTTCGTATTTTAACATTGAAAGTGTTGGGAAAAGCTTTAATGGAGGAAAACTAGACATTCTTAAAAGATTAAATTTATCTTTGTCAGACAGGTTTTGAAATTGATCAAACATTTTAAATTATTTTTATTTAAACTAAACATTTCTTTCGTGTCTAAATGCTGAATTGTTAACTCTTTTGTTGAGGTTTTTATACCTATCTAAAAGATTCCTAATCCTCCTTTTATTATCAGAAGTCATATGATACGGTATTTGAAAGTTGATATTCATAAAGCAGTCATAAACAGTTAACAAATCTATTATATAAAATTAATTTTAAGATTTTTATTTCGTTAATAATAAATTTTTTTCTTTCTTTTGGTTTTTAAAAATCAAAGTAGACTTTGATTAATTTTTGTAAGTAGAAATTAGATTAATTTATTAAAGTCTTTCTAATTAATTATTTTAAAGAGAGATAAAGAAATAGAGAGGGGCCTTAATTACCGATTAAGAAGCTGTACGTTTATTTATATTATATTTAAAGGTGATTTATTTATTAAATATCTTATTCACTTACTCATAATGCTTAAATAATTTAATATAAACCCAACTAATAAATAAACATACTTACTTACCTTTGTCATATTTTTTGATAAACTGAGTAAAATTCTTTCCATTAAAGCAAGAAATATAAGTGTTTATAAAATTGTTGTAGCTTTCATTTTAGTTTTAAGATCTATTTACCTCTTTTTTAATCCCAACATTTTCATAGTTATTTACGAAATTTTGAGAGTTTTAACTGCTTTAACTTATGCAGCTTTAGTAATAGTTATTGTTATTATTATTACTATTGTTATAGTTATTGCCGCTGTTGCTATTATATTAATTATAGCTTTACTAAACTTCATTGCCCGTGTTTAAGTTTTGATTAGTATTAGTTGCCTATTCTGTTTAGGTTGTACTTTGGGTGGGAAGAATAAGCGTTTGACTCGTATACTTCTCAAGCCTTTTAAGTTATTGGGTTATTTTTTTTTGTTAAATACTTAACCCAATCTAATTAATATTATTGAGGGATTTTGATTCCTGAATTAAGTAAGCTTTTTTATTTGGCTCAGTTTTTTCTACTTTTACAATTTAGGGCTTTTTTTTGTTAGCTTTTAAATGAAGTTAGTTCAATAAATTATATTCGTTAATCTGTTTACGTTGGAGCGGAGTTAATGGATACAGTCTTTCTAATTGCTTTTAATTGTCAAGAGATAACCTTTAAAAATTTTTATCTAACAATTTTAATGTTTATTTCATCTTTTCTTCGCAACTCTAGACTTCGTCATCTCTAAGCGGATTCTCCTTTGAAGACTCTTTTTAGATTAATGGCAACACAACTACTTTTTCTAGTTAATATTGATTATATTATCTGCGATGAATACTACTTATGTTCATTAAAAGTATACTACTTTGAAGCTAACTTGTAATGTTTATATTAATAATTGATTAAATGTATCTATATATCTCTTTTGCTTGCTTAATAATATATTGAATATACCAAATAAATCAGTGTTTTTTCTATTTACTATTTTAAATACAATTGAATTTCAAACTTCTTTCAAGAATTGAATTAGTTTTTTTATTATTTAACAAAACAAACTCAAATTAGTAATAATAACCTTTAATTTTCATTTCTAATTTTATAATAATTTTTTACAAATCAACGATTGATTTCAAACAAAATTCATTATCTTTTATGTTTTCAATTAATTTTTTACTTCATTTCAAACCAAAAATTAACTATTTATTATACAAATAAATTTTCAACTAGTTATCCTTTAAATAAATTTACATAAATAAAAATAGAAAATACAAGCATTCGAACTAAGTAACTCATATTTTTTAGATTTAAACATAGATATCTATTTTTTTCTTACTCTCAAACTATTATTACATCAATCACATTTTTTTTCCATCTCAGTTCCATGAATAAATACTTTTTTTTTAATATAATTTTAATCTGTAAGGTCAAGAAGTAAATTATTTAAATCAAATAAAAATTTAGATGCACTTAAATGATCTCGATTGCTAATTAAGTAAAAATATGATATTTTATTTTTCTTAAAGAATAAAAATTGCTTATTTTAATATTAAAAATTCTAAAATTAAGATAAATTACTAAGTTTTAAATTAAAAAATTGTGTTATTTTTAAATATTATTTTATTAAAAGGTTTCATTATTTTAAAATAATGGAAATTTTTCTAAACATAATTTTTGTTTAAAAACAAACAAAAAGATATTATCAATAGAATTTATTTAAGCACAAATTGAGCATAAGAAAATAAAATTTGATTATATTTATTTTTGTTGTATTAATATGCATTTTGCAAGTTTTGAAATTTAAAAATAACATTTTAACTAACAATAAAATAAAAAATATTTTTTGATCTATCTTCAATTTCATAAAAAGAGTTTTATTTACATCAATTAGAACAAGTCACATCATTCAAAAAATATAAAAATCAAAATTTTTTTTAACTTCATAAAATCTTTCAAAATATTTGTTTTCATAAAAACTTTCTTAAATTTTGTTTAAAATAAAATTTATTTGAATTAAAAAATTTAAATAAGTATGAAAGAAATGAATGAGTTATTTTTTTCAAAAGATTTCATTTTATTTTTATTGAATTTATTTTTTTTAATTTTTCTATTTTCTATTTTTATTTGTATTATTATTTTTAATGATGTCTTCATTTTTTTTATTTTAATTATTTTCTTAGTGGTTTGTATATTTTTAATTTCTATGCTTAATTGCTTAATTTTGTTTTAATTTTAAATTTTAAATTTTAAATTTTAAATTTTATTCTTTATTTTTTTTTCTTTTTCTTTTTCTTTTTGTTCTGGTCTAGCTTCAAAGTCTGCTGATACCTAGTAAAAAATACATTTTTATATATCTTTTAATTTTTTTTGATAATTGTTGTGTTGAAAAGTAGCTAACGGAGGACTTCATTGAAATGACCGATAGAGCTGAGTTTGCTTCATAAAAAGTGATTTAAAATTAATTAATTCTCCTCTTATGATTCACGCAAAAACAGTTAACGACTCATTTCCAGGTAGCGATTGCATGATTGATTGTTTCTCTTGAGATCAAAATTTCTACCCTCATCACAAGGTATCTAAATTAATCTCTTGAGCTTCTATAATTCTTCTTAAAATTTCTTAGAATGAATTATTATCATTTTAGAGAATGTTATCATAGAATGAGGCCATCACCTTTGCAAATTTAGATTAACCTCATCTAGATATTAAATATTCTCAATAAATGATTCGGGATTAAAAAACTTCATTCAATATCTTCTGATAGAGAATGCATGCAACGGCTGGTAAGCTTAAAATATTTTTTCCTTAAAAACTTATGAAATCTGCAGCCACTTTCAATTAGGAAGAAGAATAGGCAATAAATATCTTTTAATTGTCTATTTTTTAATTTTTTTAATTTTCTTCTTATCTTTGAATTTAAAATTAATTATTTATTTATTTATTTTTCCTCTCTATTGACTAAATTTCATTAAAAAAATAAATTAAGATTCGAAAATTTGCTTTAGAAAAATAAATTTGAATTTTAGATAACTATCAAAAAAATCAAAGACCTTTCAAAATTCTAAATATAAATCAACATTGAAATCAATCATCTAAAGTCTTTAAATTATTTTTATAAATTAAAGTCATAAATAAATAAATGAAAAAACTTGTAAAATATTTTTATGAAGCTATAAAAATAAATAATTTTTATTCATTATTTTTAATCTGCAAAAATTTGTAATAATATTAACTCATCAAGAGGAAAATAATTAATTCTTGTAATTAATCTTAATTCATAAATGATCATCATAGAGATTTTTTGTTTGCTTTAATTGATACTTTTTTTGATTTTAATTTGTTTGTCTCTATTTTCTTCTGTATAATTATTTAAAAAAATAATAATTTACTAAAAATCAAAATTAATAAATAAATGTGATGCTTAACTTAGATAAAGAGAAATATTTTTTTAAATCCCGAATGAAACGAACGACACAATAAGAATCCCATTAAGTTTTTAACCATAATATATTTCTCAATACCTAAGTTAAGATATGTTCACAATAAAATAGCATGGTGAAATAAACATGCGGATTGTCAAAAAATAAATATTAACAATTAGTTAACAGATTTTTTTCTTCTAAATTTTATATTTATCATATATAATTAGTATTTTTTGATAACCTAGGCACTTATCTAATAATGCTCATCTAGTAGAATCGATCTTTGCTCTCTAAAATGCTCAACAGATAACTTACTCATAAAATGAGAAATAATAAAAAGATAAAAGATATAAATAAATTTAAATAAATAAAAAGAAAGAAAGAAGAAAAATAATTGAAATAAATAAAAAAATAAATTAAAAATAAATAATAATAAAAAATAAGAAAAATAAAAATAAATAATATTTATTAAAAGATAAATCAATATAAAGTTTGCCACCACTTCTTAACTACATTTAATTATTAAAAAAAATTCAATTTTAAAAATAAAAATTTAATATTAAAAATCATATTTTATTTTTTTAAATCTATAAATAAATTGCTTGTTTTTAAATGTACATAAATTTATTAATTTAAGTTAAAATATTTGTTTAATTAATTAATGTAAGTAAATAAAAGTATGTAATCATAGCATAAATTCTTTTAATTTTTCTCATTATTCTGCTCAATTTATAAAGTTTTTTTTTTAAATTTTTTTCTAAAAACGCTTATTTTATTTTGAATTCTTTATTTATTTAAAATGTTTTTTTTTGAGATTTTTTATGAACTAATTCAATTTATAATTTGAAATAAAGAATAGTAAAAATATTTTATATTTTTTAAATCCTACATGATCGATCACACACTTACTTACATGTACCATGGTGCTTTGTTAGTTTAAATTATATTTTAAAAAAAGCAGTTCTAGATAAAAATATAATTTAATGATTGCATTTAATTTTGACAATGGACATATTTAATTTTGTTAAAATCATTAAAGTATTAAGTTTACAACAAAAATTTAGTGATAAAAAATCATTACTTCAAAGAAGACGTAAGAAAGGGAGAAGATAAAATTTTAATTTAGGGTAAAAAAGAGAGAGTTAATTTTTTTTAATTACATAATGAAATTTTAGTAGAAAGTGGATATGAAAGGTAACTAAATAATTTTTTTAAAAAAGAAAATAAATGAGTTTTCAAAGTTAAAATTTGTATCTTAATGATTAATTTTATGCAATAAAATAACAAGAAACAAACAATAAAAAATTATTGGATATGAAAGCAACAAACCTAATACCAATCATAATTAAAAGTAATATCAAATGAATAATTAAAAGGAATAGCTAAATGTTAATGAATAATTTTAATGAAATACAAGTGAAAGTAGTAAACATGTATATATAAATGCTGAGAACAAAAGAAAAACAAAGGATATTAAAAAATGAATGCACTCACTCATTATATTATACATTGGGAATAAGTTTTTTGGTGTAATTAATTTTTGAAAGTATTTGATGAATGCTTTTATATTTAATGTTTTTTTAATTGTTTGTATACATATTTGCATGCAGATAAGTAGGGAGAAATAAAAAGAAATAAAAGAAGGTAATAGAAACAACAATTATATTTATATTTGATAAATTAATTAAGTGAGAAGAAAGGTAAAAATTTATCGTATATATTTTTCGAAAGAAGGAAAGAGAAAGTGATTGGAAATAAATAATAAATAAATAAAAGAAACAAATAATCGCTAATAAATAAAATCAAATAAACAGGCAAACATTTAAATTAAAAAATATTAAGAGTAGAAATGAAGAACCTTTTGAGATCCGCTGTATTCAATTAATTACTCGCTGGTAATAGAAGCACTGCTGCTCCTTCTGCTGCCAGACACACTTGGACTTCCACTTATATTCAAAAGCCTGGTGCTGGCAAGATCTAAACTGTTACTCTCATTCCTGGATACGGTATTGGTCCTGAAATTACCAGTAAGTATTATTAAATTTAATTCTTAATAAGCAAATCTGAAATAAGTGAAAATTTAAATTCTGAAAGAGTTCATATTAACCTACTTAGCAAGTATCTCAAGAGCAGCTCCAAGCTCTTTTTGTTACAGTTATCAATTTAGAAATGATGCACTTTGCTAACAGCTTTTGGGAAAAACATATTCACAAATAAAAACTTTAGCATCAATCAAAAGCTTAAATTGCATTTCGTAATTAAATTTAGCAAGCAAAAAGAAAAGAGTTGAACTAGAATTAAATAAATATGATTATGAATAGACAAATAGAAAATGAGATCAATTCAGTAATCAATAATTACATGAAAAGAATTTATTTTAATAGGAGCTAGGATTTAAGTGGATAGAATTAGAGGAGTGTTTAAGTGAGACTTCTTCTACTAAAAAACAAACTCACAAATAAAACTTTAGGAGATATAAAATATAAGAAATGAAATAAAAAGGATTTTATTTTAATCACATTTGCTTAACAAATTTTTAAATAAATCAGAAAATATTTTGCAGGTTTATTGATAATGTTTTTTTGTTTAATTATATAGACTCCGTCCAATAAGTTTTCAAGGCTGCCAACGTTCCCATTCACTTTGATGTTATAGAAAACTTCAGCTGGGAAGACCCTGTCACAAGAGAAAGACTTAAAAAGAATAGAGTCATCTTATTGGGTGTCATTCCTCCTCACGGCAAAGGTTAAAAGTTAGTCGAAAATTTCTAATTCTACAACGAATTAGGTTTATACGCTGATGTTATGCCAGCTGTCACCCTTCCTGGTGTCTCTGCTCGTCATCAAAATGTCGATGTCGTAGTCATCAGAGAAAACAGCGAAGGTGAATTCACTGGTATTGAACATGAAGTCTACCCTGGTGTCATTGAATCCATCAAGAGAATCACCAAGGAAAGCTCTCTCAAAATTGCCAAGTACGCTTTCGAATTCGCTCACTTGAATGGTCGTAAGAAAGTCACTGCTGTCCACAAGGCTAACATCATGTAATTAATATAAAGCATTAAATCTAGGATAACAAATTTCATGTTTTAGTCTCCAAATATACATTAATAGGCAAGTTATTAAAATAATAGGAATTTAAATAGTTTTTGTATAATTATAGGAAATTAGCTGATGGTTTATTCTTGGAAGCTACCCGTGAAGTTGCTGCTGTTTATCCTTTCATTAAGTACGAAGAAATGATTATTGATAACTGCTCTATGCAAGTAATTTTTATAATAAATTTTATTAAATTTTTATGAGTTATTCAAATAAACAAATAAAAAAAAATAGATCTTTTAAATAAAAATACTCTTAGCTTTAAATAAATAAATAAAAAAACAAATAATTAAGAAATAACTTTATTAATTAAAAATAAATATGACAATAGTAAATTAGCTTTATTGCATTAAAAAATAACTAAATTAAAATAAATGGTTTTAATTTAATTTTTCCTTTGAAAAGCACAAATTTTCAAAAATTCTTTAAAATGAAATGTGAAAAGAAATAAAAAAGTTATAAAATATATTTTAAGTTATTTCATAGTGAAATTAATTGTTAATTATTTAAATAAACAAATTTATTTTAATTCATTATATTTGAAATATAGTTGGTTAAAACTCCTCAATAATTCGATGTCATGGTCTTACCTAACTTATATGGTGCTATTGTTAGTAACATTTGTGCTGGCATTACTGGTGGTGTTGGTTTACACGCTGGTATTTGTGTCGGTGAAAACCACGTTTTATTCGCATAAAGCAACAGACACGCTGGTTTAGATATTGCAGGTATGAATGTCGCTAACCCTACTGCTCTTCTCTTCTCCTCAGTTTCTATGTTACAACATATGGGTTTCCCCTTCTTTGCTGATAAAATCAATCGTGCTATCAATAAAACTCTCTGTGATGGAAAGGTAAATAACGTCCAATAATAGTTTTATTAAATATAATTATATTTTAAGATTCAATTTATATTTTTACATGAATTTTTTACGAAATTTGTAGTTTAGCAAGTAGAATATATGATGTATTCTAATATTTCTCTTGATTAAATTTAGATAGAACTTAAATTAAGCTAATATTTAATTTTAATTTTAAATAATTAGATCCGCACTAGAGATATTGGTGGTACTTCTTCTACTAGTCAATACACTGAAGCTATTATTAAGAATCTTGAAAATTGAAGAATATTTTAAGATTAATGACTGATTGATTTATTATTAAAAATAATTTTTTTATCTAAAAGCATTTATATTTATTAAGTTATATTAAATGTATCTGCATCTTTTTATTTACTTAATCCTGTATGCCTTTTGATTAAAAGCATATTTATTTTTAACTTTTTTAATTCTTCTAATTATACTTAATAGACCATCTAAACTGATGTATAATCAAATATTGAAATAAAGTAAAAAATAAATTTTGATATTTATTTTTTATATTTTTAACAAAAAATATGTTTTTTAATTAAACATAAAAAACTCTTCATTATATATTTAGAATCAATAGTAATGTTTAAAACATAAAATAAAAGCTTTAATGTCTTACTTAATTTTTAATTTAACATAATACTAAAATGTATTTTTTGTTTAACATTTATATGTGTATTAATTATGTTTAAATAGCAATATGAAAAGTTCTATTAAAAATATGTGATTATTTTAAAAATAAATAAACTTTTTTAATTGGTTGGAAGCAAACTAGTAATTGGTATTTAAAAACATTTACATGAAAAAATGAAATAAATTGATACTTTTCGATGGTGATAGATTAATAAATAAATAAATTTTAGATTAGTGATTTTTGTATTGTTTAATGTATTCTATCAAATAATATTGTTACTCTTATAAAATGCTCTTTTGCCTTAAAATATCAATCTAAATAAATTTCTTTTCAAATTTGATTAAGAAATTATATAATTCTAAGATGCCTGGAGAGAAAGTTTTTTTCATATTTTAAAAACAAAAGGTTAATATTATCAAAGACCATAATTTTTTCAAAATTTTAATTCAAAAGAATATAATTCAAGCAAAATACTACCAATCTTCATTTATTAACCCCCTTCTTTTCTCCAATATTTTTTACATTTTTGATATCAAAAAAAAACTGGATCTTTAAAATAATTATGAAAATACAAACCTAAAAGTAAATGAGGTTATATAGTATAACGTTATAAATATATATTAACTTTAACTATAATAAATATTTTGATTATTTAAAAATACCAAATGGTTTTAAGGAGATTCTAAATATAAAAAAACAAAAATGTATTCATTTATTTTAAATAATTTTACCTTTTCCAAATTCTAGGTTTTTTTGACTAATTTTATTAATATTTAAGTTAAGATGATTTATTTAAATATTAGAATTAATTTTAAGAATATTGCGATGCTTTATAAGTATTAAAATAGTGTTTTGCTAATTTTAAAAAATAATGCATTTAAATTATTTGATTAATAAGTAATACAATGAAAATAATTTAAACAATTTATTTAGAATAAAACAATAAAATTTCAAGCTTATAAGTTCTAAAATTGACCTTTAGTATGACAAAAGAACAGAGATCATCTATCTATTCAGAAAATTTAGGTTACTAAAATAAATGTTAAATTATTTACTTGGTGGTATAAAGGAAACTGAATATTAATTCAGTTGATTAGATAATTTAAAAGCTTCAAAAAATGACCTCATTTGAGTTATTTGTAAATAAAACATTATTAAATATGACCTAATTCATGTATTATGTTATAAAAGTCTATAATTTTATATATAAAATCATTTTTGATAATTACTTTTTTCCTTAAAAACGTTTACGTAGCCAATTATAGAGTTTAAGGTAGCTTATTTATTAAATAAAATAAACTGCAAAGAATATTCAAATTAAAAAATAATTTATGAAAAAGAAATATGAGAATTAAGATATAAAAATAAAGAAGATTTTAACAGTTTTTGTTTTTAGATTATATTTGTGTAATATCAAAGATAGAAAGGATCTAATTCTTATTTTCCACTAAAATTTAAAGAATTTTTTCTTTTTCAAAAAAATTTCAAAGGATTTCCACAAATATTTTAAGTGATTTGATTATTAATTTATATCAAAAAAGACTTATTTGAGTTAAAAACATCTGTATTTGTATATTAAATTAGATTTTTTATAGGGAATTAATTAAATATTTTTAAAAATAATTTTGAATTATCTTTTAAAATTTAAGAATTATTTTTAGAAAGAAATATTTAAGCTTTTATTTTTTTAAATGTAAAATATTTTTAATTGGACAAAATTCTTATGTAAAGTAAAGAAAAATGTTGTTTTAATTAAAGAAAACATGAACAATAGATTGAATTTGTGTCTATAGTAGAATGATTATTTGATAAATTCTGAAATAATATTTTGTTATTAAATTCTTGACAAAAAGTCCATATCAAAATAATCATACAAATAAATATTGATTATTATAAAAATACACTAGATTTTTTAATAAAAAAGATAAATCGCTGTTAAACAAACTAAGTAAAAACGAATGACTGAATAAAAAGTGATTATAATGAAAATTATTCTAAAGTATTTTTGAAGCGCAAAGAAAAATATGATGAAAAATTTCTAACTCAAAAACTATGAGTATTAATAAATAGATTTTTTACTTAATTTGATAAATTCTGAAATTATATTTTGTTACTAGATACTGCTTCTAATTAAACTAAGCATTTAAATTAACTAAAAAGGTTTAGATGTTTATTAAAACGAATAGCTATGAACATTAATAAATAAATTATTTATTTTGATAAATTCCGAAACATTATTTAATTACTAATTACTTCTAATTAAATTGCAAATTTAAATTAGATAAAGAGGTTTAGATGTTAATTAAAACAGCCATCCAGATAAATATATTTTTTATAATATTTCAGTACACTAATATTTTTAATAATAAATAATTATATAAAAGCTGATAAATAGAGTTAAAAAAATGATAACAGACTAAAAAGTTATTCAAATCAAAAATATTTTTCTTAAGTATTTTGATGAAGAGCTAGCAAACATAATAACGAATTTCTTAATCAATAATGATGAATATACCTATATAAATTATTTGGGAAGCTAAAGTAATAACTCTCATTTGTTTACGAGTGCTAAAAAAACTACAAATCAAAAAGTAGTGTTATAATTTTTATAAAAAGATATCTACTAAAGTAATTTAAAATATTTTTATCAAACAAATATTTAACTAAAAAAATTTTATATTAAATAAGAGCTTAATATTTAACAAACCATACAAGAATTTTAGTTAAAAATTGAATTGGAATAAATAATAATGTTTGAGTATTCATATAAATAATGCAATTTTATCTTAAGTAAAATACCTGAGAACATATTCGGTACATAATATTGTCCCTCTGATAACTTTAACTATAAAGAAGTCTAAAATCTAACCATATACCTAATGTAAAACTCTCTTTCGTTTTTCTTAAAATTTTTACATTTTATTAATAATAAAGGTCATCTACCAGTTCTAATAATTTAATATATAACGCCTTGTAAAAATTCGATAACCTTTTAATTCTCTCACTAAAATAAAGGTAAATTTTATAATGTAAATTATGAATAACTAACTTATTATTTATTAATAATAGAAATTTGCAAATAATGGGCAATTCTCTTGAAAAGCTAGGCAATTCTGTTTCTAAATTAGCTAATCTTAGGCACTTACATATAAATTTAAGGTAATATTTATGTTTTTTTTATTCATATTTAAAACTTGTAATAGTTAAATAAAAGATTGCGCAACTTTATTACCTAAGTTTTGTGATTCTATAAAATAAAATAAATATCTTAGTCTGCTTGAAATGAATTTAACGTAATATAAAATTTAAGCTTGAATGTGTTTTGATAATAAATTTATTTTATTTGCGAATAGCTAAACAAATATGAACTCAAGTACAATATAAAAAATATCAAAGCATTTTATTGAATACTAAAGTCTTTCTTTCTTGATGCTAAATATAATGTAAATTTCTATATAATATTTTACCTTTTATTAAAAACCTATTTACTCAAAATCAAAAAAAAAATACATGAGTTATTAAAAAATGAATGAAGTTTGTTCTATTGAATCAATTCTTTGAATTTTTAAATTAAACCACTCATTTCTTATAAATAATTTAATTTTTTAATAAGCAAATCAAAATGTATTCATAATAAAAAATATCAAAAAATGCAATTACTTATTTCTATTGGCCTAACCCCCTAAATTTTTGAATTAATAGAGGAATCACTCACTCATTCATTCATTTTAATGAAAATATTAAGTTTTTAATTAACAACCAAATTCCTCCAAATTAATTAAAAGGATAAATATTTTTATGCAAAATAAAAATAGATAAATAGGTACATTCATTGTTTTATTTAAATGATACAAAATTTTTTGAAAAAGGATAAATATTTTTATGTAAAATAAAAATAGATAAATAGGTACATTCATTGTTTTATTTAAATGGTACAAAATTTTTTGAAAGAAAACAAATTTAGATTTATCATTTTTTTAAATTAAAATCACATTTTCAAAAACTTTAAAATATTTATTTAGATAAAACGACATTAAAAAAGAAGGAATCAAAGGATTATGTTAAAATTTAGCTAAATGCAAAAATTTGGCACTAATCTATTTTTATTTAAGGTAAAAAATAATTAGAAATATTCCTATTTAATTTATTTTTAATTAAAGTTATGAGAATTTAGTTGATTTGGGATAAGAATTTAGAAATAATCAAACAATCTAAGAATTATTTGTTCAAGCTGATGTTTCTCAAAGCTGTGCTTTATTTTAGGACTAATATAGCTTAAAAAATCAAGCAATAACATCAAAATTATCTCAATTTTTAAATCTAAAATCATTTAGCTTTTGCCAAATGTAAAATTACTTTTTCCAAAAATACCAGTCAGCTTATGAAATTTTTCTTAGGAAATTTTTATCAGATCTTGAATTTAATTCATTTGCAAATGGTTTGTCAAAGTGTATAAGTTTAAATATCCTAAATCTTCATTTCATGTAAATTATTTTCAATAACAAAGGAAATTTTGATATATTTTTCAATCAAATAATTATCTTAGGAATAGCAAAATCAGTACTTAGGGAAAAATGCTGTTAGCTAAATCTATTTCATAACTCGCAAATTTACAAAGCTTATTTTTAAATTTTAAGTAAAATCTTGCAAACAAACATGAAATATTAGTTAAAACTAAATATTCATTTTATAAAAAAAGTAATACAGACTTGAATGACTTAGAACTGAAGTATTTAATTTAATAAATTTCTAATTGTAAGATACTTCACAATCTTAAATTGGATGTAAGGTAAAATCATTTGATAAATAATTAGTTAGAGATTGAATGATTTAACTGAAACTTATTATATTAGTAATAGCTAAATTAGAGAGAGTCATATAATTGGGAAATATATTCACCTATTAGAAAACCTTTAAACTTTTGAGCTGATTTGGATGTATTTTTTATTGTTTTAATAACTAAAATAATCTTATCTTATAAATAAATAGTTTTGCAGATCAATAAACACTTAATAAAATATAATAATAATCTTAAAAATCAAAAAGACTTACTAATATTTCAATTATTAACTATATAAATGATAGAGTAAAGCAATATAAATATTTTTAATTAGCTGTTTGATAAAATAATATCTCATATAATTTCATTTGTTATCTTATTTGTTGTTAATATTTGTGTGTTTAAATGTTTAGAACCAATTATTCATATATAATTAAAGATCGTTTTCAAATAAAGATTAATTTTAAAAGTAAATGAATGAATATTTGCTTTAATTAAGGTGTGCCAAAATTTCATCTAGATATACCTTAAATTACATTTTTAATTTATAAATATTTGTTTCGTTTACTAAAAATGATGATGCTATTCTTGTAAATTATTTATTAATTAAAAATTGAATGATAATTACTTTAGGTTATCTTAAATCGTTGAGAATCAAAAAAGTTTCTACACGAATAATAAAATTTAATAAGGATGAAATTGAACTTAAAAAAAAAAAAAATGAAGGTAATGATAAAATGATCTTATAGGGTAATTAAGGAAGAGGATCATAAAAAAGAATAATATTAATGATTTTAGTAATTTATTTGCATCAGATACTCTAGAAGTTGATTCTATATCTTCAATTACTATAAAATTAAAGTAGGGGCATAATAAGAAAATAACAACTCAACTCCAAGTCAAGAAGTCACAAATCTTTTTGAAATTTAAGAGCATCTTCAAAAATAACAAATATTTTTTATTAAATTTATTTTATTTTTTAAGTCTAAAGCTCAAATAAAGAAACATTTCATTTACAATATTAGTTAGATATTTATTTTTATTCCATTTTTTTTGTGTTTTGCTTTTCTTTATTTTTGCTATTATATTTTTTTTAAACATTTAATTTTTACTAAATATATAATTTCTTTATTTAATTAGCATAGAATCCTCTTAATTTGTTTTATTTTAAAAAATATGGTTTATTTTTTCTTATCCATTTTCAAACATATTACTCTATACATTTTATAAAGCAAAGCCACTTTACATTAGTTACTCATATCCCAAATACTATTACTTTTTTATAATAACTTATTATGCAATTAATATTGATTCTTATCAACAATTAGCTTTTTGTATTTTTTATGATATATATACAGTATTTAAAAAATAAATAATCATGTTAAACTAAGATATGCAATTTTCTATTCTAATTGCCTTAGAATATTTAAGCAGATAAGGATTAGCTATATGTAAAAGTAAGAACGTATTTCAATTTTAACCAAGATGAAAAATCGTTATCATAAATACAGTCAGTCAGTCAGTCAGTCAGTCAGTCAGTCAGTCAGTCAGTCAGTCAGTCAGTCAGTCAGTCAGTCAGTCAGTCAGTCAGTCAGTCAGTCAGTCAGTCAGTCAGTCAGTCAGTCAGTCAGTCAGTCAGTCAGTCAGTCAGTCAGTCAGTCAGTCAGTCAGTCAGTCAGTCAGTCAGTCAGTCAGTCAGTCAGTCAGTCAGTCAGTCAGTCAGTCAGTCAGTCAGTCAGTCAGTCAGTCAGTCAGTCAGTCAGTCAGTCAGTCAGTCAGTCAGTCAGTCAGTCAGTCAGTCAGTCAGTCAGTCAGTCAGTCAGTCAGTCAGTTACTCACATCAACTATAAATAATAATAAATATTCATCAGATCAATAATACACTAATGTTAATAATATCAAATATCATTAACTTTAAAAAACTAAAACAATTATCTCCTCATTACTCCTACATCAACTGCATCTCTAAATTCATATTACTTAATTACTACAAGTTAAATAACTGATATAAGGAATTTTATGAATGATTATATTACGAATTCAGTTGTGACAGATATTTAAATAATTAATCATTATCTTACTTAATTATAAACCCATCTAAAACTACTCAATAAATTAAATTAATACAATTACATCAACATAAATAATTTATTTTACAAAGAAAAAAACAATTATCTTTTAATAAAGAAGTTTTCAACAACAACACTAAAAACAAATTATACTTTTACTCAAGTATATATAATTCATTTTGTAAGCAATCTACTAACAAACAACTAAAATATCGATACCACTAAGTAGGCTTTATACTATAACTTAAGCATAAATATCTGATTGATGGAAAATATTAAATTTTATTATTTTTTATATGAATGGGAGGGAATCTTTATTGATACTTTAATATATAGACAATCTAAGACTAGTTACAGTAATTTACAAAATAAAATATATATATGTGTCCAAAATATTATAATTCCCCCTTCCCTCAAAAAAAATAAACTTGAATATTTTTTTTTAGAAATTAATTTTAATTTGTAAATTTAAAATTTAAAAATTAATTATTTAAAAAAAATATTTTTATAAAATTTTTGAGAAATAATTAATATATATATATTTATCTGTGTAAATAATATTTTAATTTATAATTTTTTTAATGGCAATATTACTTTTGAAAAATAATTACTATATTAAAAGCTTTTAGATAAAAGAAATAAATTAGTAATTTACTTAAATTTCGTATAATTTCACTACTTTCTAATTTAGGATTACTTACTTAAATTGATTATATTTTACTTTGTAATAATTTAAAAATACCTTTAAATGCTTTAAATATGTAAATTTTTTTTTATTAACATTCAAATTGATTCTGATAAATGCTGAATTGATATTTTGTTACAAACATTTTTCTATCTAATAAATTCTCTTTATTAAAATTGTTTCAATAATCAATATCATTAAAAGAATTATAATTTATTCATAGGTTTATCATCTAATAATTATTTACAAATTAATTTTACACTTAACTAATTAACTTATTAAAAATTTGCAATTAATAAAAGCAAAACTCGTTTTAAGTACAATAGCAAACAAAAAAGATAAAGGTTTAAAAAAAATAATTCAGAGCATTAATAAAAGTTCAATATATCTAGTATATTTGTAAACTGTTGATATGCTAATTTATTTAAAACTATTATAATTAATAAATCTTATTTTTTTAACTGTTGTCATTTAAAAAATGCAAGTATAAATTTAAACATGAAGAAAATATAAATTAATCTTTTCAAAAAGATAAATAAAGAAAATATAAAAAAAAATAAAGAAAATCAATAAAATGTTTTTATTAATTATTTATTTATAAATTCTTTACATTTTATATATTTCAATTATATATTTTTGATATATTATTACTTCTAGCATTATGTAAAATTAACCATTTTTCTAATTTAAAGTATCGTACTTAAACGATTTGAGAAAAGTATTAAAAGTCTTCTTATAATTACTTATATTAAACGAGTAATATTTAATGCTATGAATTATATTTTTTTAGTTTTGATTAGATTATAATTAAAATGTTTTTTATGGCATTTGCTTTAAGTGCCTAAGCTTAAACATACTATTTAATTTTTTATAAATAATTATCAAGAATCTTTAATATTTGCTTTCTCTTTTAGCAATAATATTTCTTCTTTGGTAAGTGATTTTCGAACAAAATAATAATTTTAATGTTAATTCAATAGCTGGATAAGTAATTTGATATATCTAGCTGACTGAATAATGGTATTTATAAAATAAACTTGCTACCTAAACCTAAATAAATAATTATTTTAGCAAAATATTTAAAATAAATTTGGTAAGCATGTGCTGCTACCTGTTGTTTTTATATAATTTCCTTTATAAAATTTTTTTTTAATAAACTTACTCAATTTAAATATTTATTGAGAGAATGAGAATGATAATATTGAAAAAATTAGTATAAAAAACTTTAAAAATATTGATTGGATAAAATTATTTATAAAAATAAAGAAAAGTTTTAAAATTTACACAATTTTAATAAAATAAATTAAGTAATTGTTAAAATAATAATATAATATATGTTGATAATCTTTGCAAGATGGTTTATCATTTAGTTAGTTATTTTCCTAAAATACTCCTTGATAATTATATTAAGTTTTTTTATAATAAAAGATATATTAATCAATTTAATCAAATATGAATGATTCTTAATAAGAATAATTTAATTTTAATAAATAAATAAATATATTTTAAAAATATTAAATAAGACTTTCTTGTTGATATTTAATATCATGTATTTTTTTAAATTTTTGAATATTTCATCTTTCTTTCAAAATAATGATATAAACATTCAAACTAAATTTTTTTTGTTAATTAAAAAACTTTGTTGCTTTTTTCATTACTGAAGATCACATTTAAAAAGATTAGTGATTAAAAAAATAATCATGTTTGAAAGATATGTAAAGCACTAAAATAATACAATGTTAATATAAATAAATAATATATCTTATGTGCTCCAAATAGAAAAATAAGGAAAAATTATTGCAATATTGCCAAATCATAAAAATGTCTATATTTGAATATTTATGCTATTAATTATAAGTTTAATTATTATATTCTAAAATAAGAAATAAATTTAAATAAAAGAAAAATAATTTAATCAAACTTACACAAATATGAGCTATTTTTGGCTTTTTATATTCTAAAGACCCTTCAAATAAATATAGTACTTTCTGCACAAATACCTAAAAAAGTAAAATTATAATTTTTAAATGAAAATTATATCTTCTAAACCTTATCACTAAATTTCAAAAGACTTTTTTCTAATTTATTATAATAGAGTTACCCAGTTTTAATTAAATAAATTCAGATTATCAATCTAAAATTTAATTAAAAATTATCAATCAAAAATTTAATTATAATTTATCAATAAAAATTAGCAAATTAACAAACAAGAATATTGTAAAATTTATTACTAATATATTTTTTTAATAAAAAAGAAGTAATCTAAACTAGAAATTATTTAATTTCAATAGCTAATGAGTATTGTGAGCTGCTCATTTTCTGCTTCTGATGATTATGAAAATTTTTAGAGCAAATCTATTCAAGGAAAACTTTTTGATTATAATGCTTGCAACAATCTTTAAGGTGATAATGAATATATTGATAAACCTAGTATGAATAATTTTTCAGTTTTGAAAGAAAAGAAATTAATAGATGCTTAGGATTTGAATTATTTTTTATATTAAGGTTAGATATGCGATATTAGGTAAAATGAAGAAATGTTGTGTCATTAAAACTCTGCTAAATTTAAGGAAAACGATATTCAGTTATCCTATAAGTAAGTTTTACAAGTAGAGCTTTCAAAATCATCATCTAAGTAGAATTTATAAGAATAGGACACAAAGTAAAATAGAAATAATAGCTAAATTCAAGAATAGATTGAAATTTAGGAGCAAAATTAGGATAAATTCGTTTTGAATAACATCGATTCTAAAGTTGAATAAAACTCAATTAGTAAAATCAACTAAATTCAAGATAACTCTCATTAATAGTAACCAAATTAAAGCTAGAATAAAAGTGTATTTAATGATAGATTTAATACAAAAAAAATGAGAGCAAGTATTCAAAATTATTAAAAAGCAGCAAGTATTATAAATAAAATTATTAGTAAATCAGCAAATAGAGTTTAAAGAATCAACCAGAAAGTTTAAACCTTTATTTCTTTACTTTAGTTTAGAAAAAGTAACAGAAAAATTGCTAATATACCAAAATATCAACTGTAATAATTAAATGATAAAGCATATTTTCATCAAACATAAGTAAAGAGATAATTATTAAGTTATTACTTGCACAAAATTCACTACTTTTTTGAAAGAAAGAGCTTTATACCGATTTTTATGCCAACAGACACTTTAAGAATTTATTGGGATATCTTTTAAATTGCATTGACTTATTCATTTATTTACATATACTCGATTTTAATGTTTTTTTGCTCTGACTAAACTGACACATATTTAATTAAGCATTTTTTTTAATATGCATTTATACTTTTCACAATAGATGTATTAGTTAACTTGAATACTGCTTATTTCAACTAAGATGCTATTGTTTTAAATCGTAAATAAATAATATGTAGATACTTTAAATCTAATATTTTTTTTACTGATATAATAAGTCTATTCGTAATGGGATCAAAATTAATTATTAAAACTCAAAATCTAATTTATAATCCCACTTAAAGCTTTAATACTATGTTGATTAACTTTTTAGTTTTTTTTAAATTAAATGGAACTCAGTAAAAAGTTAATAGGTTTGGCGAAGCCTTTACTTTAAAAGAATACTAAAAGCATACTTTAAGACTTTTTAACCAATTATTTACAGTCATTTCTGTTGCACATACAGGTATTTTTTTCTTTTTATACTTTATATAATTATTAATTTCTACGATTTAACATATACCCATGCAAAATTATAATTTTTTTCAAATAAAAATAACTTTATCAAATTAACTGTCATATTTTTGATTTTATTTGTTTTTTATAAAATTTTTTATTTTCATTTAAAATTTAAAGATTTACAGTAATTACATATATTTATTATAAATTAAAAAAAGTTAGTTTAGCTTGGTATTATCTAGGAATATATCAAATTTAAAATGGAAGCTCTATTTCTTGGCTATAAAAATTTTAGTTGATTGATTTATCTTATATACAAAAATATATTTATTGCATGTACTGGTCTATAACTACGATGACTACTGGTATTATATTATTCATTTATCTCATTCTAATATAGTTTATTTTACTACTTATTAAATATCATAAAATCCTTAATTTTTCACTTGCAAACTTTTTAGAAACTTTGCTAATTAATTAGAATTGTTTCACTTTTTTTTAATATTAAAAAATAATCTTTTATTATTATTTATAATTTTTATTTATTATGTTTGGTTATTTTAACTAGTTGGATATGGCGATATAACAGCTACAAATTATGTGGAGGCACTGTTTATAGCAATATCGATGATTATTTTTAGTTGTGTATTTGCTTATTCTATTAATAATATTGGTTTTATATTGTAAGAAATATAAAAATCCACTAAATAGTTAAATGATAACATAACAACTATCTAAAGGTAATTTTTATTTCTTAAAATTCTTACATTATTTTATATCAAAATAAGATATCTAAATAGAAAAAATGTCAACTTATCGTTAAAGAGTAGAGTTAGACACTACTTGTCTTTTTTAGTTGAAGAACAGAGAGATAGAAATTAACAAGCAGAAAACGAAATCCTAAAGCTTCTTTCTAATAAATTAAGAGATGAAATTACAGTTGAAGTTAATTCAAGGATTATTAAAAATTACTCACTTTTCTCTTCTAATTTTTCAACTCAAACACTGAGAAAGCTACCTTTTATCATGTAGGAAGTATTAATATCACCTAATGAAATAATATTTGAATAAGAAGACTACGAAGATTAATCCATTTATTTTATTGAAAATGGTTTAGTTGAAATATATTAAGTAAGTCCACCTGACTTTAATGCTGGAAAAAAATATAATAATGATTAAATAAATGTTATCAAATAGTTAAAAAGCAACGATTTGTTTGGAGAATTATCATTTTTTTCAGGATAAACAAGAAAAGCTTGTGCGAGATCAATAAATTTATCTACATTGTATAAAATAGATAGGAATGATTTCATAAATCTAATCAAGGACAGCTAGGAAGACTTTGAACGTTTTAAAATGATTGAGGAGTAAATCAAAGTTTAAAAAGATTTTTCTTTAGTTCATTTAGAGTGTTATTTTTGCAAAATAACTGGCCATATTGCAAGCAATTGTCCTAGAATACATCATGTTTTCGATTCTTAGTTTTATATACTTAAAAATAATTTTAGTGTTTTTCAAAATAGAAATAAGGCTAACAGAAAGCATAATAACAAATCAAATGTAAATGCAAAGTAAAATATTAAAATTATTATTTATTCAATATTGGTTTATCAAGCTTGAAGCTATTTAAAAAAAAAAAAATTCAATAAATAAATATAATTAGAAAAATTTTTTGAATAAACAATTAAAATTTTATCTATTCGATTATGAAATTTATTGAAAAAATAATTATTTATTTTATAAAACATTAATTTAATTAAATTAAAATAAAAATAGATTAATGATTAAATAAAATAACGAGATAAGTATTTAATTAAAAGAACGCATTAAATATTTTAATACCTACACAGAGCTTCTATTCGATACAAATGCAGAGAATTTGTCTGAATGTTCACAAAGAGCTTAATAAGCATCAGATTTAGAGTTCTAAACAGATTCTGACCATACATCTTTCAACTAAGAGTCTTAAACATCAATATAAAATAGATTATAAAATGACATACTTAATTAATCTCAAAATAATATATAAAAAACATATTAAAAAAGAAAAACAATGAAGATGCTGAAAAAATCAAAAACAGCAACAAAAAAAGATGAAAATCATAAAAATAGTTCAAGCCTAAAAGATCTTCAAAGCCTTGAATACTAAGATAAAAAAATAATGTTAAATTCTTTGCTTAATTAAAATAAGAGCTTATTTCCATCACCTATTTCAGAAAAGTTCATCAGTAAAAGTGATTAATAGCTTGAATATTCTAAAGAACAAAGTAAGTATTGTTTCGATAAAGAATCAGAATAATTTCCCAGTTAATTATACAGCTATCAATAAAAAACTATTTCTAAAGAATTGGAGGATAATTTAAATTGTATTTAGCATTAAAATCTAACCAAGCATCCATCAATTTTAGGCAGCTAATAAGAAGATAATCAAAAGAGGAGAAGAAGAAAAAAGAATTTAACTTATTAAGCAAATTAAAATTAAGCAAGTGTTAGTTTAATTGAAAATCTTATTCAAAGCTATAATTAAAATGAAGAAATAAAAGTAATCAATAACAATAGCAAATAATCATATAATTCAAAAAAGAGTATCTTTTAATCTTCTAATAATTCTCAAATTTCATGCCTGATTGAATAATTACTAAGTAATTTAAAATTGAAATATTTTTTAGAAGGAAATGAATCAAGTATAAACTATGAAGACTTTTTTTTAAAATTTGAAAACTAATTAAAAAGTTAGAGTATTAGTTAATTAGAATCAATTTAATTATCTGACCCTAAAGTGATCAACAAAATACTTTTTGAGTATCTTTTTAAAAATATTCTATCTAGTAAAAAAAGCAACTAATCTAATCATTTATACAAATTAAATCCATCATAAAAGAATTTGAACATTTTGTAAAGTTAGAGCATGGAGTTTCAAAATAGTTAGATTTTTGATCTAAATATATAAAAAGTTATGAGTAGGAATATTTTAAATGAAGAAACAATTTATTCAAATACCTTAGAAAAAATAAAATAATTACAATAATCTCAATAGAAAAATGCAAGCAACTAAATTAAGTAGAAGCATTTGTAAGAATAGTAATCTGAGATTGATAATTAAATAACAAAAAAAATTCTTTATGAAAAATTTGAAGTTATGAAAAACTTTAGAACTTTTTTCCCTCATAATAATTTTGATAATATTTAAAATCAATAAAAACTTAAAAAATACAATAAATTTAAAAAGCCTAAAATTAACTCAATAAAATTAAAAGAAAGAAGATAAAATGTTATAATTAAACAGGATATTACTCGAAAATTTTAAGTTAATAATGGAATCATTTAAAATAATTTACAATCTCTGATCGATTTAGATAAATATAAGCCTACTTATCTATCATATGGAGTTTCATAAAAAAATGATATTGTTTATCCTAAGTAATTTGCTAATCATAATTCAATAAATTTCATATGAATCACTTTCATCTTATGGTTTATTTGTATTCTTAAAATAAATAAATTTATTCATTCATTTACTCATTATTCAATAAATTCTTCATTTATTTTTTATTTCATTCATTCATTTTATTATAATTAAAATTTACAATAAAATTTCTTAAGAAAAAGTGTTTAAATGTATTTATTTAATTAAAATGGATAATTTTGTTAAATAACTTTAGTGTGTTGAAAAATTATTGAACAATATTTAGTAAGACTATTTTCTTTATTTATTTTATTTATAAAAGTAATAAAGGGTAGGGTTACCAATTGATTAATTTTTATTATCAAAAAAATATTAAAGCATATTTTGAATTCTACTTTAATATTAATTCAATATATTTTATTAAATAACATCAAATACATTTATTATAAACTATCAAAAATATTAATAAGTTTTTTAACATAATTAAGCTACTCATAATAAAAATCAAAGCAAAAGCTTATCTTAAACTGTTTACTAAGCTTTAACATTAATAAATTGAAAGCTAAAAAATAGATAGAAATATTTTATAATAGAAATATTTGTTTAATTAAATAAAAAAATAAATGCAGAATTTGAATACTCTTCCATGGGATACTGAACACTTTAACAATAAGTCTATTCAGAGAAAGATATTTGAAGAAAGTGTTAGTTATCATTTAAAGGGAGATGATGATAATTTTGATTTATCTATAATTGATAATCCAACTAGCTTGAGAGCATCTGATGGAATTTTATCCAATCGGATAGTATATTAAGATGTACAAAGCTAAGAATAACAGACACATTAAGAAAATGAGCTCGAAAAATTTTAACATAAATCATAGAAAAGCTCATTAAGTCATAAATTAACAGAAAATAGTGAACGATATTAGTAAGTAGGAGTATTAGATCATCCTTAAAAATTGAAAATAAATGAAAGAAAGTCTAGTTTTAAAGAAAAAAAATCATATTTGAGTTAGCAGGAGCAAGACAATCCCATTATTTGCTCATTAGATCAATAATCTAATTTGTTTCAAATAAGTAAAATGAGTATAAACTAAAAACCTTCAGAATTAGATCAATCTTATCTCTCTGGGATCGAAATTAAGCATTCTGAGAAATTCATGCAGTAGAGTAATTTAGAGTACATTTAGCCTAAAATATAAGCAAAAAAAGAAAGTATTTACAATTACTAGAAAGCTGCTGATATCATTCATTATGTTATAGGTAAATCAGCTAATAGAGTCCAAAGAGTTGATTAGTAAATCAAAAATTTTATAGCTATACTAAAGTCTTTAAAGCAAAATAGGAGACTTCCGTAATTAGAAGATGCCTAATATTTATTATTAAAAGATTAATCTTATTATTATTAAATAAATGAGCAAAATAAAATAAAAAGGTTATTTACATTTTTCATCCTTCTATTAAGCTTTTTTAAGATTCCTTTTCCATTGTTTATGCCAACTGATACTTTTAGGATATATTGGAATTTCTTTTAAGTTTTTTTTATCTACACTTTTTTGTACATCTACTCGATATTATTGTTTTTCTGCTCAAACGAATAAGATAGTATCTCTATAAAGTAATACTTTAAGATTGCATTCATATTATTTTTATTGGATATCATAGTAAACTTTAATACATCTTATTTTGATAAGGATACTATTATTAAAAAGAGAAAAAAAATAGCATGGAGATACATTTCTTCTAGTATTTTTCTTACTGATGCTATTTGTACTATTATAATAGGTTCAAAAATCATTTTTGATGCCAATTTTATTTATAATCCTAATAGCACACTCATATTTTTTGTTAATCTTTTACTATTTTCAAAGCTCAATGGTAGCTAGGAGAAGCGAAATAGTATTTACTTTTTATTCAATTTGACAGAAAATTAAAAACACTTAATTAGGTTATGCAACTAGTTGATTAGTGTGATTTCTGTAGCTCACTTTGGTAAAAATCTTATTTCATATTCAGAATTAAATTAAGATATTTATTTTAAATTGAGAATTCAAGAAAACATTTTAAATTGAGAATTTGCTGAATTTATCCAAATTAATAATTAAAAAAAATAATAATTATTTTTGACTGAATTATTTGTATTTAATTTTAATAATTATTATTTTTAAATTATTAAAGTGAGTTTATCATGGTATTTTTTAGGTTCTTATGAAGTTGAAAACGGTTACTAGGTTTCATGGCTATAAAAATTCAATTTACTGGAATAAACATATTTGGAGAAATACATATATTCGATGTATTGGTCAATCACTACTATGACTACTGGTAACAAAACAATTTATTATTTTTTAATATATTTTTTCGAACTTATGCTAACATTTAAAATATAAAAGTTGGATATGGTGATATATCGGCCACAAACTATGTAGAAGCTACATTTATACTATTTTCCATGATTTTATTTAGCTGCATGTTTGCTTACTCAATTAATAATATCGGTTTCATACTACAAGAAATAGAAAAATCTTCTAAACAGGTTAATGATAGCATCACAACAATTTAGAGGTAAATTTAAATTAAAAAAAAAGTGATTAATTTAAAAATTTTAGATATTTAAATAGAAAAAATGTAAATATTCACCTTTAAAGCAGAGTAAGGCATTATCTTTAATTTCTAGCCAAAGAACAAAAAGATAGAAATTTGTAAGCAGAAAATAGTGTCTTAAAATCATTATCAAAAAAGCTTAGAGATGAAATTGCCATCGAAGTGAACTAAAGGATTCTAAAAAACTATTCTATATTCTAAACTAATTTCTCCTAATAAACGCTGGTTAAATTAACTTTTATAATGGAAGAGCTCTAAATCTCACCAAATGAGATAATATTTGAACAAGGTGATAGTGAAGATTAATCAATTTATCTAATAGAAAGCGGGGTTATTGAAATTTACTAACTACTTCCTCCTTATTCGAATATAAATAAATTAAGGGACAATAATAACTCTCATATTTTAAAATAGCTGAAGAAAAAAGATTTATTTGGAGAAATATCTTTCTTTTCTGGCTTAGCCCGCAAATCTTATGCTAGAAGTTTAAATTTATCAACATTGTATAAAATCGATAGAAATAAATTCATAGCAATTTTAAAGGAGAATAACGAAGATTTAGAAAGATTTAAAATGATAGAAGAACAAATAAAAGTCTAAAAAGATTTTAGTTCTATTTATTTAGAATGTTATTGCTGCAAATTATAAGGACATTTAGCTAACGATTGCCCTCTCTTACATTAAAAATTTGATACCCAATTTTAAATACTTAAGCATAACTTTAGCATCTACTAAAACCGACAAAAAGCAGATAGAAGAAAGAATAAACAATATCCAAAGTCAAAGTAAGATAAACTAATTCTTTTTATTTTAAATATTATATTATATATATATATATTAAAACATAAAAATAAAGATTAATGCCTGAGTAAAACAAAGAGATTTGTAAAGATTTAAGGAATCAGTTAAGAAATTATAATACAATTGTTGAAAGTTATTTTAAAACAGAATTAGATTTTTTAACATCAGCTTCTCAAAAAGATATAGTTAAAAATGATTAAGAAGACTACCAAACTTCTACAGAAGAATCATCAGAAAGTTTAGAGGATGATAAATAACAAAATAAATCAGTATTTTAGCCAGATAAACAAAAATCATTAATCTAGAAAAGAGCTAGCGAAAGGCAGCAAAAAAATTCAATAATGCAAAATAGTGATTTTGCAGCAAACTTACTTTAAAATGAAAATGTGGAATAAATTTCAAACTAAGTAATGTTTAAAAATTAATAATCGATAAAAACAATTTAAAATATGAATATTGAATATGCCTAATCAAAGAGTTTTTCAAATAATGAATATGCCAGTGATACTTAGAAGACTGATACTGAAAACGAATTTTAATAGGAAGAAGTAAATCAAGGAATATAAAATTAAGAATAATTATTACCTTCCATACTGAATAGTAAAACTTTAGTTGAAATCTAAAAAACAAACTCAAATATCAAATTAGCTTCTAACCTCAGCTCTACAGAAATAAACTTGAAGAGTAAAAAATAAGAAAAAAAGAACTCTAAGTAAGTAATTTATTAATCTAAAAAAAGAATTAGTCAGGATGATTGTTATTCAAACAATTTCAGTGATGAAGAAACAATAAAGCCTATTTAGAACTCTTCTAACAAAAGAAAAAGTATCAAAATCAAAGTCGGAACAAAAAAAGATTTGCAGGAATAGTTATCAAAAACTTCTTTTGAAATTTTGAATTCTCTAAATGGAAATTTTTTAAAAAATTTAGTGTACCAAAATAGCTAAAATACAATTTAAACTATTAACGCTATTAATATGCAAGAAGATGCTATAGATGATCTTTCAAAAATAAATCAGGATATAAATAAATTAGAATAGAATTAATATTCTCTCCAATAAATTAAATAAAACCATTCATAGAAAAGTGTTAACTTTAATGTGAATTAAAATGATCAAAATGAAAATAATTTTTTATGTAAAAGTTTGAAAGTTTTAGGGATTCCTTCATAGATGATACTAAACACTTCTAATCAGAAAGAGATATTATAATAAATAGAAGATATTTTAAGGAGAAGTAAAAAAGATATCACAAGCCTTTCAAAATATTCCTAAAGACTAATAGATGAATAATAAAATTATCATAATTTTTTTATGAATGATTTTGATAAAATTAGATTTTATAAAAGATTCTTCCCTCATAATAATTTTAGTCACATCTTTAATAATACCAATTTAAAAAAATTAACAGAATTTAAAAAAATCAAACAATCTAAAACTTTCGCAAATAAAGGAAGAAGAAATAATATTTTAAAGACAGCAGTTCCAAGAAAATCTCTGTTTTGTAATATCGCCTTATTGCAAAATAATTTTCCGTCTGAAATAAATCTTGATAGCTACAAGCCAACTTTCCTGTCTTACGGAGTTTGCTGCAAAGACTATTCAATTTTTCCTAAGAGTTATCAAAATAATATATATTTAAATGAAATTTTCAAATAATAAGAGTAACAAAATTGATCATCATATCAATAAAAATTTAATACCGTCTACTCTCTATTAAAGATGAAGATTAAAATTTTTTTTTTCTCCATCTTACTATCTTATTAAATCTTTCTATAAACATAACTTTTTTAACTTATTTAGCTTTATTTAATACGTAATTATGATAGGTATTATATTTCATATTTATAAAATTAAAAACATTTAACTCTAAACTAAAGTAAATCTACATATATTTTTATTACTAAACTGCAAATAAATTAGCTAATGCTATACAATTGAAAGTAGATATATGTATTAATTCATTTAAAATAATATAATAATGTATTTTTTATTCTTCTTGATTAATTTAATAATTATTATCTCTTTAATTTATATTTATGTAGAAAATTTTATTGTAGTAATTAATCTTTTATATAAATTAAGGAAACAGAAATAATATAAAACACACAAAATATACTTATATTATCATTTTAATTTGTAGTATGAAGTAAAAGCAAAATTCAGATACAAGTAACCTTCAAAATATGAATTCGAATTTTAATTTAATAGACAACTCTTTAGATAAAAATAACTTTTAAAATGTTTCTCTTTAAGGGAGGCTGTTTATCAATAATTCAGTTAAGAATTTATTAGGAGACGAAGGATTAACAAATACATCAATAATGAATAATTCATTAATTTGTTATGAAAATAATAATAAGGTTTAACTCAATAATAATAATAATATTATTTCATAAAGTGAAAAGAATATAGTATTTTAGACATTGCAAAAAGATGGCTTAAAAAACCAAAAAAGGCACTTTAGTGAAAGCGCTGATAGTATTTCATAATTTTTTAAAGTAGAATTTGGCTAATCTGATTAGAAGTAGAACATAGTGAGAGAAGATGATTTTCTTGGTAGCTTTAATTAAAATAATTGCTTTCAGAATAGAAATAAGAAATTGAATTCTGAATAATTAGAATCAAGCTAGATTCATGACATTAATAATGATCATAAAATTTAAGTAGAATAATCTGAAATAAAAGAAGACGAACAATAAGAATAAGAATAATTAACATCCAAAAATGGAGTAACTCAAGAAACTTATAAAAACCCATAAGTAAGATAAAGTTTACAAAATTTTGAAAAAGCTGCAAATATAATTAATAAAGTAATTGGAAATTCAGTCAATAGGGTTGAAAGAATAAATTTGCATGTAAAAAATTTTATATTGTTCCTCAAATTTAGGATGTAGAAAAGGAGATTGTAAGATTTAGCTGAAAATGAATACAAGTTACTAAATGATTGCACATACTTTTACAATAAAATTATGTAAAAAAGACTTTTAAATAGATTTTTTGCTTAAATTTACTAGGCCGCAAAGTTTAAAATTCCAATACCCGTCTTTATGCCAACTGACACTTTAAGAGTTTATTGGGATATATTCTAAGTTATTTTTACCTATTGCTTCATTTATATCTACTCTATCCTCATGTTTTTTTACTAAGAAGAATAAGATACTGATACAATAAGACAGTATTTTAAGTACACTTTTATTGTATTTCTCTTAGACGTACTGTTTAATTTTAATACTGCTTATTTTAATAAAGATATGATTATTGTCAATCGCAAATACATAGCGTGGCAATACATTTCTTCTAATCTATTTTTAACGGATGCTATTTGCCTTATTGTAATGGGTTCTAAAGTTATTTTTTAAAGTGTTAATTTAGTCTATAATCCTAACAATAAGCTCAGTACATTAGCAGTTAACATGCTTATTTTTCTAAAATTAAATGGAATACAGCCTAAGAGAATGCGGTTTAGCTACGCTTTTACATTGAGAGAAAATTAAAAGCACATAATGAGACTTTTTAATTAGCTTTTTAGTGTTATCTCTGTAGCACATGTTGGTAAGTTTGATTTTGATCATTTCAATCTTAATTTTAAAATAAATTTTAATTTTGCTTATTATCAGGAAATTTTAACTGATTTTTTAGGCAGACATCATAAATTACAAACTATTTTAAGATAATTTTTAGTGTTATTTTGTAAAATTTAAATATATTATTTTATCAGTTAAAATTCTACAAAATAAAAGAACTCTTTTTTTATCTTTAATTTTTAATAAAATAAGTAAGCTTAGCATGGTATTATCTAGGAATATACGAAATTTAAAATGGATACACTGTATCGTGGTTACAGAAATACAATTTTGACACCTTAGGTTATTTAGAGAAGTATATATACTCTCTATATTGGTCTATTACAACGATGACTACAGGTATATAAATATATATATATACTTTTTTTAAAATCTTTTTACAAAAATAAATTTATGTTTTATTTTAAAGTGGGTTATGGCGACATTTCAGCTACTAATTATGTAGAAGCTGCATTTATATCTCTAACTATGATTTTATTCAGTTGTGTTTTTGCTTATTCAGTTAATAATATTGGTTTTATTTTATAAGAAATAGAAAAATCTTCTAAACAATTGAATGACAATATTAGTACAATTTAAAGGTAATTTTTTATTTAGATCCTATCCATAAAAGAATTACAAAAATAAATATAAAGTAAGCAGAATAATTAATATTTATTTTAAATAAAAGATTTCTTAATAGAAAAAATGTAAATATGTAGCTTTAAAGCAGAGTTAGGCATTACCTTTCTTTTTTAGCAGAAGAATAGAAAGACAGAAACAAGTAGGCTGAAAACTAAATTTTTAAAATTTTATCTAATAAATTGAGAGATGAAGTTACTATTGAAATAAACTCTAGGATTTTGAAGAATTACTCACTTTTTAGTGAAAATTTTTCTTAGAAGACACTTCGAAATCTAGTATTTATCATGGAAGAAGTTTTAGTTTCTCCTAATGAAATTATTTTTGAGCAGGATGATTGCGATGATTAGTCTCTCTATTTAATTGAAAACGGTATTATTGAGATATATCTTTTACATCCTCCACATATTGAAGGGAAAAAATATAATAATGGTAATAATAAAGTCCATATGCTTTAGTAATTAACTAAAAATAGTCTCTTTGGAGAAATTTCATTCTTTTCTGGTTTGTTCAGAAAAGCATGTGCAAGAAGCATAAATTTATCAACTCTGTACAAGATAAATAGGAACAAGTTTATTGAACTTATTAAAGAAAATTAGGAAGACCTTGAACGATTTAAAATGATAGAAGAACAAATAAAGGTGTAACTAGATTACAGTTCAATTTAGTTATAATGCTATTCTTGCAAATAAAAAGATCATATAGCAAGCAATTGTCCAAAGATACATTAGATTTTTGATTCATAATTTATCATTTTAAAGAATAATTTTAGCCAATTTCAAAATAGAAACTATTAAGTGAATAGAAGGTAAAAGCAGAAAAAATACAATCCCAGGTATTGCTTAAATTATTATTGGCAATTTTTTTAATTTCCATTATTTTTTTTAATGGATTTTATAGAAAAAAATTAAACGAGAATAAAAAATTTAAAGGTTTTTTTCTAAAAATTAATAGTTTTTGAAAAAATCAACTTTTATTTTGTTTTATAAAATATTAATTTTGAAAAAATGATTTTGATTTGTTTTAAATAATTTATTTTGAAAAAAAAATAACTTTTAATTACAAAAAAAAGATTATAAATTAAAGAGAACTAAATAGTATGCCACCAACTGAAGCAAAATTTGAGGGATTTTAATTCTTAAACAGATCTTATGTTTAAAACAGAATTAGATATATATAATCACAATGAGCATCTTCAAAAATCAGAATCAGATTATGAGACTTCTTCTAACCATTCTACAAAAAATTCTGATTTATATCAGAAAATGAACTCAAATTAATCTTCTAGTTCTTCAAAAGATCAAGCAAAAAAGTAATTAGAAAAACAAAAAAAGCAAAAGAAAAAGCTTGTAGCGTATAGCAAAAGCTAAAAATAACTTAATAAAGAAGAAAGCCCGTTAGCACTAACTAATGACATAGAGGTAGATAATTTAGAGTCTATTTTAAATTCTGATATGAGTTAATTGAAGTGTCAAGGTTATCAAAAGTCAAAGTCAATTTCTTCTAATTTTAATAGTTCTTAAAAAGAATTTGAATAATTTGAGAGCTTGAAGAGAGAAAGTATTGAAAGAGAAAAAGATGCCTAAAATTCATATTTAAATTAAGGCAGTTTAGAAAATTAGAGTAGGTAAAATATGCACCAAAGTTAAGGCTAAAAATAATAAACCATTCCAGAATAAGAAATTGTTAAGTAATAAGAAAATGCAAGAAAGAAGTTAAGGAAAAAAACAAAAAAGATGACTATATAAATATCAATAATTAATTAAAATAATAGTAATTTATCAGATGAAATACATAAGATAAATAACTACGGAAATAATTAATTTGGTTAGTTAAACGAAGCCAATCAATATGAGTTCCATAAAAACGATAATTTACAGGCAGGAAATTTATATTGCAACAACGACTCAGAGTTAAATCAAAACCAACAAATTATAACACAAAATAAAAAATTGATATATTAGAATAACACAATCAAGAATTTAAATGGACCTTCATTAAAGTTAGTAGATGCAAAGGATTTTCAAGAAGATAAAAATGTTATTCAAAAGACTATTGCATTAGACATCACATAGTAGAGAAACGGGGCATAGCTTACTTAAAATGATATATAAGATATTCTCAATTAGATAATTAAAACCTAAGGAGGAGGGTAAATATTTCAAAACGATGATAAATTAGATGATATTTAAACCAACAACTATTTTTCTATGGATTGCTTTGAAATGATAAAAGAGTTTAGAAAATTCTTTCCTCAAAACAATTTTAGCAGCATATTCAGCAAATTTAAGTTTAATAAATTACTTGCATTAAAGAAATATAAAGTTGAAAAAAATCAAATTTCTTTTCCAAAAAGCAAAAGAAAAAATATTTTTCTAAAATTCAGCGTCTTTAGAAAATCTTTATTCTTTAGTGCTTTATTACAGAAATTACACAAATCAGAAATAAATTTGGATAGTTACAAGCCTACCTTTTTGTCTTATGGTACATCACAAAAAAGTGATTCAATTTACCCTAAAATGTTTTAAACAACACAGAAATAATTATAAAATTGATTTTATGTTATAGAAATATATATCTATTTATATATTTATTTATTTTTTATTTTAAATATAATTAGCGATCATAATTTAAATAACATTCATTTGTAAAAATTATACTAAAGCAAACCTCAAAAATAAAATAAATTATCAATTTTTACACACTTAACTTGTTTTTGATATCAAATTAAAATAATTACTTTCTTTTGCAAATGGTTTTTACTTCTATTAATAATATTTCTTTACTACAATTGAAGCTTATATAGTTAAAATATTTGTAATACTGAATACATAAAAAGATATATACTACAAAGATATTGAAAATAAAAACTTATTGCTTATTTTTATTAATTCTTTTATGTTCATATATTTTCATCAATGGTACTGAATTTCTCTTAGAAATTGTGATTAAGTTAATTCTGAATTTTTTTGTAGATACTGAATTATATGATATTTTTTAATAAAACTTAAAGACTTTCATTTTTTAATATAGTAAATTAATTTTTGTTTATTTAATATTTTAAAAATTAAAGAAAATAAAATAATCGTAATATCAATAAATATAGTTAATTTATTTAAAGTAAACCTTTTTTTAACAGATAAGCGTTAAATGGAGTATGCTCTGGAAGGACAAATTTAAAATATGCAGACAGGTAAAACTCATCGTATCAAATCATTATTGAAAATTTAATATAATTTAATTTTTTTCAAAAAAAAATATTATTTTATAAATTGATGAAAACAAATCCAATTAATAAAAAAATAAAATTTATTTTGAATGTACTTAAAAATTTTTAATAGATTTTGAATTTCTTAATGATTTCAATAAAATTACTTTACATAAAAATATTAATTTTTTAAATAGTTAATTCTCAGATTTTTGGAGTTTAAAATAATATTTTTTTAGTGACATTCTAAATTTCATTTAATAATTTTATGAGTTGTTTAATGAAAAAATCTGCTATTTGAATGTGGCAAGACTTATTAGTTTTAATTGATTAAATAAATTTAATTTTATGTTAATATATGTTTTGAAAAAATTAATATTTACTATCTAGTTATTATTTTATGGTAAAAAAATATTAATTTTTAGAGTAATACTGGTTTATTAATTAACTTACTAAATAAATAAAAAAATTAGTCTAGCTAATAAAGAAATATTAAAATTATGAACACTTACATTTCATTTGATTTTTTAAGCAAAAGCTATTAAATTAATTACTTAATAAAGAGAAAGAAGAATTTAATTTAATTTAGAAAGTACTATAAACGATAGATAAAACAGATATTAATTAATAGTAATAACATATAGTTGGATCAGGATAGATGTAATAAAGTAAGTTTCAGATAAATCTATCAATGAGTTCAGATGGTAACTTTGATAGATCGATGTAAGGTTAATTGTTCAATGAAAGCATAGTTAAATGCCTAAAAGGAGACGAAGATTTTCATAGTTAATCATGCATGGAGGGGTTTATTCAAATACATGTAGAATAATAGTAAAATCCTACTATTGATTTCTTAAAAAATTCCAAACATGAATCAAAATAGCAAAATGTTCAAAATGAAATCTTTTAAAAGCAGGAAGATGCAAAAATAATTAAAAAAAATAGCATTTTCAATACATCGAATACATTTTTAGTAGGGAATGAAAACAAAATAAATGAAAAAGCTAGATCTGAGTCACAAAATGAGTAGATTACAAAATTAGACAAAAACAAATTGAATAATGAATTTAAAAGTAAAATAGAAACGCAAAATGAATAAAATAATAAGGAAAAAGAGCTTGAGAGCCAATAAATGAGTAAAATATAAAAAGAAAAATAGAATTCCTAAAAGGTTTTGAAAATAAACAATTAAAAAACTAATAAAATTGCAACTTTCTAAGATTAATCTATCATACAATTTCATTAGCTGAAAAGCGAAATGGGTAAAAAGAGTATACTGAATTCTGAAAAGGCTTCATTTATGTTAAGCAACGTAATAAATAAACAGATGAATAAAATTTAAATAATCAACAAGCATGTCAAGAAATTCATTAGTTAACTTCAATTTAGAATGAATAATAGAAAAATGAGTGCTTTGCAAGACTGCTAATACAAATTACTTGATGATGTTTCTTACTACAACAGAAAATAAATTAAAAGAAAACTGATACATCATATTTTTATTTTTTTTAATTACATAACAAAATTAAAGATTCCACTTCCTGTATTCATGCCCACCTAAGCTTTCAGGGTTTATTGGGATGTTTTTTTAGTAATTTTCACATATATATTCCTCTTCATTTATTCCATTTTAATATTCTTCTATTAAGAATATTAAAATATCTAATTTGTTGATTTATTTTTTCAGATCCCTTTTGCTGTCTTTCTCTTAGATTTTTTACTTAATCTGAACACCGCATTCTTTAACAAAGATGCCATTGAAATAAATAGAAAAAAAATAATCTAAAAATATTTCTCCTCACATATATTTTTTACTGATGCAATATGTTTGTTTGTAATAGGCTCTAACGTCATAGCAAACTATGATTTAATTTATAACCCAAAGAATAAATTTAGTACATTTTCTTATAATGTACTTATTTTTCTTAAGCTAAATGGTTTGAACTCTAAGACAAGCAGGTTTAGCTACGTTTTCATTTTAAAAGAAAATCAGAAGCATATTTTAAAATTATTCAATTAACTGCTTGGAGTAATTACTATTGCACATATAGGTAATTAAATTAAATATTTTTGATATCAAAATTAAAAAATAAAGTTCAAAAATTATCAATTAAAATAATAATTAGAAATTTTATTTAATGAAATTTTTATTAAAAATTATTTGCTTTTTATTTATTTCATTTTTAAATCATTTTAAATAAGGATTTATATATAAATTAATTAAATTTAATAGTTTGTATTGCTTGGTACTGTTTAGGTTTATATGAACAAAATAATGGATATGCTAACTCTTGGTTGGATAAATATGGTTTCACAGATCTAAGCTAAATTTAAAAATATATTTATTCTTTATATTGGTCAATAACAACAATGACTACAGGTAAAAATGAATTTAAATCTTCAAAAAAATCTATAATTTTTCTATTAAATAGTTGGTTATGGAGATATTTCTGCAACTAATGATATTGAAGCTTTATTCATTTTAATTAGTATGATACTTTTTAGTTGCGTGTTTGCTTATTCTATAAACAATATTGGGTTTATACTTTAGGAAATAGAAAAATCCTCCAAGCAGCTTAATGAAAATATAACTACCATTTAAAGGTAATTTGTACCAATATTCCTAATAAAATATTATTTAAATTGAATTTTAATTAATTTATTTTGCTAAAAGATATTTAATATTTTTAATAAAATAAATAGATATTTGAATAGGAAAAACGTTAATATGTCTCTTTAAAGTAGAGTAAGACATTACCTTTAATTTTTAACTGAAGAGTAAAAAGACAGAGATTAGAATGCAGAAAACTAAATATTTTAAACACTATCAAACAAATTGAGAGATGAAATAACAATAGAAGTTAATACTAAAATCCTTAAAAATTACTCTATTTTCAATGCTAATTTCTCACATTAGACAATAAGAAAGTTACTATTTGCCATGTAGGAGGTCTTAATCTCCCCTAATGAAATTATATTTGAAGAAGGAGATCATGAAGATTAATCAATATATTTTATAGAAAGTGGTTTGATAGAAATTTATTAAACACAAACTTAAAATCAAGGAGGTACTAACAACTGTAAAAATAAAGTTCATTTGATAAAGTAACTAACAAAAAATTAAGTTTTTGGAGAAATTTCTTTTTTTTCAGGACTGGCCAGATCTGCCTGTGCTAGGAGTGTAAATTTATCTACCCTTTACAAGTTAGAGAAATAGAAATTCTTAGACATTATAAAGATTAATTAAGAAGATTTTGAGCGTTTTAAAATGTTAGAGGAATAAATTCGAATCCAGTAAGACCTATCTTCAGTTTATTTACAATGTTATGCTTGTAATACTCAAGGACACTTTGCTAAAAATTGCCCTTACATACATCAAATATTTGATGCTTAATTTATTAATCTTTAATAAAACTTTAGCATCTTCTAAGAAAGATCAACAAATTTTTAAAGAAAATTGATTTAAAAAAAATACAATCCAAGGTAAAGCTTAATTAATTTATATCTAATTTTTACAAGATGAAAAACACAGTATTGATTTTTAGTTTTTTTATATGCGTAAATTTTACTGCCAGGTTTATGCTGAATTTTTTTGCTTTTTTCGTCATAATTATAATAAAAAATTTATAAAAATTAGATTTTTATTATTAAATTAATTCATTTTCTTTAGATTTGCTAAATAAATATTTCTTACTTTTAATTTAATAAGTATAAAAATAAATAGGAAAAAATTTTGATTGCAAATGATAAAATAAATTGTTTTTTAATAAATAGATTGTACATTAAATAAAATAAGAATATTTGTAGCACTTTGAAGGAGAAATTGCAAAATTATAACTCATATGCGTAAATTATGATGCAGTCTGAAATAGACTTGCTATCAATTACATCTGAGAAAAAGAAGTAATACCAACAAGAATATTAATCTACATTCTAGTCTTAGCCAACTTCATTTCAAAATCTAGATTCAAGATAAGAAATATAAGAAGATTTAGATTAACCAAAGCTAGATAAATAAACTTCTTCGTAAAATGATAAGATTAAAAATTCAAAAGCAAGAAAGATAAGCTGTAAAACTCCAAAATCTTAAAAAAGATTGAGTTCTATCATGAATGAAGAAAACAAACAAGATTGTAGTTAAAAAGAATTAGAAAATTTGGATAATACAAATAGTGAGTTAAGTAGTATCAATAAAAATCAACTGCATTTAAATAATTTTACTTATATTTAGAGTTAAATTATTTAATAAGAAGACCCTTATTAACACAAAAGCGCACCTTATTTAGAAACTTACAATGACAAATAAAATAGATAAAGTATTGAAAAAATTCAAAAGTAGTAAGATGAATTGAACTTGTAAGCAACTTATAACGACTACAACGAAAATAAGCAGAGATCTGTAAATTCAAAATTCTAAGATTAGTCTAACAGAGATCTTTCTAGTCAAATTTATTTGGAAAAAATTGAAGAAAAGCAAAAAATTAAAAGTAAAAATATTCCAATTCAGATAAAATTTTAAGGTTCAACAAACAATGCTGATCATATTTATAGCAATAATATGGTTTATGAAGAATAAATTAAATCATAATTGCAAGATTAAAACCTAAATACATAAGAAAAGCGTAGTTCTAACTTTGAATTTTTACATAGTACTAATAAGCTTGAAGAGATAATTCAAACAACACCTGCTGAGAGTAACTTGTACGTGAGTAGCGACGAAAGTGATTAGCAAGTTTAAAATTAAAAAAAATTAACTGCTCAAAACTCTTCGATATTTAAAAAAGCTAATTCTAACCTAATGAATCAAAACCTCTAGCTTTTGCCTTAAATTATTAATAATTTAGCTTCTAAAACTAATCTTTGCAGTCAAGTAGATTCTTTCTAATAAATAGAATTGATTGATAAAATATCTAAATTCTTGAACAGGCAAAGAGATAGCTACATAGAATCTAAACAAATTGTTAATGTAAATGAAAATCCAAATCTAAAAAACTTATAATCAATTACTGAAAATTTTGATAGAATTAAAAATTATAAAAAATTTTTCCCACATAACAATTTTGATTTCATATTTATGTAACAAAAGCACAAAAGGAATAAAAAGTATAAATCAAATAGGTAACTAGGATAAAAAGGAAAACGTCCATATCCTTGTTCATCTAGTAATTTCATCAGAAATTAATAAAATGATGTTTAAAACTCTAAAGGATTAATCCCTGGTATTAATTATGAATTATACAAACCAACTTTTTTATCTTATGGAGTTCCACAATTATCAGATTCCATCTATCCTAAATACTTAGAAAAAACAAATAATATTACCTAGTCAAAATTATAAAATTGAATTTATTTAAAATGACAAAATTAAAATATTTCTATTTTTGTGTAAAGTTTGTTATATTATTTGAATTTATATCAAAAAAAAATAAATTAATCTATTTTAATTTTAACGGGAATATTAAGTAAAATGATTATTGTATTATGAGATTTATCTAAAATGCATAATTTATTTAAATTAATTAAAATAAGTAAAATTAGAATAAACTTTATGAGTGGTGGGTGAAATCTTCTAAAGATAATTTTTCTTTTAAAATAATTCTTAAGTCTCTCTTTATTCCATTTAATAGATATATATATACACGAACTGAACATTTTGCTCATGCTTATTTTTTTTACTTCTTGGTATAGTTAGGTGATATTCATTTAAATATTTTTTAATTAAGAGCTATTAATTAATCAAAATTGTTTGGTAATATTTTTTAGGAGATATGAGCATTCTAACTATATTATTTAATAATAAAGCATTATTTAAATACTTATTTACTGAGATACAAGTGTAGAGATTTCTAAAATCTAAAAAATATTATCATTATCACAGTTATTTTTTGAATTAAAAATAAAGAGATTTATAAGAAAAGTAATTGAAAAAATTAAAATGAAGTAATTTATAAATAATAAATCAAAAATCAAATAAATTATCAACAAGAAAATAGCATTTAAACATTTAAACTAAATGAAAAATAGTATTATAGTAGTAGTAGTTATATGATAATTTTTCTCCCTCTATATTATCTCTTGTTTTAAAAAGAATAGTATGATCCAATCTGAAAATTAAGACCATAATCTTGGTCAACAAGTATTTATATTCCTAATGTGTTTATTGTAAAAAAGAATGTTGTATTTAATATTGAAATGCTTTCAAAATATTACTCTTTGATATTTTTGAAAATAATTCTTTTATAAATAAAAGATACTTTTAAAAAATGTTTTTTCTACTTATTATTTTCCGCTTAAATCAAATTAATATGGAATTATCAAAAATCTAAAAAATATTAATCTTATCACATTTATTTTTTGAATTTAAAAACACCTAGTAATATATGAAAAGTTTTAAAAGATAAAAATTTATAATAAGTCTATATTTATTTTTATATTGATATAGATTTGTATTGGGATGCTTTCTTCACTCAAATTTGATTGAGCAGATTTGTAAATTTATCTTGATGTAAATTTTATTACTATAGCAGTAACATTTATTAATATCATCAATATTTTCTTATTTGATTTTATCTTATGTTTGAAAAAGCAGTAGTGATCTAATTTGAAAAATAATTAAACCCTTATTTTTGTAAGCAAAAATTTTTAGTCCTAATGTGTTTGTTTTATATAAGAATTTAGCATTTAATATTGAATGTTTTCAACATATTACTCTTTAATAATTATCTTTTAAATAAAGATGCTGTTATAGAAAAGCGATTATAAAAATCTAGCATCATAACTCATTGATACAAGATTTTTCTATTATTTTTTGCTTAAAAAAATAAATATGGAATGAATTAAAAATAAATGGACTTCTATATTTTTTATTCTTTTTTTTATTTTATTAAAATCTTTGAGCACTTTATTTGTTAATTTGTAAATTTATTGCGAATTTTTAAATTTTTTATTACTAATAACTTAATTAAAAAAAATGCAAACATATTTTTATTAAATATTACAATTTTCTTCATTATAACACAGAGGTTACTAAATTAAAAAGTATCAATAATTAATTAATTTTTTTAGAATCTATTAAATGTTACTTTTTTTAGCAAGTGAAAAGCGAAAATTAAATCACATAAAGATATACCAGATAATAAATATTGGTAAGAGTCCTTAAAAAAAATCCAAAATAATCAAGTCCTAATTTAAGAAAAATTAAATAATTAAAAAATTTTATTTAAGAGTAATATTTAAAAGGATTTAAAATTAAATGATTTGTAAATTATTAAATTTTATTTTACTTAGCGTTATCCTCTTTAAACCTATTATTATTTTTCATAACTAACAATACATTTATATTAATTTTTTCTTTTCTTATAAATAAATTTATTTTCTTTAAAATGAATGATTTATTATTTAAACTATGATGTATCTATTAATCAATCAGAGACTTTTCTTCTCTTTCTTATTGATTGTTTTTTAAAAGATACAAATCAAATATTGTTCTATTTTATTTTTTTTGCTTTTGTGGTATTAAAAGTAAACCAAAATTAAATTTTTTTTACTTTAAGTTGAGCGTGAGGAGTTTTTAAGAAATCAAAACAATTTCCTTTATTTTTTGATAAATTAATAATATTCAAAATAATTAAACAAATTTATTTAGGTGAAAGTAAAATGAGTCTTGGCAATAATCCTTATTGTTTAATTTTATTTATAACAGTTATATACCTAATTGGTTCATCAACTTTCCTTTATGGATTTACTTCTACTGCTGCTGATTCTAATGAGTTTTCCAGTAAAGCTAATCCGTATGTCAGCGAAATGATTTTTAAAGATTCCGAGCAAAAAGCTATTTATGAAAAACAATGGTTTCCTACATAATCAGATTAAGTTTTATTCATGATTGTTGATGGCCTTCCCTATTCTTACGTTGTCAATGAAGAAGAATAACAAAAGAAGTTTGAGTAAAAATAAGCAGGTAGTAATGATCCTTCATTATACATTCCATCACGTAACATTCCCTTCTAAGTATTTTTAAACACTGTTAATGAATTTCCCAACAGCACTGTACTTCTTAAAGGATTTGCTCATCCACCTACTTATACATCTACCAGAATTAAAGCTATTGTGCAAGGCAACATTCCCACCTACGATCAATTAAAATCTAATTTAGGTAGCAAGGAAATTAAATCTGACAATATATTTAGATAGGCTAAAATAAACAATCCCTTCATAGGCTAAAAAAGAGAAAAAGCTGTATGCTATGCTACTCACTCTCTCCACGATTTATATCCCAATATATTTGATAGATCACACTTTGTCGGAGAAGTTAACTTTTATGAGAAACTCCAAAGTGATATGGATTAATACTAATACATTTCCAAAGAGTAGTTAGAGTATGACGACTGGTCAACTATGTTGCTTCATTTTGAAGCTATTGATGGTTTCAGTCACTTATAAAGGACATATGATAACGCAGTTGTTTCAGCTATCAAATCAGTCAACGAGCTTGTTAAAAATATCATAGATAATGTTAGAAACTCCAAAAAGAATACTGACTAAGTTATTCTAGCTGTCTCAGATCACGGTTTAAACTTCAAAAAGTATGGCCGCCATGGAGGATACACATTAGAAGAATCTAATTCTTTTATATATGGTTACTCCAAAACTGAATTTATTACTAAATAAAAGAAAGACATTGGACAAGAAATGGATAGAGAATTCTTAATTGGAACTGATACTTTCTAAATTAATATTACACCTACTTATTGCATGATTTTAGGTATCCCTATCCCATTTAACAATATAGCAATGATTTAGCCAGATTTCTTCTTGGACAAGCCTTTTGTTGATGACTTTGTGATAGCAAATAATTTTTATACTAATTTTAGGTAGGTTCTAGATAGCTTCCAGAATACAGTCGACTCGTTCGATGGTAATATAAAACAACTAGACAAAATAAATAAATTAGGTGATAATCTTAAGGCTAAGTATAAACAATTATTTGAAGTTAAAAAAGGAAATACAGTTGTAAATTAAGCTAAGCTGAAAGAATTTATTTAGCTCTGCCATCAATACTCATAAAGCATAGCTAATGTAATTTAGACAGATTTTTAGGAAATAAAAGAAAATTATATGCTATTAGGACTAATTATTCATTTCTCTCTTGCTTTCCTTATTATAGTATCTATTGCTACTTTAAAAATAATCTCAAATAAAAATGATTAGATTAGTAACATCTTTGCTCTATTTTCTTAAAACATATTACTAAAAGTCAAGGCATTATTAAATATAATCATTTTAGTAGCTGTCATATTTAATTTTATTTTGTTGCGCGATAAATTCTTTTTGTTAGTTGCAAGCTTATCCTTAGTTCTACTATTATCTATCTTTATTTTCAAGGTTAAATTTCTTATCAAAATCATGAAATGCTCACTTCAATAAATGAAATAATACCTAAGTTTAGATTTCATCATCGATTGCTTGATATTCTTATCAGCTATAGTGCTGTTCATATTGACTAGAACATCTAATGACTTTTATAATATAACAGTTTATCTTTATGAATCTTTCTTCTAGAAAATATGTATGGTACTATTTTGTTTATTATGCTTCAAAAAGTACACTGGAAAAGTAGAATCTTTTAAATCGTTTTTTTATATTGCTATTCAAATACTTTTAATTCCTTCTCTGATTTTCCTTTGTCGTTACTATAGTTAAGATCCTCCTGATAACGAATATTATTCTTTCTTTTAAACTCCTAATATGCAGCGTTATATGCCTTTGCTAACTTATGTGCTGTTCTTTATATTTATTTTTACTAAAATATTTATTTAAGTACACTAAAAAGCTCATATTCTTCTGAGAATTATTTTTGCTTACTTCCACTTAGCTCAAATTTTCTCAATTACATTATTTTACTTATGTCAATGGGATTATTTACATATTAATCGCTACATAACAATTCTTCCTGTATCAGCATTTTATCATACTCTTGCTGTAGAAATCCTCAAAGCTATTTGTTTCTACAAAGGATGGTTACCTTAAACTTAACCAACACTAAAGGCACTTTACTTTATGTCAAGTTTTACTGTGGGAGTTTCATGCATATTGGAATCAAATTCTTTGATCTAAGTACCATTGTATTTCATCATAATCTTTACATTCTTACAAGTTTTAGTCTCTCTCAAACTCATTTCATGGATATCTACATCAAGCATTCTTTTTTCTATGCCATTCTTTTTTTATTATATGAGCGGTCATAAAGAATACTTAGAAGATATTCATGCAAATGTTTTTTAATTAGGTGTCCTTGATGAATCAAACCTATTTGTTCCAATTTTTAATGGAGTTGTTAATACTCTTTACTATTTTATAGTTACGCCTATTTTAATTCCTTATATTGTTAGATGCATGAATGGAGATTACGAAAATTTAAACAATTTTGAAGTCTTTTTAGCAGTTTTTGAAGCATAAGAATCTCAGAATCATCGTGAATCATATAAAGAGGATGAAGTATACTTATTCAATAGTAAATCATCATTAGAAGAAGTACCTAATGATAGTTTAAGTATTGAAATGACCTAAAACAATCAAATAGCAAACTAAATTAGCTTTAATAGCAGATTTATTATAAGATTAAATCTTTATTCATTAGCTTATTTATCTCACATGTTCTTTGGGATAATAGCATCCGACTTCAGAGATATTTTGGACCCTTATGATCACCAAGAAGATTTTTACATTCCAAACTATTTGTTCACAACAACTTATGCTATATTCTCCTTTATTGTTATTTCAATCAACTCCTATATTTACAGTAAAAAAGAAATATTAAATAATGAAAAAAATAATAAAATATTTTAATCCTGCAAATGATAGTTTATGATTAATGTAGATTTATTTTATTCTTGTAGATGAATTATTTTAAATAATTTTATTTAGATATTAATACATACATAAAAATTTTTTATTTTTTATTATCATTTTACAAATTAATTCAACATCATTTAATGTTAATTTTCATTTATCTTTTTTATAATAAAGTTATTTCTATTCATTATCAAAATTGGTTATTTTTAAATTGTAAAAGAGTTAATCGTGAAATTAAAATATCACCAACTGTGTAGGTGTCTACAGCAATACTTCATTTTACTTTTATGATTTTAAGCTAATTTTAATCATTCTAATTTTTCATTGTTTATATCAAATTTTAATATATGTTTGATGATATTTAATACCTTTTCTCAAATTTTGAAAGTTTTAAATTTTTTTTAAAACATTTTCGATATATTTAAATGATAAATTAATTTTTTTTTTTTATAAAATATTTGAAAGTTTACTCACTAAAACTATCACTTTGAGTAAATTAATATATATTTACATCTTTTTAAAATAATTAAACATATTTTTATGGCTGGCTAAGAAATTTAAAAACTTATTTAATCAGTGAAATTTAACTAAGTTTGTTTGATTATTGTATTGTTACTTCAAATAAAATAAATTTTCAATTTCTACTTTAAAATAATAATTATTTTTATCACACTTCTTTCTGATCAGTTTTATGTAATTTAATAGTCTGATGAATATTCTAATATTTTAAAAGAAAATATATAAGATAATTCATTTATTTTACTAATTTCTATTTATCAGAACAAAATCTTTTTATAAGGATAGACTATAAACGATAATTCTTTAAAATGGATTAGTAGACTATTCATAAAAATAAAAGAAGCATTGCTTATATTAACTCTGTAAATAAGTGGTGGGGAGCAGATATTATATATGATAGTTTTGGTTTGAATTCTAATTATGATATAATTATTTTATCATTTTGGTTATCTTAATAAGGGGCATTTGATGCTGTAAAATTATATGAGACTATTTACTAGAATTTAGGCACAGAGTAATTTGGGTGCAGTAATTCTGAAGTTTAAAAGAACATTTTAGATTTATTTCATTAGAAACAGAAGAAGTTATTTATTGCTGCATTTGGAGGTACTGATTTCCCTACTTCATAAAACCCTCTAGATGTAGCTAATAAGCTATCTGATTGGATTAAAAGCAATCCTTACATAGATGGAGTTGATATTGATTATGAAGATAATGAAGCTATCTTAAATGGGACAGGAGTTTAATGGTTGATTGCATTTTAATAATAGATAAGATTTAGATTAGGAAACAAATACATAATTACTCATGCTCCATAAGCTCCATATTTTTCTAAATAGTACTACTAAGGAGGAGGTTATTATAATCTGCATAAATAAGTAGGGAATTCAATAGATTGGTATAACATTTAGTTCTACAATTAAGGTGACTCAAATACTTATGATTCTTTTGAAAAATTATTTGTTTGCAGTGGACCGCCTTTTTTAGAAACATCTTACAGGGAAATCATTTAGATTAATTAAATTCCAATTGAGAAATTAGTTTTAGGAAAGCCAGCTACAAAATAAGATGTTTATAACACTGGATATGTAAATCCATATGATCTTGGGAAAATTATTAGATATGCTGAGATAAATCTACAATTTTAAGTCCCTGCTTTTTTTATTTGGCAACTGAAAAGCGATAGCTAAGGCATTTTTATAAATTCTTTCTTTGAAGGATATAACAATATCATAAAAAACGATAGTCAAAATAGTATTTAATAGTACAATACTAATAATCAAGATAGAAGCTATTAACAACAAATCTATTAAAATTTAACAAATCCTAATTCAAATAAAAACATAATTGCTCTTTAAACTAATTAGTTTAATAATCAGTCAAACCTATGTAAACTAAACAATTAAACTGTTTTTTGTGATTTACACACTTAAAATAAAATATTATCCAAGATAGCTTATATATCTTAAATGAAATCATGGTGGGGACCAACCGTAATTGACTCTTTCGGAGGGAATTCTCTTTATGATATATTAATCATGAATGTTTGGGTTTCAAGTGGATAGGGTTTAGATGTTCTACATGCTTATTAGAATATTTACAATTATTTAGGAACCAATTAGTTTGGTTCAAATAATTAATAAGTACAACAATATTTAAAATAAATTTTCTCAAAAAATTCAAAAAAGCTTCTTATTAGATTATTTGGTAGTTCTGAATTTCCAACAAGTAAAAACCCCTCAACTGTAGCTCTTAGTTTAGTGTAGTATTTAAATTTTTTACCATTCATAGATGGGGTTTGCATAGACTATGAAGATGAGCATGGAATAGGAACAGGAAAAGGAGCCACTTGGCTTATTGATTTTACAAAAACTCTAAAATAAAATCTAACTAATAGGAACTTGATCATCATTTATGAAGCATAAGCCTCTTATTTTTCTAGGTAAAGTTATCCTTAAGGAGGATACTGGCTAATAAACTCATAAATAGGGAACTTAATTGATTTTTATGATATTTAATTTAAAATCTAAGAAATGTTAAATGATCATTAATGTGGTTAGCTTAATTAGTTATCTATTTATAAAGAAATCATTTAAGATTGCAAAATTCCACAAAATAAAATTATTTTCAAGTCTAATAGTTAAAGTGCAGGATAAATTAATCCTGTCTAACTAGGAAATTAATTTAAAAAAACTTAAAAAGAATAATAACAATAAATTATTTTTGGATACTCTGTAAATTAATATTAAAATGATTCAAGCTGTCCTTTTTTGACTTAATTTTTGATAGGATATAATTAATGATTTATTAAGAAAGTAATTATGCAATAAATTTATTTAAAATAACATACAAATTGGTTTTATTTCACAAATATAAAAAGACTTTATAATTATTTTAACAATTATTTTTATTAAATAAACTTAAATTTCATTTTATAATTGATTGAAAAATTTAGATTTTTTGAAACGAATAATAAAAATTTAATAAAAGATTTAATAATTTTAAACACAAATTTTACCAAATAAATCAAAATTATTTTTGTAAAATTAGTAACATTTAAAATTTAATGAAATAAATAATAAATGGCACAAAAACATTTAATTTTATATCATTAAGTTAAGAATTTAATATATTAAATAAATTAGGTTAATATTCATATAAAAAATTATCTTAATTTTAAAATTCTAAGAAAGACTCCAAAATGAGTTTAATAAAGTAAAAATTAAAAGACATGAATATCTTAAATTATCAAAAAAATAATTATTTTTTTACACTTTAAATTAAAAAAAATATTAATTTATATATTTTTTTAGTGATGAAATAGTGAAAGGATAAGAGTCTAAATTAAAAATATTGTTGAATAAAATTTTATTTTAATTAATATTAGTTGATCAAGTAAAATAAATATCAAATAACTTAGATAAGAATCAATCAATAAATATAGATAAATTCTTTGGCTGGTTTTAGTTTTATACAAAACAAAATTTTGGAATTGTGAAGTTACAAATTAATATTTTGTACTTAATAACATATTATTAATTTTTTTACTTAACTATTAAAATTTTTTAATTTAATTTTGATTAAACAACTAACTAACTAACTAACTAATAACCTCACAACATTCCTTAAAATGATCAACTAGTCATTTTAAATTTATTTAGTAGGAATTGTTACCATTAATTATCTGGGATCTATTTTGCTTCTTCGTACAGCTCAGAAATAAGGAAAGAAGTTCCAAAATGGTTTGGAGGTAATTTATTTTTTATTTCTCCTGCCAAGTCATAGAATTTACTTTTCTTTTCAAGATCTGAGTTTGTAGAAACAGTATTTCTTGCAAAGTTGGTATTAAAAGTCATTTATTGAGTGGAATTTGGCTGATAACTGAAACGAGGAGCATAGAAATTCTGTTATTGTTGCTACTATAATTAAGCTGTAGTTGGATGTATATTAGTTGTTAAATTGTTATTATTATTATTGTTATTAGTTTTGATATCATTGATAACTGGTTGCTTAGGTGCATATACCATAGAAATTTCTTTTAACATTGCTGATTATTCTAGGGCGGTTTCTTTCTCTCTCAAAATATTTGTGACTCTTTTCAAATATAAATAAAGTTTGTAAGAAGATGACTGGGGTAAATTTCCACTTTGTGCATCCATTGATCTTGTATTTTACTCTATTTTCTTTATAATCTTTTTTACTGTTTGTGGATTCTCAGATTTAAGAGTTTCTGCTAAATCTCTGATTGTTTCAGAGAGGATATCTCTTGTTTGAGGTAATTTCTGTAATTACAAAGCATTCGAAATATTTCTGCTTATTTTATCAATTTTGTTATCTAATTTATTCATTATTGCAGTCGATTGCTCTAAGCTGTAAAATGTATCATCAAGTGCTTAGTTCATTTTGTGATTGTGATCTTTGTCACAAATCTTTACATGATCAAAGTAAATACCAACTTTAAAATACTAATCACAATTAGTACAATATAAATCTAGCTATTCATGAATATCAAATATATTATTTTCTTTAGGGTTATTTTAGGTATTAGTAGTAGTAGTACTTGTTTGTGATGTTGTCTTTTGAGTTTCTGCTGGAATTTATCCAGAAGATCCAGGTGGATTTAACGAAGGAGATTTTGAAAAAGCAGGTATATGGGTCAGACTAGCAGGATTAGAATAACTTCCTCCTTAAGGATTAAAATTGAATGTTTGTTATGGAGGAGACAAAGTGTTATTTTTAAAATTGAAATTTGTAAATTATATTTCACTTGAAGCATTATTTGTTGGAGCTTAAGGAGTTATTATGTTAGAAGGAGTTTAAGGATTACTGTAGTTTGTTAAGGTTTAAGGAGAAATAGTATTCAAATTGAATTAGTTGATACCACTTGTTCTAGTTGACTAAGAATATATATGTGCAGTATTTGGGTTCAGAACATTTGCTTAATTTTGAATGTTTAATTAGTTAATCTATCCTAATTAAGGCTAAGCACTAGAAACTTGCCTAAGACCTGGTAGTTAAGCTCTTTTAACACTGTCTTCAATTTCAGTTTGCTATTAAACTTAGATGTTGGGTAACAAGTAATTTTTGTTATTATTTGAAGTAAAGAATTGCTAATCATAGACATTTGTTGGAGTATTTGTTTATTAAATAGATGAATTAGGAGATTAAATTGTTGAATTGAAAGGATTGTCTGTATGATCCTTTTTATGTACTTATAGAATTTTGTCCAGGTCCAAATTAATACCTTATTAAGTTGAGGTTACAGTACTACTTGTGCTATGAGATGAAGATTAGTTAGACATAATTCCAGGAGGTAACTTAGAATACATGCAATTCAAATCTTATTACTAAATTTGATTACCGATATTTTAATTTGCTGGAGAATTAAGAGTTTATCCTTACTAGACAGTTATCTTGGCATCATAAGTATTTCTCTTTTCAGCAATCTATGAAATTTAGGGCGAGTTATGGGTTGAAGAAGGCTAAACATTCATTCTCCCGTCTACAGTAAATCTTTATTCAAAATGATTTTATGGTGAACTTAGAAAATTTTTATTATCAAATCCTAGATTATTAGGAGGTGGAGTAACTATAAGATTGATTGCTGGTTGGGATTGTTATTATTATTAATATTGGATTTACTGTGGTAATTAATAATCTTGTTTCAATTTCTAATTATCTTATTATTTTTATTAGTATGTCTGCTATTGTTGTTATTATGGATAAACCTACTACTACTACTACTATTATTATTGTTGTTGTTGTTGTTGTTGCTATTTTTCGGCTTATTAATTTTACAGTTAATATTGCTGTGCGAGCATTGGTTGCTTTTGTTGTTGCTATTATTTCATAGACATTTTTTCTATATCGCTATAAATGTTTGATTGATTTTAGTTCCTGAGTATTTGTTGATACTTTTCATCTTATTGTTGTTATTATATTTTTACAGAGTTTTAGCTAGGTTAGTTTTAATTTTGAGCTTATCTAATAATTGATTAATTTTAGAAATCGTCATCAAATTTGCATAAAAATTACTCAACTAAATTCATCATAACATTTATTTCTTTTTCTTTTTTTGTATTACCTCTCAGCAAAGAATATCCAGCGAAACTACTCATGTTACTTTTTGAGTTTATCGAAATCTATGAAACATCATCGTTGCAGCTTAAATCATCAAATTTATTAATTATTTCTCTATAATTTTTTGATAACAGAGACGCATCTTATTTGACTTTTTATTTAACCTATTTTTTATCTTTTTACTAGTCAAGTTAATTTTTATACATCTTAAGCATTTTATGAACTTGATCGTTTAAAACGCTTATTTCTGCGTGCATTTAATTAACTCTTTGCTCTTATTCTTCTTATTTGGTTAAATCATCATCACTTCCAAATATGTTATTATCACAGTCATCGTTATTTAAGTCTTTCAAAATCATATTATCATCGTTATTATTGTTAGTGGCATAGTTAGCTTGCTCACTTTTTGACTACACTCCATACAAATCTGGTTACTAATTATTTCCAAACTAACCTGAGACAGATTGTGCAAAATTAGAGCTTTGATTTGAAACGTTTCCAACAGGTGAGCTAAGAAATTTATAATTTTCTATATTTGTTTATGGCTATTGTGCTTGCTAATAAGAAGGAATTGATTGCTAAGATTCTCTACCTAATATTGCATTTGACCCACCTAGTGAGAAATTAATTTATGCTTGCTAATTTAGTGATTAATTTGCTTAAGCATTCATCTAACTCTGACGTAATTCGAAAATATTTGGATTATTATTAAACCCAAATGTTACTCTTTCACCATTATTACTTTACTTCATCGAAGCAGCAATTTAATTTAGGTCTAATTTTTCAAATTAATGAAATTTATCATAATTATTTCTTGGACTGTTAGCAGCATCTTCTGCATCTGTCCTCATCGAATTATCGAAATTTTTCATAAATGGATTGACCACTCCACTGTAAACTTAAGTATCGTTTGGATTCCTAGATTGATTTAGACTAGTCATGAGAGAGGTATCATCATCTAACAGATTAGGGTAATTTACTTAAAATTTTTAACCAATTTAGTTTCTTTGTACTTGGTCATCAAAATTTTGACTATTAACAAAATTAACTGGTCCTTCAGCTTAATTACTTTGATTATAATCTGGAGTCTAATTCTAATCATAGTTGCTCTAAACACCACTCTTTAGTGGTTGAAAACTATTGCTTTGAAAGAATGCTTTATCTTGTCCCTAAGGGTTTGAATATCTCTACATAATTTTATCTATGTCTCTTTTATCCTAAATTGTATTTCTTTGTTATTAATTACTTTAACCTATTGCTGGGTTAAATGAAAATATTTAATGAGAGCGGCGTCCATCAGCCATCTCATCATAGTTGGAATGCCCTAAAAACTGCTTAGACGAGGAAGTTGAATAGTATGTATCTCCCATAGATTTATTTATCCTTGCTGAAATTATTTTCTATGCTAAATTGAACGAACTATATATTTTATTTTGCAGAACTAATAATATACTTCTCCTTTACTTTTATTATCTATAAAAACGAACTTTTTTCCTTTATGTTTTCTAATATTTATTAATCAAAAAACTCTAATTTTTAATTATTTTTCTGAATTTATGAAGATCTCTGTTTTTGTTTTAATAAATAAATAAATCAATATATCATCCAGTGAAGCAGACATTAAGTTTTTAAACAAAAGGTGAATGAATAATCCTAATAATCTATTCCATTCTATTAACGCATTTCCTCAAATTAAAAGATTTAAAGATTTTTGTTAGAAATAACTCTCTAGACAGAAGAATAAAAATCTTATTTTTAATAATCAATCAATGAATTTACTTTAAATAACTTAAATTTTGATTAAAAATAACTCATTTATTTATCTATTTAATATTTTATTCACTAATCTTCACTATTAATTTACTTGCTTATTTAATTCTTGGTCTTTAAATTTTTTGATTAATAAATAGTAATGGAATAATTATAAATAATTTATAATTCTACTTGAATATATAAAATTAAACATAAAATTTAATCCAAATCACACTTAAAATTTAAGAGGTATCTTTATAAATATAATTTTATATTAACTGCTTCTTTTATACATAAAATATAATAAAAAGCTTGCATAAATAAATAACAGCTTATTTTCAATAAAATTAAACATTTTTAAAAATATCATATTAATTAATTTTATAATAATAATATATTTTTTTTAATTTGACGAAGTTTATAAATATTTTTTAGAAAAAATAAAGCAAGCTATAATAATTATTTTAATTTATTTATAATTAAAAATTTGTTTCATAATATTTAACTTATTTTATTTATTTATTTAAGTACCTAATATTTTACATTAATTTTTAGAATAAATTATTCATTTTAATGCAGTTGAAAATTTTTATCTTTTTAAAAAGGTAAAATAATATTTTTTAAAATTTAAATGTTTAATGGATCTTAAATATTCAAATAAATGTTTTTATATTTAAAAAAATTTATTAAAATATTAAAAATTCGAAATGATCAAATTAAACATTCTTTATGGTTATTTTTTTTAATTGATAGTTTTACTATAAAAATTTCTATAAAAATATACTTTGCTCTTTTTAAAAAAATTAGATTTGTCACTTATAAATAAAGTAGAGTAAATTGTTACAATATATCATATATTTGAAATTAATCTTTAATTTTATTTAAATTCAACCCTTATCTTGATTATTAAAATATATTTTTTGAATTCAAGATAGACAAACTAAGATGACTATTTCATTTTTCTGCATATTTATTTTATTTATCTAATCCATTATTATTATTGATATTATAAATATATTAATATTTTATTATTACAATTTATTTTAAAGATAAAAAAAGTTCTCTTTTTTATTTTTACTACAATTTTTAATTTTAAAACTAAAATTGGATAATAAATAATTTTTCCAAAAAAATTAAAATGCTTTTAGATTTAATTTAATATTTTAATTATTATCTTATTTAAGGGTTAAAATTAATATGATAGTTTTGTCAAAAACTGAATCAATAAATTTAATGCTTTGATCATCAACTCTATAAATAGTTTTTTTTATTATATTATTTGAATGTTTTGCTTTTTTTAGTAAAAAATATAGCATTTTAAGCTATCTTTATTCCAAATTTTTTCTTGTATTAGTAATAAAATAAAGCCAAATATTCTTTGAGCAAATTTGAAGGAAAGTTTAAAATATATTAAAATAATTATATATTTTAATAACTTATAGGATTTGGCAATACTCTATCGTAAACATCTAAGAAATAAGGACAGTAAATTTTTCTCTTAAAAAAGCTAGTTATTTTTGATTGATAAATAAACTAATGAATTCTTATTAAGAATTATTTTTACTTATATTAGTTTGTAATTTGGATATATAACAAAATATATCTGGTAAAATCGAATGAAATTTTTTTAATAAGTAAAACAAATTTATTTATTTTATAATGATTGCAAAAATTTTTTCATTTTTTTATAAATTTATTCCAAAAAAATCAATTAAAGAAACTTAAGTATAAGATTAATAACTATTTTTTAGCATTCATTTAATTAAATTTAACAAAACAAAAAAAAATAAAAGTAGAAGCATTTTCATTTTGAAGAATAAATAAACAATGGCAGATTGTTGTTAAAGTGATTAATCTAGCTTCAACAGCATTTAAGTAATTAAAAAATAATAAAGGAAAAGAACCTCAAAGATATAGAAAGACTAATAAAAGAATTCAATTGTTATCAAAAAAAGAAAATATTAGAAGAAGAAAAAGATTGCAGTGCTCTCAATAGATAACCATTTTTTATATTTAGCAAATACAATCTTGCTCGATAGTACTTTATAAGTTACAGATGGGATTTTCAGATTTTTGCCTTGCATAAATTAGCTAAGCTTTAATTATTAGCATTAAAAAGTGTTGAAAATAGAAGAAAAGCTCGATTTAGCTGTTGTTGATATTTCATTTTAGAAATCTAGCTTTCAATTTAACAAATCAAAAAGTTAAATTATAAAATTTTTCAATTAAATAAATGGCGTTAACGGTTATTGCCATGAAGAAATATATGGTGCTATTGAAAAATACCTCTTTATATTAGATGATTTTATGGAAAATATAACATACAATTCTAAAAGGGTTGAAATGGAAATAGGAAACTAACTAAATTAATTTATTGAACTTTGTTTTCAGAAGGTTTTATAAATTAAATAGGAAAATGAGTCCTAGTTTTTTTTTTATTATATTTCAAATATTGATTTAGAATAAAAAGAGTAAGACATAATTCATATGGGTTATTCAAAATAATACTTAGATCTGTTAGGATTAGACAAAGACGCTATATCACAAATATATCTGAGAAATAAGAAAATAGATCTGTTCTAGAATTTGTAAGATATATCTAAGTAGGCTTTGAAAGGATTTTTTAATTTTGTGGATACAGCTACAGAAACTAAACAACGTAATTAAGAATAGTTTGAATCAAATATTATCACATTTGATGGATATCCAATCAAAATCTTTCAAAAGAAATAATCAATTTGTAATGTACTATTTTAGGAATCATATAATCAAAATGTACACGGCAAGTTTCATTTAACAGTTGTGCATATAGATGTAGAACTTGATACCTTATAGCAGCTAATATAATATCGCACAAGAATATCAAAATAATCTAATTCTGAAATTGATACAGATTTTATAAGAAGAGAGAATTCTTATCTGTTTGAAGATGTTGAATATTCTGTCGAGTCTTAGTAATTCATAGAAAAGTTTTATGGTAAAAACCTTTTAAATCTCAAATAAATTCAAAAATAAAATGATGAAAAAAATAAATAATGTTGCTATAAATTCATAGATTTGAAATGAATAATTAAAAACAAATTAATTTAATTTATAAAATATTACATTCACTAATTAATTTGCAAAATTGAAATTATCAAACTCCTATTATAAAATAAAGAGAAAAGTTAGTTTGAATTGTTTTTAAAGTATATAAACTTTTAGAAATCTTCTTTTGTTAAATAAATTTGATATTGTTAAATCATAAAAAATTAACTCAATGCAATCAAAAAACAATGTACTTGATTTATATTTTAAATTTAATTACTTCTTATAAATATATACTGTAGATTCTCTTATATTCCTTATATGTTAACTTCAATTTTTTGAAAATTTTTAGTTATAAATAAATATTTTATTAATTTAGATGTATAATGTTAAAATTTTAATTTTTAATTTATTACATTAGATATTAAATGTTAAATATTTATATTAAATATAAGTTGATTATAAATTAGGTAGGTTTAACTAAATAAAGTTGCATAGTAAGTATAAATAGTGTAATATATTTATAAATTGATATTTATTTATTTATTTATTTTCATTATCTATCTTTTGTTTATTTTTACCTAAAATAAAAGCATAAACCAAACATTGAATAGTAAGGTATACTTCCAGCAAAAAGAGCTCTAGGAGATTCATTTTTTAGAGTTTAAGTAATAAAATTTTTAATATTATTGTAAGACATATCTGAATTCTACTAAATAAGTAATCTTAGTCTCAAAGTGTCTAAAGGATAGTATAGTAGACCTAAAGAATAAACATATAAAGGTATCTCCTATTATTCTGGAATGAAATTTATATAATTTTAAAATATCGAAGAAGGAATTGCTGATAATAAATATAAAGAAAAACCTCTGTAGTATTTATATTTTGTTTATTGCTTTTATATTTCTTGAAATGCGCTCATAAAACTTTTAAATTAACCTTCATATTGGCCTGGCTTAATTGAAATGAGGTTACTTATAAGCACAAGTGGATAAGTAACTGATTAAAATAATATTTCAGTAAGTACTTGTGATGAAATCATTTAATTTTTCTATAAAGGCCAAAAAAAACATTAAGATACTCTAGCAACTGTTGATGGTAAAAATCCTTTATAAAAAGCTAACTTTCCATCTCTACTAACTTATTTAAAAGCAGAAAAATAATTTGTAACTTTATCTGCCAAACCTAATATCTACAGCTATTAACTAACTTATCTTCTGATCATTAATAACTCTAAAGGGTATTGTATGAAAGAACTAATTAATGTTACAGATGAGTTTTGCAATAATTAGTCATGTTAAAAAATTGGTAATTCCTCACTTAAAAACTACATCATTAATTTTTTAGTTGTATTTACTTATTATTTATAATTTACACTAAAAATCAAATTCTTTAAATACCAAATAATTTTCTTAAAGTAGATTGAGAAATTAAAAGGTTTTTTTTAAATATTTAACATGTAAATATCTATTTGATTCTACCTTTCTTTTTTTCTGATTCTGAGTTTTCCAAAATTTTCTTATTGAGTAAGAAAGAGTAGATTTGATTTTCCACAAATTTAAATTAAAATAATTAATACAAATTCTCAATATCTTTTTGAGAAATTTGATCAAAAATATGTTTTGTGACTATAGTCTTCTTATTTTCAAATTGTTAAGAAATTTTCTGTTGATAGAATAAGAAGCTTTTTTTAGATATTTTGAATAAGATTCAAATACTATTATCATTTTATATTTTAGTGAGATAGAATTCTGTTTATTTTTTAAGAACATAATTTTTCAACAAAAACATCAACAAAAAAAAATAGATTTGTAGATAATAAATTTTATTGAAGTTTTTATTTTTAATAATATCTACTTAAAATGAATGGTATTTTTAAAAACATATTTTATTTTTCATATTTATTTAATGGTTTTCAATCAAAATTAGAAATTAATTTTTGTCATTAAATCAATTGATATTTCGTAAAAAAGATTTAGATAATTTTTTTTAAATTAGAAGTCATAAATTTTTATATCTACCTTTTAAAATGATCAAATTATTAGAAAGAAAAAAATAAATTTGTCGTTGGTTGTTGGTTAGATAAAATTGATTATAATTTACTAAACCTCTTATTTAAAATTAGTTATGTAAGCAATAGTATCTATTTTAATGATAAGAAGTTAACATTTTATCTAGCCAGTTTTATTATTTTTCACTAATATTAATTACTATCAATTATTTAAAAAACTTGAAATTCTTCCTTCAGATATAATAGATACTCCTTATCTAATTAAAAAATTTTAGAATCAAATCAAAGGGGTTGATTATTTAAATGATGTTATCATGATTGCTGATTATTACAGCAATATTTTTAGAGGAAGAAACGAATTTGATTTGGCTATTTAAGTAATTTAAGTCACTGTTAACAAAATGGAAAAAAATGCTACATTTAGCCTTTATAAGAGAAAAGAGATATATTTTAATTATATGACAGGAAATTTTTTAGAAGTGAAGAAGATAGCAAGCTAAATTCTTTAAGATAGATAGGATCAAAAAATGTTTAGTTTTAAGTTTAGTAAGTAGATTCAGAATTTAAAGGATTTTTGTAAATATTTAATATATCTATCTATTTGATTCTACCTTTCTTTTTCTGATACTGAATTTTCCAAAATTTTCTTAATTCTGTTAGAAAGAGTGGATGGATTTTATTTTCCTCACATTTAATTATTTAATACTAATTCTCAATATCTTTTTGATAAATTTGATCAAAAATATATTTTGTAATATTAGTCTTCTTATTTTCAAATTGTTAAAATATTTTCTGTTGAAAAAATAAGAAACCTTTTATTACACATTTTGAATAAGATTGAAATACTTTTATCATTTTATATTTTAGTGAGATAGAATTTTGTTTATTTATTAAGAACATAAATTTTTAACAAAAACATCAAAAAAAAAAGATTTGTAAATATTAAATTTTATTGATGTTTTTATTTTTAATAATATCTACATAAAATGAATAGTAATTTTAAAAATATATTTTATTTTTCATATTTATTTATTGATATCTAATTAAAAAACAAACAATTAAAACAAGAAATTAACTTTTGTTATTAAATCAATTCATATTTAGTAAAAAAGATTTAGATAATTCTTTTTAAATTAGAAGTCATACATTTTAATATCTACCTTTTAAAATGATCAAATTTTTAGAAAAACAAAATAGAAATTTGTCATTGATTAGATAAATTCGATTATAATTTACTAAACCTCTTATTTAAAATTAGTTTTATAAGCAATAGAATCTATTTTAATAATAAAAAGTTAACTTTTTATCAAGCCAGTTTTATTATTTTTCTACTAATATTGATTATTATCAATTAGTTAAAAAACTTGAAATTCATCCTTCAGATATAATAGATACACCTTAACTAATTGAAAAATTTTAGAATCAAATCAAAGGGGTTGATAATTTAAATGATGTTATCACGATTTGCGACTATTACAGCAATATTTTGAGAGGAAGAAACGAATTTGATTTGGCTATTTAAGTAACTTAAGTCGCTATTAACAAAATGGAAAAAAATGCTACATTTGGCCTTTATAAGAGAAAAGAGATGTATTTTAATTATATGACAGGAAATTTTTTAGAAGTGAACAAGATAGCAAGCTAAATTCTTAAAGATTTGATAGGATCAAAAAATGTTTAGTTATAAATTTAGTAAATAGAATCAATTATCTATTTAGCAGATGAAATTATTTTTTGCAATCAACTTGAAATAGCAGCGAGTATATTTTATCTGATGTTAGAACAGATTAAAAAAATAAAAGATAGTAGTAATAGCTAACTTGTTGGAAAGGCTTATATGGGATTAGCCTTGATACATTATACTTTATAGGAATACAATGAGGCTGCTAGATGTTCCATCCTATTTTATGAAACAAACAAGCAATAAAATATAGAAGGCTTAGTCATAGCATACATTAGTTACAAGCAATTAGATCTAATTGATCAAGCAAACAATATTTTGTAAACTATAAAAAGCCAAGCTAATGTAGATGAAAGTTTGAATATATAAAAATATATTTTACATTCATAACTATTTAAATTCATAAACATTTTTTCAAATAAGATTGATTAAATATAAAAAGAAGAAGCAAAAATTCGTTTTAGCGAAAAGAGTAGAGAAAGGAAAGCTATTTGGGATGGAGAAAGCGAAGTAAAACAAATTTATAACTTTATTCATAATGGATAGATTGAAGAAGGAATAATGCACTACAAATAAATTTTGAAATAGCTGAACGATCCAGATTAAGATTATTTCATGAAGTTAGAAGTTTTAGAAGTAATTTCAATATTATACGCTGCTAAGAGAGAGTACTCATAAGCAATCGAAACACGTTTAGATATACACTAAAAATTATTAAAAAAAAGAAATTATTTGGTAATAAATGATAATAAACATATGCAGAATTTTGAAAACTTAATTAATATTTATATCACAATAAAAGAGGACAATAAAGCACTTGAATGGCATAAAAAATTTCATTCTTATTTGTTAATTAATGGCTATTTTACCAATTTTAGCTTAAAAGTTAGAGATAAATTATTAGGACATATGGATTGTTTGGTTAGGCTATAATAATACGAAGAGGCTTTAGAATATGCTGATTTCATAGAAAGATACGCTAATTAGTTTTAACTTGAAAAAGAATATCCGTAATATTATAACGAATTAAAATCAAGGAAATTACAACTGACCAAATTTTTGAAAGACAATTCAAGACTGAAAAAAGAATACTTGCAATATTATGAGTTCCTAAAAACTTTTAAAAATAATGATACTCTTTATTAATGCTTAGTCTACTTACTTAATTTTTCATTTTAAGATCAGGATGAGCAAGGTATCATAAAATATTCTGAAAGTTATTTATAACTGAGAGGCAAATACGAAAAAGAAGATGAAAATTTAAAGAATATAGTATTGATGTACATACTATTGATTTAACACTACTATGAAAGAAAGCAATATGAAAAAGCCAGCAAATTTATTACTGATGCTAAGCCTTTTTTTAAAAAAAATAAACTGTTTGAAGAGCTCTATTGTTTTTTACTCATTTAAATATGCTTAATTAGAAATTTAAAATTATAAGATGACATAAATGAAAAAGCTTAAGAAGCAGCTAATTTATTCAATCAGCATTTTAAAGGAACAAATCTAGAAGGTTTTATTACAGCAAAAGGATTATTATTCTAATCCAGAACTTATTTTGATTTAGGAGATTATTAAATTTGCTTAGATCATTTTGAAAAGTTTTTGAAACAAGATTAAGCTAAAGACCTATTTAATAAAGAGTTTCAAGAATTATTGAATAATCTTTTGTAATAAAATGAATGCAAATAGAAGGTAGAAGAAATCATTTCAAAATATTAACTCAAATCCAAATTTTGACTTACTTACTTACTTACTTTTTTCATTTTAATTAAAAAAAAAATAAATAAATAAATAAAAAATTTAATTTAAATTAAAGTTATTTATTTTAAAAAAATAATTGAAATATTATTTTATAGAAAATTAATTTTTGTCAGATATTTAAAAAGATTTTAAAAAAATTAATATTTTCCTTTAATTTATATTTTACTTAAATAAAAATAAAGTTGGGCTATTTGTAAAAATATTTTGTGGACATTTTTATTTTATTTTATGACTGAATGTTTTTCTTTTTTATTGATAAAAATAAATTAAGAAATATATTGAAATTTTAAGTGGTGCTAAATTAAATAATTTGCTAAATTTATTGATAAGATTAAATTTAGAAATGTATTTTTGTAAAAAGATTTCAGTGTTTCTGTTTAAAGAGTTGTTAAATTTTTTTTGTTTTTATAAAATAGAATTATTAAATATCTAATATCTATCAGAAAGTTGCCTAATAAATTTTAAAGTAGTGATAAAAAAATTATGATGATTTTTTATGGTCAAAGCAGTATGATTTTTATATTTGAAGTGAATTAGGTTATCAGTTTTAAACGTTTTTGTCACTTAGTTAAATCAAAAAAAAGTAAAGTTTTTTAATTTTGTGTATCTTTTTGATCTTTTTAGGCACCTTTCTTGTTAATTAAAAACAAACAAATAAGATATAAGCACTTTGGTCATAGTTATGATTATCAATAATGGTTAATAAAACCAAGAAGCTTAAAGTACAAGAATGTCATATTTGTACCTAAAATTACTCTTATTGGTGCTGAGTATTGGTATTAACTCAACTGTTTATTCTAGTATTCCTTTCATATTTTATTAATCTCAGCTAGAATGCTTAGATAGAAAAACTGGCAAGACATATAAATGTTCTTATTAAGAAGCTTGTGATCTGGAGAGTTATAAAATATCAAGCGAATAAATGTATCCATAAATTTACAGCATAACATAGTACTTAGGTTTGTTTTGTGACCGTTCAATTTTAGAAGTGTATATTTTAACTTCAGGCACTTTAGGAAGGCTGTTTGCAAATATATTTTTAGTATTGATTCCAATCAAGAAAGAATAGAAAGAAATTATTATGGATATTTTCATATTTATCACAGGCTTGTCATTATGCTTATTATAATTTATTTCTTCTTTAGAAATGTTCATTATCTCTTTCTTCATTTGGTACTTTTGCTTTAGCTGTGTGTATGTTTTAGTATTTATCTTTATTGAAGAGTTTCTACCAAATAACAATCAAAACAAGGCCATTGCTCTAACAAACATAGCTTGGCCTGTATGCACAGTAGTGTATGTAACCTTCGCATATTACTATGGGCACTGGAAGAATACTTTGGTTCATTTCGTAGGCATTCCTTGTATTTTAATTTCGATCAGCAACTTTATTTTAGCCTTTTTTTCACCTGCATAATAGAATCAGTAATCCTAATTAGAAAATCAATAAGGATAAATAGATGATGAACAATAAATGGATTAAGATGGAAATATTCTTGTTGAATCTGAAGTTACGCCACTGAAAGGTTAATAATCTAAGAGCATAGAAATATACACAAAGGAAGAGAATGAAAAATTTAATGACTAGTAATAAAGCAATATAGCACCATAGTAAGATGTAAATAAGCCAATTAAAGAAACTGATAACTGTTTATATAAGTATTTTCCATTTATGTTTCATAAAGTTACCAGAAATAACTTTTATATATGGACATTTTGCTGTGTGTCAATTGGAATCAATTATGCTAGTTGCTATTATTTCCTTAATTAAATTTAAGGAGATATTTATGTAAACTCATTGTTTTCCACACTGTTTGAGGTATTTGCTTCATTAATTGCCACTTTTTTAGTTGTGACCTTTCCAAATAATTTAAAAATAATTTCAACTTTGGTTTTCTTATTTACTGGATTAGCTTTTGTCTCTTTGATATTTTTTTATGAACCAAAAAGCAATTTGGATTAAAATTATAGTTACTTTTAGCTTTTTATAGTCCTCTTTCCCATAATTATAGCCAAGATAAGTTTTGATATTGGATGGATTGTTTTAATTTCTTATCTCAAAAAAGTTATACCTATAAGTTTCTAATAGTAATAGTTCTCTACTTCAAATTAATTACATGCTCTAGCTGTAAGTTTTATGCCATCATATAGATACCTTTGTATCCGATACGATTTGAATCCTTTTGTAGGATTAGGAGTTATTAGTTTATTAGCCTCTATCAGTACTCTCTTTTTTATTGAATTAAGTGAAAATGATTGTAATCAACACAATTAAAAAGAAACCCAATAAAAAACTAACCAAGAAAAAAATATTGAGAGTTGAAAAAAATCTGAATTTTATGATTTTTTGTATAAAAACTGTAAATAACAAAATTTTCAAAATATTATTTAAATAGCTATTAAACGTTTATATATTTTTTTAATTATTTTATCATAAATGTTTGTTTTAAAGATATTATATCTTATAAAATAAATAATTATTTTTCTTTTAATTTACAAAAAATAAAACAATTGTAATATTGTAATTTCTAATTTAATTTCATAAACTTTTAAACATTTTTTTAATTTGTATTATTTTTATTTTTCTAATTTTCAATAAATAATAATTATTCATTAGTAGTAACATCTTCAAAATAATCCGCTTCTAACCATTTGTGTGTGCAAAAACTCTAATGATTAATCAAATCAATCTAAATTTGAAAATATTTTACCTTTTTACTTAAATGAATAGATTACAAATATTGCCTTCAAGCTTTAAATTAGAGGAGTGTTTTTAGTTATTTTATTGTTAAATAAAGCATTAATTTAAAAAATCTAATTTAATTATTAGAAAAGTGGATTTAAATAGCATTTAATTTTTTCTACAACAATAAGCAAATAGATATTTGCTATCATTTAATATATCTTACACATCAAAATAATAAATAATTTAGTTAATTAATTAGCAATAATAAACTTTTGAAGAAATATAAATGAATATTCAGAGCTGTGAGCAGGTTTCAAATGATGACAACTCTAAAAAAAACTAATATCTTAGGCTTTTTTTAATTATTTTAACTATTGGAATAAACTCAACAATTTACACAAGCATACCATTTTTGTTTTATTAGTCTTCTCTTGAATGCTATGATAAAGAAAAAGGTTTTAAATATTAATGTACAACTAATGAAGCATGCGATGTAGGTAGCTATGTAATAAGTAATCAATAAACATATCCCTAAATATTTAGCATTACCGATGAACTGAGTTTAATTTGCGATAGATCAGTTTTTGAAGCTTATGTACTAACTTCTGGGACTGTAGGAAGAGTATTTGCAAATATCGCTTTAATCTTTTATCCAGTTTAAAAAGAAAATAAAGAATTATTTATGAATTTAATTACTCTTTTAATAGGTATTACTTTATGCTCACTTTAATGGTTTTACAGTTTAGGCATGCTTATAATTAGCTTTTTTACTTGGTATTTTTGCACCTGCTTAGTAAATGGAATAATATTTATATATATGTAGGAACTCTTACCTGAAAACTATGCAAATTATTCAGTCAGTTTTACTAGCTTTGGTTGGTTTTTGGGTATATTTTCATATATTATATTTGTATATTTCTTTGGTCATTGGAAAAATACTCTTGTCCATTTTATAGGGCTTCCTTGTATAATCATTTCTAGTTTTAATTTGCTCTTATTACTGCTATACCCAATCAACTAAAATAGCGAATACCAAGCTTATAGCTAGCTTTAAAATGAAGATATTACAAATTTATCAATTCAACAACAATGCTCATAAGTTAATGATTATCTATCTGATAATAGTAGATTAAATACTTAGAGAATAATAGATGAGTAAGAAGATAACATAATTGAATAATAACCTTATTTTGAACCAAAGCTATAAAATAGTAACTAAGAGAACTTATTAGATATTCAGCAAAAAGATATAAATTTATAATCAATTGAATAACTATCAGATGAAAAAGAATCTTTAATTAATAAATAAATAGATTAAGATACCGTTTTTACTGAATAATTGCTGTAATAAAAAACAAATTTTAATGAAAGTTAATTGCATATAGTAAATGATAATAAAATATAAAAATATCTTCCATTTATGCTTTATAAAGAATTAAGAACTAATTTTTATGTTTGGACTTTTTGCTATGTTTGTATTGGAGTTAACAATGCTTGTTGTTATTACTTTTTAAATTAAATTCAAGGTGACATTTACTTAAAATCTCTATTTTCAGCAATATTTGAAGCATTTGCTTCATTTGTTGCCACTTTTCTTGTTATGGCTTTTAAGGACAGTCTCAAGATTGTAACTACTTTTATTTTCTTGCTAACTGGATTAGCTTTCTTAGCTTGCATTTTCTCTTACAATCCAGAAAATAAAATGTAATTAAATTAAAAAGAAGACTACTTCAACATACTTTTGGCTTTGCTACCAATAATTATTGCTAAAATTAATTTTGACATTGGTTGGATAATTTTAATAACCTATTAAAGATAGCTAATACCTTTAAGATTTTAGTAACAGCAATTTTCAACTACAAACTTGATAAATGCTTTTTCTATCAGCTGTATTCCTTTTTACAGATATATCTGTTTGAATTATAACTAAAATCCCTTTACTGGTTTGGGTATTTTAAGTCTTTTAGCCTCTGCAACTACATATTTTTTACAAGAAATAAAACAAGATAACTATGCTGAATTTTAGATATATGTATAGACCTAATCAAATTTGGCAGAAGAAAGGGAAAATGACAATGATAATTCTTGAGAAACACTATTTTAAGTTAAATTTAAATCCTTTTAATTTATATTTTCTCCCTCGAATCATTTATAAATTAAGACAATTAAAAATGCACTTGTTGGAGATACTCGCTAAGCATGGGAAAACTTTAATATCTTACAAAGCCTTTTAAACATAAAAAAAAATTACAAATGAAATTTACAATTTATTCATGCTTATCTTTTATTGTAAAATTTATAGTAGTCTTAATTTACTTTACATTTTTTCAAATATTCGTGTGCCTTTTTTATTCGAGATAGAGAGTATAGTTATAGAATTAAAAATGCAAACAAATTCAGATTATGTATTTTTTGTTAATTATAAAAATCTATTTAATTTAGTAGAAAATGTTAATTATAATTAAAGAATTAAAAATAACATTTCTAAATGAAATTCTGTGAGCAAAAATAAATATTTATTAAAAATCATCATTTTAATTTACACAATATTTTCTTCGATATTTAAAAATAGTTAACCAAATAAATAAATATATTTTATTTTTGAGCTAATAAGTTCAATCTATTTGGCTAGAGCTTTGTAGCTGAACAGTGAATAAAAGATAAAATACATTTTCATGGCATTATACATTTAAGAAGTTTTATATGAATAAAGTTTTTTCAGATTCTAAATTTTTAATCAAAAGAAATAAAAATTATTTTTATAATAATAATGAGTTAAATAAATTTAATTTTAAAAAATATTTTCTTTTTAAAATAAAAAGCAGTCCTGAAAGAAGTTTTTTTTATTTTGCAATATATAAAAAACTAACAAATTCATTAAATTTATTTCCATTACAAACATTTTTTGAAATAAACTTAAATTATTTTTAAATCAATTTTTTGAAATGAATTTCTTTTGAATTTTATTTAGGCAATACCAATCATTTTTGAAGTTGGTTTATTTTTTTAGATTGAATGAAATATAAATAAATTATAAAGGTTAAAAATATTTAAATTTTCTAACTTAATAAAAATGAAAACAAACAATTACAACTAATTTATACTATTCTATCAGAGGTATATTTTGAAATAAAATTATCCTTGATCAATTTATTAAACTTATAACATGCTTTATAATTGAAGCTTTATAAACACTTAAGGGATCTTCTTTTGATACTATTTTTTTTAAAGGAAGATTAAGCTGTGACAAATAGTTTAGCTCTTCATCATACTCATCTAACTCTTTGTTGGTTGAATTTTCAATACAACTTATTATTATATCTAAAATAGATTCCTTTTGGATTTTTTTATTTATTCAGAAAACAATTTAAGAGAATCTAAATGTTATTTAATTGATTTAATTCTCAATATTTCAATAAGCAACTACCAAATTTCTTCATCAATATCATGCTTTTGGAAAAAAACTAGCATGAGATACAGTTCTATATTTTCAATATATTTTATTTGTAAGAGTCCTCATTAGTAAGTAGTAAGGATCATTTAGTATGTACATGTAAAAAGTAGCAAAGTAAGCTGAGAATTCTAACTGACTTGAATTTTCTATGCATTTAAACATAAAAGTGTTGCATTTTGAAAACTATTCTTCTGAAGCAAAATACTCTTACATTTGGCTAAGGAAACAAACCTGTGATACATTAAATGTTTTACGATCTTTAGAAATCTTTCTCTCCAGAGGAGCTATTTCCTGAGTTACCTAAAATTAGCTCTTATATTCACACAACTCTAATAAGCAGTTAAGCTTGATTTATTCGTTTTCAGACTAGTTTTTCCACTTTTTATTGGTTTTGGTTAAGCAATTAACTGATTCTTTTAATAAATGTTTCATGTAATGTTAATTATTCCTAATTAATCTCTTAATGTTATTTAGTCTAACTCACCTTTTTTGCTATACTATTCAACAAAATTCTAAAAGTTGTTTTCTATTTGTTTCCAAATATCTTTATTATCCTAGTTTTTTTTTTGAAATGTAAAAAAAATTTATTCTTAAAATTAAATTGAAAAATAAAATCAAATAAAAAATTCTTAAAAAAGTGAATTTATTGAATTATCTTAATTACAGAAAAGAAACTTATTTGAGAGAAACCTCTGAGAAATAGAGTAAAAATATCAAAGTTGAGGATATCTTCTTTCTCATGGTTAGAAATTTACATTCTTTTAAATTTATTATCTATGTTTTCTTTGCTTTAAGGTTTCTGGGTTTTGTGAGGTAAAGGCTTGTGTTTGAGAGGTTTTTGTTACAATTATGGGTATTATCTCATTTATTTTATATTTTAGACATTTTAAATTTCAAGAAGTACTCAGCAAATTCTAGAGGCTGATATTGAAGATTTCCCATTGAAACAAAAATAATAGCAAATTATTCAAGATACAAAATTTTTTTGTTTAATATGAATATTTCTTCAAATTATCTTTTTTGAACGGGATCGATAAAGATACTTTTTTCAGCAATTATGGAAATTAATTCTATACAATCAGTGAGATCCATTTAATTTAATCCTCTTAAAAGCTTTTTCTTTATTTATATGAGAAAACTTTATGAGTTGAGATCTTTAAATTCATAGCTAAAGCGAGCTATCGTAAACATTTTCTAATTCTGCTGAGTTTCAAAATAAAAGATTTCCTTTTGCCAAAAAATTCTTCCAAACTGGCTCGTCTTGAATACCAAATAAATAAACAAGTTTTTGCAATTTAACAAATTGAACAGCTGAATAAATTTAATTATAAATATTTCTTCAATAATTAAAAGTGAGAATATAATTGGCAAACAAGATGCATCAGGTTTATGTTCTGCTTAAGCAAATTTTGCTAATATCTCAGTTTTAACACTTAATCTTCAGTAAAAACTGTTTTTATTTTTAGATTTTTATATTTTTTAATATAAAAATGAATTTAAAACTTAAAACTATTTTCATTTATTTATTAGTTTTTATTTGATTTAGTTTTTTATTCTACTTATTACCTATCTGTGTGTGTGTTTCTTCAATATTTAAAAGTTAAAATAAAATTGGTGATAAAAGTGCATAAGGCTATAGTTTTGTTTAGCAAAATGCTCTAACCACTCTAAATTGTAATAAGACCTTTCTTAAAAATAGTTTATTCGTTTTGGATTTTGATATGTTTTAACTAATTTATTTATTAACTTATTATTAGATTTATTTTTATTTTTTTTCCTGATTATTTATTTTTTGTTTTTTAATTTAACTCTCTTTAATTTTTTCATTTAATATTTTATTTGATTATTAATTCTAACTAACTAATTAGTTATGTTTTCTTTAATATTAAAAAGTTTCAACAAAATTGGTACTTATTTAAAATATCATTTAATTTTAACATTTTATTCTATTAGATTCGATTAGTATTTTAAACAAATATATATTAAAAGTAAAAATGAAATTAAAGATTCAGAAGAATTTAAAGTAAAGAGCAGATTTCTTAAATCTAAAAGATTAGATTTTCTAGAAATATAGTTCTAATTATCATAAACTAATGGCAAAAAATAAATGATAAAAAAATTGAATAATATTTGAATAATTTGGACTATTTATTATAATTTCACTTTCATTAGAATTTTTTTATGAATATAAGTTACAACATATAATAATGAGTAAATTTATTGATATTAACAAGATACATTCTAACTTATCTTGTATTGCTATATGGGAGTTGAAAATTATGATCGATTGGAGGAGTTTCTTATTTATAGAGGCTCTTTTCCACATTTCTGAATCACTTAATCCTCCAAAAATCTAAAGATAGTTTCAGCTTTGGTTTTCTTATTTACTAGAATTGCTTTTGTTTCTTTAATATTTATTTTATGAACCAAAAAACAGCTTAGATTATAATTATAGATACTTTTAGATTTTTATAGTCCTCTTTACCATAATTATAGCCAAGATAATTTTTTATATTGTTTGCATTGTTATTTCTAAAAAGTTATACCGATAAGCTTTTAATAGCAATAGTTCTCTACTTCAAATTAATTACATGCTCTAGCAGTCAATTCTATGCCTTCATATAGGTACCTTTTCATCCGATATAATTTGAATCCTTTTATAGGATTAGGAGTTATAAGTTTATTAACCTCTATCAGTACTCTATTTTTTATTCAATTAAGTGAAAGTAATTGCAATCAACAGAATTAAAAAGAAACCTAATAAAAATTAATCAAGAAAAAATTATTGAGAGTTGAAAAAAGTTGAATTTATTTTATGATTTTGTGTTTTTAAACTGTAAATAACAAAATTTTCAAAATATTATTTTAGTAATTATCAGAAACTTATATTTTTAATTATTTTATTATAAATGCTTGTTTTAAAGATAAATTATTTTTAAAAAAAATTATATTTTAGAAAAAAAACAATTATTTTTCATTTAATTTATAAAAAAATATTCAATAGTAGTTAAAATTGTAATTTTCTATTTAATTTCATAAACTATTTGACATTTTTTTAATTTGTATTATTTCTGTTTTTTAATTTCCAATATAAAATTATTCATTAGTAGTGAGTGACATGACACTTTCAATTCAATCCACTTATATCCACTTGTATATAGTCTCTAATAACTAATCAAACCAACATTTATATTTTTCTACAACCCTAAACAAATAGGTATTTGTTATCTTTTTATATCATTTGCATATCAAAATCATAAATAATTAATTGCCGATAATAAAATAAGAAATATAAATGAGTATTCAAAGCAATTAGCAGGTTTCAAGTGATTGCGAGTCTAAAAAAAATTAATATCTTAGGCTTTTTTTTATCATTTTTACTGTAGGAATAAACTCAACAATTTACGCTAGCATTCCATTTTTGTTTTATTAGTCTTCGCTTGAATGCTTTGATAAAGAAAAAGGATTTAAATATTAATGCACAGCTAATGAAGCATGTGATTTAGGTAGCTATGCAATAAGTAACCAATAAACATATCCCTAAATATTTAGCATTACCGATGATCTGAATTTAATTTGTGATAGGTCAGTTTATGAAGCTTACATACTAACTTCTGGGACTGTAGGAAGAGTATTTGCATATATTGTTTTGATCTTTTTTCCAGTTTAAAAAGATGGTAAAGAATTATTAATGAATTTAATTACTCTTTTAATAGGTATCACTCTATGCTTGCTTTAATGGTTTTAAAATTTAGGCATGCTAATAATTAGCTTTTTTACTTGGTATTTTTGCACTTGCTTAGTAAGTGGATTAATATTTGTATACATGTAAGAAATCTTACCTGAACACATTGCAAATTACTCAGTGACATTTACTAGCTTTGGTTGGTTTTTAGGTATGTTTTCTTATGTTATATTTGTATATTTCTTTGGTCATTGGAAAGATACTCTTGTCTTTTTTATAGGGTTGCCTTGTATAATCATTTCTAGTTTTAATTTGTTCTTATCTCTGCTATACCCAATCAATCGAAATAGGGAATACCAAGCTTATAGCTAGCTTTAAAATGAAGATATTACAAATTTATCAAATCAGCAACAAAGCACATAAGTTAATGAATTTCTATCCAATAACAGCAAATTAAATACTTAGAGAATTATGGATGAGGAGGAAGATAACGTAATTGAGTAATAGCCTTCTATTGAACCAAAGCTATAAAATAGAAACGAAGAGAACTTATTAGATATAAAGCAAGAAGACAATAATTTAGAATCAATTGAATAATTATCAGATGAAAAAAGATCATTAATTAATTAATAAATAGATTAAGATACCGTTTTTACAGAATAATTGCAGTAATAACAAACTAATTTTAATTAAAATTAATTGCATTAAGTAAATGATTCTACAATACAAAAATACCTTCCATTTATGCTTCATAAAGAATTAAGAACTAATTTTTATGTCTGGACTTATTGCTTTGCTTGTATTGGAATTAACAATGCTTGTTGCTATTACTTTTTAAACTAAATTGAAGGTGATCTTTACCTAAAATCTCTACTCTCAGCAATTTTAGAAATCTTAGCTTCGTTTGTTGCCACCTTTTTTGTAATGGCTTTTAAGGATAATTTCAAGATTTTAACTTCATTTATTTTTTCACTCACTGGATTAGCTTTTTTAGCTTGTATTTTCTTTTACAATCCAGAAAATAAAATGCAATTAAATTAAAAAGAAGACTACTTCAAAATACTTTTAGCTTTGCTGCCAATAATTATAGCTAAAATTAATTTTGATGTTGGTTGGATAATTTTAATAACTTACTAAAAATAGCTAATACCTTTAAGGTTTTAGCAACAGTAATTTTCAGCTTCAAACTTGATAACTTCTATTGCTATAAGCTTTATTCCCTTTTACAGGTAAATCTGTTTGAATTATAACTAAAATCCATTTACTGGTTGGGTATTTTAAGTCTTTTAGCCTCTGCAACTACATATTTTTTACAAGAAATAAAACAAGATAGCTAAGATGAATTTTAGATAAATGTGTAGACCAAATCAAATTTGGCAGAAGAAAAGGAAAAAAACACTAAAAATACTTGAGAAACACTGTTTTAAGTTAAAATTAAATCTCTTTAATTTATATATCCACCTCGAATCATTTATAAATTAAGAAAGCTAAAAATTACACTTATTTAAAATATTATTTAAACATAGGGGGAAAAACCTGAATATCTTACAAAGCCTTTTAGAGAGAAAAAAATTACAAATGAAATTTAAAATTATATTCATGTTCTTCATTTATTGTAAAATTAATAGTAGGATTAAGTTACTTTAAATTTTTTTCAAATATTCGTGTGCCTTTTTTTCCCATAGATAAAATATAGTTGTAGAATTAATAAATGTAAACAAATACAAATTATCTTTTAATGTTAATTTTTGAATCTATTTAATTTAGAAGAAAATACTAATTATAATTGAAGAATTAAAAATTATATTTCTTAATTAAATTCTGTAAGCAAAAATAAACTTATTAAAAAATCATCATTTTAATTTACACACACTTCAAAACAATATTTTTTTTCTTCCTTAAAAACAATTAAATAATTAAATAATAAATATATATATATTATTTTTGATCTAATAAGTTCAACCTATTTTGCTAGAGTTTTGTATCTGAAAAGTGGATAAAATATAAAAGATATTTTACTCGCTTTATGCTTTTAAGAAATTTTAGAATAAATAAAGATATTTCAGATTCAATCAAAAGGAATTAAAATTATTTTTATAATAATAATGTTTGAAATTAAATTTCATTTCTCAAAATATTTTCTTTTTAAAATAATTAGTTACCCTGTAAGAAGTTTTTTTTAATTTAGCAATATAAAAACTAACTAATTCATTAAATTTATTTCTATTACAAGCATATTTGCCATAAAGTTAAATAATTTTTACATCAAGTTTTTGAAATGAATTTTATTTAGGAAATCCCAAAAAAATTAAAGTTGTTTTCTTTTTTAGATTGATTGAATGAGATATTAATGATAAATATTTAAATTGTCTGTTTGACTTAATATAAAACAAAGACAAACAATTATAATTAATTGATATTATTGAATTTGAGGTATATTTTAAAATAAAATTATCCTTGATCAATTTATTAAACTTATAACATGTTTTATACTTGAAGCTTTATAAACACTTAAGGGATCTTCTTTTGCTAATATTTTTTTTAAAGGAAGATTAAGCTGTGGCAAATAGTTTAGCTCTTCGACATATTCATCTAACTCTTTATTGGTAGAATTTTCAATACTACTTATTATATCTAAAATAGATTGCTTTTACTCTGGATTTTTTATTTATTCAGAAAACAATTTAAGAGAATCTAAATGTTATTTAATTGATTTAATTTTCAATACTTCAATAAACAACTACCAAATTTCTTCATCGATATCTTGCTTTTGGCAAAAAACTAGCATGAAAGAAAGTAAATCGTCTACTTAGTACAGTTCTATGTTTTCAATATATTTTATTTGTAAGAGTCCCCATAAGTAAGGATCAGTTAGTCCGTATATGTAAAAAGTAGCAAGATAAGCTGAGAATTCTAACTGACTTGCATTTTCTATGCATTTAAATATAAAATTGTTCCATTTTGAAAACTATTCTTCTGAAGCAAAACACTCTTACATTAGGGTGAGGAAACAAACCTGTGATACACTAAATGTTTTACGATCTTTAGAAATCTTTCTCTCTAGAGTAGCTATTTCCTGAGTTACCTAAAATTAGCTTTTATATTCACACAAATGTAATAAGCCGTAAAGCTTGATTTATTCATTTTCAGATAAATTTTTCCACTTTTTATCCTAACTTTTGATTAAGCAATTAACTGATTCTTTTAATAAAAGTTTCATGCAATGTTTCTAAAATTCTAACTCGTTTTAGTGAGTAGAGCCACCTATCTCTGCCTCTTCTATATATTTATAAATTACTAAAGCATACACTTATATTTTTTCTAAAATCTTTTAGGCACTCTCCTTTGCTAGAACATTTTCGAATTTTGGTAAATCAGTTTTATCATCAAGGATGTAACTGAGAGCTAAATTAAGTTGTTTAAGATTAAAAACATTGAACCTGACTAAATTCTTCAAAATAATATAATTTTAGTCATATGATAATTCAAATTCATTCCTATTAGATAGGAGCTACCAAATTTTCTCAGTACCAAGTTAAGTTTTATCGAAGGATCCAATAATTATCCCCAATTAATCTCTTGTTATTATTTAGTCTAACTCGCCGTTTTTGCTATACTTTTCAACAAAATTCTAAAAGCAGTTTTCCATTTGTTCCCAAACATCTTTATTATCCTAGTTTTTTTTTTAAATGAGTAAAAATTTATACTCAAAATTAAATTGAAAAATAAAATCAAATAAAAAATTCTAATAAAGTGAATGAATTGAACTATCTTAATTACAGAAAAGAGACTTATTTGAGAGAAACCTCTGACAAATAGAGTAAAAATATCAAAGTTGAGGATATCTCCTTTTTCTTGGTTAGAAATTTACATGCTATTAAATTGATTATCTAAGCTTTCTTTACTTTAAGTTTCAGGGTTTTGTACAATAATTGCTTGTGTTTGAGAGGTTTTTGATATAACTGTGGGCATTATTTCATTTATTTTAGACAATTTAAATTTCAAGAAGTATTCAGCAAATTCTAGAGGCTGATATTGAAGCTTTCCCATAGAATCAAAAATAATGGCAAATTATTCAAGATACAAAACTTCTTTGTTTAATACGAATCTTTCTTCAAATTATCTTATTTGAACGGGATCGATAAATATACTTTTTTCAGCAATTATGGAAATTAATTCTATACAATCAGTGAGATCCATTTAATTTAATCCTCTTAAAAGCTTTTTCTTAATTTATATGAGGATACTTTATGAGTTGAGATCTTTAAATTCATAACTGAGAAAAATTTTAAAAACCTAAAGCAAGCTATCGTAAACATGTTCTAATTCTGCTGAGTTTGAAAATAAAAGATTTCCTTTCACCAAAAAATTCTTCCAAACTGCCTCGTCTTGAATATCAAACAAATAAACAAGTTTTTGCAATTTAACAAACTCAACAGCTGAATAAATATTTACATTAGTCAAACCTTTAATAATAATGTCAAATAAATCCATATGATCTTATAAAAACTGCATGAATTTCTCTTTGTATTTGTAAAAGTATTAAAAAATATAAACATATTCGCTTGCTTTCATTTTAGTGTTTCTTTCTTTGATAAAATTAATGATTGTGTCATAATCTTCTCTTAACTTCTACCTCAAAATCAAATCCACATCATATTTTTTAAGGGATTTTACAAGTTTTCTATTTAAACCTTATCCCTAACACACAACGGTCTCAAACCTACCATAGTAAATATCAAAATTTTGTATTTCTGTTTAGCTCAAAGAATTGCTGTATGGATCAATTTTAGATACATCATTATTTAATTTTATTTGCTAATTTTCATAGTCTCTATCTTATATTTGTCTGTTTTGATGAGCCTTGAAAAGAGAAATCTTATTTTTCTAATAATTATACTTTATTTATTCATTTAATGCTAGATTAGTAAACCTATTCTTTAACAATTGTAATGCAATTTTATTCATCATATGGATAATTATTTTAAAGTCCTACTTAAATTAAATAAACTATTTGAAAGCAATAAATATAAAAACAAACAGTGCAATTAAAATTCAGATTTAGTTTTAGTATAACTCAAATGAATATCATATATTAATTAATTAATAAACAAAATGATAAAACCAAAAATTAAATTTTAGAAACAATTAGAATCAAAAAGAAACTAAACACATTAATCAAATTAATCAAAAAATATAATTGCAAGTCTTTGTATCTTTTTTTATTTATTTGTTTGCTTTTGTGTTTATGGAGATAAGTTTAGATACAAATAATTAATTAATTATTATAAATTTTTTACAAGCTTTTACTAAATTAGTCAATAAATTAAATATATAAAAGGGTTATTGTAATTGCCATTTTAATGAGTAGTGCAAGAAGTCTAGTTAACACTATTTTTAGAGGATTTTCAAGATCCGTCCATAAAAAATAAGATGGCTCAAATCTAAAAAGTTTGTAACCACCTTAATAGATTTTTGATTAAATCTTCCACATTGAAAATTAGTAGAAATCATTAGAAATGCAAGACTTATCTCACTAACAGCACAGTAATTGAATGAATATCATATCAAAATTAATTTAATTAATACAATTTGATTTGTAGTAAAATGATATCGTTTTAAACAAACCATAAAATTTTGTAATTTATTCATAGTTTTAAATAATTATTTTTAACTTAAAAGAGATTTTTGGAAAAACAATTGATATAATTGGTATTCCAGTTGCACAGAATGAAGAAATTTCAATGAAAAATTTAGAAACTTTATCAGAATTGTGCTTTAAAACATAAAATAATGAGGTTTCTTTGATTGGCGTTGACCCTTCCTATCACATCAGTGACAAACGTTCGATTTAAAAATAAATGAGAAAGCAAATTCTATATAAAGGTCAAGATATCGATTAAGAAGTAGGTGTTTTTATTCATATTAATTAAAATAAAAGTAGGTTAAAACAAAGTTTGTAATAATTGTTTTTTATTTTAAATAATAGACCATTCTTAACGAAAATCCAACTTATCCATAACATTTAGATGAATTATTACTTGATTTATTGCCATTAGACTTTTATAAGGGCTCTGAATAAGAAAAGATGACAATAATTCAAAAAATAGTTGAGAAATCAGAATTAATGAGAAAAGATGGTTATTTTACATCTCTTTTTGTTAATGAAAATGTCGATATGTCCTCAGATGCTTCTCAAGAAAAATTAAAAGAACTTTATGAAATTGTAGGCGAAAGGATATTTGGTAAATAAGAAATAGAAACTTACATGTATCCACATTTATAGGAAGCAACTGTTTTAAATATTATGAGTGGAAAACAAATATACTTGGGTTAAGTCCCTAAAATTTATTAACGCTTATACATGGCAAATAGCATAGATTTAGAATACTTAAAACAAATGTTTAAGGAAGTTCTTAAGTTCTCTTAAAGCTATAAAATCAAAAGCACTTCTGAATTTGGCAAAATCAGTCCCATGATCTTCTCACACATTTATTCGTTTATTAATGACTACTATATGTATTATATTCTTCAGCAAATCTTAATGACCAAAGAATGTCAAACAGGTGCTACCGTTCTGATAAAATCACATTAGGTAGATCCCTTAAAAACACTCCTTTTACATTATGGAGAAAAGGGATTTAAAAAGAATGAAGAAATAGTCGATTTTATGTCAATTCCAGAAAACGATTAAGATAATGATGAAATCTTACTAGAAAAACATGCTATCTTAGATGTTATTTTTTCTGATTTATTGTGGGAAAAGTCATTTATACGTAACCCATTCCCTTATCTTTAGGAAGACTATTAAAAACTAAGTGTTAAAGACCGCTAATAAATATCTTAGGCATACTCAGTAAATGTTAGAAAATACTAATCAGTTGCAAAAGAATTCCTTAAAAACAATTAATGATATATATATGTATGTATTAAGTTTAACCTTTTAACTTTTTATGTAAATTCGATTTTATCAAATAAATAACTTATTTATTAATTAATTAACTAAAATTTAGTGACTAAAATCTATTGTAATTTTTAGCTTATGATTTCTTTTCCTAGTCGTTATAATTAATTTAGATTAATAGTATCTATTACATAAAAATAAATTAATTGGGTAAAAAAATTAAAAAATTTTTCTTTTTTTATAATTTTTTTATTAGGTTTAGGAATTTTTATTGTAAATTTATTAATTTTATTTTACATTTTATTAGTTAATATAACATTTTTTTAGTATGTATTTTGTAATATTAAAATTTTTATTGATATTTAAAGTTTAAAAATTTTTTTCTTTTTAAGATAGGTAGATAGATAGATAAATAAATATAGATAGATAGGTAGGTATATAGATTAATAAAAGGATGGAATGACAGATAAATTGATACGTTTTTCAAAATTGATTTTAACCATCATAATTTTTTTTAAATATTCTTTTTTTGATAAAAGAGAACACAAAATCAAATACTGATAATTTATCAACTTTTTTTAATTGATTATTTTAAATGACATCAATTTCATTTTCTTATTTATTAGTATTATTATTATTATTATTATTGTGATTTTGACTTTGAGTCTAATTTTCTTCTTTGTTAATTTATATTTCATTTTCGCTTTTTAATATTGAACATGATTTTTAAGATGTAAATTGAGAAATATATTCTTATTTGTTTTGATTTTATATTTCTTAGATTAAAACTAAATCTTAATTTAATTTTGTATTATTTTTTTAATAATTTTTTTTTTTTCGATAAAGACAAAGAGAAGAGCGGCACTAAGAAAATTTTTAATTAGTTGTTTGTATATTTTAAGAAGTTAGTGAAATTGATAAATTATTTGTTTTCTTTATAAATATTGAAGATTAATTCATTTGCAATTATTAATTAATATAGTCTATTGTTATTTATTGTGTTTGGTTTTGTTGTTAAGTATTTTTGATATTTTTTTATTAATCAAGTTTTTAAAAATTTTAAACAAACAATTTTTCCTACTAGTTTTGAAAATTTAGAAGTAAAATTTATTTGTTAATTTATTTATATTCTTTTTTTTAAATCATAAAATGCTTGTCAAGATAAACTTGTTGGTATTTCAATTAATTAATAGATATTTTTTTATTAAAACGCTTTGCAAGACAGTAGAATTCTTTGATAGTATCTATACGTGAAACATAATTTGGTTAATATAAAACTGAACGCAATCTGTATAGCTAGTAAAATTCTAATTATTATCCTCTCTTATCTATAAATTCTGTATTTATACCTGCCTCTCTAAGATCACTTTCGTTCCAAATAGAGATTTCTTCATCATATTCAGTTTCATCACTATTATTTTATTATTGATTAATTACTTAAGAATTTCTTTTTTACAACATTTTTTATGGTAAATTAAGATAATTTATTGTTTATTCTGATATTAGCTCATCCAATTATTAAATTTATGTTTGGTAATTATTATTGTTAAATTAACTTTGAAGAATATAATTTTTTAATGTTTATTATTAATTATTGATGTCAATATAAGCATTTTGCCAAATAATACAATCACTCATTATAATGTTGTTATAACTGTTAATATTTTTAGGTTTTTATGATAAGTAATAAAATAAGGATTGAAGGTTTTAAGAACCTTTATTCACTTTAATGATTTTATTAAAATTAACTTTATGAATCAAAATTTCAGCAGTTAGTTAATATACTTTTTGTAATTCAGCTTATGATTTTAATTTTAGTTAATTTAATATCAAAAAATAATTGAGATTCGTTTCTTAAAGTTGATTATTAAAACTTTATAAAATCTGAATGATTGCAGTAAATTATGCTTATAGTGTGTTTAAAGGAGTTAAATTGAAAAATCACTTTATTAAATTTTGTATTAAAATTTTTTTGAACAGTTAAATAAGTAAAAAAGTATATTAATTTTGACACAGTGCAAAATCAAGCAAGACTAGAAAAAAAATTCATCAGAATATAATAAAAAATTAGGAGTTTTATTATATTAGAAACCTCTCTACAAATTGCTAGCTCAAAGTTGATAGTTAGATGTTTGTTTTATAAAAGATAAAACTAAATCATGTTCTACTTTATAATAATAAAATATGAAATGAAAAATACAATCTTTAAATATTTATAATAATTTTTTAACTTTAAAAATGTTATCTCTAAGCAATTTTAAATTTTTTGAGATAAGATTGATTATTAGAAACAAAAAAAGGGAGGAAAGTTATAAACGCTTTCATTCAATAAAATAGAAGTTTTATATTATTTCTGTTATATCGCAAATTAAGTAACTTTAAATTGAAATGTAGTAATCACTATCATAATTTAACAGATTTTGTGATTAAAATAGAAACTAATAATTTCTGTCTAAAAAAGGTTTAGTAAATAATTTAATTTTAATAACGCTTGTTATTGAGATAAGTAATTAATCGGAGTATTAGAAAATAAAAAAAAATTTAGAATTAGTTTTTAAGCAAAGTAAAAATATTTGACAATTTTTTAGAAATTTATTTTTCTTTTGAATGAAATGTTATATTTTCTTTTATATCTAAAACCCAATAAAACTTATTTATAAATATAAAAGATTTGGTTTTAGTAATATTTTATTATCTGTATTTAAGAAATTGTTGTGCCTGCCTAAATTTAAGTCAGTAAGTAAAGTTAATTAATTAATTAACTAATATAAAAAATCAAATTATTTTTTCCTTTATGGTATATGTAGATAATTAAATAGAGAATAGATATTGAGAGAACGATAGTAATCAATTATTTTTAGTGAATAATTATTTCATTTTAAAAATTAATACCTGATTTTCACACTCTCTCTACAAATTTAACTTAATCAAAACGAATATTCATTCATAAAAGAAAAAAACATAAGGTAAAATTAAATGATTTATAACTTGCTTCTATCAATTTTTTACTTTTTAAATCAATTCAAATAAATATTTTAAGTTTGAACTCAACTTAATATGAAATTTTATCAATTTAAATAAATTAAATTAATATCAATTATATAAGCCTTACACTTTATGTTTATTTGATAAGTACATTCATATTGATTAAGAACTATTTTTCATATAAATTTCTTTTTCATGTTTTCTAAATACAAATTTTTTACATAAAAATCCTATTAAAATATAACTAAATTTAAATAAATATCTATTAGAAATAGTAAAAGGAATTCATAGAAAAATTTGTAGTGTCATAAACAAACTTACTCATTCTAAATAATTAATTTAAAGATATATTTGACAAAAAACTTAAAAAAATATAGAGAAATAACAAAGAGATTATTTATTGATTTAATAAATAAGCAAAGAAGCAAACATAGGAAAGTAAATAAATAAATATTATTTTTATAATTTCTCCCCTCTTTTTTATGAGATTTTCAACAGTATTTTTTACTATTTTCTTTTTTATAATAAAAGTAGAGAGAAAATCGTATTGATTCATTTCAAATTAATTTTTATATTTTTCTCAGAAAACAATTATGAAGTTTTTGTTTTTGAGAGTACATACATAACATTAATTTGAGAATTCTTACTTTTTTATTTCATATTTTAATTATTTTAAAATATTATATTGTTATATTTTGTATTGATTAGTTTATTAAATATTTTGTTTATGAGATGAATAAGTTTGTTTGTTTGTTAATAATTATCAGAAAATAATTCTTTAAATTATTTTTTTTGTCTCTTTAGTTTTTTCTAAATCACAGTATGATTGTATCAAGGTACTTATTATTATAAATTAATTGATTGATAGATACTTTTAACTAAAATGTTTAGAAAGGTATTTTATTATTAATATAAGATAAATTTGTATTTTTTAGGCTTTTGCTTTTTAATTAAGTAAAATTATAATGAAGATATGATTAAGAATTATTTTTTAATGATGAAATAACTAATTTTATATTTTATAATTGCAAACTAATAAATTCTTATATTTTATCTAAGGTAAAGCAAAATAATCCTGAATAATTAAATTTTTATTTTTTAGTTTAGAGCAGTAAATTAAACTAATTTGATGGAAATAAAAAAAATTTCTAAAATACAAAAACTTTTATCAGAATTTAACAAATATTAAATTATTAATCTTCAATGTTCTTATAAATAAATTACCGGATCAAAAATCAAAATTATGCGTTTTTTTATTGATAAAAAAGCTGATTAATTTAAAAAAGAGAAAATACATACTTTGCTTTAATTTTGAATATAAATATTCATAAATAAAAAATTCCTCACGCAGAAATAAACAAATAATTTTTAAATAAAGAAAAATAGTCTGTTATTTATAAAAAATTTTTTGCTTTATTTTTTATATTTATAAAGGAGAATGAGAATAAAATAAATTTATATTTTAAATTAAAGAATTTTTAAGTTTTTCAAGATAAATTAAATACAAGTAATTATTATTTTTTATATGATATTTCAATTTAAGTAAAAAATTAATTTTCATACAGTGATATAGTTTGATAATAAAAAATTTATCAGAATTTAACATATAAATTTATTATAACTTTTCAACATAAATAATGTTGAATAATTAACTGAAAATTAAGCTGATTTATTAATTGATTACTAGCTCAAAACTCAGAAATTAAATTTATAATTAATTGCTTTGGTATATATAATAAAAATATAATACTTGCTTCAATTATAAATATAAAGTATTAATTGAGTCTTAAAGGATTAAAGAAATATTTTTTAATTTCTCATTAATTTCTTCATATTTACAATTTACAAATTAACTTAATTTAATATTTTTAACTAATATTAATTCTAAAAAAATAAATTATATGATAGGCGTAAAAAAATTAAATATGATTTCAGGTTTTATCAGTAATTTCTAAAATAACTCTAAATTAAAAAATTTCTAAAGTACTTTCTTCTCTATTTTAATTTAAACTAATAGTTTCTTATAAAAAAATTTTTGGATAATTTATTAGTTTAATTGCAAAATGTTTAAGTTAAAAATGATTATTAAAAATATAGGCTTTCAATGACAAGGTCATAATAAAATATTTATTATGATAATATTATTTGCATCATATTTTTTTATTTTATTAATAAGATAGCGATAAAATAATTAAGTAGAAAAGTACTTCAATAGAAAAGAGTCTTACAAATTTTTATCAGTTTTATTAATAGCAAATGTGTCCTTAATAAAATTTTAGTCAGCTTTGCTATTAATTTATCAAATTTAATTATTTATATTAAACCAAATTGTTCTTATCTCAAAAATTCACTCAAACTAGTTATTTCTTAAGTAAAATTTTTTGGATGATTTACTTTTTTAAATGCAAAATTTTTAAGTTAAAAAAAGATTATTAAAAAATAGACTTTTAACAACAATTTCGCAATAGAATGCTAATTAATGAAAATAATAATATTATATTTTTGGAGTTTTATTAATATGATAGCGAGAAAAGAAATTAAGAGAAGAGTTCTTTAATATTTAAAGTGTTCTCTTTTTTTTCAGTTTTATTAGGGTAAAAAGTTTTTAATAAAATTAAGTCAGCTTTACTATGAATATATCTGAATTTAATTTTTTAGTTAAAACATTGTCCCTTATCTAAAAATTTATTCAGTAATTTACTTTTTTTAATGACACATTTTTAATACAAAAAATTAGTTAGTAAAAAAACATAAATTAGATAATAACTTCACTTCGTTTGTTAAAAAAAATAGTAAAATTTTGTGTATATTTCTAATGTTAATATATTTTGGAAATGCTTATAAAAAATTAAAAGAAATTCACTCGTTTTTTTATCAAAAATGATTGAAGTAACTCTTTTTAAAAAATTTAGCAAGTAAATTTAACAAATTTTATTTTAAATAACTATTTATTATTAAAATAACTTAGTTAGTTAATTTATTATATGTAATTATAAGCTATTTTAGAAAGAAAGTTATAATAGAAAATTCATAATTTGCTTTTTTTTTAAGTAATATGATTGAATATTTTTAAAATACAAGAAAATTTCTAAATTTTAAATTAAAGATGGAAAAAATTTAAGATTCCAGATTTTTGTGAATTTAGATTCAGTAAAGTTGATTGATTCTTTTATAAAAATAAGTTGTTTCTTTTAAGAATTGCATTTAAATTTAATTGTTTAAATGCTCATTTATTTGGTTTTTCTAAATAATTTGCCAATTTTTATTCTAAAATAAAATAAATTATTGGTAATTAAATATCTTTTAATGTTAATTTTAATTAATTATTAAAAAAAATTTAAAATTAGCAATTATTTTTAAGTAAATAATCTTTTTAATTTTATTTGGACTTTTTATTTTTATGAATAGATGCAAAAAATTTCTAAAAAATCACAATTAATTTAAGTATAACAAATAAAATAAATTTTAGATTACTAGTCTTTTAAAAATAAAAGAAATCAAATCAAATTAAATAAATTTGTATCTATTTTTATTCAAAATTTTACTTGATTTGTGCAAAATATAATTAACTTTTTTAATATCATTAAATTTATCATAAATTTTTCAAAATGGATTTCTAAATAATTTTTGTTTATTTTATTGAAATTTTTTAAATATTTTTTTAAATTTACTTAGTATTTAAATCAACATCAAACTGTATTTAAAAATTATTACTATTTTTATTTTGATTCTTAAAAGCTAAAATCTAAGCAAAACTTCTACTTATCTTTATAAAGTATGGCTTTTAATTTACTATGCTATTAATTACATAAAATAAACTAATAAGAATATAAAATATCTATTTTATAGTTTAAAAATATTTTCTCTCATAAAATTAGAAAATATTTTTGGCATTCTTAATCAATCCAATTTTATTTCTTTTTGTTCTTTTTCAAAAAATATAGTTTTATATTTATCATTTAATCAAATTGATTAACACTTAATATTCAAAGCAGTGTTATATAATTTTGAAATAAATAACAACATATTTATAAAGAATTGCTTAATTTTACATTCAAAAACTCTACCAAAAAGACAAGAAGCATTAGTCATGATTATTAAAGGAATTAAAAGAACCTAAAATATTTTAAAATTTAATTTGTGCACTCTAAATTATTCTGAAATTTTGCTAAAGAATTATTTTGAAAAGGATTATTATCAATAAATATCTCAAGAATGCTCAGAAAACACAAAAATTTAACATAATATGTTCAGTACAAATATTTTTAATGCTTATTTTTATTATTTAAACAATCATATTAAGTTTTGTTATTCATCAATTATAAAACATTTCTTTATTTTGCTTAAATTAACAAAAATACATTTATTATCTATCTTAACAGGAATAAATGGAAACAAAATAGATATTATTTCAATCCCTAAATTTCATAACGAGCAAACTACTACTAATAACTTTTTCACTTTACTCTAATATTGCAGAGACTGCTCTGAATAGAATGAAATTTCACTTATTGGAATTGATCCTTACTATCACATTTGTGATAAAATTAACTTAAAATTTATAGAAGACAATTAATTCAATTTTCTTGAAGATAGCTTGATAGGAAATCAAAATGTAAGGAATAAATCTTTTTTAATTTGCTACTATATTTAAATATTTTTTAAATAGGATTTTAATCTAAACAATACCAATATATAAGATTGGATAGATAATATCTAATTAGATTTGAAGGTATTTGATCAATTAAAAGCTTAATAATATCAAAAATAATATCAATAAGACCACCAAGAAAAAAATTGTGGATGCAAACATGATAAATATCCAGAAAATTACTATTCTTAAATATTTGACTATAAAAATTAAAGTAAAATAGATGACATTAAATAGAGATAGTAAGATTTATAATAAATTATTTTGGAAAGAGTAAGTAATAAAGAAGAAATAGAAACATTAGAGTTTCCTTTAATGTAGAAAGCTATTGATTTTAGTCTGGGTCTCAAGAAAAATATATTTTTGGGAGAATTACCTAAATTCTTTGTGAAAAAATTTATGGCTTAACATTACTCTATGCTCGAATTGGAAGAGATATTAGAGTCTCTGCTATAATAATCTAAAAACTAATAGAAGATAAACTAAATTAGACACTTATTCAACAAAGAATTCTTTTATAAACAGAATTATTTAATTATTGCATATTAAGCTTTCCTGATTCATTAATTAGTTTAACAAAAACAGAAATCCATTACTGTTTTCGTAAAGAATTACCAATCATAACCATTGATATAGATAATACAACACCTAGCTAATGATTAATAATCATACAAAAATTTTATAAATTCTTTTAGTTTGAAGCTAACATAGTCATCTTGTAATAATACTATTGAATTATAGAAGAAATAACTCATCCTTAGCTTGTTGTATTGGGAAAATAATTTTTAAAAATATGGTTTAAATTAAAAATGATCTTAAATTTCAAAAAAAAAATAGTTTTATAACACAAATAACTTATTAAATATTACAAAAATAATGCTTTTTGTTCTAAATAGTTTGTATAATATGTAAAAATAAATTATATATTTTTCCTACAATATAATGTATATAATATATTTCTTTTTAATGATAGATTGAATCAATTAAACAGAGAAAAAAATCAATAATTGTTTTAAATTTAAATAAAATAAACTATTTTGAATGAAAATATATGTTTAATAAATAATTTAGAATAAAAAATATTTAAAGAGAAAATAATAAAAAAATATAGAAAAGAGCATTTATCAGGTTTTTATTTAATTAAAAATAATATAAAAGCAATAAATATATTTTGCATAACTTAAAAAGCGAATTGATAATTATATATATTAATTAGTGCATAATTTCTGAATCTCAACAATCTATAAAATAAATTCCAAATTTTTTATTTCTTAATGTTTTTAAAAAAATAAACCCTTAAAAGATATTTTTTTTAACTCTAAATTTGAGAAAGGGCATTAAATATTTACAAAAATTTATTAAAATCCGATAAAAAGAATTATAAAAAACATTTAAAAAATTAATTTAAAAGCATTAAAATTGCATGAATAATCCTCATCTATACCAATGAAGTTAATGATATTTTAAATTCTGGATTAGCTTAATATTCCTACTCTATTTTTATTGGGAGTTAACGTGCAAAAAAATTTCTGAATTTGTAATGAGTTAGTGCGTATTTTATTATATACATTACTTTATTGTTAATTAAATGCCTGATAACTAAATAAATGAATATAATAACTAAATAAAGTAAAGTAACAAAGAATAAATAGGATGAAAATACTACAAATGATTAATAATATAATATATTTATTTAATTAGTTGATGATTATTATATATTAATTAATTAAAGGGATAATTTTAGTTAGTTAGTTAGTTAATTGGTTTTTAATTTAATTTAAATTGATTTTAAGAGTCAAAAAAATAATATCAAATTTTTATTTATTTTGTTTAAATTTAAGAAAAAGTATTTTCTAAGAGGTTAGATATCTCTGACTTAGAGAATATCAAATCTTTTTCTAAACCCTCGTATCCTTGCTTTTTGTATAGTTAGCATGATTGGTTAGTGTAATACAGGATATCCAAATTTAATACTTTTAATCCAGTAAGTTATGATCCAATTGTTTTGATAATATATTTAACACAGTCGTTGCTAATCACATTGTAGTAAAGTTAGTACTAGTATTATTTACAATTTTATGAATCTATTTTATGAGAACAAATATCAAGTCCTAATGAAGCTAAGCTTTTTATCTAACAAATTTCATTTACTGAGCTGATCACTCCATTATCAGTAATTGAATTATCATTAAGATTGAGATATAACTCATTTAGCTTTTTAAGTCCTTTTATTTGTTAGCACAAATATATTGCACCACAATTTCCCAAATCGCAGTTATCTAAGATAAGATTTAGCTATTTTAAAGAAGATAACTTACTGATAAATAGTCCTAAAACCCTAATTGCTTCTTGTCCTAGCATATTGTTACTAAGTTGCAAGGTTAGATTCTTTAAATTACTATTCAATTTAAAGTTAAGAAGCTTTTATACGCCTTCAATAGAAAATTTATTTCCTGAAAGAAATAACGAAAGCTTCTCTAACTTTTGAAGAGTATTTAAATAAGAAACAAGCTCTTAAAGTCCTTTGTCACCTATAATATTACCATTCAACTAAAGACCTAGTGATTGTATAAAATTATTTGTCAGTGCTTTGCTTAAAAGAAGCTTTAGTCGACTAGAATCTATTTGTTTGTCTTAAAGATTTAGATTTACTTCACCATTTGATTATGCGTTTTTGCTTTCTCTTAATGCCAATTAATTACTCATATTTAATTTAGTCTTTGAAATTTAATATTTTTTCTTATTATTTAAATTATTGTATTATTAAGGAATTATTTTTAAAATTTGACTTTACAAAATCAAAAAAAAATCAAAGTAGTAATTTTATCTTTTGAAGTTAATTGCGCTTTTTTTTAAAAAATAAGTGGCAATCAGAATTTTTCATACTAGACAATCAAATTAATTAATTTTTATAAAGATTGCGACTTCAAAAAATATACCATAAATTTGAAAAGACAAATCTTAAAAGCTTAAAAACATATTTTTAGATATAGATTTTTTTTTATCTTAAGTGCTATTGATCATAATATTGAGCATTTTTAAATCCTTTTTTTAAAAATTGGTGTTTAATTGTAAGAATTTTGCTTTAAATTTTATTTGAAATTTTAATATTTCTTCAGGAAAAAAAAAAACATATTAACACTGTTAAAAAAATGCTGATCGTAATTTATTATATTAAATCTTAATATTTAATTTTGTTCACAATAAGAGCCTATCACTTTTAAAAATTAGATTCATAGATGAATGTTAAAATAAAAATAATTCAAGAATAATAAGATTTAAATTTTATACATACGTTTTTCATAGTAGTTGTGGTCCATCTATTATGTTGATAAAACTTAATCAAGACTAAAGTGCCTCCCTGAGAATACTAATGCAAATTTTTGAAGATAATTCAATTTATAGAATAATATTCTTTTATAAATATTTATTTAAAAATGGAATGATCACTAAACAATTCAAAGAGATTATTAAATTGTTTTTTATTCTCAAAGATTTTTTAGAGATTTCTTAGAGATAAATTTTTTTGATAAAAATATTAAGCTAAGTAATTCCCAAACATTTTAAGACTAATATCAAAAATAAGTAAATATATATATAAATTAATAGATTTAAAATAAAATTCCATTTGTATTTGATTTGCAAAAATGTAATTTGTAAAATAAAATTTTCTTAACTTTTTAGAAGATTAAAAGAGAGAAAATGTAATAAACAAATTTTAATACTATTTTATGCTTCATATTTCAAGTAATTACATTTAAACGTTAATCAGCTAACTAAAAATACAGTTGTTAATAAAATATTATCTGTTTGAAGAAAAATTTAAGATTATAGAAATCATAATTGTTAATCAACTATGATTTGTTTTATTTTACTTTGAATCTCAAAGTAAATACACTAATAAAGATATACTGTCTATTGCAAATATTTATTTAAAAAAATTATGAAATTAATTAGATATTATAGATATATAGATGGTAATTCTTATTACTTTTTTTAATTTTTAATCGGAGTTTTTGATTTTACATATTAATAAAGAATTGATTAAATATTTCTACTAATTTAAAATACGAAATATAAATCAAATAACAAATTACAATATTAATTTTAAAATCAAACATTATTTTAAATCTTACAAATATCCAACTTTGCTATGTTAATAGATAGGATTAAAAAATATTTAGGTTTTTTGGAGTTTCGCAAAATAAAATAAAACTAGCTTAGTAAACATTTTTTGTAATTACTTGGAATGTAAAAATTGAGAATAAACAAATCAAATTATTTTTTAGTTCAAATTTAATGAATTCTGATTTATTAATGATAAGAATTCTTACTAATATTTGATATTATTATGATTGATTTAGCTCAAAAAGTGAGAATGATAAAACTTTTTAATTTTATTTGTCGTAAGCTAAAATATATTTCAATTAAAGCTTACATACTTTTTCTGCTTAAATTGAGAAGGAATATATATTTTTTTTATTTTTCTCAAAATATATTTGACTCATTTCTATTTTATAAAAATTTTAAATTTTGATTGATTTTCGCTTCTTAATTGAATTGACATTTCATAATAGGCTTATATTATAAATAACCTTATAAATTGAAAATATTATTTTCAAAACTTTTTTAAAAGGTAGAGATAATATTTTTAATTTAAAACATAAATTACGATATAAATAGTTATATTAAAATATATTTTGTTTATATTATTTTGGTTCAATCATAAAAAACACATTTAAAACAGTGTTAACAAATTTAAAATATGGATTTTCAACATTTTTTTAAGATTAAGTTATTTTTAATTTAAAACATAAATTATGAAAAAAATAGTTATGAAATTAAAATATATATTTTGTTTTTATTATTTTGGTTTAATCATAAAAAACACATTTAAAACAGAGTTAGTAAATTTAAAATAAGGCTTTTTCAAAATTTTTTCAATTATAAATTATTTTTAACTTAATACATAAATTAATGATATAAATAGTTATGAAATTAAAATATATTTTAGAATTAATTATTAATTTGGTTCACGCTACCACATTTAGTTATTTTATTTATTTCAGATTTTAATTGATAGACTTTTAGAATTCTACCAAGTTATTATTTGAGTTATTGAATAAAGCATCATAACCCTCTTTCTAAAAATTAGTATACACTTTTTTGTTGTAATGTTTAATATATAGATTTAATTATTCTAATTTTAAATGAGTGCCAATTATATTTATAACATCTTAGGCACATTCTTAGCTTATAACATTGTAATATGAATCAAGATACTAATTTTACGAGTAATTACTCTCATTCACTGATTAATTGCATAGATTAAGATCAAGACTTCTAATTTAATTGTTTTATACTATACTTCTTATTACATTTAAAATACCATTATTAGTTAAGCTATTTTAGTCTATGTGTAAAGTTAGCGAGCTAAGTTAATTAAAACTCTACAATAGTTTACAAAGATATGATGTGCCTTAATTTCCTATCTCGCTATTTTCAATATATAATCCAAAATTAGCTAAATCTCTATTACTTTCTATGAGCTTAATCAATGACTTAATTAGTTCAATCGATTATTAAAAATAATTAAAACCTAAATGTAATTTCTCTAACCTTTTAATACTTTTTAAATCTTCAATGCATTTCAATCCATTTTTAGAGAATTTATTTCCTGATAAAAACAGACTAACTTGACTAAGATTCTATATCTTCTTTATCATCTGAAATATATTTGCTAATCCTTTATCTCCAATTAAATTATTACTTAAAGAAATAGATAGATGAGTTAAACAAGGAAAAAGAGTTTATATTCCGCTAACCAATTGAAGAATTCCATTATCAGTCAAAACATTATCAGAAAGATTCAAGTCTACAACAGTTTATTTATCTTTATTTTAAAACTTTTTGAAAATGCTATTTATTTTATTGTCGTTTATTCCTGCGTTTGATAAATTCATTGGAAAAGATCTTTTAATCTATTTTTTAATCACTTTTATTAATATAATATTTTGTGTTTGTGCTTTATTTTGTATACAAAAGATGAATGAATGAATTCTGATAATAACAAAGTGTTATCAGAAAAAATATCAAAACAATTTCTAATTAAAACATTGAGAATACAAATACTTTATTCATAAAAAATCATCAAAAATGTTAAATTTTTTAAATTACATTTTAATTTTGATTTTACATAAAAATACTTACACTTGAATTCTCTTTGAGAATAAAATTAAATACTATTTAAATTTTTGAATTATTATTTTTGTGAAAATTTATGAAAAAATCTATTTTATTATTTATATGATGTAAATTCTAATTTATTAAGATTTTATTAATTAATGCTCAATTTTAAAAATGAAAAAAAAATAAATAAATTTGAATAAGAAAAACTATTTCAAAAAAAGCCCTGATATATTATATATACAAAGGTAGTATCTTCCATCCATTTAATAAAAATAATAAATCCTAAATAATATTATATTAAAATTTAGGGCTCTAAAAATAAATTTATTGTGATAATTTTTTCAATGGGTCTCAAATTTTTCAATTGAAGTCGAGGTATTTATTGATTGTTTAGCATATTACAATAGCTCCAAAACTTCTAAGGTCATAATTATTCACTATAACATCTAGCTGCTTTAAATTGACCTATTCAAAAATAAATTGAGCTAATTTTTCTGCCAAATCTTATCTAAGCTCATTTTTACTGATTTATCATGTCTAAAAATTTAATTTGTTAAGCTACAGTATTCCATTTTTAGTAAATTAATAATTACAAGAAATCAACATTATTATATATTTACTAATTTTTGTTATATATTCAGATAAAAAATTAAATCACTAATCTCCTTATAGCTAATATACTAATACTGAGTTATTCATAATTTAGCTATTATTTAAATAAATATTAACATAATTCTTTTTGAGGTTAGCACATTTTATACTTTATAAAAAAATGCGTTTTTTTAATTAAGTTAAAAATAATTAAACAAAATATTTATCATCTTTCTTACTCTAAAATTTAAAATTATTAATTTATTTTTAATTCAGCTCTATAGTAAATTAACGAATTCATTTCAAGAAGAAATTTATTACTGAAATTGGTGATAGATAAAGCATAAATTTTTACCTTGTTTTATATGTTAATTATTATTTAATTTCAAATTTGGTTAGTTTAATTGTGTGGTGAAAATTTTAGCTTTCTACCAATTAATAAATTGTGGAGATAATAAATTAAAAATTTGTAATTAGAAAGTAATGAGAGTCAAATCTTAGTACTTTTTCAAATGATTATAATTAACACATTTAATAAATATTTAGCTTCATTTTCAATTATTAGCTAACAAATATTTTGATAGATTTGGAAGAAATTATAAATAGTAAAAAAATTTCATAAATAATGTTGATTTATAGCTATACTTTTAAATGCTATTAATTTATTGTTAATTATATCAATCTTAGAAAAATTACTTTGGAATTATATATTCATTTGCCTTTTTATCAATTTTTTATTAAATCAACTAATTAATAGTTAATAAGCTTAACCTCAGTAATATAATTTCTAAATCATACACATGAATCAAATCTGATATTATTCATTAGAACAAATATAAAAACCTATTTAAGACTGAATTATTCATTTGGTTTTTGCTAACCTAAATATTGATAAAGTAAATTAATTGTTTGAGTCTTTTTCTCCACACATAAATTAATTTTTATATTTACAATACCTCCAACCAAATCATATTTGCATTTCATAAAAATATAATTTAACTTTAAAATATTAAGAAAGAATTATTCGTTTTTTTTACCTTAAAATTATTTAACTTTTATTTTATGAAAAAGCAAAAAAATATAAAATAACTTTCAATCAATTTATATTTTATGTAATAAACATTTAATTTTGTATAAATACATTTAAAAATCAATTTATTTACTCTGCTTCTTTGTGATCTATTTTTTCTCAATTCTGGCGAAAAATAATTAGCGAAAATATAAATTTTATTGTTTGTATTTGCTTATCAAAATTGCTAAATTACTACAAAATTATACAGTTACTTATTTTTCAATTTATCAGTGGCTTACAAATTTTTTTTTTCAAAATGATGATGTTTAAAGGAAAAATAAATATTTTAAAAGTGAAATGTATGTAAACGAATAAAAAAAACAGGCTATTAGATTAGCTTTTTAATAATTGGGAACAAAATATTAAACTTTAAATGTCTAATTTAAGAAAATCATAATCAAAAAGTAAATTAGTTTCGTTTTAGGGATAAGTAAGAATAAATTAAAAATAAAAAAAGAATTAAGTAAGTAACATGAGGGAAAAATAATTAATACATTTTTAATAATTATAAATGTAATGTTTAATGATATATATATTTTTTTGAATTTAAGAATAATAATTTGCTAAAAATAGGAAGGAATTATTTATTGTTAATTCGATTATCTATGTAATATAAATAAAAATAGTTAACAATTCCTAAAAATTTCCTAATTAAATTCAACATACAATAGTTTTTGATTGCAAATATTATAAGTATTTTTCTATATAATTATAAACATCTTCTTTAGTAAATAATTCATCTTTAGCTAAGCCATCATATCCTTCTTTTCTAAATTAAGAAAAAGAAAAATCACTATAAAACAAGGCTTTCAGATTAAGAGTTTCTAATTATGGCATCTAAGTTCCTATTGTTTGAATAATTTCTTTAGCACATGACTGACTAATTACGTTACTTCTTAAGTCATATATTAAGCCTTCATAATTAAAATCTTTTATTTTAAAACGACAAACTTCAAGATGTAAGTATTTGAGTTATTTATTTTTCGAAATTATCTTAGCGCTGTTTAGTGCTCCCTAATCAGTCATAGAATTCCCATCAAGAAAAATCTCAAGTTTCTCTAATTAAGTCAGAAAATTTGTTGACTAGCATATACTAATGGCTCCAAAATTCCCTAAGTCACATTCATTTACTATAACAACTAATTGCTTCACATTAATCTACTTAGCAATAAATTGACCTAAACTTTGTGCTAAATCCTATCCAAGCTCATTTTTACTTACTGCCAAAGATAGTTTTTCCAAACTTTTTATTTATTTAATTTCAGATAGACACTTTATACCTTTCTTTGTAAAGGAATTAAATGAAATGAAAAGTGATAAATTCACTAAATTTTATTATGTATTCAACCAATTTACTAAATCACTAATCCCTTTATCACCAATATTATTATTATTTAATAGCAGCTAAATTGTAGTAAGTTATTTCAAAGACTTCATGTTTGATAACAATATTTTAATACCTTTATCATCAATCTATTTTTTACTCAAGTTTAGAGATATTTCTTTTTACTATGGACATACTTTTGCTTGTTAGAAAGGATTTTAATTATACAACTCTAATAAACTCATTTTAATCAATATTTTAAAAAAAAATTTATTACACCAAAAAGATGCATCCAAAAATTAATAATTAATCTAAGTATTTAAGATAGTCTTGCTTGGCTTAGCAGCTTGACTTTTAATTAAATTACGCTAAATTCTTCAATCAAATTCTTGATATTTTTTGATGAGATTTATTTTTGTAAGAAATTAAGTAATTATTTACCTAAATTTTTACACAAAACAATAAATTAATCTTTATACTTCGTATCTATTCATTTGATTTAAAAATCTTTGAAAAATTAACAAAATAAAGAAAATAAGTTTTTTATAAATCTTGTTCATCGCTTGAATTCTATTAACAAAAAATTAATTTTATTTTAAATTTAAAAAACTCTCTCCAAAATAAAATAAATTATAATGGCTAGTTTATATCCAAGTTAACTATTTAAGTTTTTTCGGTTTTTTATTATTTGTGAATAAATACATCCCTTCATTTTTTATATTTTTAATCTATTTAATAAACAAATAAAGTTTGTATTAATATATATACTAAATGTTGCAATTTCAATTTATCAATAAGATTAAAATCAAAAACTTAAAATATTTTTTAATGAAATAGAATCTTTCTTTAAAGTTGAAGATTTATTTGCTTTATATATTTTTTGATATTAAAAAAAAAATTCATTTTTGATGCTTTGTTACTTTATTTAAATAAAAATACTAGAAGTTGAGTTGGAAAATCACAGATTAATTAAACAATTTACAGAATATAGACACTTATTTAAAATTTTGTGGAGAATTTTTTTAAAATGAAGAAATCACTCGTTTGCATTTCAAATAATTTTTCTTTCTCACTCTCAGATAAATTAATCCAAAAAATTTAAATAAATCAATCAATTTTTTTACATGTTTAATTATTTTAATCAAAGAAAAGCTGGAAGAGTAGAGCATATTTAGTATGATTAGAATAAATTGTATCATCTAATCTTAATTGTTAAAAATTGATAGTCTAATAAAAAAACATTTTCAACTCTTTTTTTTCCAAAATAATTTTGTAATATATTTTCAATTTTAAAAGATCTAATAAACTGAATGAAATTTAGAAAATTAAATATTTAATCTTAATAAAAATATTTTTTGCTATTATTTTTAAAAAAAACTTAAAGCAAAAAAAGAATTTGTTAAAGTTCCTTTTTCATTTTTTTAAGTTCTAATCCTGGTTTAAGTTAATTAAATCCACATAACTTAATAATATGAAAGGGAATCGTTCGATAAATTACAGTTTTAATTATTTTTTGATAACCTAGATTCAATAAAAAATAAACGGATTAAATTGTAATCAAATTAATTGATTGGTTTGTACAAATTAAGAAAAATAAAACATTGGATAAAAATTTAAATTAAATGCCATCAAAAAATTTTAAGTGAAAAAACTTTTCTTTTCAAAATTTTTTATTAGATGAAGAATCACAGTTAAATTTGTTAAAAAAAATAAATTTAATATTTATTTTTTTAAAAATATATATTTATAAATTATGAAATACAAAAGGCAAAAGATTTTAAAAAAGATAGCTAAATTATTTTTTTGATATTTAAAATAGAATTTATGTTTATAAATTTTATGAATAATAATTTCAAGTATGAGCTAATAGAAGATCATTTGGTTATACAACTTTTATTAATTCTAGTTAAAAGATATTTATGAACAAAATAAATTAGAGGTTTCCTTACTTTTTTTGTGGAGTATTTAGGTATAATTTCAAAAGATAGTATTTTATTATTTAGCCTTGATATGGATAAATGGGTGGAGGATTTTTTGATTAATAAATATATATCCAAACTATTATTGAATCGATGTTTATATTTTAAGGTTAATTATTGATTAGATTAAGATAAACAAAAGATTTAGAATATGTATAAACAGTAATAAATATTGATTAAGATATTAATTATTGATAATGATGATATTATAATAAGGTGAATTAGTAATTAAGGTAGTATTGTTTATATAAATAATTAAATAAATAATTTATTCGAGTCAATAAATTATGAGTTTGTTTGGTATATTTTTTAGTCTTTAATCAATTATGTTTTATATTTCCCACTCTTTTTGGATAATATCTGGTTCAAGAGCTTCATATCCTTGTTTCTTAAATTTATGGTAGGATGCGTTACTGTAGAAAAACAGAGTTAGTTTAAGATAATAAAGATTCATCTCTGCTCCTATTACTTCTAAAATTTTTTATGCACTTTGCTAACTGATAACATTATAGTATAAATCATATTAAATTGCACTGTTAAAGTGATTTTATTTTATTTTGTTACAACAAATCTCAAGTTGTAATTAATTGATTTGTTTGTTGCTTGCTATAAGTTTCACTGAATTAATAGCTCCATTGTCAGTAATGGAGTTTTCGTCCATATAAATAGAAAGTTATTGAAGTTTGGTTAGGTTTTTTATTGATTGGCATACTTATATAGCACCAAAATTTCCCATATCACATTCATTGAGATGAAGGTTTAATTATTTCAAAGATTATTGCTTATTTATAAATTAGGCTGTACTTATTGCCAATTCTTCGCCTATCTTGTTTTTACTTAAGGCAAGAGTTAAGTTTTCTAGTTTACTAAACTGTTGGATGTATGCGATTTATTTGATTCCTTCTTTGGTAAAATTATTCTAGGAAAGAAACAGAGAGATATTTTCCAAATAATACCAAACATTTAGTAGAGAAACTAAATCAAAGAGTCCTTTATCCCCAATTAAATTATTGTTTAACTATAGTTAAAGTGTTTTAATACTCCACTAGGATCTTATATTATTTACAAGAATGTTCATTTACTTTGGGGTTATTCTCCTATTAGGCAGATCTAGAGTTAGGTCATTCCTCTAGCGAGGTTAGTATGATGACTATTAATTAGGGTTTTGGATTTTTTATTAAGTTATTTGCATTTTTCTTATATAAATATTCTTTTTCCAAAAGTTTTAATTAATTTAAATTTATTAAAAGTAAATAATTACTATCCTTGATTAATTAATATAAAAAATCCTCTAAATAAATGAAATATTTCAAATGGTTCATTTACATTTATAAGAAAAGGCTAAATTTTGATGCAATTTAAAATTGGTCAGAATATTTTTTATAAGCAAAACCCTTTCCAAATATTTATTACCAGAATATAAATTTAGATTTTTAAAACTTTAAAAAGATACTAGCTTACTATTTCTCAATCAATATTTTTATGAAATTATTAAGCTAAAATTCAATTCATCCATCACATAAATTAAATCATTAAATTTATAAAATTTTTACAATATTGTCAAACATCTTCCCCTTAGAAATATTTATTCTCAAAATGTCAGGTGCTTGATTAATATGTAATCTCTCTGATTTTGATAATTCCTGATTACTAAATAATCTTATTCTAATAATCTATCAAAATTTTGATGAACCTAATTTTTTTAATTTTCTCAAAATCAAGCCAAAACTTTATGAAATTTTTTTATTTTTCTCAACAATTCTTCCAAGATTGTTTTCTTGATAGAAATTTAAAAGTTATTCAATTATGATGTTTTCTAAAATGAATGTATAATTAACTAGAAATATGTTATTAAAATAATTCTAAAAATACCTTTCAGTTTGTTTAAAATTAAAAAAATAATAAATTGTAACTTAATCTTGTTTTGAATAAGTAAATAAATGGCAAAATTAATTAAAAAATAGATTTAATAAGAAAAACCCCTAAAAAATAAATATATAAAGCAATGATAAAGTTCCCTTCTTTAAACTTTGCAAATCTAATAAGGTAAATCCTCTTACTTTTTTTTTTTAAAATGCTTCATATTACATCATAATAGTTAGCTTTAAAAAGAAATATTACACTTACAACAGTAAAAAAAACATGCATAAATTATTTATAAAAGATATACTATAGTTTACATTAGTATCAGTATCTAAACTAAACACATTTATGTTACATTTTTAAATAGCTATACCAAATAATTCTTGAAAAAAATAAAATTTTTAACATTATATCAAATAAATTAATATATTTGCGAATTACCAATATCAAATAGCAGATAGAAATATATTTTAAAATCTTATTTATTTTTTTTAAGATGTTTCTGTTTTTTTTCTCCCAGCAACAAATTTAAAAAAAATATATATATATAAACTTAATTAATTTAGCTTTTATTTTAAAAATCAGATCAATTAAGCAAACAATCAATATATGCTAAATCATAATAAAACAAATTTTAATTATTTTTATGAATTTATACTTTTTTCAAAATGATTCTGAATTGTTATGACAAAAATGATTGAAATAAAACTTTCAAATTCATATAACTAAAACCCAAATGATGAGAAGCAGCTTTAAAGTTCAATCTAATTTTTGATCAATAAAAAAATTTAATAAAAGACATTATTGTGTAATTATGTTATTACATACTATCTATCCCCTATCTAATATGGTAAAATAGAAGCTTGAATTAAATAGATGAATATTTATTGTAAATAAATATAAATTTACATTGAACTTTATTAATTTGGAATGAATAGAAGAAATCTAAAATCCAGTTTACTGTTTATTAAAATTAAATTAAATGAATTAGATCAACTTCTTTAAATTAATTTAAACAAAAAAATATTTGACTTCATTAATTAGAAAAGAAAATATTTCTTTTACAATTTTTACTTATTAAAACTCAAAGCAGTCTATTTAGAAAAAATGTGAATGTGCGAATAAAAATTAAAATAGAATCTAAGTATTTTATATGTTCAAGTTCGCTTGTTTACTAACTCATGAAGATTATTTATTTTTCCTCAGAAAACTAAAGAAAATATCCACTGTAAATCAAAATTTATAAGAAGCAGTATAAGTTTTATGAAAAACCTCTGAATAAAAGAAATGATTTGTGTTAATAAATATATTAAATTTTTTTATTTTTTATCAATTATTGCATTAAGTTTTATAGATAATATTAATACAAAATTAATGAAAGTACAAAGTAGAATTTGATAATTTATTATATAGTTTTTATATTAGTATAAAGTAAATTTGTTATGTGAGTGATTTTATATCATGTTTAAATAAGGTCATATGCTTATGATGTAATTTTCTTTGTCCTCATATTTACTTTCGACAAAGGAGATCATTTCATGTTTGTTTGTTTCTTACTCTTTTTCTAGAGCCTCGAATCCATTTTTTAGGAAATTTAGATAATCTGTATGATTGTAGCTCTTCATTTAAAAGTTAAGCTTGCTTAGCTTTAAATAAGCTGAAAAATCTTGAAGAACTTGCAATACGCATTTATCACTAAAGACATTTAAAGGCGAAAAATAAGAATTAACATCTTACACTTTGCTCTCGCATAAATTCAATGATAATTTTTTGAGGTTTTAAAATTGACAAACAGCACGAACTAATGAAATTATTCCATTATCAGTGATCGAGTTGTTATCTAGAAAGAGAGATAAGCTTTCTAAATTTTTCAAACTGGATAATTTATTGGCGAGCATATTAGCTCCTGCATTTGTTAATTCACAGTTTTAGGAAAAAAGCTCAAATTCTTTTATATTTGGAAAACATTATCCCAACTTACTTACTAATTTATCCATAAAAATTCCAATATAATTCTTGCTCAAACTCAATGAAAGACTCTTTAAATTCAAATTTTCCTGTAGGGATTAAAAATAATCAACACCGTTGCTAGTAATTTAATTGTCTTAAAGGAAAAGTGAAACACTTTCAAGCTATTTGAGTTAATTTAATCCTTGAACTAAGTAAAATACTCCTTAATCGCCTATACAATTTTATCCAAGAGAAAGATGAAAAGACTACAGTTTGGAACATTTACTCAAACTTGCGAAAAGAAGTAAAATCCCTTCATCTCTTATATTGTTGTTTTGAAGATTAATTCTGAAATGAACTAGCTCCTCTTTGTGAGCGATTGAGTTAAAAATTATTGGGATTTCATCACATCTAATTTATTTACCATCCAAGTCATTCAAGTCAATACACATATTTTCCAAGCTGTTAACCCTAGTTCTTTCATGTATGTATTACTTCAGCATAATTTCTTAAGATTTTCTCTTTGCTCTATATTGTTTCATGTACTTCTTCGAGTTAGCAATATTACCCATTTATTGAAAGTCGAAAAAAATGATTTGTTTTGAGAATATTTTTTTTTTTAGAGCAGGCAAACTTATTTATCTATTGTATTTGATCTTTATTGATGGAAATAAAGAAATCAATTATTAATTAATTAATTATTTATAATAAATTAAATGTGCTGTATCTTTATATATCAAAAGTAACTAAATGCATTCCATATACATTTACGTCTATTTTGGCAAATTCCATTCAATATAAAATTATGTAATCTCCTTATGCTGCAAGAATATAAATATAAATAAAAATATAACTATTTATAGAGTCTTTATTGATATAAATGACTGAAAATATCTTGTAAAGTCTTTAAAATCGTTCAAAAAATAAATCCCCTCCTTCCTATCAAATATAATTTCTTTTATAGATTTTCTAATTTTTGAATTAAATTATAATTATATTCAAATTTTTTTTAAGTAAAAGACCATACAAAAATATAAATGTCACAAACACTCGAAGATAATTCTTAAAGGGACGGTTTCATTATATAAATTTACATTAATATATAAAAATTGGTATTTTAGACATCATATTTTAAATATGAAATACTTTTTTCAAAAAAAACAAAAATAAAATTTAGTTTTTATATGAAATAAAAATAAGATAGATGATAAGATGAATTTACTTCAATTTAATTACCACACATTAATTGTAAGATAAGATAAATTAAGTGCCTATCTTTATTAAAAGCTTAAATATACTAAGATTTTATCCAACTACTAATCTCTGATTATTATCCAGATTTGCTAAATTGTTAATCTAAAAATAGCCTTTATTTGATATTCCATCATTAATTTTTACTTTCAAATCTATTCATCACTATAATGATGCCAAAGTATATCTATCTTCTATCTATCCGTCATCTTATTTAAGGTCTCTAATTAATCATAGTTACTATTTATAAATTTATCTTTCTATTTTTCAGATAAGGATTGTTATTCAAAGTTTTTCTAATTAAAATTACATATTTTTTAAAATATAAAATCTATGTAAACACTATTACGAAAATAAAATAAGTATTAAATTAAATATATAATTTCTTTATCTATTCTTATACAATTTGTTGTCAAATATAAAATCGTCTCACAAATAAAATAAGTAAAATAAAACCAAAATACTTTGATCACTAATAAAACTATTGAAAATATTAATATAATTATTAAATATTTATTCATTTTCGTTTGTAAAAAACTTTTCTAGAAAAAATATTATTTGCATATCTTCTAAATATCTTTCAATTATATAAGTTGTGATAATAAAAAAGTACTTCTTTTTTGCAAATCTAAATATTAATCATCTATTTTATCCTTTGATTCTTTCAATTAAAAGTTTAATAAAAAAAGATATAAACAAATAAAATATCTATTATTTTTATCAATACAAGTAAGATTAAGCCAATCATAATTTAAAAACAAAAATAAATCTAATTTTATAATAATTTATAAGAGGAATTGAAAATGTTAAGCTGCAGGAGGAATAAAGTTAAACCTCTAGCTTAACATTAATTTTTAATAAGAAATAACTTTTTCATCAAATAATTATTAGCCTAATTTCTTAATTTTTGATAGTAAGTATTCCTTTTTATTAAATCAAGTATTAAATATTAATATTTTTCCTTATAAAATTTAGGTAAAAATCTCAAACAATTAAAGGTATTACTTTAATCATCATTAATTATAATATTAATAACTTAAATTAAAAACTAAATATCTTCAACTGCAAACAGAAATACTTTTCTTTTGAAAATAATATAATTCTAAACCAATCTTTAAGATTATTTCTTTTAATATTTTGCATATTTTCATTAGGATTTTATAAAATCATTTTTTATTATTTTTTTCTATATGAGCATCATACTAAAATATATTTTAATTATAAATATTTAATTTCTATAGAAGTTAAACTATTTTAGTTTTTAATTATGATTTATTTTCAATTACTGTTAAATTGGATATTTGTTTTATATTGATAATATTGAGGTTGTTTTCAACATTCAATTTAAAATTAGAATAATTAAATTCTTAAAAGTAGACTTTTAGTTTAAAGTGTTATCTATTGATGATTTGTTTATACTAAAGTTTTTATTAAAATTAATTATCAAGTGATTTAAATATTATAAAGGTAATTTGCTTTTATTTATTTATTTTTTGTTTCTATTTATTAATTATTAATTAATTCTACACAAAATATTTTCAAATGGATTATGTAATTAATTATTCAGTTGCAGAAAATGTCTCTTTTAGATCTAATTAGTAATTACATTCTTTTGATTAAATTATAAATATTGGCAAAACATAAACTTCTCCTCAATAAGATAGTATTTACCTATAAGCTAAATCTCATAAACAAGATGAGCTTGACTGTATTCTTCATAAAATGTAAACCAATCAAATAAATGAAGAAATAAAAATCAATTATGAAGATGTTTTTAAATCTTAAAATCTCTAAAATGAATAGAAATCTTCTAAAAGTAATTTAGAAAACACTAAAAAATACAATTCCTAAGAAATATCTTCTCTTTCTAGGGTAGAAGATGAATAGTATGATAATTATTTTTTGAAGATGATTTTTAAAAGATATAAACAGAAGCAAAATAAATGGTTCAAACTAATTTATTTAATGTTTTAATTTATTATTTTATATTTAATTTTACCTTTTTATTTTATTATTACATGTTTCATAAGATAGAATGTCAGTTAAAGAAACAAAGTGAATGAAAATGGATTAAATTATGTGATTTTGAAAGCATTCCTTTTTATTACATCTTCTACTTTGATAATGACAATTATAAATTATATAATTCTTAAAGTTACTTAGCCAGTTGACTAAAACTAACTTAATTTTTTAATTGGAGAGCACAATAGAGTATTCATATATTTATTTGTTGTGTCATTAGGATTTGCTATTCTTGATGTCTCAGCGTTTAATAACCATATAGTTTTTCTAAAAATATATAAATCTCTCTCTACAAAAAGTAGATATAATATATCTCACAGTATGTAGAAATTGTTTATCTCTAAAAATGATTTTATATTCTAATTCATATAGCTTAAACAAGAAGATCCTAAAAAGATTTAGTAATAATAGAAAATTAAAAAGGTGTTTATAATAGATAACAAAGCTAACAACTAATAATCAACATTTTCAGTAATTTAATTTAGTCAAGTTATTTATTTAATTAGATTTTACATTAATTAAATATTAGTTTTATTCAGGATCAGATTTGTGCAATAAAATCATTCTTTATTCAGAGTAAAAAAATTTAAATAAAAAATATACCTTGATGTTAAACATTATTTTAACTCTGGTTGCTCATGTTAAATCAATTATACCAGGGATATACAGAGTTTTTAATAATGAAAATTTCATCATTTACAATGCATATTTTACTCTCATCCCATATATTAGTGTTGGAAATTTAATAAGTATGTTTAGTAGAAATTTGATTAATTTGCAAGATCTAAACTTTATTTTAGATTACAATAAAGCTCTTAGCGCTTTGATTTCTTATGAGTCTTATCTAGGATTGAAACCTAAACATATAATTAACACACCTAGCATTAATCCTCTTGACATAAAAAGTATAAAAACGTGGTAGTAAATGAGGCTTTTGCTAAACTAAATAAAGAAAAAAGAAAGCATGATGATTGATAAATGCACTCTTTTTCTGTTTATTTACTTTATTATAATTATGTTTAGTGTCTTTATTGATAAAATTTTGAAATAGTCTATACTGATTTAAGCTGGATAATAAAAATTCATTTTAATTTATTATGCTATTGACGTAGTGTTGATTAACACTTTATTTTTCTATAGGGTTTATAAATAAGCAAATATTAATGATTAATACAGAATCCAATACAGCTTGCTTCAGACTCTTAAAAATTTGATAATTAAATTTTACTTTTAAAACTAATCTTTTATATTAAAAAATGATGAGCTTCTTCTAGACAAAGATGTTCAATGGCACTTTTATTCTTAGTTACATTAAAACTATAAATTAGCGATTAACACATGTTTTTTACATAAAATTAAAACTTCTCATAAGCTAAACGAATTTACAAAGAAACAAAATGTAAATTCTTAAGTTTCTAAAAATAGTTAATTAGATGATTAATATTTTTAATAAATATTTACAACAATAGAAAACATATAGTAAGAAATATAACTAGAGATATTGTAAACACCAATGAAGTTTATGGGAATCCTATCTAGCTCATATAAACTACTCTGGGTTTTTTTTACTTTTCAGCTGACATTCATGTATTTAGTATTTTATTTATATTTCTATGTATGAAAATACTTAAACTATCCCTTATTTTAGTAAATAAAAAATAATTCAAAAATAAATTGTAATAGTTACTAATTCACTAAGATTAAAAACATTATAAAAGCTTCAAAATAAGCATCTTTTAAAACAATAAATACCTTAATAAAGCATTTTCTTTTCAATATTATAAAAGATAATTATTTTTCAATTTTTAAATGAATGGTTATTCATATTATTTATTACAAACTATTTTTATTATCATCTAGTTTTATCCTTAAGCTACTTCTTAAAAAATCTATACTTGAATACTTAAAATAAATTAAGAGATTTATTATATTTAAAATAAATTTAACATGTAATTTGTAAGAGAAAAAATTTTAATTTTTTTAAAAGATATAATATATGACATAATCCCTACTTAAATTAGGGTCAGTCCAACTACAGCAGTCTATTTTATTTTGAAGGTCTTATTATAGAAAGGAAGAATTCATATATTCACAATAAATATTCAGTTTTAAAGAAAATGAAATACTATTTGAATAATTTTATTATTAAGTTAACTTAATGGTTTATAATTATATACTTAAAATAGTGATATAATTACTTATACAAGTGAGATAATTATGAATGAGTAATATAAAATCAAATACATTTTGTATTTTGTTTACTTTAAGAACTTACAAATTAAATACTATTGATTTTACATATTAAGAATACAATTTCTACTGAAAAAAGTTCTTTTCGTTTAACAAAAAATATCTATTATTTCTTTGATTTATTTTATTCAAGTAAGAATCATTTAATTAAATTTAGTTATAAATTTTGATAAACTATATAGAAATGAATGTAGAACTAACAAATAATATTCAAATAAAATAATATTTTGAAGATCTAATAGTCTCTCAAGACTAAAATATAAGAAATAATTCACTCGAAGATATCCACGATGATTAAAATCCCCAAAGCCAATTTAGAGAATTAGAAATATTACCCAAAAATGTTTTATCATAAAGGGATACAATATAAGATAAAGATATTGAGATTGATCTATAAAAAAAAAAATCAAGCAAAAATCATGAAACTTACTCTCAATAAAACTCTGCTAAGTCCCCAGCAAAGTCTTCATAAATGCCTAGATCTTCATAAAATTCTTTTAATTCAAAAACACATAATGATGGTGACAAAAAATTTTTGAAAAAGCTATTAAAACTAGATAATTAATAAAACAAAAAATGGTACCACTATGCTATTGTTGCTATTAAATTCGCACTAATTTAGCTTGCAAGTCCTATCTTTTTGATAGCTTCAATTTTTCAAAATTAAAAAAAATAACTCCCAAACTATACAATAAAACAAAAGTGCATTTTATTTACATTTTAATTCTACTTTCTGGCCTCATCAATCTCTTTATGGATAGTGATAATCAATTTTATTTACATATTATCAGTTAGACCTATGAGTTATAATGAATCTGTTGATTTGGTAAATGATTATAACAAAGTATTTATGTACTTTGCTATCATTTGTGTTGCTTTTGCTATCTTAGATTCTTCCATTTTCAAAAACAGCTCTCTTTTTTATATCATGTTCTAGTCTCTACATATTTATTCAAGTACAAATATCCCAAAGATTATGAAGCAGCTCTTTATTTCAGAATATGCCTTTGTTTTTTAGTTCTTTGAATATCCTTATGAAGAAGAGAGTAAGGTTAAGCAAAAGTAAAAGGTCAAAAAAATTTTTTTGAACCAGAATGATAAAAAATCTTTTTTCTTTAATAAGACTTAATAACAAGTTAGTTTATTTTTATTTTGAAATTATTTTATGATTATTTACATCATTTTACTAAAAATAGATATATTATTCTGGACTGAATTTATGTCAAAAGATTATATAATATGCTGAAAAAAATAACGTTTTTAATAAGCAATTTGTAGTTTCCTAGTTAGCCCTGTCTTTAATTTTATACTTTAAAGCTTTTATACCAGGAATTTATAGATATGCTTAAAATGAAGGCTTTTCTGTTTATAGTACTTATTTAACTATAGTTCCCTTTTTATGTGTAGGCAATTTGGCATCTTACTTTGCTAGAACTCTTAATTCACTTTAAGATCTTAATTTTATTTATGATTACAACAGAGCTCTTTCTGCACTGATAAGCTATTGTTCATATCTTAAATTAAAACCTAAATATAAAATAAATGTTCCAAGCATCAATCCAATTGATTTAAAAAGTATTAAAACATGGTCTCAAATGAGGAGATTGCTTAACGAGCTTAAAAAAGAAGAGACCATCCCTATAGATCGATGTACAATTTTCCTATTTGCTTACTTAATATTAGTTTTTCTTGCTGTGTTTTTAGGTAGATTTTTTAAAGTAGTTGTTTTTGTGAATTTAATTAATGAAAAGTATCTTTTGCCCTATTTTGCTTTAGATGTTCTGCTTATTTGTGGACTTTTTTGTTAAAGAGTGTACAAATAAGTTAAAATTAATAATTAATTTAAGGAATAATACAAACTCTTGCAAATGATCAAGAATTTTTTACATAAATTTTTTGCATGCAGAAAACAATTTATAGAAAAAGAAGATATTGTTTTTTTAGATAAGGATATTCAGTGGTTTTTCTACTCTCAAATTAATGTGAATTATATAAACTGTTAATTTTCCTTGTAGAATTTTTAATCTAATTCATAAGAAAGTCAATCATAAAGTTAATAAAATGAAGATTAAAATAAGATTGATCATTTAAAAAATAAATAAATTTAAGATACAAAGTAAAAAGAAGATTATGACTTTTTATATTATTCTAAGCTAATAGGATTGATAGATAACATTTAGGATGAACTTCAATTAGATATATTATAGACACCTATGAAATTTTTAGGTTTAATACCAAGTACATATGGATTATTATATACATTTCTATCTTTTACTGCTACATTTATTTACATATCATTCTATTTATACTTATCTGAATGAGCTAATAAATAATAAATTTAATATAAAATAAAATAATTGTAAATAATTTAAATAAAATATTATTACAATATAAAACTAAAAAAACTTTTTAGGAAATTAGCATATTAAATTTTAAATACATTGCAGTATGTGGTGGTCTTTTATTTTAACAAAAAAGGCTAAAATGTTAGAGAAAATTGTTTAATTTTAGAATATTCGTGTTATTGATTGTAAATAGATAAATTGCTTATGTTAAATTATTATTTGTTTTTAAAATTATGTACGAATGCATTTTAATAAGTAAATACAAACTAAATTTTAAGAAAAATATTTTTGATTTAATATGAATTAATGTAATTTATGAATTGAATTACAGTTATTAATTGTAATATTAATTAGTAAATAAATATAGGCATTAATAAAGGTATAGTAAATTAATCCTCAATTTTTTGTAAATTTTCAAATTAATTTACAATTAATCAAATTTAATAGATAAAGAAATTACAATAAGAAGATTGTTTAAATATAAACTCTTCTGATTTTATTATGTTAAATTCAAAAAAAAAATGAACAATAATTAATTTTTTAGCTAAATATAATTGGAAGAAAAAAACATTATTTCAAATAATCAGTTTGATTAAATAAATTCACCTAAGAACGATAATATTCAAGCCTAATAAAACCAAACTCACAACGCTTCAATTTAATTGGATTTCTCTATTGGTTTTGTATCACCATCAAACAAGCTATTGAGATAATTAGATGCAAATAATGTTAATTAGGAAATTCTCTAAAGGAATGTTGAAAAGAAAGAGTAAGATGAAAAAAATGATAATAAAAAAAAAGATTAATCAAAAAGCCACATTTTACAAAATAACAAAAGTCCAAGATCTTAAATGATCAATTCTCAAAAACCTATTTCATCTAGAAACTCGATAGACTCCTAGAATTTGAATAATGATTAAAAATTTATTTAAATGCTACTAAAAAGAGACGAAAAGATTCAAGATAAATGGTATTACTGTTTATTTGTCTTTCTCAGATTCATGCTAGTCCAGTTACTTAATCCTATTTTAATTATATATATTTTTCTCTCAAAATAAAGATCTAAATTAAATATCAATAGGACAAAACAATCATTCTATCTTTTGTTTATATTAAAATTTTACTTTATTGTCTCTTCTATCTTTCTTTGGATGGCTTTGGTAAATTACATTTATATAAAATGCTCCCTTAATATGAACAATAGTGACTACAAAATATTAGACAGTGAATATAATAAAGTTTTAATGTACTACACTGTAGCTGGTATAGGCTTCAGTATCTTAAATACAACTCTCTTCAAAAATAGTTCTTTCTTTTTTAGAATTTACAAATCTCTCTAATCATAAACTTCTACTAATATTCCAAAATGTATGAAAGATCTTTTTATTTCTGAGTCTGAATTTGTCTTTTAATTCTTTATACATCCTTAAGAAGATGAAGCAAAAATTAAGGAAAGAGATAGAGTTAAAAAAGTATTCAACACTGATAAAAGCTCGCCATTTTTTTAAATAACCAGATACCAAGTAAGTATAATTTGACCAATTTCTATATTTTAAATGGTATGTTGTAATAAACTTCCAGAGTTTGATAAAATCTGTAATATTTAAATTAAATCCCTTCTTTAAGAATTACAAAATCATTTGGTCAAGTAATATATTCATGATATGATTATTTAATTTTCAATATTTTCTTAATATAAATTTGATGAGCTCTTAATTTTTCTTTCAGCATATTTTTTAATTATAAAATATTATTGCTGTTTAGTTGTTTAACCCCTTTCAGTCCAAAGGTACAAACTTTAAAGTTGGAAATGATTTTTTTATTCAATAAAATTTAAAATTTGTAGAAGGGGTTGCAAAAAATTAGATTAAATAACAATTTAAATATTAATATTGAATAAAAATTGGATGATTTAGAATATTTTTAGTTTTAAAATTATTAAATATAATTGGATAAAAATTATAAATGATTCTTTCTTATTAAATTTATTTTTTAAATTAAATTATATAATAGTAATTCTATTCTGGCTTAGATTTTTGTTAGAAAATTGTTCGTTATTCTGAAAAATTGAATGTAGAAAATAAATAGTAAAGTTTAAGATAATTTATTATTAGTTTAATAGCCTATTTAAAAGCTTTTATTCCAGGAATATATAGATAAATCACAGAAGGGCATTTTGAAATTTATAATACTTATTTTACTGTAATACCATATTTATGTATTGGCAATATTGTAGGTTACTTTGCTAGAAGTGTTAATTCCCTGTAGGATCTTAATTTTATATATGATTATAACAGAGCTTTGTGTGCTTTAATATCTTATGAGCCTTATCTTAAATTGAAATCAAAGTATAAAATAAACACACCTTGCATCAATCCAGTGGATGCTAGAAGTATAAAAACCTGGAGCTAAATGAGAAGGTTAATGAATGAACTGAAAAAAAAAGAAACTATCCCAATAGATTAATGCACTCTTTTTTTATTTGCTTATTTAATTATAGTTTTTCTATCAGTTTTCTTAGACAAATTTTATCACCTTGCCTTTTTTTTTTCTATTAGCTCTGATAAATACTTAGTTTTATATTATACAGTTGATGTAATTCTCATATTTGTTTTATTCTGCTCGAGAGTCTATAAACAAACATAAATAAATGAACTTTATAAAGAATAATACAAACTCTTACAAAATATGAAAAACATCTTGATGAAATTTTTCACTTTTAGAGAATATTTTTGTGAGAGAGATGACATTACTTTATTAGATAAAGATATTTAATGGTAGTTCTACAAAGAAATGAATATGAATTATTTATAAACTCTATAAGTTAGAAAAGTATTTAATAAAAATAAAGACACATAAAACAATAAAAATGTAGATATTGCTGATCAATTTGATTCATCTCCTATTTCATAATAAGATTAATAATATGATTTTGAGTACTAGCAAAAATTTTTCAATTTAATTGAATTTATTTAAGATGAAATAAGCATGGATATCCTACAAACTCCAATGAAATTTATGGGGTTAGTTCCTAGCTCATATGGTCTATTATCAGCCTTCTTTTCGATTGCTGCCATAATTTTGTATTTAGCATTTTATTTATTTTTCTATAAGTGAAAATTAAAACAAATTTCTAAACAGTGTATAAAGACATTTAAGTAAATTTACTATTTATGAGTGAGTAACATTTATTCAATTATATTAAGCCAAAATTAATAATTACAAGAAATTTTGGTTTTTTATTATTGAAAAATAAGCTTGGTTAATAAATTTATTCCTATATCTATGATTAAGATTCTAAATTTTATAATTTTGTATATATAATTGTATTTTGTTACTTCCTAAACATTAAACAAAAGAAAAATAGAAATTTTATTATTTCTTTCATTATTTTTAATATTTGTAAATAAAGTGATTGAGTTTTTGATAGTCAAGATACTTTTAAGTAATTCAAAGAATAAAGCCATTCTTATGAAGGATTTAATTTATTTATATAAGAATTTTATAAAATAGATACTTTAAACTCCTCAAATCAGATGTAAACACAGATAAATTAAATTTATCTGTAAAATCAAATGATAATAAAAACTAAATAAAGTAATCCCATCTAATTTGGATCAAATCTGTTAAGTAATAGCTAACATTCATTGAGCTTCTCTTCTCCTTTTTTTTCAATAATTAAATTAATCAAAATATATACAAACAAACAAACAAAATAAAATAAAACAAAACAAATCATAACAAAGAATTATAAAAGGATGGCTGGTTTTAGTATAAATGAAAGCTCCTATAAAGAAAAAGATAATAAAGAAGAAGACGTAGCTGACTCTTTGAGTGACCGTCTTACTTACCATTCTTAGTCAGTAGAAGACAGTATAGACAATGAACACCATCAAACATAAATTGACTAATACCATTTGCTAAAAAAGAAGAAGAAATACTTGCTTATAAACAACATTGTAGCTATTTTTAATTTAGTTGTTTAAGGATTTTTATTAGCTATGTATATCTTTTTAATGAAGATCAGCTTCCATAGAGAATTATTTATCTTTTTCATAATCAGTGCCATCGCAGTAACATTAGTTGAATTAATTTCAATTTTCATGCTCAGCTCACATAATAAAACAAAGAGAATTTACATTTCTATATTTACCTCAATTGCTTTTGATATATTACAAGCCATATGCAATATAATTTGCCTCATTAGTATCCAGAAATCAAGTTTTTGTGGTAAATTGCTATTTTGAGTTTTTAATAATTTTTCATTTAAATCGTATTATTCTATCACTTGGAACTTTACTCAAAAACTAAAATTGAATACACCTTTCAGTTCCAATATATTTTTTTTACATTGATAAAATTAGCAATTCTGATATATTTAAACTTAACTTAAATTTGAGGTGGATATTAAACAAATTAAATAAATTAAAACAACATCATATCCTCATTTTAAAATAAACTTATTAACTTAATAAAATACCTTATAATAATTTCCTTATTTATTAATAGGTTTGTTTTTTTGGAGTAAAAATGAATGCTTTAAAAGCGAAAACCTCTATGACTTCATCGAAAATTATTGTGAGTTGTAAAATGATACTTACGAAATATCAAACACAATTTATAATAATTTGAGTTCATGCTTGATAAATTAAAAAACATCAAAACACTAATTCGAAAACTAAATGACAATTATTAACAACCAAGCTTATTTATTAATACTATATGCTTCAATTATTTATAAAATGACCGTTAATATTATTTTAAAATCTCTTGTCCTATTCAAATGCTTCTAAATTAACAAAAAAATGATTGCTACTTAAAAATAATTGCACCAAATTATAAAAAATCATTATCATATCTCAAAAAATAAATTTGCTAATTGAGCAATCAAGAACTTTTCAATTAAGATTATCTATTTATACAATTTTTCAAAACTTATTTATAATATCTATATAAAATATTTTTAAAAATCATCCGATTTCAATCATGTTTATATATTTTTATTTAAATTTTTTGTTCCATATTTCTTGTTTGTAATTACTATTTATTGCTATAAATATCATTATCCTCGATGTTTTCTTAAATTATAAATAATATCAGTAAAAAATAATCAAAAACTATTCAAAAAATCCCCCACTAAATTATAAATTTAATTTACTTCTGAATCTAAATTCTTATTAGTGGAGTTTTTAAAAGCTTTCAAAAAAATATGTGCCATTCAAAGCATTAAATACTTTATTACATTACACAATAACTCTTTACAATAAATAAATTTATACACTTCTTTTAAAATTACTTTTCTAAAGGAATTAATCCTTACAGCTTTAAAATAAAACAGCTAGTTTATGAGCTAGACTTAACTTCAAAGTTATTAATTTACAGATAATGTAAATTCCAACATATTTTTCAGATTGAGATAAAAAACACGTTTTTTACATTTTAATCTATTTTTAATTTGTTATACAAGTTTCTTACTTACTTCTCTCTCTGTATCTTTTTGGGGTGATTTAATATCTCTTGCACTTAATCTGATAGATCAAAAATATAGATGTAATATCATTTAAATTTAAAGAAGTGATATAAATTTTCATGCTTTACTTAAAATTGATCTATTAAATTTTCTTAGCAAAATCTTGCAACTAAAATGAAATAATTTACATAAATACTAAATTTATTTTTACTTTGAAGAAAAAGTGGTTGCAAATTTTTTTATTTTTGCTATTTTAAGATTTTAAGTTTAGAAATTTAAACTTTTTTCAACAAAACTAAATGTAATGTTTAAAATAAATATTTGTAATTTGCTAGAAAATTTGATTTAAAGATTCTAAAATTATATCAATAAATATATAAAAGAATTAAAAATTTATTATTAAAATTGATTAACTCCTATTAATTTATCACACTTATTCCTTTTTAAAATAATATTTTGTTATTCTTTTAAAATCAAACTTAAACTATTTCAATTTTCTTTAAAAAGGATTATGAATTTTATAGACAAAATTAATTTATTTATTAAGAAGTAAATTTTATTAATATCTATCTTGCTAAGCAAATTTGCAAATGAAAAAGCTCTAATCAAAAATCAAACGATGGAATTTAGATTTTTCTTTCACAAGTCGTTTTAATTTGTTCAAATGATTGCATTTGTGCAATTAATTATATTTTGTATCTTTTAAAGCTTTACTTATTATATCAACATTTGTCATTTTAAATAATAGTAAATACATTTTGTTTAATTACACGAAGTAACCCCTTTGTTTATTTTAGTGGAGACTTAATTGATAAAATTCAACATATTAATTAAGTTAAGTATTGATTTTTTTGATGGAACTTCTTATAATTTAAATATTTGTAAATTTTAATCAAAAATTTGTAAACGAAATTAATTTGCAGAGAAATAAATACATGAACGAGCAATTAATATAAGAAGACAGCCGTGCGACAACTTAGTCTTCTCTTGGAAACAGCTCAAAAATAGTTTTAAAGATCAAGCTAAAGCCTTAAGAAACAGTCCAAGCTATACCGGACTCGGAAATACAAAGGAATACATAAAAAAAGCTAAAAAAAAATTATAAAAATAAAAAAATCCTTGTTTTACTTTTAATAATTTCAATTATTCTCTCGACGATCTGTTAAGGACTCTTTATCGCTATAAACATTCGATTAATAAATATATATTTTTTTATCTAGTATTCAATTGTTTCTCTCATCTTATGTTTGATAGTTGTCCTTCTTGACATCTACTCTATTTTTAAATTTAAAACAATCATAACCTCTAAGAGGAGTTTTAAAGTATTTTACGTTTCTAATTTCTTCAGACTTATCTAAACAGTTCTTATTTGCTTGATTCTCTTTGCAATAAATAAATATAGTATCTGTGGTAAATTATTGCTAATTAAATTAATTTAAAATTCATTCTTTTATAAATTCTATTTCGTTTTTCTTTTTTTAAATATCTTATAGAAAACTCTCACTCATTTTTTGAAATTAAAAATATTATTTGTAAAATAAGGTTATTTTATTTGGGATTCTAATGAATGCTTTATCAAAACAAATATTTATAAATTGTATGATTCGAACTTTAGCAATGGATGCAGTCTATTTGATAGTGACAAATTCATCTAAGCTATTTGGTTGTCTAAAAATACTTGCTTTTAAAATTCAAATACATCATAACAGGAATTCTTGTATGAAATAGAATTACAAGAAAATAAAGCATATTATTTCATTTTGATATTTTTAATAGTGTTTAATATTGTTATTAAAACCATTTATGATATCTATGCAATAATGAAATCAATTAAAATAAATAGAAAATTAAAGAAATACACTTAATAATTGATTCATCTTAGCTCAAAGAGTGCTAATAAGTAAGTAACTGAATAAATAAATGCTGCTTGAATTGACATATAAAATTTTATTAGAATTGGAAAACTAGTTAGTTTATTTGATAGGTTACTATAATAAACAGAATTCCTTGCTTAATAAAAAAGATATTTTAAATAAAAAAATGTAATAGTAACTTCAATTAAAATAGTGGCTTTTATCAGCTAAATGATTCATTAAATATAAATTTGCAAAACCCCCACAAGTTAGTAATTTAATTCCTATTTTCCTTAAAATAACAAAAAACCTCCATCTTATTCATAAAATATTCTCTCACAAGATGATAATAAAATTAATTTATTTTAAATATAATATTGATACACTTTTAAAATAATAACTTCCTTAATTTAAATTAAAATAATTAAATTAAAAAAAGTATGCCTTAAAATATGTATTTTTGCTCTTTAGTAATTCATCCTTTTAATCTATTTATTTATTTACAATAAAATTAATTAGAAAACAATTAAAATTACTTCTCTTAAAAAAATTATTAATTTATTTTTCTATTGTGGACAAAAAAGATTTGTTTTAAGGATTGAAACTTTTTAAAGTCAATTTAATATTTTCTTACACCAAAAAATATGAATATCAAACAAAAGCCATTTTAAATTAAAAAAAAACTATCAAATTAATTATAAATGAACTAAATAATATTCGATGTAATATAATTAATAAATCTTTAAAAATAAATAAAAATTTAATTGCTATAAAACTTACTTAGTTTAACCTTAATTTTTTATTAACATCAATAAATTAATTTAGATTTACATTTTTTTAGTTATTAAATAAGTATTTAATATTTATGAGCTATTTTTTCATCAAGCAGTAGTTATAAAAGTTTTTAAATTTAAATTAAAGTCATTAAAATTAATAAAATCAACAAAATTAAATTTTAAATTTTAAAAGGCTGTAGTTTAGTGAATTTTAAATTATTATTTTTTGTTATTTTTTAGAAATATTAAAATATTTAATGGCAATTTTTCTTATTAAAAAAATCAATATTGAAGCAAAATAAATGAAATTTTATTTTTATGTAAAAAATTATATTTAATTGGTTGGTTAATAGCTTTTAAATTAAATTTACATTTGTTTAATTATATTTTAGATTAGATTAAATAAATTTCAATTTAGCATTTGAAATAATTTTCATATTGATTTTCTCTCAATTTAAAATAAATTTTAAAATTTTTGAATAACTAACTATTTAAATTTTATAAAAAAATTATTAGATTATTTATTTTAAATATCATAAATCTGCTATTAGCTAGCTCCATTATTTACCATATATTTTAAATCAAATTTTAATACTCATAAGGACAAAATTTTAAATAAAAAAGTGATTTTCGTTTGGTCTTAATTTATGAGGACTTAGAGTATTATGAAGAAATATCAATATAATTATTTAAAATATTGTTAATTTTTGTATTATTTAAAAATAGTATTTAATAAACCAAACTTAGATTAATACTTTGCTAATTACATTATTTTGTTTTACCATAGACACAGCTAATTTATTTAAAATATCAATTTTATTTGAATTTTTTATGTGCTTGAAATGTATTCATTCGATTTAGTTAAAAAAAGTTTTTAATTTATGTAAACTAAAATTGGATTTATTTGGATTACATATGATAATTAATTACTTGGTTATATTGATTGCTTTTAAAAAATTTCTAAAAAAGCATAAATAAAGTTATTAATTCTATCTAAAATAAATTCTAAAATTATTTTTTGATGTTTTTTGTTTACTTTCTTAATAATAAATTTTAACAATTTTACAGTTTTCATAAATATTTTATTACATCTTATAATGTTCAGATATTAAAATATGTATTTCTTCTTCTTTTTTTAAATAAAATATTGATGAAAATTGTATTATTTTATCTGTCAGAAATTAAAATATTTCATAAAATAATCTCAACTTATCAATAGTGTATGATTTTAAGCATATCATCCTGAGCAATCGCTCTTAAAGATGAAGTATGAATATTAGAAAGATGTTTTACTTCAAAGAGATTTTGTAAATTGTTAATTTTATTTTGATTCGCTTTAGTTAATTTTGATCTTCTAATTTTTACCACAAAGTAAATGCAAAGTTTGTATGTGAAATTTATTTATTCTTCAAAACTTTTGGTTATAGATATATTTTATTAGTGGGAAGTCTATTTGATGGAAAAGATTATAATAAATATAAAATTAATAAATAGTGCTAAGAAAAAAACTTATCAAAACTAATGAAGATATCACTTCTTATTTCCCTATTTTTAGTCGCTTTTGTTCTTTGCGAAAACCCTGGAACAAGAGTTCATTTAACCACTAACTTTTTGACAAACGCCAAAAATTGGGCTTTACCAAAGTTTTTCCCTGGTAATAAAATAGATTTTAATGTTCCTGACACAAGCATCATGGGTGTAAAGTGCTCTAGCATGAATGGAAAATTAGAAATTCCAAATAATTCTATTAGCTTCTCTTTAACAAAGGGTGCTTTCCACCTAAATGCCAGAAACATGCACATGTCTATGGGTGTTAAGTTGAATTTAAGAATTGCAAAAGCCCATATCTCTCCTTCCGCTCATTTCTAATTCGACTCATAAACTTCCTTGGGTGTTAATGGCTCTGGATAGCTATAGGTGACATCCTTGAAAGTGTAAAACTTTAAGATTCCTGACACTCAAGCAAGCATGCCAGGTGTTTTCAAGAAAATTGTGAATCATTTTATTCACATGATAAATGATAAGGTCCAAAGCAAAATTAATTCAATTATGCCTGAAGTTTAAAAGAAAGTGAATACCATTTTATCTACTCAGCCAACTTCAGTTCCTTTTGGAAATTTGCCTATCATGATTGACAGCACATTCTCTTCAGCTATTGCTTTTGAAAACAACTAGATGATTATCCCTAACAATCTATTTGCTTGGAATAAGCAAAAACCCAAAGCTAGACCTCCTTTTTCTAATAGCATAGCTTTCCCTAATGAGCCAATTACAACCGATTTCACCCTATACTTCAGCGAGTACTCCCTCAACTCATTTTCATATGCTGCTTTTGATGCTAAGTTGCTCATTGACTAGCTTGACTTTAATGAAATAGTAAAAGTAGCCAAAAAAGAAGTTCTTACTAACATTTTCAAAGGATTGGATGAATTGCTAAAATAAAATCCTTAAGTTAAGATAACCGTTTCAGCCTAAAATTACCCATAATTTAACATTGCAAATAATCTTTTTACTACTTTGACAGATCTTGCAATTTCAGTCAATCTTAAAATCTAAGATAAGGAAATAAATTTACTTTTACTTCATATCATCCCTGAATTTAGCGTTGCTGCATAAATTGTTAATAACAAAGATTTGCATATTACCTTGGCAAAGGCTGCTCTTAAAAAGCTAGAAATTAAGTTAAGTACTTTTAAAACAATTGATAATGCTGGTTTAACAAACCTAATCAACTAACTCCTTGCTTATTTCCTCCCTAAAATCAATGCCAAATTCTTCAATGGTTCTATTCCAATCAATGGTCCTAACTTTGTCCTTGAAAAAGCTCAAATCAGTTTTGTAAATCACCATATTAAGATACAAGCTACTCCCAAATTTGTATGAAATTTTACAAAAATGGTTGATTATAAATAATAAATAAAACTGAAAATATGTTTTAATTGTATTGATTTTTTTTAAATAAATAATATAAATTTTTGAAATATATATTAAAAAATAATATAAAATACTTTAATGAATAATAGCTACAAAATTTTTTAAAATATTTAAGTAATTTACACTATAAAATATAATTCTACATGTTAAAATAATAGAAAGCTATTAAATTTTTAAGAAAAAACTTTGATAGAATTTTTAAAAAAGCTAGAATAACATAATGCTTGAGTACTTTACTTATTCTTTTTCATTTTTTCTGATTAAATAAAAAATATTTGAATGTGTAAACTAACTATTTTATATTAAAAATGATGATTAAATAGATTTGAAAAAATGTTTTTTTCCATTTTTAATTTTTAATGTATAAAACATTACTGATAGTTCAATTATTAATGGTAAATTAAAATAATTGTTAAATATTAATGATTAATAATTAAGAAACTATTTTTCATTACTAAAAAATAAAATTATTCATATCCTTTTTTTACATTATTTTATGTTGGTTCACAGATATTTTTTTTTCCCTTCAAAATCTTTATTTTTTTATTTTTGAAGTATCCTTTAATAAATAATATTTCCATTTTTGCTATATTTTATTTTTGTTTGATTTGAGAACAAATTAACTTAATTTCTTTTTAGAGTTTAATTCTAAAACAAAATATTATCAAAAAAATAAAATAATTTATGTAGCTTTTAAATATCCTTTTTGATTAGTGATTTTTCTTTATTTATTTTTATTAAATAAAATATATTAAATTTAGCATTAATGTAATACATCTTAAAGATTGAATTTGATAGCTATTTCTATTATTTTACCTTTATTATATTATACTTATATAAAAAATTATAATTATTAAAAGTAATATAATAATTTAGATTGTTTTGAAATATTATTTTTTTTTAAAGATTTATAAAGATATTTTGTCTTTATTTTTTGTTTTTAAATTATTTTTTCATGCAATTTTATTTTAAATAGATATCTATTTATTCTAATAAAATCTTTATAAAAAAAATCTTCTTAAATAACAATTATTTTTTCCATAAAATTTTATATTTAAAATCTTAACTCTATTATGCTAATAAACTTAAAATATGATAATAAATATAAAAATTAGAATGTTAAATAAAAATTGAAAAAATTAAAAAATGTGATATAAGTATTTATTGTATATCATGGAAAAGATACTAAATTAAATTAGCTGAGGACAAATTAAAAATACAAAAAGGTAATTATACCTACTTAAATGGCAATTATAAAAATTAAAAATAATTTGAAATTAGCAAGGTATTATAATTAACAGAAGTTTTTTGATTGAAATTTAATATATTAAGCCCATAAAAAAGTAATATTAATTCATTTTAAAGCGTTTTTTTATGTAAATAAAGTATTCTCTTTGATTGGTTAAAGTATTTCTTTGATTTTTTTATGAGGTTACATTAAAACTAATATGCGAGGATTGTGAGAATTATATATTTTAATTATGTTAAAAAGTTGAATTAATTGCTTAGATGTAAATTCAAGCTTATCTGAAAGAAAAGTTGTAAATGAATGACTTTATTTTCTACAAATTTACAAGTTGTTTGATTCATGAATGAATTTTAAATAATTTGATTTATCAATGTAAACATTTTGATTTAAGTGAGTAAACAAGAAAATATCAATTTTTATTCTTTATTATCAAAATAAATGTTCACTTTTAAATAAAAGAATAAATATATGAAAATTAAAGTTCAAGTCAAAAATCAAACCAATCTTTGGCTAATTTTAAAGCAATTAAATTTTCTATCATTTTAGCAATTATTTTTAGCTAAATTTATATTTACTTAGATGAATTTTAATAACATGAATTAATAAATAAATCAATCAATCTATATTAAACGATATCTATCAGAATTAGGTATTGTAAATTGTAAATAAAATTACACAATAGGTGTGATTAATTGATGATAAATAACAAATAATTGATATAATTATTATTAATAATATGTAAAGAAAAGACGGTTAATTAATTCTGTGCTTTATCAATTAAATGTTTGCGTTTAGATTCTAATGAATGTATCCAAAAAAATCAAAAAACAAATTGGTTAATCAACTAATTAGAGCCACACAAAATGAAAAATTTAGATAAGTTAAAAACTAAATAATGTTGAAAATTAGTTTTTATTTAATTTAAACAAATTGTTGTTGCTTGACATATTATTAATTTTTAAAATTTTTAAATAGTTTAAGATTTTAGGATAAGCAAAAATTTTTTATATTTAGAAGTACCGACAAATACTTGCCTTTTAAATTACCATTTCATTTGTATAGTGTATTTGTTTGATCATCTTTATGTTTATACTATCAAAAAGTCCTCATTTTAAATCAAAGACATCTCAAAGTGAAATAAAATAGTTCTCAACACTTTAATTTATATAAAGTGAAAACATTGTACTTGTTTAGTGATTATTCTAATTTAATAAGATATATTTTTATGATGAGAATGTAAGATAAAATAGAAAAATAATTTAAAGCAAACAAGAATACCAAAATTGCACTAAATTACATATATTTAAGACACTTTTAAAAAATAGATTGAGAAAATATGAGTGAAAAGATTTAAAAAATAACGAAAGAAAATAAGTAATAGTTGTAGTTAGAACAAACAATAGAAATCTTAATTAATGTAAATTAAAAAATCATTCAAGCTTTCAATAATCTTATATTTCAGTTTTTTAATTTATTATAATTAATATTAATTGAAGATAAAATAGCCAATATTTCTTTTACATAAAAATTGATGTATATAAGAAGATATTATTTGAAGAGGATTAGAATTGTTGAGTATGTGATCTTCTTCTTTAAAGTTCATGTAAGCTGAAAAAGAATTAAATGTTTTCCTCAAGTTATTACCATTAATTGAAGTAATTTATTTAAAATGTTAAAATTATAATTTTTATTACTGGTTTTGTTTTAACTGAAATTTTTTGTTACTTTGTTTGATAATTAATTAAGTAAGAATAATTAGCTTAGATTATATTGAATTAATAATATTTTCCAACAAATAGCCTTAATCTTATATGCAATTTTGTACTTTAAAGTTGGGTAATGTATTAGTACGCTAGATTAATTTATAAGAATCAATAGTTTGAGACATATCAGAAAAGGACCAGCTTAATCTTAAATGAATTGTTAGCTTTTGAATAATAAATTTACATAAAGGTAATCAAGGAAAGTTGTATTAAGTAAGCTAAATTTTAAAAATATTATAGGAGATGTTATAAAACAAAAAAAAAATTTTAGAAGAAATTTCCTATGTAATTTCTCCTTTGGATAAATGAGTAAATCTAATTAAATGAGTCAAATAAATCATCAAATTAATAATTAAATAAGAAATTTTGCTATAGATGCTAATTAATTTTAGCATTAGTTGTTTTGTATTGAGAAAAAATATAAATTTGTATATGATCTATTTTAAAATAAGTAAAATCACTATTTAATTTATCTATATTTTTATTTAATAAAAAACATAAAGTGATTAAAAAGTGTAAGTTACTAGATGGCTTATCATTTTTGCTAATGTTTACAACCTTTTTTGAAACATTTACTGATTATATATAATTTATCTACATCAAAATGTTTATAAATTATCATATTAAATCTTAACAATACTTACTTTTTAGTATAAATAAATATTAAAAATTTGTCAATTCAATACTAATTTTTCTTAATTTATTTGAAATATTAGTTGATCTATCTATTATTTAGTTAGTTTTCTTAAATTAGTATTTATATTTAATATTACTTTTACATGTCAATGGATGCTTGTATCAATCAATATTAAATTTCACTTATATTAGTCTATTTATAATTTTACATGAGATATTATTTAATTATCATTATTTCATATGATGCAAACAGAATATTTATTATTAGTGTCATTCAAAATTTACCCAAAAATGCTAAAAATAAACATTCAATAATTTTCTATATAAATATTTAATTGTCTATCTTTTAATTGATTATTAAATACCTAATTAGAAGAATTTACATCTAAATACTTGTAATAATTCTTTAACAAAGGGAAAAACTTCCTCAGTCTAATTAAATTTTGACTAGATTTATTGGCAAATATTGTAAGCGCTAAAGAAAGATGTTTTTGTATAAATGTTATATGAATGATTGTATTAGTAGATTTTTAATTCCAGTCATCAACAGATTTTTGTTAAAGTTATAGTATTTTAATGGATCATTTTTTTTAATATAGTAGTTAATGAATCAATAATAAGAAAAAGTTTCTTACTTTTAATAATTAAAATTGGGATGTTGTTAGGAATAATGTCTAAATAAAGAAAAATAATCATATACTTACTTAGATTTAACTTTATAAATTCTGATGTCAGACGATGTTAATCTAAGCTTCAGGTATTTAAGTATTAGATTTATATTGATGCGTTAGTGGTTATTTATTACTTGAACCAAGGTAAATTAAAGAATTTTTATTGAATAATAATGTTTGTTGGTATTTATTAAGATATAAGTATGTAATTAAATTAGATTGTTTCGTAAATGAAATAAAAATGATAGCCAGTTATTACTTTGATAGAGTAAACAACTAGATTATACATATAAAATATATTATTGATTGGCTTAACATTATAAAAAAGTGATGGGTGTCTTTTATAAATGCACATAATAATCTATGGTCAGATTTTTAAATTTAGCAAGAATGTTATTTACTAATTATTCATAATCTATCAGAAATATTAAATAAGAAACCAGCCTAAAAGGCATTCTAAAATTGCTAAAATAAGAGGAAAAATCATAGACTGATTAGTTGGTTTACATTTAAATATCTAATTAGAAAACAATATATGAAAAAAGCTGCAAAATTTCTATTATCATATCATAAATGATTTGGCTTTGCGGAAAACTTTATTGTAATATTTTCATTTAAAAATAAAGTAAGTTTTTAAAAATATCAAATTAAGAATATTCCAATTGAAAGTTGGTGATTTTTTAAAAAATACTTAGACATCTATCAGAATGAATGAATAAAATACAAATTAAAGTATATTATTAAATACCTTTATGGATGATATTCATTCCTTTAGATATTTATAAGTCTATAAAAGATTGATCACTAATTTTTTTTTTTTTACAATTAAATAGACTTATTAATGTATTTGTAACTTTTCTTTTAATAACCCGATTATCGATCGATCGTTGTATATTTTCTTAAAAATAGTATATAAAATATTAGTTCGAATTCTGAATATATTAACTATTTGCTAAATAATTTAAATTGTTTATCTCGCCTCAAACCTAAAAATATAAATTACATATTTATGAGTTGACGGATGGTGAGAATTTATGATTTTGGTGATTAATTACAAAATTTTACCAAAATTAAAAAATTAACTTGGTTGATTGATCGAATGTTGATTCAATGTTTTTAAATTAAAAAGTAAAAGAAAAGTTGTTTGTAAAAATTATAAATTTCTTGCGCTTTGATACAAAAAACTTCTAAGAATTAATATGGTTAAGCTAAAATTCAAAAATAAACAAAACTAAATTGTAGTAAAATATGAATTTATCTTGCTATGAGAGCTAGATAAGTATTATATCATTTAGTTAGAGAGCTATCTTAGAAGCAGCATTTTAAAATTAATTAGTAGAAACAGGTAGCTTACCTTTTGATTTTGAGAAAATATTATGAGCCACAAACAATTCTTTTAGTATAGATTGATAAATAAATACACATGGAAATGAAAAGAGCAATTAATTCAATTCTATTAAATTTTTTTAATTATAAAAGAAGGAGGGAGAAAGGACTTTATTTACCTTTTAATAATTTCAAATGTTCATTTGATTTTTTTAAATATTATTTTAGTAGCATATTTTTTATGTTGTAGAAATAATTGCTTTTTTCTGCTCTAGAGAATTTTATACATTTCAAATGGGTTTTTGATAGAGTTTATTATAAAAAAACAATAAATAAACAAATAATAGAGATGCCTATTTGAGTAATTTACATTATTTATTCTCAAATTTTGTCTATTTATTTTAATGATAATTATATGTACGAAAGTATTTATGCTTGAGACAAATTTAAAAATGTGTTGTAGAAGATTACAACCTTAAATTAAATATAAAAATTTCATTTTTAAGTTCGTTTGCTTTTTCTTTGATAGAAATTACTACAAATCAGTCAGCCTCTGCTTACTAAGTGTATATAAGAATACAGATATGAAAAAGAAATATTAAAGCCTCAAACCATAAAAGCAATATTAAGTCTATAAATTGTAATTAGAACATATTCGTTTCAGATACTAGGACAGATTCATAGTAAATAAAGTTATAGTAAATATTAGAGAGAAGGCAAAATCCAAAGATATTATACTTGTTTACACATTTTTTACCTTAAAAACAATTAAATGTCCTAATTAAGCATTCCTTTGAATTTTATGCTTGCATATTAAATAGAAAAGAAAAATTAAATTTAAGGCGTAGGGAAAAATGTTTATTAATGGTATAGATTTTTGATAGGGTTGGTTTTTAAGCTCGTACTTTGATTTTTATATGCTTACTTTTTATTTAATTAATTTTAAAAAATACAGCAGCGTAAGACCTTGATATTATGAAGAAGCGAGAAAAATACAAATTAAATTTCTTTTTGTTACTGACAAAAAAAGATCATTTAAAAGTTGTATCTTAAAATAATTGAGTCATGAATTTATTCATAGAAAACATAATAAAAGTCTGGAGATTTTGCCTAATAAAAAGAAAGAATATCTGATTAATTTAAATATGCAAATATTAAGCACAATCGTAATTTATAATTTAATTTAAATAAATAAAAACAAAAAATTAAAAAGAAAACTTAAATACTGCATACATACATACATTCATTCATTTTTAAATATAACTAAAACTAACAATTAAATTAAAATGGGATGCACTCAAGCTAAATCTATGAAATCTAAAAGCCAATATGAAGGCACAGTTGCTGAAATAATCCAAGTCATTGATGAACTTGACGAAATAAAGGAAAAGTACATCTTCAATCAAGACCTCTCAGCTAAACACATTGATTACTAAGTCATGTCTATAGAGGAATTCCTTTTAACTTCTTATAAGACCAACAGATTTTCTAAGGATGAACTTTAAATGATCTACCAAATTATTAATGAAACTTTCAAGAGAATTGACCATCTTTTGCGTAGAGTTAGAATTATTCTAGAACAAAAGAGTATTCACTAAATTAAACCAGAAGTAGAGGAATTCTTTAACGATTTCCTTAATATCTTCACTAAAATGACATAGCGTATTCTAGAAATGCCTGCCATTAACTTCGATAACTACTAACACTACGAAGTATCCAAATGCATCACAAATATCGATTCTTAATCTATCTTAATGTGATTCATACTATTATTTTTGACTCAGGAGCTCTGGTATCCTGCTATCCATCATTATTTATACAACCAATCAACCAAAAAATTAACAAAATCTCATTAAAGATCACTCAAATATAATAATAAATATTAATAACAAAATTAAATTAATTAAATCTACTTTCTCATAATATCTCACATGTCAAATACACTTACTTAAATATATAAGTGGGATAGATACTTAGCATACTAATATACTATACCTAATAAAAAATATCCAATCAAAAAAACCATTACTCTAATTTTAATTTATTATAGTTATCAATCAAACCAGTTGTTTGGAATTTTCTAATCTAACTTTTGATCCCTCTCTCATTACACATATCCATCATTCAATTAAACACTTTATACATTTACATTAAAATAACTTATTCAAATTATTGTCATGTTGTATATAAACATACTTATAACTTTATATCCTTGTAATTATCATTATTTGAATTTGATCAATCACATTAAAACACCTTTATTTCAAAAATTTTAAAACAAATATCTTTTTTTTTTTTGATGCTTACAGTTAATTAAATTTGCATTTTGAATTTAATATATAATTAAACAACAATATTCCGTATTATATCTTACATAAAATGTATTTTTAATAAGTTTAAAAATATTTAGTTTTTAGCTTCTGTAAATTATCTAACTATACTTCTTATTTTAGTTCTATTTTTGATACATAGCAAATTTAGAATTAAAAATGTGCGAGTAACAATTTATTTTTCATTTTAATTTACAATTTTTTTTTTTCTACAACTCAGCGAAATATTTCCAGTCAGTCTGAATTCGTCCTCTTGTGTATTTATTTGTAATCTAAATGAATTAAATAATTTAAAAATCTTAGAAAATCAAAATTTACTTCCTTTCTTACATTAACTCAGTTTTTGAAAAAAATTAATTCAAAATTTACTGAAATTTGATTTCTTTTCTATTTGTAATTTTAACTGTAAACTTTCTATTTAGAAATATAGTCTCTCTATGCTATTTTAAAACCCATTCATTTTACTAAGCTTTTTTGTTTTCTTATTCTATTTTATGTGTTTAGAAAGTTTGTCTCATAGATTATGCAAACATCAAAAAATATATAAATATGATTGGTTTGTTAGGTTATGTTTAAATAATGAAGATATATTGGTTAGGATTATTTTTATGTGGAATTTAATTTAGCTAACCTAAATTGAACAATTGACCTAAAAATTTGACTGTATGTATAAAATTAAATGTTAAATTTATCTCTCTAAAAGTTAATCTTTTAAAAAGCCAGAAATTATCTTTGTTCAATTCGATAATATCCATTAGATTTACATCTAATTAAAAAGTAAATCAGGTTTTTATGCCATAATCATAATCACATATAGATTAATCTAAAAAATTATCTGTTTTTCCTACATATAAAAGAAATAAAATATACTTAAAAAATATTTTTAAAAAATAAACCTAAATAGTTTAAAATTAATTATATTAAAATATTAAAATAATTAAATTAGAGTTTTTAAAGAAAAAATTTGAAGATATTTGTTTTATTCATCATATTCAAAATCTTTAAAGATAATACAAGCTAAAGAATTCAAATCAATATTTAATTTTAGATGATAAAGCTTACTATAAAGTACAATGCACCAACAAAATTTAATTCAAAAAAAAAAACTAAAGAAAAATATTATTTTTTTTAATTTCTTAATTTAAAATGATTTTAGAAGAAATAAATTTTTTATGATGATAATTACATAAAAATAATTTATAAAAAAATTCATTCAATACATATAAATACTCATCTATTTGTCTAGACAATAGCAATATATTTATTTACATAGTGCTTTTCTCTCTAAGAAAATTAATAAAGCAATAAATTTCAACTTAAATGTCTTTTTGAAAATGAATAGAAACTTCAATTCTTTTGATTTCTTGATTATTTATTTTGTCTATCTTTAAATGTTAAATGGAGTGTGTATTTCTTCTTATCTTTATTCCAATCTTAGTAAAACTTCCCTTCTTCCATATCTATTTCCATATTTGGTATTTTAAAGGCTATGTTATCATATGGCTCAGCGGCAAAGACTACATATTAATAATTTTTATCAAACTACTCTACTTTTTACTCGTAAGAACTCATAATTCTATAAAAGGGTTTCCAACTGGCATCTATTTACTCATAATCTATCTCAAAAGTTATCTACTTTTATCCAGAAGTTGGATCAATCATCTTAAAAATTTTATATCCAGGTCTTCCAATTTTGATGGTTTTCTTCTTTTGTAGCCCTTTTGTTTAGTTTTGCTGCAACTGTATATTCTGTTCTTAGCGTTCTTTGCTTTATCTTCTTTATAAATTAGTTTGATGCTTTTTACCTTATGTGTGAGCTAAATAACTACCTTCGTTTGTGTGCAGAGTTAGACACAATCTGCATTCATAAGTACCCAAGTGATTTGTCATGAAATAAGGATCCTTCTTAATATCTATTGTTTCTAAGGCTAGCTTTTTCAGTCTTTCTCTGTGCTCAATATTGGCATCTTAAGAAGAAGCAGGTCCTCCTGAACCAGTCTTAGCACCTGGTCTGTGTTATCTATCCACCATCTCGCTAAATATATATTTGCTATTTCTTTATAAATTTTGTTATCTTTGATAACTAACTATTAATTTTTCAAGTGATATAAATTTGAGTAAAAAATATATAATAAACAATACATATAAAAATTTGCTTGTTATCTTCAATCAAAAATAAAAGAAAATCTTAAGCATGGAAAAATATTAATTTTCAAAGATATTCTTTGGTTTAAAATCAAATAGAATGCAAGTCAATATCATAAATTAATTTTCATATTAAAAAAAATCATTTTTTATTTATGTTTGAAAGACATTTAATTTTTTTTAATTTAATTTTTGATATTTTTTCAAAGAAGGAACTCTTTTGATTTTTAATTTAATTTAATTTGCATTTTTTATAGATAACAAAAAAGAGTTTATTTTTTTAATAGCTTTTATTTGAGTGAGATATCTTGTGCAAATTCATAGTATTTTTCATAAAATTGTAATACTTTAAAATTTGTAAATATTAATTTGTAAAGTAATTTTTTTACAAATAAAATTAAGGTCATTAGATTATTTCTAGTTCAGTCAAAATATATAAATTAATATAAGTAACTTAAAATAAATTGATTTTTTGTCTTTACAAATTATATTAGTTGAATTTAATAGAATTTTTTTAACATGAAAAAAAATATTGAATAATTTTAGAAAATTTCTATAACAAATTCATAAAATTTATTACTTTTTCAAAAAATATTTACATGATTAATGAGTTAACATATTGTTTAGAATTTTTGTATGTAAACAAATAAAGAAATATAATCGTTTTGGTAAAGTTTCCTTTCTAATAATCACAAATTAATTACAGAGTGAGTTATTAACATTTTTAATTATTATGAATGCGAGTACCTTTTAATTCTAGATAGTGACGTAATAAATATATAAATAAAGAAAGTAATTATATTTTAGATAAATTATTTAATTTTTTGTTTTAATTAGGTACGATTAGTTTCCTTAAAATATAAATTAAATACCAACTTTTGTATTTAGGTTGAAATTAAATTAGCAATCAATTGTTTATTTTGCAGGCTTAACGCATTAAGTTATTTTATTGTGTAATAAAATGAGTCATTAATTAACGAGCTTTTCAATGACTTAATTATGTAAGTATAATTGATGAAAATATAATTTTTAAGCGTTTTTTTTAAGATTAAAGTTTTAGCTATGATTTCAAGCTTGAATATATTTATTTTTCCAGTTAAAATTAAATTTCAGTTAAAAAAATATCTTTTAAAGCAACCTATACTCGTTTATTTTTATTTTTAATACTGATTAAGCATTATTAACAAATTTTTCTAATATTAAAAAAAAGTTAATTGAATAAAAAATTAACTATTACTTAGATTGTATTCATTAATTAACCTTTCATTTTTTATTGGATTGAAATAATTAAATAACTTACAATTTTCAAGGTGCTGTTTATTATTAGGGTTCTAAGGCTAGTAAAATTAGATAAATTCGTTATACTAGCTAATCTTACGAAGAAGTATCGAGTTAAAAATCTAAAAAAATAGTATTTTCTATAAATACATTAATTCCAAAAAAATGCTTTTTAAATGGTATTTATCTAGTTTTTATACTTACTGGACTCTTTTGTTGTATTTAGTTAAATTTCTTTCAAATGCATGAAAATGAAATAAAAATTAAATTAATTATGCCCATTTACTTACTCTTTTTATTTCAGATTTAAAAGATGTACGAATGTAAATTGTATATCAATATCCATTCTGTTGAAAATATTAACCAAATAAAGATTAATTATGGATTAAAATTTTATTACTTTATGACATAAAATTTTTGCCATCTATTATCTTTATTTGGTATTATAATATTCACAAAAAATACAAAAAAATGTATGATTCAGACTAATCTATATATTCTGTTATTGGGTTTTTTGTATATTTTTTACTCTATTGATTTACATGGCATAATTGATAAATATTTCTTTTTTTGTATATTTAATTATAGGTCCCACCCCTTAGTATTGATTACTGAGATATTGTATAAAAATAATATCATTAAATAACAAGATACAGTTTTGGTTGGGCTTGTTACTTAAAATGCAAATTTTGTGCACATTCGAAGAAAGACTAAAAAAATTATTGAACGGAAACATAAAATAAGAAAAATATTCTAAATTCTTTCAATATCATTGAAAAAGTATTTTTTGAGGATACAGAGTATTTCAATTTTAAAGATTATTTAAGGACATTTATCAAAAATATTCAAAATCTAAGGAATTGTTTTTATTCATTAAAAATATTAATTAAAAATCTTCATCAGAAAACACTTGATTAATAATAATTGATTGATTAAAACAACCAAATTTTATTTTTAATCAGTATTCATATATTTTTTATTATCAAATATTTAAAAAAAGAAATTTTACCATAAAAAGCGTGGGAAAATACTATTTAATTTTCATGAAAATAGATTTTTATGATCATATTTAGCTTATATTTCGTATTTTATATTAATATCAGTAGAAATTATACAAACAAAAAAGACCACAGGTAAAATAAGTAAAAATTGCATATAATTATCAGTATGATCATAATTTCATTTGCGATGAAGAATTTTATAAAGTATGATTTAATAAATTTCTATTACAATCAAAATCAAATCATCCATAAAAAACTTATTCAAAAAATATAAACAGTAATTAATCTTAATGGAATTCTTCATTAGTAATTAGGTTGGTACTCAAAATAAATGAAGAATTTTATAATTATATATAAAACAATAAAATAAACTAATGGATAAATAAATTTCTATTACAATCAAAATAACATACGTTTACATAGATAATAAAACTTATTCTTACATGTAAATAACAATTTTTGGGAAATTTGTTATTTCGCTTCTATATTAAATTGTATGATGCATTTCAACTCATGTAATTTCAAATATTTTTATCAAATCACTTCTCACTTGTAATCAAATTAGTTGTTGCTTACACATAATTCAAAAATAAATAATTTGGAAAACTAAAAACTTAGATAAATTTACTCCTAGTATAGTTATTTACTTATTACCTAAGATTTATCAAACATGTTTCTAAATATATCTTTATAGCTATAAAAAATAAATGAGCCCATATTTATGAAAAAGTTATTCACAAATTAACAAAAATTATATATTGTGAAAAGTAAAATTGAATACTTAGTAATCAAATTAATGCAAATAATCAACATTTAACATTAAATTAAAGCTGTAAATATGTTTATATAAAATGTTTATTTCTGCAAGTACATAGAATGATGTTAATAAATATATCAATAAAAGAATTTATATTACTAATCTAATTATTTAATTATAAACAAATTTTATAATAAATATTTATTTGGATTTTCTATGAAATAAATTCATTTATTTACACTTTCTAAAACCGATATCAATTAACTATTTCGTTATTTATGCAAAATTTATTTTTAGTTGCAATTCAAATAAAAAAGTTAAAAAATGGTTTTTATTTTCTAATTAAATAGCTGAATATAAAATATTTTTAAATCTCTCTTTAAATAGCTTGCGTTTGCTTATGTTATTATTATTACATAGCATGTATATATTATATATCTTTATGATTTGTCTTAAAATAATTACTGTCTTTGCTATTTTAAAATTTAATCAGTAAGAAATATCTTATGTTATAACATTCTTCAAAATTAATTTACAGTCATTCCTAATAGTTAAAAACTGTAAATTTGATTATAATGTTTTCTATTTTTGTTAATTTAAGAAAATTCAAAACAAATTAACCTCAATCATTCGTTCATTACTGAAATATATGCGATTATTACAAAATAATTATTTTTGGTTTATATTTTAATTAGTGTGTAACACTGTTCATTAATTCCATGGATAGCGATATTTATTATTTAAATTATTTTCGAGTATTTCCTTCTCCTGAAAAATTTGTTTGGTTCTAAAATTAGTTTTGAAAAGAGAACAAAATGATTACTTGCTTTCGAAATTATAATAAAGCCTTTGTTAATAATGTAAACATGTTTTTTTCTTAATATCTTCTTCTTAATATTATATGAAAATTTATTAGATTCAAATTAAAAGGCTAGTTAAGAAATCAAAAAAGCTAATCAGCCTTTAAATAATAATAAAAATAATATCAAAAAAAGCGTAGCATAGAATATATAAATTTGTGTAAATTATGATTATTTCAATATTTATAATTCATTACAAGTCATTTATAGAACTAATTAGTAGAAGAATTAATTACTCTATAATAAATCATACACAAAAGTATTTTATAAAGCTTTTAATTTTATAAACTCAAACAAGTTCACATCTAATTAATTTGAATTGAACTTTTTAAATTTCAAATATATAAATTTATTATTTTTCAATGATTTTCATATGATTTAAAATTTCTTTAAAATTAAAATTCAAGTGTTAATTTTTTTGATGAAAATTAAACTGAAATTATATATTTTTATAATTGGTATTACTAAAATTATACATCAATTGCATAATTTGGTATATATAACTAAAATTATGTAAATTCGTTCAAGCTTTATATTTTTAAAAACCGAAATGGTTTTTATTAAAGATTGATACAGTCAATTAAGATCAATAATGAATGAAAATAATTTAAATTTTTCTAGCTCTTTTTAACAATTAAAAGAGATTCACTTTTTTAATTTAATTTTACCATAGAAAATAGAGTAGTGATTTATTTTATTTCTATTCTTTTATTAAAATATGAAATTTAGTTTTAATAAATTCTAAAGTTTTTCTAATTGATATAAGCCATACATCTTAAATATTAAGAAGTTTCCAGTATAATCTTTTATAAAAGCCAAATATTTTTCATTTATCAGATTTTTATAGAAAAATTATAATCACTAACATTTTAATTTAGTTCTATAAATTAAAATAAATCACTTCAAAACTACCACAATCGAAATATGCAAAGTCTTAGAGGTTAATTCTTTTCAAATGTATTATTTAAATTTTAAATTTTATCAAGCTATGTTCTTTACTCGTACTAAAAATGTTATTTAAAACAAAAGATTTATAAATACCTAAAATTAGTAAGCTAAAATTAACTAGTAGTTTGATTTTAGTTAAAATTTGCTTTTTAAATCATAAAGTTTGTATTTAACAATTTAAATTTTTTGCTTTTAATTAAAAATAAATATCCATTTGTATTTTCTAGAAGTACATTTAGAATATAATTTTTTTATTTTATTTGAGATTTATTTTTCTTATTGGTTACAAAAATTTATGTTAAAATTTCTTATTTTAAAAGCAGAGACTTTTAATCGCATTAATAAAATATGTAATTTAATTTTTTCAGAAAATCTTTAACTTACACAAATTTACTTGTAGAAAATTTACTTTTTTACTTTTTAATTTAAATTAAAATAGAAGAATAGATAACTAAAAAACCAAAAAAGTTTACTTGCAAAAGTTATTTTTAACATTTTAAATTTAATTGATTCAAAACCCTTACAATAAACACTTTTTACTTGAAAATTTTATTTAAAATCTAAATTAAATGACTGATTATTATTTCTAGTAAGAACATAGTATATCTATTTGACTCAACACATTTAATCACGCTATTTAACATTTATATTTTAAAATATAATTTTCAAAAGAGTTAAAATTAAATTGTATCAATGAAAAAAATTATATATTTATTGGTTCTAAAGATATAATAAATTCTAATAAATTGTAAAGATAATTACTAAGAGTTAATGTTTAGCAAAATATGTAAACTAAAGAATATTTAAAATTTTATATTTCTATACAATAACTTGAAAAGCATTTTGTACTAATTAGCTTACTCTACTTTTGTTTATTTGGTCAAATGTATTTGACATAATCCTAACCAGTATTATCTTATTATGTTTGTTACATATTACAATTCATAAAGATAATTTAAAATATGTATTAATTCACATTTTTCAAATCCAAAGTATTTAAATATATGGTAATATAAACCCTTTTATTGAAATATCTCTTTTAAAAAATTTTTTTAGGAATATTTAGATATAAATTTAATGCAATTTTTTATCTATTATATTGTATAATAAAAGAGAGTTTTTTTAATTGAATAAAATACTAACACTTTGATTGAAATTAATGATCATGAATCAATAAGATCAAACTGTTTATGCAGTATTAAAAGAAAAGTATTTTCGTATGAAGTAATTTACTATCATTTAAACATACATAATACAATTTTTATATACATATAATAGATGAGAGGTAAAATTAAACAGATTAAAAAAATTAGATATTTTAAAACAAGATATGAGTGATATTTGGTGATAATTAATGTTATTCATGGTATTTTATTCTCATATTCAGCTTTAATTTTTGGATGACTATTTTTATCCATAATTAATTTTCACTATTTAAATTTAAGGTAAATTTTTTTATTCATTTAAAAAAATAATACCATTTATATTGGATTTAATTGTTTTTTCTCAATTAATATAAATATGAATGTGTAGAATCTATTTCTAATGTTTTTTTATTGAGATAATATAAATTACCTAAATGCATTATCTAAGTGTGTTAATTAATATAAGAAAAATAAGATATTTTATTTTAATAATAAAATCTATTTCTTTTTTTAAAATTTATCTTTATTATTTAAAAATATAAAACTTTCTCATTATTTCCTTTAATAAATTTTTGAAACTCAATTAAAAGTCTTTTCTAAGCAATAGTCTTACGATGAAATAAAAGGATGTTAATGATTGAAAAAATAAAATAAAGAACCTATTATTTTATAATTTTATGAATATAATATAAATGACTAAATTACTTTAAAAGAATTTTATTTTAAAATTTTCATTAGTTTTAATTTTTTTAATTAATATTTCATAATTAAGACTATGATATTGACCACAAATAAATAAAATTTTATTGGTCATTCAGTTATTGATATATTTATTACAATTCTTTATGTGAGATTTCTATTCTGATTAGCTCAATAAAGCATCAAGTTTTCTGTTTTTCTAATTCTTTGAGTTTAAGCTTCTGACTTTTTTATTTAATTTATATGAATTATAATTATATCGTTTGATTGTAGCTAACTGCTTTTATTTATCGTTATTTAGTCGGGTTTTCTTTTTTCATATATTCTTTCTTAATAATTAATCAATTTTTATTTCACTTTCTCTCTCTTTCCTTTTTCTAATCCTATTCTATTAATATTCTCAGTTTTGATAAATTTTATATATTTATAATGGCAATTTTTTAGGTATACCCTATGTTAAAAATAGAATATTTACTTTGAATTGAAAATAAGAGTGTTTGAATAAAAAAAAAACAATTTTTAAAAATAAAATAATTACAAAAATATTAATTTATTATTTTTTTAAAAACAATAAAACACAAACTAACAAGCAATAATAAATTTTAATTAATACAAAACTCTTTTTATACTGTAAGAAAAATATCTTTACACAAATTGTGCTAACTCTTCAATCTTTCCAATCCATAGATCTTTGAATAGCTTTCTTCCACTTTTTATATTATTCTTCTGCTTAATTTGAGAACTAAGAGTTGTATTAAACTTTAGTTTCTATTTCTATATATTACTTTAATTCTTCAACGTCTTTGTAAACATTTGATGAAAGTCCAGCAGCAAATGCTACTCCTAAGCATGTGCTATCTACTACCTTAGTTTGATATATGTCTTTTTATAAAATATCTGCCTAAAATTACATTAAAAATTTATTCTTAGAGAGACCTCCATCAATCTTCAAAGAATCTATTTTATATCCAGCTGTAGCTTCAAAAGCTTCAACGACCTTTTTTTTCAATTTTAATTTTTTGAAATTATTTAAGTAAATTATTTACATCTCTTGTTCTGTAAGCTATACCCTCTAGCAAAGCTCTTAATATGTGTTCTTTCTTTGAGTGCATAGTTAATCCTAATATACAACCAGCAGCATCTTCTCTCCAAAAGGGTGAAAACAAGCCACTGAATGCAGGAACAAAGTAAACACCTTAAGTATCTTTTGTTTTGTCAATCAAATCTTTAAGTTCATGAAAATCTTTGTAAAGTCCTATTTGGTTTTTTAATAAAATTCAGTAAACATTTTTTAAAATGTTTTATGTAAAATCTAAAAGAATTTGCTCCTAATTTCAAATTCATCTTAATTGGTTTATTTAAAAGTTTCAATAATTTCAATTAATTTAATTTTTTACCCATATTATCCCTAGCCCAATTGATTGAAGAACCACCTGCCTCGATAGATCCCTCTAATGCATATACTGTTGGTTCATTCTTCCCTAATTTATATAGGATAGTTGTTAAAAGACCTCCTCCTTCAACAAAGCGAGGTTCAGTTCCTGTATTAACTAAGAAGAAGCATCCTGTTCCATATGTATTTTTAGAATCTCCAAGATTAAACAGACCATGACCAACACTTGCTGCTTGCTAATCTCCAAGGCATGCTGTTATAGGAATTCCTTTTAAAGGGCCATCTTAAATTATACCAAACTCCTGTGAGCTAGAAAGAACCTTAGGCAGTGTTTCTTCAGGAATTTCAAAGTCACTAATTATAAATTAAAACATGTTTTCAATTATAATAACAGAAATTTTATTACTTCAATATAGATTTTTCATATTTAAGATTTTTGATGTTAAGAAGAGATGTTCTTGAAGCATTTGTAACGTCTGTGAAGTGATTTCCTTTAGTGAGATTCTATTGTTTAATAATTCATTTATTAGTAAAAAATAAAATTTAAGTTCTACTTGTTTATTAATATCATATTTAATTAAAAATTGTAATACCCAAACCAACCAGGAATCCATGTTTCCAAAAGCAACATCTTTGAATAAATCTTATCTGATTTAAGGGACATTTTCAAGTAACCTAAGTTTATAAAGACATTTTATTCAGTATTAATTACAAAAAACGAAATACCATCTAATTTTGTATGAAGAAAAGTAAGTGTTAATAGGCAATCCTGTTATCTTTGAATAATAATTTGCATTTCCATTATTTTTTTCCAAATATTTTTTGCAAATTTCTCTAGTACGTGTGTCACTCCACACCAATGCATTGTTGTAAGGTTTTCCTTTTTTTATTCAACTTGATTTATTATAAATATGATGCTTATAAAGAAAAAACCTGTTTTTTTATTCCAGGCAACTACAGTTTCTCTCTAATTAGTTACACCAATGCTCTTTATTTAAGATATGGAAAATCCGTCTTATTCTAATTTCTTCACAGTATTTTAAATAGCTTTATTAGCATTTTCTAGAATTTATTCAGGATTATGCTCAAGCCAACCAGGCTTTTGTGTGATTTGCTCATGAGGAATCATATCCTGTTGTATTTGATTTCCTAATGAATCAAATACAACAAATTTAGTACCTGTAGTACTTTAATCTAATGCTCCAAGAAGAATCCTGTCTTTCTATGTTAAGTAAGATATCTTTGAATTGATCACAAGCGCTTTAATAATATTACCTTAGTTGAAAACCTAAACTTGCTTAATCCTTTTGCAAATAAATTACAAGACATTTATGCTTATTTTCTATTAGATATTTTTTCGTTTAATATTTGTTAATTTAATATTTGTTATGAAATCTAATGTAATAAAAAAGATATTTATCAATTTATAATCTACACAAACAGATAATTTAATTATGCATATCACCAAAATTATATTTACACTTCGAAAATTTTATTGATATACTCAAATTATAAATTAAAAAATTAAAAAATATATTTGGATAATTTGATATTAATTAATTTATTTAATTTTAAAAGTGCCTTTTTTACGTCTATAAACTTCATGCGGATGAGCAGATATTAAAATGATCTTTTATTTAATTATATACTTCCTTTATTTTTTTACAAATAAATTTATTTATATCCTTTACCATATTGGTAGCTCGATTAGCTCAGCTGGTTAGAGCATGCGGCTGTTAACCGCAAGGTCGTAGGTTCGATCCCTACATCGAGCGCTTTTTTATTTCTAATATGCATTAAAAAAATAATTAATTCAGCTTATGAATTTTTTTTAATTAAAAAAAGTTAAAGTAAATTCAATAAACTTCTTTTTATTTCAATAGATTATCCTACTTTCTTAGTTGTACAAATAAATCCCTTAAAAACAAATTTATATTAACAATAATTTATTTTGTTTGTCTATAAATACTTTGATTAAGCTAAATTATTCTAAATAAATATATACACACTTACTAATATTATGAGTAAAATATCTTTTATATTTAATACCATAAAAGTATTATTTTTTGTTTATATTTAATAAAAACTAGCTAGTAGAATTTATCTTTTTAAACTTTACAAAATTCATCTTTTATTGTAAAGCTAATAGTTAATCAAATAGATACAACATAGTTTATACATAATCCTTACAATGCCTTCAGTATAAATAAAATAATCTAGTCCTACTATACTACCTAAATTAGCATAAATCACTTACTTTATTTAATTGAGAGTAATCATCATAACTTGGTTAATCAGAAATAGGAGCTTAAATCTTAAAAAGATAAAAATCTATATTAGAAGTAGGTGTAGGATGGTATCGCTAAATAAGGAAATCTATTAAAATTGATTATTGATTTAAGCAATCTATAATCTAAACTTAGATTTAATCAAAATACTTTATAACTCTACTCAAAAAAAAATTTAGTGTCTGATATTAGATTCATATTTATATCCTTAAGATATTTCTGAGTAATTATTAAGCAAATTATTTGATAATTGGTTTTTTATAGTGTTGGGATCAATTTGAAAGATTTAAATACAAATATCAATTAGATTTATTTAATAATTATATAATATTGCTAATCTCTTTCATATAGCTTACTACAATTCAAATATATATAAATATAGTACCCTGAGGTAGGGTCTTTTTCAAGGTTACTTCTTTTTTTGACTTTAGGTTGGAGTTAGTTAGTTTCACCTAAAATTATTAAAATATAAAACAAATATTCTCAGAATGCCCTCTTTATTTTTGTAATTTAATGATAAAAGAAAAAAAAATTAATTTTAATAGATTTATTAATTAACGAATGAAGACTTGAAGTGTTTTATTAAAGAAAAATCAAAAAAATAAAGAGAAAAGTAAGTTTTTTATAATAAATATACAATAAAATTTAATAATAATAATATTTTATTTTGATAAAATTTGTTTTATTTTAATTTAATATGGTATTTAAGTTTGCAATTTAGGTCTGTAAAATATAAATTTTATATCAAATATGATGAATAATTTAATATTAGTTGTACTCTATCAAAGTCCTTATAACTTAAGAAAATAGAGCAATATAGCAAATACGAATCCTTTTAAAGCTTTACTTAATAAAAAAATAAAAATTTGATTCCATGTCCATTTTTAATTTGTCTGGTTAGACGAAGAATCATCTAAGGTCTAAAAAATTTTATCTTCAAGTATTTTATTTTCTTCCATTGTTTTTTTATTGTGATATTTTCTTTTGATTAGAAGATTTAGTTTAATTGAACTGTTTGTAATTACTTAGTTTCTCTTTTTAGATTAAATTTTTATCGAAATTCTTCAATCTTCTTCTAAAATTATTATCTGATCATTTAGTTTCTTCTTATTTAAAGTATTTATTTCTGTTTTTCATATTTTTAGGAATGATCAGAAATGAGTTTATATTTAATTTCTTTTATCTCTTTTTGTTCCCTTATCAAAAAACAATTAATTTTCCTTATCAAAAATCTGATTTATATTTACTTCGAATTGTATTTTTATTTAATTTATTCAATAAAATCATAAAGCAATAATATTTAAATATTAGATATCAAGGCATTATATATTTTATTTAAATATCTAGAATTAATTTTTTTTAACATTTAATGTTATCTATTATATTTTTCTGATTAATTAGATAAATATTTTAAAGTAAATCTATGTAAGTTTAAACTAAATTATAAAAGTAATTGTTAATTTTATACATCCGGATCAAAAATTTTAGCTATTTCTAAAAAATATAATTTTTTAATGTTTGTAGTTACACAAGAATTAATTTTATCAATGTTTATCAATGTGAAAGCAAATTTCTATTAACTTATAATCTGTCGAAACAAATAGTAAATCAATTAATTATTAACCTGCACCAAAAGAATATATAATTATATTAATTTAGAATGCTTATATTTTTCTCCTACCTTCTTATTTAAAAATTTTGAGGCAAAAATAATTAAATTCTTAAATAAAAACATTCATTTTACAAGCGATAAATTCCAAATTTTATATAAGAATAAAAATAATACTTTCAAAAATTTAATTAAAAATAAAACTCTTTATAATAAATGACAAATTTCCATTATTAAAAAAATAAAGCAAAATTTTTTTTTTCAACAACACAAATTATAAAATTTCTTAATTTTTAATTAGAAAATTACTTACATTTAAATGTGGATCCAACTTCAACTTTCTTTTTAACTTTTCTCATAAATATACATTCTCTTTACTGTATCATACATAGTTCATAGTTTAACAAACTTTTTAAGATTTTATAAATTAATTAAATGAGTTATATTATATTGAGCATATTAAAAATAAAAAAATAATCTCAAGATCCAATAATTTTTTTTTTAAATCACCTTTAAATATGATTTCTTAGATAAATATATGGTTGGTTAAAATTTATTTATAGAGCTTCTAAATGTATTTAAAACAAACTATATCTGTTAATAAGTGTATTATTATTTTTGTGAAGTTTTTTTATCTGCTGCTAAAGCATTTTTGAAGAAAATTTAATAATTATTTACAATTATTTTGATTTATTTAATTATAAAAATTAAAAAAAGTTAAGATATTTTATGACAAAAAAAATAAAAATAAATTTTATTATCAAAAGTTTAAGAAATAGAAATATTTATTAGATAGAAAATAATCTGAGTTCAATGAAATGGAAAAATTAAATAAATTAACTAATTAAAATAAATAACACTTTAGTATCATTTTTTTTATCTTCACTTTGAAAATACATACAAATATAAAGTATTGTTTTTATGTTTTTTTATCTAATTTTAAAAATTGAAATAAATTCTATTTTAAATATTTTCAAGACATAGATTATCATTTGTTTTATAAATTTAAATAACACTTAATCTAATAAATAAATTTATTATAAATTCAAATTATACTTGATCAAATCAATAAATCTTTATTAAATATTTATTAAATTTTATTCAACTATTAAATTTCTCTATTTCTTCCTAATTTTGTTTATTTATTTTGGTTTTTCATTCACTAAGTAAAAGAGTAATAAAATCAAATTTAATTAAAATGATAAAAAAGACCACTCCTAAAAATAAAAATATTGAATAAAAGCTAATTTTTTATTAAATGAAAAGTTAAGAAATTCTAATATTCTACTTAGTTTATTTATTAAAAGCTAGTTACTAACCAAAATATTTATTAATAATTTGTAAAATTAGATTTGTAAATTTTTAATTTAATAATATAGTAATCAAAACATACCCAATTACTATTTTAATTTTTTAATTAGATAATTCGTATTATTTATTAAAATTTTAAATTAAAAAAAAATATATTACTATTTTCTTCAATGTTTTGAAGGTAAATTTTATTTTAATATTTAGAAGAAAGAGTCTTTTCTAACACTTATATAATACTTTAATTGAATGAAATAAGAAGCTTCTAATTTAAATAAATTAATATAAATTTCATAAATTAATTAAATTGTATTTCATTAATCTCATATATATTAACTATAATTCTTTGTTTTTTAAATTAATTTTATTTTTGAAAAGATATACTTAGTTGTTTTAAAATAATTGGGGCAGAATAATTTAAAAAAATTGAAAAGGTTAAAAAGCTACATGGTTCTAATAAGCACTTATACTAATTTAATATTTTGGAATCTCATCATAAAGTAGTATATTTAATTTTAAAAACCAAAGTGATTTAAGTTAAGAAAATGAGTATCATCATAGTAGATCAATTTTTATTTTTTCTAGATATTTTAAAAGCTGAATCAAATACAATCTAAAAATAGATAGATATAATTTTTTATAAAGCTAAATATTAACAAAGCACATTGATCATAATTTTAATATATATTATATAATAAAATATATTTCTTTTTTAAATTATTAAATGCTATTTTAAGAAAATTAATCTTTTATCTTTTTTTTCAGAGTATATAGAAAAGTTAAGCAAAATAGAAAAAAAGGTGGTATGAGTGGTCAATTTTTATTTGCTTTTTGAAATTGAAAAATGTGGATATATTAAACTATCTTACGTAATACTTTGAAAATTTAATAACATAAAATTATCTTGGTTAAAAAGTGTAATTTCATGTTTGTAATATTAAGAAAATTAGTATAAGAAATTCTGCTTAAATAAATAAAAAGAAAGAAAATGACAATTATTTTTATAATAATCTATTTTCTAAAATACAATCTTTTTTTATAATTCTATTGTTAAACTTATAAAATATTTTTGAATTAGATATATCTTTTACTTATTTAAATTTAAATTGTTTATTTTTACTATATAAAATATTTAATTCTCTTTCAACAAAAGTAGGATAGAAAGTGTGCTATTCAAAGTATTTCTGATCATTTTTATGACACAAGAAATGCTAAACAGCATAAATAGTTTCTAGAAATTAAGCTTTATTTTAAATATGAAAATACAAATCTTTATTTTTATATTATTTAATTAACTCAAAATAATTATTAACTAAAAAAGAAAAAAAAAAACACACTAAATGAAACAAATTATTTTTGTTCTTGCCATACTCGCATTTGTTAGCTGCTAAACCTACAATTTCACAGTTTCTTAAGGTTGCAACCCTCATCACTGTAAGAGAAATTTCTGGTAATTCAATCACACCTTAGAATCTATGGCTTGTCCTATTCCAGGAGAAGGAAATGCTTACTTATCTAATCCTACTATGTCTCCTAGCGAAATGACTTTAGAGATAGCTACTTTAAATTAATTTGGAAAGCGTAGCAAGGTTTATGTACCTCTTCAAGTAAATCAAGTCCATATTGAAGCCCACTTTAATAATAATACTACTTTCTCTATCTAAAATTGCCAAGAAGCTTGGGCTTCCGAAAATATCCCATTATGCTAAAACCATACATTTGTTGGAGTTAGAGTCCAAAATAACAATATCTTATCTAATTGTACTTTTGGATTAGATCCTATTTTTTGAAATAATTATTTAATTTTAAAATATGGAATATTTTTAATAAAATCCTATTATTCATATTTGTTCTTATTTTTAAAAATTTAATATACTTCAAATACATTTTTTTAATTTAGTTAATTTTTAGTTTTAAAAATTTCAAATTAATTTATACCCATTTTAAGGTTTTTCGTTATTTTCGTATTTAAAATGAAATTTTTATTTTTTTGTAATTAACCTATTAAGTAAATTAAAATAAATATATTTAATAAATTATAATTTTCTTTATCTTAAAGTTTAAAATTAACTGCATAAAATCATTTAATTCTTTTTTTTTAAATTGTTAAAGTTATGAATAGAAAATTTAATAAAATAATTTATTAGCAGTTCTACTATGAGAAAAATGTCAATAGCTTTAACTATTTCTACTTGAAAATTGGTTTTAATTTTTGACAAAAACAAAACTACTAACTATTAATTGAGTTACTTATAAAAATTATTATTACATTTAATTTCATCAAATTTAAAAAACAAAAAATAAGAAGATAAAAATAGAAAACTTCTTTTTAACAATTCTAATTATTTATTTTTAATTTTAATGACTTTTGAATAATCTTAAAAAATTGTAATAAGGTATTATATAAAGACATATTAGATTTATTTACTAAATAAATAACTTTTAATAAATTATTTTATTTTTTTCATTTATGTAAAACATAAAGAGAGTCTAAATATTCACGAGTAGAACCACCAATACTGACAATGTTTGGATGGCCCCAAGGGAGGAGGTTTTAGAATGGTTGACCTCCTTATCCACCTACTTCTAAAGTTTTTCCTCTGCTTGTCTTAATCAATAAACGGTCAATTGAATCTCCAGCACGACCTGATATTTCAGTGAAGTGTTCACCAAATTCTAATGCTATTGTTTAAGATTAAACATATCCTTAACAATGACCTTTATTTGCTACAGTAGCTACACTTTCCTTACCTAATGCTTTGTAATGACACTCTAAGCCGACAACAATGTTTTATGTGTAGAATACAGTTATTTTATCTACTTCAGGAGTGTGGAACTCATTTTTTAAAGCATATGAATTCTCCAGTTGATCAAAGTGAGTTGAGTATTAGTGGGTGTCTATACCAACTTTTTAACTTTACTTAACCATAATAGGTAAATTTCTTCCATAGTGAGGATTAGGTTAAGAAATTCCTTATTATTGAGGTTAGAATAAGGGAGGAGCTTATCCAAAAGGAGGAGGAGGATATTATCCTTAAGGAGGTTGCTATCCAAATCCAAAACTAAAAGTAGGAGGTTGTTAGTCACAATGATTAGGAGGATATTAGCCTTGTTAAGGAGGGTAAAAACCTTAAGGAGGATACTATCCTTGAGGAGGATATTGGCCTTGTTGAGGAGGGTACTAGCCTTAAGGAGGATATTGGCCTTGTTGAGGAGGGTACTAGCCTTGAGGAGGATATTGGCCTGGTTGAGGAGGGTATTATTCTTGAGGATTTTGAGAAATGATAAAGTTCATTTTACTTTATATGCTTGATTATTTTTATGTAAATTTTAAATGTTGAAATTACTTTTACAAATTAATTAATTAGTTAATTTATTTATTTATTATCTGGGAGTTAAGATATGCACAATTTAAATCGTTGATAGAGTATATGAGACGAACTAATGATAGATACTATTTATATGCTTAAAATTTACTTATCAAATTAGCCTTATGTAAATCTTATCTATTTGATTTTTTCATCAGATAGGTGATTAGAAAAATATATTTTGTGGTTTTTATGGATTTAAATGTGATCTAAATTATAAAATACCAAATTTTATGTCAAAAAGATTTTATTTTTTCCTTTTATTTCATTCTTTTCTCTAAACACATAATTTATATCAAATCACTAATCTGGAATGCTTGAATACATACATATACATTTTTATATGAAGATGATAGTTTGAAGTTTGGATATTTTAGGTATATTATTAAAAAAATTTTTGATCAAGTATTTGATGATCAGCCAAAAAAAATATCTTTGTTAGGTAAATTAATTTAGTAAATTTTTAATCTAAATTAAAGGTTGAAAATATTTATGGATACGAAAATTAGAATACTTTTCAAAAAGAATTTCTAAAACTACTCTAAAAAGATAAAATTTTACTTAAATTTGTAAACTTTAAATGCTGATAAAAACGAAAATGATTTTATTTTGAAAGATTTTCAATCATTGTGGAATCAAACTACTTAATTTAAATCAGTAAAAATTTTGATAAAAGTATAAAAGTGTTTATTCCTTTAATGACAAATGAAAAAATAAAATTGATGTTTTTTATAAGATTTAAAATCTACCTGATAAGAAATTTAATAAATTAATTATCTGAAAATATACTTTTAAATTATATTAATAATGATTCACAGCAAATAAAATATTAGGTAGTTGACACCTGTATAAATCTGTAAGATATGATATTTATTATAAATCATAATAAAATGAAATAAACCTGATGTATAAATTAGCAAATTTCAAACTTTATTTAAGAGATAGTTCTTTTTAAACTATTTTTTGTATGCAAATATTTTATTTTAAAATATAAATATTTTGTATATCCTCATTAATTAAAGACCTTCTCCTATTCATTTTTTTCTTAAAATCTGCCTTTATAAATATTTTTAAAATTAAATACATGTGTCCCTAATGTAATCTAATTAAAATTTATTTACAGTATATAATATAGGATCAAATCAGTAATTATTAATTGACATTCATATTTTTTTGAAAATTAAAATTTTATTTTCTGAATTAATTATTTACTTTTTTTGAATCAATATTTTAATTTGACTTTTTTAAAAGAACTCCAATTGAGTTTTAAATATAAGAATAACAGTTTTATTTCCTTAAAATATTGTTATAGATTAAAAATAAATGAATATATTATAATATATTATTATTATTTATCTTAATTTATAATAATTTATTTAAGCACTTGCACTAATTGGAAGATTTTTATTTTTATAGTAAAATATTAAGAAAATCAATTAATTAATATGCATTTTATTATGCGAATTCAATTAATAAAATAATATACTATGTATGGCTCAATAATTTTTTTAATTATCATTTATTATGTGAATTTGTTATGGAAATACTCATTCATTAGATTTATAAATTAATAGATACTAAATTTCTCTTGATTTTTTGTATTAATAATTATATGAAATAAATGACATTGATTTTTATAATCTTTTTGTAAAAGTTGAAAATGTATAAATAGAAATTAAAATTGTTGTAAAATGTATATTTCCGTTTTTAAATAGACTAACTAACCTAAGTAAAACATATACTTATATAATAAATTAATATATTTTATAATTTAGATAATATTTATGTGTCTAATAAATTCCAAAAGTCTATAAAATCATACTTTAAAAACTTTCTTTTTTTTAAAAATCTTATTAAAATAGGAAATAAAAAATTCAATAAAATATTTAATACTATTTGAGTGAATAAAAAATTAATAACTTGAACTACTTTGCATAAAAAGTAAGCTGGTCTTAATCTTATTTTTTTATAAAAAAAACCACCAAAATTAGTTGAGTAATATAATAAAAATGGTATTTGTATGATTTCTGAAAATTAAAAAAACAAAGCATTTAAGGTCTTTCTGTTATTTTCGTATTTAAAATGAAATTTTTATTTTTTTATAATAAGCCTCTTGAGTAGATTACAATAAATATAAGTAAATTGCATAAATGTTAATGAATATTTAGTGTTTAATAAATTACAAAAATTATAATTTTCTTTATCTTAAAGTTTATAATTGCATTTAATCATTTAATTCTTTTTTTTTTTAACTTATTAAAGTTTATGAATAGAGAATTGAATAAAATAATTTATTAGCAATTCTGCTATGAAAAAAATGTCAACAGCTTTAACCATTTCTACTTGTAAATTGGTTTTAATTTTTGACAAAAACAAAACTACTAGCTATTAATTGAGTTACTTATAAAAATTATTATTGCATTTAATTTCATCAAATTTAAAAAACAAAAAATAGTAAACATGTTTCTAACATTTTCTTCAAAATATTTATGTAATAAAAAGAATAGCATAAAAATAGTTTCCATTTTTAAGAAGAAGATAAAATGAGAAAACTTCTTTTTAACAATTCTAATTATTTGTTTTTAATTTTAATGACTTTTGAATAATCTTAAAAAATTTTAATAAGGTAAAATATAAAGACATATTAGATTTATTTACTAAATAAGCTACTTTTAATAAATTATTCTATTTTTTTCATTTATGTAAAACATAAAGAGAGTCTAAATATTCACGAGTAGAACCACCAATACTGACAATGTTTGGATGACCCCAAGGGAGGAGGTTTTAGAATGGTTAACCTCCTTATCCACCTACTTCTAAAGTTTTTCCTCTGCTTGTCTTAATCAATAAACGGTCAATAGAATCTCCAGCACGACCAGATATTTCAGTGAAGTTTTCACCAAATTCTAAAGCTATTGTTTAGGATTAAACGTATCCTTAACAACTACCTTTATTTGTTATAGTAGCTACACTGTCCTTGCCTAATGCTTTATAATGGCATTCTATGCCGACAACAATGTTTTCTGTGTAGAATACAGTTATTTTATCTACTTCAGGAGTGTGGAACTCATTTTTTAAGACTGATGATTGCTCTAATTGATCAAAGTGAGTTGAGTAGTAGTGGGTATCTTTACCAACTTTTTAACTTTATTTAACCATATGAGGTAATTTTCTTCCGTAGTGAGGATTAGGTTAAGAAGTTCCTTATTGTTGAGGTTAGAATTAGGGAGGAGCTTATCCAAAAGGAGGAGGAGGATATTATCCTTAAGGAGGTTGCTATCCAAATCCAAAACTAAAAGTAGGAGGTTGTTATTCACAAGGATTAGGAGGATATTAGCCTTGTTAAGGAGGGTAAAAACCTTAAGGAGGGTACTATCCTTGAGGGGGATATTGGCCTTGTTGAGGAGGGTACTAGCCTTGAGGAGGATATTGGCCTTGTTGAGGAGGGTATTATCCTTGAGGATTTTGTCCCATAGAAAAGTTGAAGTTCATTTTACTTTATATGCTTGATTGTTTTTATGTAAATTTTAAATGATGAGATTACTTTTACAAATTAATTAATTAGTTAATTTATTTATTTATTTATTATATGGGAGTTAAGATATGCTCAATTTAAATTGATAATTAACAAATTTCTATATATGTAAAGTATATGAGACGAACTAATGATAGATACTATTTATATGCTTATGATTTACTTATCAAATTAGATTTATGTAAATCTTATTTATTTGATTTTTTCATCAGATAGATGATTAGGAAATTTATTTTGTGGTTTTTATTGAATTACATATGATCTAAATTATAAAATATCAAATTTTATATCAAAAAGATTTTTTTTTTTCCTTTTATTTCATTCTATTCTCTAAACACATAATTTATAACATATCACAAATTTAGAGTACTTGAATAAATATACATTTTTATATGACGATGCTAGTTTGTATTTTGAATATATTAGGTATATTATTTAATTTTTGATCAATTATTTCATGATCAGCATAAAAAATATCTTTGTTAGTTAAATTACTTTAGTAAATTTTTAATCTAAAATAAATCTTGAAAATAAATATGATACAATAATTAGAATACTTTTCAAAAATAATTTATAAAACTAGTCTAAAAAGATAAAACTTTACTTAAATTTGTAAACTTTAAATACTGATAAAAACGAAAATGATTTTATTTTGAAAGATTTTCAATCTTTGTGGAATAAAGCTGCTAAATATAAATCAGTAAGACAATTTTGATAAAAGTATAAAAGTTTTTATTCCTTTAATGACAAATGAGAAAATAAAATTTATGTTTTTTATTCGATTTAAAATTTACCTGATAAGAAATTTCATATATCAATTATCTTAAAATATGATTTTAAATACTATTAATAGTGATTCACTACATATTAAATATTAGATAGATTGCATTTGCATAAATCTGTAAGATATGATATTTATTATAATTCATAATAAAATGAAATAAATCTAATGAAAAAATTAGCAAATTTCAAACTTTCTTTATTAAAGAGATAGTTCTTTTTAAACTTTTTTTTCTATGCAAATATTTTATTTTAAGGTATTAATATATTGTAAATCCTCATTAATTAAGACCTTCTCCTATTCATTTTTTTCTTAAAATCCGCCTTTATTATAAATATTTTTAAAATTAAATACATGTGTCCCTGGAATCTAATTAGGATTTACTTACAGTATATGAAAAGGAATTATTCATTTACATTCATACATTTTTGAGAATTAAAATTTTATTTTCTGAATTACTTATTTACTTTTTTTGAATCATTATTTTAATTTGACTTCTTTAAAAGAACTCCAATTAATTGAATTTTAAAATATGAGAATAACAATTTTATTTCTTAAGACATAGTTAAAGACTAAATTTAAAAATAAATCAATATATTATTTATATATTTTTATTATTAATTTTAATTTATATTAGTTTATTTAAGCATTTGCACTAATTGGAAGATTTTTATTTTTATAGCAAAATATTAGGAAAATCAATTAATTAATTTGCATTTTATTAGGTTACTGCGAATTCAATTAATAATATAATTTACTATGGCTCAATAATTATTTTAATTATCTTTTATTATGTGAATTTGTTTTGGAAATACTCATTCATTCATTAGATTTATAAGTTAATAGATACTAAATTTCTCTTGATTTTTTGTATTAATAATTATAAGAAATAAATGATATTGATTTTTATAATCTTTTTGTAAAAATTCAAAAGTATAAATAAATAGAAATTAAAATTGTAGTAAATTGTATATTTCCATTTTAAAATAGACTAACTAACCTAAGTAAATAAAACATGCTTATATAATAAATTAATATATTTTTAATGGCAAATATTTAATATCTGTGTTCAATTTAACATATTTATTTTAGTAGAATTTAGCATCTTCATACAAAAATATAAACAGTGATTAATAATTGAGAAGAGAATAAAATTTAAAAACAATGAAACTGTATATTTAGTAGTAATCTTTACGAACAGAAAATATTTTTTATAAAAAATACTTTAATAAAAGAGATCCGTTAAAGTGTTTTTATTATTTTAAAATGCCATTTATAAATAAAAGTATTTATTGTAGATTATATCAATTATTTTTTTAGTTAAATAAAATATGAATTAATAACTGATACAAAAAGTCTAATTTATTCATTTTAATGCCATAAAAAAGATTTAATTTATATTCCTTCACAAAATAAATAGCTGCTAATTTTGCTAAAATTTTATTTTTCATTTATAATTTTAATTTAGAAAAGCTATGATTTACTTTCCTATCTAACTTTGTGAAGTACATAAAATAATTAACTATTAAAAGAAAGTTGAATAAAATAAATAGTTAATAGCTAAGTACTAATTGTAAAATTTATCTAAAAAAAATTATATAAAAAAGCTAATTAATTTCATTTATCATTTTATTTAAAATTGGTTTAGTATAAAAACAAAATCTTATGCTTTATTTTTTATAATAATTTATTTGACTAAATAATAAAAGTTAAACTCTAAAAAAATATATATGACAGAAAAAATATTACATACAAAATCTTTTAAAAATGTATTTTTAATTGAAAGTTTGCATTAAATAATTCACTTTAATTTAATAATTAAGTTTTTTGGAATTTCTCCTACTACTGACCATACTTATGTTCATCTTGATTTTAAGATTTACGATTCGTCTAAAATAGTTCCAGCTTAGCTTGAAGAGACAAAAATATATTGTTCCTTTAGGACATGTATATGGGATTATTCCAATGAATGGGAGGACAAATTAACAGGAATTAGATTTATAAAATATGGAAATTAATAATGGTATTAAAATTAAATAAAATTACTTATTTCAATCTTAATTTTTTCTCATAGATTAAAATAATACAAAATCTTATTTAGAAAATATTATAAAATAGTCATTACCTTAAATCCCTAAGAGCATATTCTTTCTACTGTTTAAAAAATATAAATTAATAGTTTTTTAATTTATTTTTATAATAATACAAATTTTAAGGGATACAAAACTTATTGGTGATTAGGCTTTATCTGATATAGGATGTGCTTTAGCTAAATACTCTAAACTAAAAAAATTATTACTCAATCTTAAGTAATTATTATTTATTTATTTATTTATTTAATATTATTACAAACATTAGTGAGCTAAAAAACATAAAAAATTAAAATTTAATAAACTAGCTAGACTTTTTTAATTTAATAACTTAAATTTGACTTATTAGATAGATATGCAAAATTCTTTTAAATAGGCAATTAATGACGGTAATTTAATATTATTTTAATTTCTATTCTTAAATAGTTCAAATGAAGTTGGTCACTACGGGACATAAGATTTACTTATTGAATTAGCTAATTGTGCTCATCTTACTACTTTAATTCTTGACTTAGGGTCAGTCTTAATTTTTTTTTAATTAATTAATCTATTCTTTTATTTAGTTTTTTAAAATAAAATATTTACTCTGAAACTTCTAAATTATCCTATAAATAAAAAGGTCTAATAAAGTTAGGAACTAAGGTTTAATACGCTTGTGCTCTGCTTTACCAAACTGTTCTAATCTTTCAACAATATCAATTAATTTAAGGTATATTTCTTTATTTATTTAATAATTTTATGCTTTCTATTATAATTATTAATCATCTGAAAAATATAATTTAATTTTTAAATAAATGTTCGTTGATTTAATATATCATTAAATCTATTTAAAGCTAATAAAATATTTTTTTAATGAAGGGATAACTATATTGGGGATGAGAGTATGTCAAGCTTCAATTATTTAGCAAAACTAAATAATTTATCAAATTTGACTATTAATCTTGAGTATAATTATATTTATTTATTTATTATTTTTCATTTAAATGAAGTACAAATATATATATTATTAATATGATTTTTTATTAAATTCAAATGTTAATCATATTAAAAAACCTCTTTAAAATTAAAAAAAGTAAAAACTAAATTGGATCGATCGGTTATGAGAATTTGATTTGTGCTATTTATTAATGTAGTCTCCAATTTCTAACACTTTCATTATGGTAAAAATCTTTGTTTGTTTGTTTGTTTGTTTGTTAGTTTAGGAGTTTTACTTTTTTTAAAACAAACTAATTGATTTATAATCTGATTATTTATTTATTTATGTTAAAATAAATATATATTTACATTTTTGAACAGTAATAATAAAATAGGAAAATAGGCTTTTACAGATTTCTAACATGAATTATCAAATAATTTAATTGTTGAGCACATTAATCTGTCTTTACTGTACTTTATTTTTTATTCTAATTTTGAAAAATTTAAAAAAATACTTCAAACAAAAGATAAAAAAGATAAAAATCAAATTTTATAGTTATTATTGTTCTTTACTAAAATTAAGAAGATATTAAGTATATTTATATTCATTCCCTCTTTTTTTTTTTGTTTTATAATAAAATAATAAATTGTTTTATCAAAAAATAAACTTATTTTACTAAATAGAAATAACTGTATAAATGAAGAAGGGTTGATAAAAATAGGTAAGGGTTTATCTTAATTCAAGTAGCTTTCTAGTTTAACTCTCGATATCAAGTAAATTTTTACCATCAAATAAAACAAAAAATAAAACAAAGTTATTTATTTATTTACCTATCCATCTTAAAAGAAGAAAAATAAAATGTTTAAAATAGCTAAGAAATACTTTTAAGTTTTAAATAATAAGAAAACTTTATTTAAATTTTACTTTTATATTTAAATTATTTTTTTATTTCAGAAATTATTTTATTCAAAGGTATTATTATAGCTATAAAGCTTTTTCTGGATTATGTACTATTTTAGCTGATTGCTCAAATCTTAGATTTTTAAAGCTATTTTTATGGTATCATTTTATTAATCTTTTTAATTTTCAAAAAAGCTTTTTTTAAATCAGTTTTTAAAAAAATAAATAAATAATAAATTGTTAAATATTATTTTTAAAAATATTAAAATAGGTATCCTGATAATGAATAGTTTGAGCTTTTTAGTTCCATAGGAAAATTAGTCAGTATATCAGAACTTGAATTAAATTTAGAGTAAAAATTTGTTGTTTTTAGCTATTATAAATTTTCTAAAATATACTTTAAATATTTCTTAAATTTAAAATCATATATATATTCAATACTCAATTAATCTAAAAAAGATGTTTATAAATAAATGATTCTGATATCTCATATCTTGGTTTTGTCATATAGAAACTATCAAAACTTTAAAATTTAGGACTTTATCTAAAGTAAAATTAATTAATCATACATTTTATATTTTATTAAGTGAATAATTTACATATAAAAGAAACACCCACCTACCAACTAACTAACTAACTAAATAAATTTCTTTAAAAATTTTAATTGAAAAGAGAGGGGGGAGGAGGGTATGTATTTCTTTATTAAGAGAAATTTTTATCTAGCTTATGTGTTTTATTTTTGCTTTGTTTGTATGTATGTATATAAAAAATATATATAATAAATTAACTTTATATTAAGAGGAAATATTATTGGAGAGGAAGGAGTAATAAGTTTATGTGAGTCTTTAGCATAATGTAGTAAACTATCAAGACTAGCTCTTGATCTTGAGTAAAGATATCTTTTAATAACATTTTATTTTCTTTTTATTAATAAAGTTTACTATTTTAATATTTGTTTGTTTTTTTATTTATTTATTTATTTAATTATTTATTTATTTTGCTTATTAATATTTATCTGTAACCTAAAAAGAAATAACAAAATCAATAGAAATTCAGTATAATTGTTAAGTTCTAAGTTAACTGATTTAAATAATTTGTCAACCTTATAAATATGTATTGACAATAAGTAATTTATTTATAACATCTTATTAAATATAAAATTAAAATTTATTAAAAGCACATTGCATGTACTTAATACTTTGATTAACTGTAATCACTTCTCAACTTTAGCTATTAAAGGAGGATATTCACTTTTATAAAATGAATCTTTATTATCTAATTTGAAATTCAAAAACAACAATCTGAGAGTTTTGATATTTGATATTTAATATTAATCGTAATCTTAAATTTATTAACTTTCATTCAAAAATTAAATTTTTTAAAATAATTTTTCACTATTTCATACTTAAAAGATAAAATTAATTTATTATTTTTTTATTTTAATAATTTTAATTTAAATGGTTATTTTTCGGACAAGCAAGCAAGAATATATTCTTTTTTTCTTTTAATATAGGAGTATAAATCATGATGCTTTAAAATTTAAGCTTTACAAATTGAAGAGAGCAGTTCATATAAAATTTAAACAATGAAACTAAATATTTTTGAATTTATCTTTTAATAAAAGTTAAAAATAATTTTGTAATTCCTTTTGATTGGTTTAATATATATATTGTTTATAATTATTTTTAAAGTAAACATATTTATTTATAGCTAATACTAAAATTAAAATATTATCCATTTTGTTAAAGCAGATGGCAATATTTGATTTAATTTTTATGTTTTTAAACTAAAATTATACATTTTATATTTTCATTCTTTTTATTGTTTTTTTAAATTGATAGTAAATTTATAACTTTAATTTATATTATTATTATTTGTCAATGTATGTATCCTCCGAAAAGGTAGTAAGAACCCTAGGGTACTATATATATATATATTAAATAAAATTAAATTTATTTGAATTAATTTAATTAATTTAGATTTTTGTTTTTAAAGTTAAAAAAACTGAAACAAAATAAAATATTATTTCATCTAAAAAAAATAATTTTAATTTAAAATAAAAAAATAATTCAATTTTTATCATTTTAATAGTCATTTTTTGGTAAAACTATTTCTTCATAGTCTTTGTGATCAAAATAAAATGCTTCACATGCAGGATTGAGTATAGTGCTATAGTTTATTTGCTTTTTATCGAAATTTTACTATACTTCTTTTGGTCCTATGAAAGGGAATAAGAAGTTATTTTTATATTTTTAAAATCTTATTTAGTTTTATGAGTAAATACCACTTTTACTTATTATGGAATTATAAATAGAATCAAAGTTGCTTCTTTTTTCTGTTTTAATCTATATTCTTTTATCTGCTTCACTGATTGGATACAGGATTTCAGAATCTTCGAATATGTCAATCAAAACCATCTCTGTTAATTTTTTATAATCATTTTATTTTATCTCAAATTTTTAGAAGACCCAATCCATTTTTCTTGGCTCAACAAAACTCTAAACAAGATTTTAAGATTAAAAGAAAAGCTTTTAAAGCTCTTCATCTGTGAATTTAATGTTGCATTTTGGTAGTAAAGGGTAATTTTTCTTTCTTTCTTCAATTTGCTTTTATAAAATCTAGATATACATTTCTATGCTAGAAATAATTATTCTATTATCTGGTTAACGAAGATCATAAAACTGAAATAAATTTTTTGATAAATTATCGAAAATAAAACTTGGTTCATTTATTTTATTTAATAATCTACTTTGATACTCTTCCAATTCAATTTCCTCTAAACGAGCTCTCACCAAGAATTAAACATCTTCAATGTTCATTGAGTAAATTTGTTATTGCTCATCTCCTGCCTTACCTACTTTCCATGCTAAGAAAGTATCGATTTCAGGCTGTCTACCTATTAAGGAGATAATTAAGCACATAATGTCGTCACTCAAGCTTTATCCTGCACGTCTTAAAGCAGTAATAGCAAAGTTAAATGTGGATAGAGCTGGATGTATAATGAATGCACTAGCCAAACTGATACTAACTTCTAAATAATCTACAAACATGTCAAAAACTACTGCTGGGAGTGGAAAAAATTATGAACTAATGACTCTTTAATCATTTTATCTTCTAGAGTCGATGCTATGAGGATAATCAAGATCAAATATAAGCATATTGAAGATCTATCTTAATACAAGACAAGCAGGAATCCAAGCCCAAGATGTAACAGCAAGTAAGAAACTTAAAGTAGTATTAATCATAATTCCTACAGGCATACCAATTCCAATGAAACTAGCTGTTAAAGCTAATCTAATTAAGCATTCGATTTATTTGAAAACTCTAGAGATACTCTTTCCAATAATACCTCTGTCAGGCTAGGCTTCAAAGTCTCTAAGAGATTATTTTATTGAATTAAGAGATTCTTTTAAGCTATAAATATAAGGATCGACTAACTTTTCTTACAATTAGCCAGTCTTTATGTCTAGATTATAATCTCTAGGAAAGGGTTTTGTTTTGAATAAAGCCTTTAACCCTAATTCTCCATTTATCATATTGTCAATTAAAATGTTATAAACATTTTTTGTCCAAGCCTTATATCTAGTAAATAGCAAAGCTAACCTCCATCCTAAGAAGCTTGTAGGTGTTAAATGAGTCTTTGCTTCGTCAAAAAAATAATAAGTCTCTCCTAAGTAGGAAACATCGCTCAATATTTTGTAAGGTTTCTTATTTTATTCAAATGTCTTAAAAACTCTGCTAGGTTCATCTTTAATTTTTTAGATTCTTTCATAGTTTTACTCATAAATAGCATCTTGATTTTACTAAAATTCAGTATATCTTCTAAATTAATTTGCATAAGAGTGAAGGTTATTATCTTCTAATTCTTTGATGATCTGAGCATTGCACTCAATCTACAATTCAGCTCTCTTTGCTGTCATAAATTCATTTATTTGATGCTCTATCCAAGAAAATACTTTTGATTTTATTGGGTGCTTATCAGATAAATTATTTTATTCTTATTTAGCATACTCCTTTAAATCGTTTTCAAGTTTAAAGTAATGGTTTTCTGTAATTTAAGTAACTTTTATTAATTCTATGAAATGTTCTTACACTTACTTATCTTTTATGTATTTTGATGATAAAATCATGCTAAAAAGAAGCTCTTATTTTTCATTAAAAATTTTATGTAAGGCTTCCTTTTCTTCTACATTCATTTTCTCCAGCTCACTTAATCTACTTTTTTCTAGTTCGTTAGCAGCCATTTCGAATGCCTTTTAGAGTGTATTAAAATCTTCAATTCGATTTTATGATTCCAGCTGTTCCTTTACGCTTTTCAAATTTTAGTAAAATTGATTACTAATCTCGTCATAGAAAACCTCATCATTTTTTATTCTGAAGTATTCAAAAAAGCTTGTTTTAATTTCAGGCTAATACATCTTTATAGTTTCTTTTTTCCTCTCTCTTGCTATTTCATTTAAAATTTAGTCCTTACCTTAGATATTTAATTGCTAAGTACCAATAGTTATAGATGCCAACTTAGTAAATACACAAGAAATACCAATTAATCCATTAAAAAAGTTTGGTCTAAAAAGCTTATATCCAAGAAACTAGTTTTAAGCATATTTCCATCCTAATCTTTTCTTGATTTAAAGTAATTGATAATAAGAACGGCTTAGCCCTGAATAATAGCACTCATTAATATAATTTTGTCCTCGAACTATCCAAGGACTCACTTTCCATACTTTAGATGATTCTTCATTTTTTCCACTGACAATAAATTTTCCTGACTACTCTATAGAAATCATTTATTAGAGAGTTAACCTGTTCATGTCTTAATTGCCATATACTAGTTCTGGTTGAAAGAATTTTATTGGAGACTAATCACCTTCAAATACAGTTTTAGGTAGATTAAATTTCCACTACTTTTCTTCTTCCCAGGAATATAAATCAGATTCCAACACCTTATCAATGCCATCGACTAATTTTTAAGCCTTTTAAGTATATTAGTTCTACTTTTGAATGGATAATTAGTTTCGAATAGAATGATACTATTCGCTCAATAACAACTTTTATCTCTAAGGTAGATTATAAAGCTACTATTCATCGAGACTAATTGAATCATTTTTGTCTCTTATGTTATCGCTTTAAATTTAAATTTCTTATTTTTTTTGCATCTACTGATAAGTAAAATAAGCAATTTATTAATTAATCTATTAATTAACTACTAATTTTATAAAACTAATTAATATATGAGATATAAAATTCAATATCCTAATTCTTAATTTATAGGATTGAATAATATTTATCTAAATTATATGTGTATGTACGTTTTGGAAAAATAAAATAGATACTTCAATAAAATCTCAATTCTTGAATGTTCTATAAAATTTTATATAGAAAATATACATAAAAATAATAAATTAATGGTTGAATAAATCTCTAAATTTTGAAAGGGGAGGAGGAGGTTGATATAGAGGGAAAATAATAAAATTGGAGTCGGTTCAGTTTTGAATTTATTTAATTCTTTAAAATATTTTTATAATCTTTCTAATTTAACCCTGGATTTCTTAAACTCAATTCATTAAATTTTATTTATTTTTTGAAGAATTTTCTACTCTAATAAGTGTTTTATTTTATCAAAGATTAAAGAAAATCTTAAGATTTTAAATTTAGATTTATTTATTTATTTTATTATAATAAAATAAAATATCAATTACTTATTTCAAGTTATATCAAAAATATACAATTTGGATTAGTTAAATACTAAAATTTTTATGCATTAAACAAACCTCTTTTAATGTAAAATATAAAATTTCTTTTGTTTGTTATCTGTTATATTGAAAATGAAAGTTGAGAGGAATATTAATATTATTTTATAAAGTATGTTTTTGAATTCAAACTCTAACTAACTAAAAGCAAAATACATTTTTTTAGTGGAATATAAATAAATTTTAATAAGCATAAAGTAAAAACAGTTTCTTAAAAATACCAAACATAAATCTGTATTTAGAATATGATTTTTAAAGATTTTAATATTTTATTTATTTATTCAAATTTTAATAATGTTAAATAAATATAAACTATTATGATAAAATAATTTAATTATATTTATTGAAGTATTTACAAGATTTAAATTATTCAAAAATAATTAATTTATTTTAGATACATTTATATAAATATTTTTTTAAAAGAAACAATTTCTTATCTAAAAAAATGCAATATTTATTTATTCAGTATAATTTGCCTATTAAAATTAGTCTATTTTAATTATCAATAAAAATACTTTCAAAAAAAAACATCAAATAAAGAAAATACTTTATGAATATTTTATTTTATTTGAAAATACTGCTTCAACAATAGAAATCATCTAAAAATTTATTGATGCAATTACATAATAAAAAAATTAAAGGATGTAACCATTAGGTTGAATTTGATAGTGCTAATTACTCTTTGAAAGATATCAGAAGTCGATTACATAAATATATAAAAAGATTAATTAATGCTTGAAAGAATTAATAAATTAATTGAGGAGATTTAAAGAAATCAATTACTTTAATCATTCAAGTTTATTATTACATTTATAATCATAAAAACATAAAAAGTAAAAAACACTTAAAAAAGTAAATATACAAATAAGTGTTTTTTGTTTTTTTTTTGTTACTTTTTTATCTTGCTTGCTTATGAAAGAGATAATAAATGATCTATAATACAAAACTGAATGCGCATTATTTGTTAATTAATTAATTAGCCAAAATGCGATTATTCAATTAATTGGAAAGAAAACAATGCATTTATTTTTGAATGAAAAAGATTTATATTATTTTTTTTAGAATTAAATCAAAAAATCTAAGTTATTATTAGTTCTTATTAACATTACCATACTAGAAACAATTAAAAATATTTCATAGAAAATAAAATAGCTCCAAAACAGCATCATAAGTATAGAGTTTAGGCTACAATTTACATATTATTTCATTCGTTGTCATTAGCAGGGGCTGAAAACCGCGTTTAATTTTAATACCATAAGAAATAGTTTAAGGAAGCATGAATAGGGTAAATATTGATGCTCCAGTTATAGTAAGATCAGATTATAAGCAGAAGATAGAGTTTTTAGGGAGATACAAGGTTGTTAAGTAGATAGGACAAGGTACTTTTGGTACTGTTTACAAATGCTCAACTTACAAAGGATATGAGTATGCTATAAAATAGATCAACAATATCAAAATGAAAAAAATGATGAATAATGAGCTTGATGCGCTCAAGAGTGTTAATTCTAAGTACGTTGTCAGGTATTATGAGGTCTTTTATGATAAGCAAGACCATCCTTGTATTGTCTTAGAACTTTGTGAAGGAGGCACGTTGTCTGATTTGATGAAAAAATTCCATAATCACTGCATCCCAGAAAAGATAGCTCTAAATTTATTTGTTTAGATTTTAGTAGGATTCAAAGAAATATAGAAAGCTAATCTTATTCATAGAGATGTTAAATTGTAAAATATTCTCTTGAAAAATGACTAGCCAAAAATAGCTGACTTTGGTCTTGTTACTTAGTAGTAAAAGGATAAAGTTGATGGGTTTGCAGGGACACCTATGTATATGGCTCCTGAAATTTTAGATGGTAAAAACTACGATTAGCAAGTTGACATTTGGAGTTTGGGTGTTTTGCTTTATGCGATGATGTTTAATGATTTTCCAATATGTGAGTAAACAACCTACATGTAACTTGAGAGAATTAAGATGGTTTGCACTCCAGAATTTAACTTTGAGAAAGCAAAGAAAAGTAAATACTAAAACATTAGGTAAGAAACAGTTGAGCTTCTACAAAAGATGTTGAATATTGATCCGAGCAAAAGGATTACACTAAACTAGCTGTTGGAACTCCCTATTATAAAGGAGCATGATATGCAAGGTGATTTAGTACCAAAAGTCGAGCCTGTTGTTTTAGATGAAAATTAAATAGTTTACAAGTAAAAAATGCAGCTCAAATCACTTAACAGCTTGTAAGTAGAAACATCTCCAATCGTAAAAAAACTGAAATTATTTGATTTTTCATCATCGATTCAGCAAGTATTACCAGAAGAATCTAGAGAAGACGATACACCGTCTGCAGACAGACTTTCGCCAGTTGATAGTGTCCAAAATGAAAACGAATCCCCAAGTGAATCTTAAAAGAAAAATAAGACTGAAAGTCAAGAAGAAAATACATTCCAAATCAGTCAATTTGGTAATACGTAAAAGCACATTTATGAAGTGCATCTATTACCATATAATTAAATGCTAAATAGAATTACTCAGCTGATAGATGTATATGAACTTTTTGCAAACGGAGATAACATTATTATCAGTACTGAATTTAATACTAACGAAATTAATTTAATTCTTTATTTCCTTTCGAGGATTATTCTTTTCTACTTCCAAGGCTTAAACAAAATTCTTGATGAACGTGATAACACTTATAATCTAGACCATTGGTCGCAGTTTATATTTAGCAAATCTTACTTAACAATATTCTCTTAAGTTTAACTTGAAATGCAAATATGGATGGAAAAGTCAACCATTCTTTACAATCACTTAAAATTGATAGAGCTTGTTCCTATTTAAGTGAAAGAAATTGAGCATTTGGAAAAGACATCAGACAAAGAATAAGATTTAGAAGATGAAATTGACGAAACTACTGACTAAGAAAACAAAACCGAGACTTCGAGTGAAAACTAGGAACAAAAGCTAGCAAAAGGTACAAACAAGAAATCAGAAAAAGCAATAAAAGGCAAGTAAGGCAAAAGCACTCTCAAACTCCTTCCTGATATTATAGAAAATATTATTTCACCTCTAGAGACCTCAGCTCCATAGGATTACTCTTTTTTACAATCTAATCTACCTGATTAGATAAAGATAGCATTTAGAGCTGTAATGATGACTGCATACACTCGTCTACAAAACTCATATAAAGAGGATAAATCGATTCAATCAGCATCTTAAGGTGATGGACACTCTTATTCAGCAACACTATCAAGTCTCTCTTATATAAGTTCACCATAGCAAAGCCTGCATTTAATTGGATCATCTAAAAGTCACTCTAATCTTAAATCTGTAAAATAAAATCACAATAGTTTAGTTTTTAATTAATCTCCTCAGCACCAATCAGCAGCAGCATCAAGCACAACTAAGCAAGTAAGTTAAAGTATTACAAATTTATCTGCCTTAACCAAAAAGACAGTATAACCTAATAGCATTTCGAGTAACAATAATAGCGTAATAAAAAAAATAACAAATAGCTCAGCAAGTACAACACCTTTGAGTGCTCAATCTAGTATTAAACAAAGTAGCTAAGCTCAAACAATTAAAACAGCAAATAACTCACCATAAGTTGTAACATCTACATTGAAGCAGCTAGCAACTTCCAATAACACGAAGAGCTTTTCCAGTTTTGCAACCAATAAATAACTTTAAAATAGCTCTATAAACTAAGCTATAACACCTAGTAAAACATCTCCCTCCTAGTCTAAATAATTCACTTTTCAATAAAATAAAAATACACAATAATCAAGCAGTTTAATTTAAAAATAAACAGTAAAACCATAAGCAGCAGCATCATCTTCAGTTGCAACCAAAACATAAGTTAATAGCATATCTGCATAAAAGTCGCCCTAAACTCAAAAAGCAAATTTAAAATCAAATAAACCAGAAATAAAACCTAATAATTCTAGCTTGCCAATTTCTTCTTAGTAAACTTAACCCAAAACAAATAATAAAATAGCTTAATCGAATTTAAATCAAATAAGTAATACCTAAATAGAAGAAGATTAAACTCAGCAAGCAGAATTTGAAAAGATGAAATATTCTTTAAGAATTTTATTATGCTGTACTCTAAATCATTTTATATTGCTTGATGATTAAAATATAAAGCTCACTGAATTCTAAAAATATTTAAGATCTAAGTATTAAAATCAAGATTTTAACAACGATGTACTACAAAAAAATTTCTTTTTATGGCAGAGAGAAATAGAAGAAGAATCTTTGAAAGCTTAAATAGATCAAATTTTCAAAAATTATCTGCCAAAGATCTAAGAATTCGATATATCTTTTTTTTGATATTAAAATGCATTAAGATAAAAGCAACATAATTAATTAATTAATAAGAATATATTTTAATAATTAAATTTAAATCTAAATAAATATTTCTATGTAAATACAGTTTCGAAAATCAAACTAACTAATATTAATTTTAAATCAAATAATTTATTTTATTTTATTAGTTCTTAAATAATGAAGTATTATCTATCTAATTTTTATTCTAGTTTTACACCAAAATTAAATACTTCTTTAATAATGAAGTTTTTAAAGAAGAACTGGAACAGCTAGCTATATATATAAATATACACACCAAATTGCAAAATATCTATCCCCTTCTCCTCCCTTTTTAATTTTTTTAATTTTAAGGTGGATATAATAAATATAAATTTAATGATAGAGAGAGACCTTAAAGATATTTTAAATTTACTTTTGTAAATTTTCTTATAGGAGAAGCATTCTTATAGTAACAAATTTATTCTTTTTATTAAAATTAATTTTTTTTAAAAGTAGATTAAATATGCATAATAAATTAAATTAAATTTCAATAAATAAATCTCAATTCACTATTTAAAAAAATAATAATAATAAATGATACAATAACCATTTCAAAGATATAGAAGAAGTAAATATTTATTTTCTATTCATGTTGTTTAAATTTGTTTTTTTTAATAAAAAAATTTTTTGAACTCCTTTAAACACATTAGATTATCTATATTGCTCTGGCGAATGTGTATTTGATGAATTAATATTATTATTACTAATTTATATATATATTTAATTTTCAAGTTATTTACATTTAAATGGGATCAGGTGTTTTCACCTTAGTACAGCCGATAACAAAATTTATAAGGATAAAAGTTTATTTATATTTTCATTTTTAATAATAAATAACAAATAAGCATTTTATTTATTTTTTATGATAGAAAGAATATGATAAAATTTATAAAAAAGGTTGTCGACACTGGGACTTCCCAAGCGGTCCCCCACCTTAGTACTAACCCAGCCTTAAGGCGCTTAACTTCGGAGTTCGAATGGGATCCGGTGTTTTCACCTTAGTATGGCCGACAACAAAATTAATAAAATAAATGTGAATAAATACATTTAATAAGTAGTCTATTATTCAAATAAAATATAATAAATAAATAAATAAATAAATAAATAAATCTATTTATTTTTTACATATAAAATTAATTTAAAAACAAAAAGGTTGTCGACACTGGGACTTCCCAAGCGGTCCCCCACCTTAGTACTAACCCAGCCTTAAGGCGCTTAACTTCGGAGTTCGAATGGGATCCGGTGTTTTCACCTTAGTATGGCCGACAACAAAATTAATAAAATAAATGTGAATAAATACATTTAATAGGTAGTCTATGATTATAACAATATTTTTTAAATATAATAACTAAATAAATAAATCTATTTATTTTTCATAGATAAAATTAATTTTAAAAAACAAAAAGGTTGTCGACACTGGGACTTCCCAAGCGGTCCCCCACCTTAGTACTAACCCAGCCTTAAGGCGCTTAACTTCGGAGTTCGAATGGGATCCGGTGTTTTCACCTTAGTATGGCCGACAACAAAATTAATAAAAATAAAGTGAATTAGTAAATTTATAATTTATTACAATAATATTATTTAACTTAAATGAACTTATTATACTAGATTAAAATCAATTTTTAAAAAATAAAAAGGTTGTCGACACTGGGACTTCCCAAGCGGTCCCCCACCTTAGTACTAACCCAGCCTTAAGGCGCTTAACTTCGGAGTTCGAATGGGATCCGGTGTTTTCACCTTAGTATGGCCGACAACAAAATTAATAAAATAAATGTGAATAAATACATTTAATAGGTAGTCTATGATCATAACAATATTTAATAAATATAATAACTGAATAAATAAATCTATTTATTTTTCATAGATAAAATTAATTTAAAAAAGCAAAAAGGTTGTCGACACTGGGACTTCCCAAGCGGTCCCCCACCTTAGTACTAACCCAGCCTTAAGGCGCTTAACTTCGGAGTTCGAATGGGATCCGGTGTTTTCACCTTAGTATGGCCGACAACAAAATTAATAAATATCTTCTTATATTTATTATCTCTATATTCAAATATAAAGAAAAATTAGGATTAATAATTCTAATATTAAAAATAAATTCTAGTTTAAATTAAAAAATGTATTTATATGATTTTGCTACTTTGACAAATTCTAATAAAAATTAGATGATAAATAAAAAAAATAATTTTTAATAAAAAAATTATTGATTAAATTGTGTTAGTTTTAGAATTATCTAAATCAATTATAATTTTATCTAAATAATATTTTTAAAATTAAAATAAATAATATTGTAAAAGGCAGATATTTAAATAAATTAATATCAATAGGATAAAATCAATTTATATAGTCATATTAAAATTCTTTTTTAATTTTTACAGTTTATTTAACTTATAAACTAGATATAAGCATTCAATCATATTTATTAATTGAGGCTTTTTCTATTTCTTTAAATTAAAACACCTTAATTTCCAAAAATGCCAAAAATATTGAAATAAATTGTAATAACTGATTAGAAGGTATTTATGGCATCTCAACACAAGCTAAGCTGTATATGGAAGTAAATTTTTTTACTTAATTGTATGCAGCAATCTCTTATTTTTATGCAAATAAAATATTTTAAATAATCCTTTCTTTGTTTGAGAGAAATATAAAATCCATTTGGAACTATTTTTTTAATACCACTTACAATTCAACAGTAATGTTATAGTGATGCGCCTTATTAAATTAAATTTCAAGCCAAAATTACAATCCGATAAGGAATTAATAAAAGATAATTATATATTAATTTATTATTTTTAATTATTTGATCATAATAGACAAATTTATTAGCCCTGATTTGTTAATTTGGATGATAAGATATTAATTTCCATATAAGGTATTTTTTTTCTATTAACTAAATTCTTACTTGTATATTATTTAAGTGCTTCAGACAAATAATTAATTTTTAATTATAATATAATCATTAATTTTATAATAAATATAAATTGTATAATTTATTAAAACGACAGCTAAAACAAAATGAATCAAATTTAATAGAATTTTGTTAAAAATAATAAAACTTTATTGATATTTAATTGTCTAAATGCAGTTATAGCTTTAGCAGGCTGTATACTTGCAATTGTTTCGTCAAAACATATATCAGATTTACAGATTTAAACAGGCATACAAACTGCTATTATAATCTTAAGTTCTCTGATAATTGTAGTAGCTTTAATCAATTCTTTAATATGGTTTTATACCAGAAATTAAAGATGGTAAAGAATAGCTATAATTATATTGCTGATGATATCTATAGGTGGTATTGGAGGAATAATAGTAGGAAATCTTATTATTACTAATATGCAACAGTTTTGTGGTAAAATATTTTTAAATTATTTAAAAAATAATTAATTAATTATTTTATTATAAGGATATTATATTCAGCATAATTATCCATATGATGGTTATGATATAAAGACAAATTTAGATGACGCTATTTCTAGTTGCTCAAAATTAGAAATTACTGGCTATTCAACTGAGGAAGTAGTTAAGTAATTAAGTATAATATATATAATAAAATCTTGTAAAACTTATGATTTTGGAACTGGAGCTAATTGCTTATCTCTTGATTCTTTAGTAGTTGAGAATTGGAGCAGCTTATATACAAACTAAATAGTAAGTTTAGCTCTTTTAGGCGTGTATTATCTGGCTAACATTGTCTTTACAGCATTAATTCACAAAAAATTAAAAGAAATTACAAATTAAAATGGGTTTTTACAAAATAATTATTGAGATAAATTAAAATTTAATGTGTACAAATTTTTTTGTTTTTATATTATAAATTGCCAAGCTTTTTTCATTTTAATCACAATTAGAAAGAGTATAAAATTATGTTTAAAAAAATAAAAGATGTTACTTATTTTCATTTTATAATTGTTAATAAATTGTTTTATAAAAAACAATATATTTTATTATTAATTAAATCAGCAAACCTTAATCTAAAAATTTGTTCTTTTAATTGGAATAAATTAATAAAATTAGGTTTTTAATTTAAATTCTCATAATAAATTACAATTTTATATAATAAATAAATAAATGGGATTGATTTTAGTAAAAAAATATTAAATTTTTATACTTTTGAACAAAACATAAGTCAATTTTTTATATTTGGTCTGTTATTAATATTTGGAGGTAGTGTTGTTTATTTATTTATTTATATATTTACTATTTTTTTTTATTTTATAAAAACTTTTGTTACAAAAATAAATCAAAGCTAATTTTATTTAGTCTATTTGATCTTTTTAAATTTATCATTTTCTAATCAGAATTCTAATTTGATCAGAAATTAGTATTAAAAGATAATTTTATTATTTAATTTTTTAATAAGTCAGTCAGAATAGACAAATTTATCAGCCCTGATTTGCTAATTTGGATGATAAGATAGATACTAATATTTATAAAAAACTATTTACTATTTAATGTCTTGTTTATTAGTTTAAATAATTCAAGGAAATTTAAATATTTAATAATAAAATAACAATAATTTTAAATAAAACAAATTTTATGATCTATTAAAACAACAACTAAAACAAAACGCATCAAAATTAATAGAATTTGATTAAAAATAATAAAATTTTATTGATATTTTATTGCTTAAATATAATTATAGCTATAACAGGTTGTATACTTGCTATTGTTTCATCATAACATATATCAGATTTACAGATAGAAAAAGGCATACAAACTGCTATAATAATCTTAAGTTCTCTCATAATTATAATAAGTTTGATTAATTCTTTAATCTGGTTTTATTCTAAAAGTTAAAGATGGCAAAGAATAGTAATAGCTATATTGCTGATGATATCTATAGGTGGGGTTGGAGGAACAATAGTAGGAAATCTTATTATTACTAGTATGCAACAGTTTTGTGGTAAAATATTTACAAATTTATCAAAAAAAATAATTAATGAGAATTTTATTTTATTTTAAGGATATTATATTCAACATGATTATCCATATGATGGCTTCGATATAAAGACATATTTAGGTAACGCTATTTCTAGTTGTTCATAATTAGAAAATACTGGCTTTTCAACAGAGGAAGTAGTTAAATAGTTAAGTTTAATATATATAATATAATCTTGCAAAACTTATAATTTTGGAACTGGAGATAATTGTTTATCTCTTGATTCCTTAGTAGTTGAGAATTGGAGCAGTTTATATACAAATTAGATAGTGAGTTTAGTACTTTTAGGCGTATATTATCTGGCTAATATAGTCTTTACTGTTTTAATAGAAAAAAAGTTAAAAGAAATTACAAGTTAAAAAGAAATTTAACTAAATCAATTTTGAACTAAACAAAATTTAATATGTAAAATTTTCATATTTTTATGTTAAGTAGCAATTTCTTAAATAGACAATTTAAAAATTTTAAAACGAATGCAATATTTTTCATTTTATTTTTGAAAAAACCATTTTAATAAGTCATAATCAGTCTGAAATCAGGGAGGGGAATTTTTATCATAAAAATAATGAGTTTTATAGAAGGATTTTAAAAAATTTTTTTCTAATAACTAAATTCTTTCTTGTATATTATTTAAGTGCTTAAGACAAATAATTAATTTTTAATAATAATATAATCACTAATTTTATAATAAATATAAATTGTATAATTTATTAAAACAACAGCTAAAACAAAATGAATCAAATTTAATAGAATTTTGTTAAAAATAATAAAAATTATTGATATTTAATTGTTTAAATATAGTTATAGCTTTAGCAGGTTGTATACTTGCAATTGTTTCATCAAAACATATATCAGATTTACAGATTTAAACAGGCATACAAACTGCTATTATAATCTTAAGTTCTCTGATAATTTTAGTAGCTTTAATCAATTCTTTAATATGGTTTTATACCAGAAATTAAAGATGGTAAAGAATAGCTATAATTATATTGCTGATGATATCTATATGTGGTATTGGAGGAATAATAGTAGGAAATATTATTATTACTAATATGCAACAGTTTTGTGGTAAAACATTTATAAATTTATTAAAAAAATAATTAATTAATTATTTTATTATAAGGATATTATATTCAGCATAATTATCCATATGATGATTATGATATAAAGACAAGTTTAGATGATGCTATTTCTAGTTGCTCAAAATTAGAAATTAATGGCTATTCAACTGATGAAGTAGTTAAGTAATTAAGTATAATATTTATAATAAAATCTTTTAAAACTTATGATTTTGGAACTGGAGCTAATTGCCTATCCCTTGATTCTTTAGTAGTTGAGAATTGGAGCAGTTTATATACAAACTAAATAGTAAGTTTAGCACTTTTAGGCGTGTATTATTTGGCTAACATTATCTTTACAGCATTAATTCACAAAAAATTAAAAGAAATTACAAATTAAAATGGGTTTTTACAAAATAATTATTGAGATAAATTAAAATTTAATGTGTAAAAAATTTTTTATTTTTATAATATAAATTGCAAAGCTTTTTTCATTTTAATCACAATTAGAAAGAGTATAAAATTATGTTTAAAAAAAATAAAAGATGTTACTTATTTTGATTTTATAATTGTTAATAAATTGTTTTATAAAAGACAATAGATTTTATTATAAATTAAATCAGCAAACCTTAATCTATAAGCTTGTCCTTTTAATTTGGAATAAATTAAAAAAATGAGGTTTTTAATTTAAATATTACATTTTTATGTAATATGAAGAAAGATAATGAATAACAAATTAAAATTATTTAATGTAAGGATTCTCTGTAAATTCTTTTAATGCGTAAGGGATTGATTTTAGTAAAAAAATATATAATTTGTATACTTTTGAACAAAACACAAAAGTAAAATTAATATTTTAAAAGATGTAACAAATATAGTAATAATAATAATAATTACCGTAATTTTCATTAATTAAGGCCTTTCTCCCCCCAAAGTTTTTTGAAAAAAAATGGCCTTAATTCGGTATATATGTCAATTTTTTATATTTGGAAAAAGGTGTCTATCATTGATATTTACAGGTAGCGTTGTTTATTTATATAATTACCAATTTTTTTTATTTTATAAAAACTTTTGTAACAAAAATCAATCAAATGAACTAATTTTATTTAGTCTATTTGATTTTTTACATTAAAAGATAATTTTACTCTTTAATTTGTTAATCAGCCAGGATAGACAAATTTATCAACCCTGATTAGTTAGTTAATTTGGATGATCATATACTAATATTATAAAAAACTATTTACTATTTAATGTCCTGTGTATTAGTTTAAATAATCAACGAAATTTTAATATTTAATAATAAAATAAACAATAATTTTAAATAAAACAAATTTTATGATCTATTAAAACTACAACTTAAGCAAAACGCATCAAAATTAATAGAATTTGATTAAAAATAATAAAATTTTATTGATATTTTATTGCTTAAATGTTATTATAGCTTTAACAGGCTGTATAATTGCTATTGTTTCATCAAAACATATATCAGATTTACAGATAGAAAAGGGCATGCAAACAGCTATCATAATCTTAAGTTCTCTCATAGTTATAATAAGTTTGATCAATTCTTTAATCTGGTTTTATTCTAAAAGTTAAAGATGGCAAAGAATAGTAATAGCTATATTGCTGATGATATCTATAGGCGGGACTGGGGGAACAATAGCAGGAAATCTTATTATCACTAGTATGCAACAGTTTTGTGGTAAAATATTTACAAATTTATCAAAAAAATAATTAATGAAAATTTTATTTTTTATAAGGATATTATATTCAACATAATTATCCATATGATGGTTATAATATAAAGACATATTTAGGTAAATCTATTTCTAGTTGTTCATAATTAGAAAATAATGACTTTTCAACTGAGGAAGTAATTAAATAGTTTAGTTTATTATATATAATATAATCTTGTAATACTTATAATTTTGGAACTGGAGATAATTGTTTATCTCTTGATTCCTTAGTTGTTGAGAATTGGAGCAGTTTATATACAAACTAAATAGTAAGTTTAGTACTTTTAGGCGTATATTATCTGGCCAACATAGTCTTTACTGCTTTAATAGAAAAAAAGTTAAAATAAATTACAAGTTAATAAGATATTTAACTAAATCAATTTTGAACTAAACAAAATTTAATATGTAAAATTTTCATATTTTTATTTAATATTTAATCAAAAAACTAATAAATCTACTACCCTAATTCATCCATCTATGGTATTAATATATTTATCGATATGCAATGTCAATCAAACATCAAACATACGATTTATATTTAGATGAGTTTATCATAACTTTAATTCATATATTCCTAATTATAAAATAAATTTATCATATTTTTTATTCATTTTAAAATAAAATAAAAGTTTTGAGTTTTAAATTTAGTTTTTATTTTCAATTTTTTTTTTTGAGGAAATTACTTTTTTTAAAAATTTTTACTAACTTTTGTAGATAGATAGATTAAAAAATGTTTATTTTATTTATTACTGAAATGAATGAATGAACAATCAAACCCCATTAAATTTTATTATTAACCAAAGAAAGATATGTTTTTTAAAATATTAAAGAATTAATAATTATATTACGTATAATAAGTAATTTGTCAATGAAAAATCTAGTGACTGGTTTGAATTTCACAATTAAATATAATAATAAATAAATATTTTATAAAAAAGTTTATAATAGATTTAAAAATCAATCATACAAATGTTTATTTACATTTTAATTCTTGATGATAACTTACTTACCTGTCAATCTGTATTTAAATTTAATTTATTTTCTGAATTTTTGAAGTAAGAATTTTTAAATTAATGGACAAATTATTTATTTATTTTTGATTAATTTTAGAAAAAAGAATGTTTTCACAATTAACTCTAATTAAATTAAAAATCTATTATAAATATTTTCATCCAAGGAAAACATTATTATAAAATAAAGTCCTTTCTAAATAAAGCGATGTCATATCACTATATATTAAAAATATATTTAGCTTTTTAAAGATTTGCAATTAATTTTACATTTTAGGTTTAATTTTCAAATAAAATAAAATAAACCAAACTAAACTATCTTTTTATTTTTGTTTGCTTTTATAATAACTTATTCTTTGATTGATATTTTGATAATATATATTTATATTTTATTTTTGAAAATTACCATAAATTATTGTGTTTATTTTATTTATTTATTTATTTATTAATTTAAAAATGGAAATAAGAACATGTTAGAAAAATTAGTTATTTATACACAATTGTAATTATAATATATAATTTTTATTATTTTATAATATTTAATCTTTTTTGAGAGTTAATAATTTAGTCTGCTATAAATATATTCTTTTTAGTATTAATTTTCCTGTAAAAACAGTTCAATCGTCTTCATCTTCATCGTTATCTTACTCTTGCACATTTTCTTCCATTATATTTTCGAAATTAATTCCATACTCTTCTTCGTTATTTTCACTAAAAAACAAACAAAATAAAATAAAAATTAATTTTTAATTTAAAGACAATTTTTTTACTTTTCGACATCCATTGCTTCGTCTTCATCTTCCTCTTCTTCTATTTATTCAATATCTTTGTTTTCATCCTTTTTGTCTTTTTTCGATTTTTTCTCTTCTAATTATTTTTAATTATTTATTAAATATGTAAAAAATTAAAATTTATTTATTTATTATTCTTACTTGCTCCTCCAGCTGGCTTCTTTTTGTCTACTTTTGGACCAGCTCCATTTGTAACTTTGTGTCTTTTTGGCATGAACATTTGAGTTTTCTCCATGTCACTTTCATCAAGTAGCAACTCCATAACTTCCTAAGGTTTCCATATATCTGCCTTGAATGCACCTCCAGAATAAACTGTAGATTGAACCATTTACTTTTATTGGGCTCTCTTTAAAATTCTTTCTTCAATTGTGCCTTTAGTTACCAATCTATACACAAGAACTTCTTTTGTTTAACCTTTTTATTTGAAATTTTATTAAAATAAATCTATAAGATCACATAATAATTCATTAGTTACCAATTCTGTGAGCACGATCCATAGCTTGGGCATCCATGGTAGGATTCCAATCGTTATCATAGAAGATTACAACATCTGCTGCAGTTAAAGTAACACCCAAACCACCAGCTCTTGTACTGAGCAAGAAGGCAAAGGTTTTGTCACTTGTCTAAAATTCATTGACCATATCTCTTCTATCAGATATATTGCAAGAACCATCAAGTCTGAAGAATTTATATTTCTTTCTGGTCATAAAATCTTCTAAAATATCTATCATTCTTGTCATTTAGCAGAAAATAAGCACTCTATGTCCTTCTCTTTTCAACTTGGTTAACAACTATTTTTGTTTATTTTTTTTAACTTTAAAATAAAAGGAATATTTTAAAAATCTATATTTACAGCATCCAAATATTTGAGCTTTGCACTATCAGCAACTAAACTTGCGAAATCAACAACTTCTATATTAGAAAAGCTTTCTTAATTGTTAAAGTTTAACATTCCTTCTTTGAAAACCTAATAATTTATTTTATAAATATTTATTATTGATTGAAATTACTTCAAAATTCTATTTACTGATAAATCGACTAAAGACCTTCCATTAGTTGGTGCTTACTAAATTTCGGTAGAATAAGGAAGTTTTTAGAAAACTGCTCCGTTTGCTCTTGCAATAAATCTTCCTATTCTTGACTCTTCCATGTTGAAACGATAAGCCTAGAAACTAGAGGAGGAGCATATGAGATTGATTGGGGGAGAAATTGCTCTCTTTATGATGCAGTACAATTTTACAGGTTAAAGACAGTTGTGAGCATCTTAACAAATCTGTGTCCACTTCTTAAGGAATTTATTGTTTTATTTTAAAAGAATGCCATCATGAGGCTGAATAGAATTAAGACTAGCAATTTGATCGATAGTGGTGTTTACTCTAAGTAAGTTGAATGACTAAACATAGTTATCATATTTAGAATCGTCTTATCCATACAAAATATTTTTTGACCACCAAAGATTTTTACTTTCGTACTTGTCTCCAGCAGCATTAACCATTTTAAAAGTCTTTTATTAAGTATGAAGAACGTGAGCCAAAACCAAATAAAGGTAGAAACTATCAGTTCTTGAATATATTTCCATAATATTTATAGGTAAATCTAGCAATCTAATAAAGCTGAAAATAGAGTTCTTATTGCTGAAAAGATCTTCTCTCACATTCTTAGCACTTAAAAAACCTAATTTTCTGTGAATGAATTCATTCTTTGTTTCTTCCCTCATGACTTCATCATAGTACAATTTAGGTAAATGATAGAAAATAGGATTGCTAATATTTGATTAAACTTATTTTATTTCTCCCATCTTAGCAGGCAAGTGTCCAGTGTAATAATAAATATTCTAAAAAACAAATGAGCTTCTGCATGGTCTTCTTTCGAACAATTCTGGATGATTACAAACTTTTCTAAATTGCATGACTAAATTCATCAAGTTATCTACCTTTGATTTTTTATTAAAACATTTATTTTTACTTTAGTTAAACCTTAACAATTTTATTTATCAAATTTATTTTGTTTTTCATTAAACAAAAAACAATCAATTTTTATTTATTAAAAAAAGAAATTTCTTATAAAAATTAATTTTTGTTTGCTTATTTATTTATTGTTTGTTTAAAGTAATTTTTAATTAAGATTTAAAAATGAGTAAATTTAGAAATTGTTTATGAGTTAGATAAAATTTAGATGATAAAGTTAATAAGAAATATACTTTTTATTTAGATTCAAACATCTTGAAGAAATCTTTAAGAGAAAGCTTTGATTTAATGTGGTCATAGAATTTTTGTTATCTTTTTGTCATTTCACACATAATTTAGAATTCTTTCTTAGCACCTAATTCGTGCTCAACATCTTTTTTAACTCTACGAAGCATAAATGGTTTTAAAATAGCATGGAGACGTTGTAATTAATGTTAATTTAGTTGAGATTTATCTTGAGAAGATGCTTCAATATCTTTTGAGAACCATTCTTAGAATTGGTCATGAGAGTCGAATAATTTAGGCATAATAAAATGCAATAAAGCCCACAATTCTGCCATAGTATTTTAAATAGGTGTACCAGTTAATAGTAATTTATTTCTAGAATTAAAAGATAATAAAGTCTTCCATCTCATAGAGTTGATGTTCTTAATAGCCTGAGCTTCATCCAAAATCATATATTACCACTTAATTCTTTAAAATGTTTTTTCATCACTAACTACTAACTAATAACTTGTAATAACTAAGTGGAAAGGAGAACTCTTCAAGCCTAAATTCTTGGCTGAAAAATATTTTCTAATCATTTTTCTTTACTTCAAACTACCCCAATAAGGAAGAACCTTTAATGCAGGGAAGAATTTCTTTAATTCTTGCTACCAATTATCTATTAAAATTCAAGTAAAATAAGTTAATTTATTCATGAAAAAAAAAAAAATTTTTTCTTTAGATAAAAATTTTAAATGAAAGATTTAGTTTAAAAAATAATTCAAAATATTTGATTCTTTTTAAAATTTGTTTCAAATAAATTTTATTTAATAAATTAAAAATAATTGTTTTTTTTTGACAATTTTTCATCATAAAATAATTTAGTAAATTTAATTATAATTTCATTATTAATCCTCTTAATAATTTTATTCTTAGTAAAATGTACTTAGTTAGATATTCATTCGGTATTTACTCTCATAAATAATTGTAATTTATACTTAAATTTTTTACTTTGAATAAATTTGAATAATTCAATGAAATTAATTTATTCTTAAAATTTTGATTATTTAAATTCTTTTTTTACATCATTAAATTTATTAAGATAATATTTTATTAAATTTATTAAGATAATATTTTATTAAATTTATTAAGATAATATTTTATTAAATTTATTAAGATAATATTTTATTAAATTTATTTACATAATGTAGAAGAAGGAGCTATAACTAAGAAAGGACCCCAAATATTCTTAGTACCAGCAATATGTGTGATAAGCGAAATCGCTTGAATTGTCTTACCGAGACCCATTTCATCAGCTAAAATACCATTAATACCTTATTCATATAAGTTATCTAACCATCTAAGACCCTTGAGCTAATATTCTTTTAGTGTGCCTTAAAAGTGCTCTGGAGGTTTAACTAAGCTGCTTTAAGTTTCAGGTTCGACTTGAGAAAAGTCAAGCTTTGCAGCTTCTTATAATTCTTAAACTGTGGTCCTTTTTTGCTCTGTTAAAACTATCCTATCTTCTTCGTTACCAACTGTTTATTGCATAGATTAAATAATTTAGATTTATTATTTGATCTAAATATATTAATTATTAAAATTACTTTGATGTCTTTCATGAGCTGTTTCTTGATCAAACATTATCAGTTCTTTTCTTCTGTCATTAATTAAAGCTGAAACCTCTTAAGCAGCCTCACTTTCATCTATATCAATCTTTTAACCTTTGAAAAGAAGAGGATCATATCTATTGTCTCCTTCAGGCATAGGAATAGCTTCTAATGCAGCATTTGTTTTATCATTCATGGCAATACCTAGCTTCTAGGCCATAAAGTGAGCATATAGATCTGATTGTTTCATTAAAAATTCTAATCTTTTCTTTTATAATAAACTTTCTTTTTCTTCTTCTTCTCTTCTTCTTAATTCTGCCTCCAACTTTTCTTTTCTTCTCTTTATTTCATTTAATTCTCTTTCTCTCTTTCTCCAGTAGCTTACCATTTCTCTATGCATTTTTTTACTTCTCAAAGCCCAATCTTTCTAAGTTCTCTAACTTTTACCGTATTTCTTTCTTACTTCCTTTGAACATAAAATAGCAAATTTTCTGCTATTTTACTCATAATCCTATCTAGCCCTATAAATAAAATTCAAATTTAATACAAAAAAATAATTTAAAATTAATTTTTAATTGTTTATTTATTTATTAAAGAATAATAAAAATTTAAAGGAAATATTATTTACTATTAAGCAAATCTATATATTTTGAGAACATTTCTCACAACCTATTGCCATGCCTTTTTGAATAAGAGTCTTTGATACTTTTCCCTATCTTCAGCAGACATTTTATTAAGTTTTTCAAGTTTTCTCTTTTTTTGAATGTCTCTTTCTTGAGGATTGTTAGTAGAGAGATTTATTTCATTCCAATCAGCATAGCTCTCATTTTGAAGCATCTTCATTTTTAAAGGAGAGGTTGTGGGTTCAGGTTAGTTACCTTCATTGACATTTTTTTTAGGTTTCATTTAAAGTTATTATTTATTAACTCCTATTCTTGGAATAATAGGCTTGCTTAAAAGCTAATTATTTTTTAAAATATTCATTTATCTTTAAATTTATTTGCCTATTAAAAATTTTATTACTCTATTAAACGGATCAGATTAGTCATTGTATACTGCATGATATTAAGGCACCAAAGCTTTCTTAGCTTCATCAAAATTACTTCCACAAAAAGGCATATTCTATGGATTGAATCTATATCTTTTTATTTTCCTGAAATCAGAGGGCTATTTATTTATTTATTTATTGTTTTAAGAATTTTAATTGAAAAAAATGGTAAATTTTGGAAGTTAATTAGTTACTTTGTATCCAATAACTTATTAAGTGCGTGTTTAGAGCTTGTCTTTTGTTACTTTAAATTTTTTGAAAATATGATTTTCGATAAAATCATCATGACGAGGGCTTTCAATAGCCTGGGTTAATCTCATAAGTTAGTGTTCAATTAATTTAGAGTTTTTAGAACTTTACAGTTTCATGCTTTCTTTTATAATTTATTCTAAAGTTTAAACATTTGAGGAAGAAGACACCTAAGATGAAGTGGAAGAAACTCCCGTACTCAAATTATTATTACCATTCTACCAATTTTATATTTTTTCTGCATTTTAATTATTCTGATTAACAGTCTTTACATAATTTTTAAATAAGTTCCTATTTAATTTAAAAATAAATATTTTATTTGTCATTCAAAATATAAATAAGCAGTTTTAAATAAAAATTTATTCATTTTTCTAAAAATTATTTTCAAAAGCAATATTTTTAAAATATCGAAATATTTATCTTGATTTAATGTTATATTTTATTATTAGTTAATTGATTTAAATTTAATAATTTAGTTAATGCCAAATTCATTGAAAAAGTTGTTTTTAATTAAATTTAAATGTTTAACTGCAAATTATCAAATCATTTTAAATAAAATAATTGTTTAAAAAATATTGGTTCATTTTTAAGTTTTTTTAATTCATTTTTTTCAATCTATACTATTTTTAATTTATATTTTAGGTATTTTTAAAATAAATATTTGTACTATTTTAATATAATGATAAGTTATTTTTTATATTTTTTAAAAGCTATTTTTATCATTTTAGACTTTTTCAAAAGCTCTTTTCAAAGATTTTATTAACTTAAAATATTTATTGAAACATTTTTTTAAGTTATTTAAAATAATTAACAGAAAAATGAGTGAATAAATAAATGATAATGCAGGCTAATTTATTATTAAGAAAAATTACTTTCTTTTGTTTTTTAAGAAGGCTTTTTTAGATTCCAAAAATGTACTGCTGCTATGAGCGTTATGAATTCTTTGTTTTACGATATCCAGTTCCTTGTCGATGATAGAAGATTGCAATCTTTATTTAGAAAAAATAAGAATATTAGAATAAGTAGGCGGGAAAGGAGAGAAAGTTAATGTGAATGTATGTAAAAATAAAATAAATATATTGATTTGTTTATTTGTTTATTTATTTATTTTTATATCTTTATTTATTGATTAATAGGATATTCTACAGCGCGAATTGTTGCGAAGTGCAAAAAATATAAGTTTTCTTTGTAAAAGCATATAAATAAGCAGCAAAGCTAGCAATTAATAAATTTTTCAATTATATTTAAATCGTTTTGTTGCTTTTTATATTTGGAGCGAAAAGGTTCAACAAAAAATTGTGTTTATTTTAGCTGCTTTAAGGTTATTTTTCTGGGTTTGAGACTAAATGTATTAAGAAAGTCCATTTATAGGCAAATTTTCTGTTGTTTGGACTTACAATTTATCAATTTGTTCTTCTATGAGCTGATTATATTTTTGATTGGCAAGATCAGATTGGCGCAATTAGTTCTCTGGATCGAAGTCGAAGTTATAGGAATCCTCATCATTCATCTCATCATCACTGATCTCAAAATTTATTTTCATTTCCTGTCTCCACTGATCTATCTTTCTAAGATTTTCGTCGTATTTTTTATTTTGCTTCTGTTTATAATTTTTAAAAAAGCTATCTTAAAATAATTGTCGAGTTGATCGATTAGCAATAATTTTTTCATAAAAGCGTGTATAAAAATGGCAACTAAGTCGTCTTTTTGCACCTAACATAAATTAAATCCAATATAATAAGTGCTTATTAGCGTGCTTAGGTGCTTTTGATCGATTTTTACATAAAAATACAAAATTAGAAGCTAAGAAATTACTTCTGATTCGGTTTTCATAGTCTCTAGTATCTTCTTGATAGAGTCTTTATAAGAATCTTGATTCTTTGAGAGATTTGTTGAATTCTGTTCATAGGAAATATCAGAATTATTCTTGTAATTGCGTATGGAGCTGTTCAGCCCCTGCCCATCGTGTTCGGTGCTGTTCATTTGCTTTTAAACTTATTCCTAAATTTTTTTTAATTAGCTACCTATTTATTTTTTTCTTCTAAAAATTTTTGTGAAATAAGAAAGAAACAAATTTCCTTCAGCTCCATAATATATTTAATAAAAACAAATATAAATAAAATTCACACAACTCCAAGCTTTTCTAAAACTAACAAACAAACAATCAAAAAAATAATAAATAAATAAACAAAAAAACAAACAACCCTTCATCCAAAGCATTTAATTAAGTTAACAATCACTTAATTAAATATTGAATAATCTCTCTTTATGAAAGCATATTAATAAACAATAAAAAAAATGAAAAAAGGAATCAATCGATCAATCGTCTGTCTAACAAAATAAACCTAAAAATTTCGATAGATAGAAAGTCTATTTATTTAATTCTTTTTTCTTGTTATTGATGACTTTCTTTTCATTTTATTTGATTAATTTTCTCTTCAATAGACAAAAAAAAAATAAAATTTTGGTATTATAAAAATATCAAACAAATTCCATTATTGTTTGTATAATTAATTATTATTCTACATTCTAAATAGATAGATAGATTAATCATCAATCTTCATTTTATTATTACAACCTGAAGATAGATATGTTTATTTATCTTAATGCACTCACAGCACATACTTATTATCTTTCTGTTTTCATTTTTTTAAATGCGCAACAATATAAATGAATAACAAAGAAACAAATAGATTTTTGATTATTTGATTCATATAATTGTTTGTTTTTAATTTTTTGTTTGATTTTTCAATAGCACAAAAATTTAATTTTTAGAGTGATTCCCATTTTTGTTTTTTTGAATAATAATGCGTATTTAATTTCTTTTAAATTATTTATTCAATTATATGTAGTCTGTCTCCCTCCCTCCCTACTTCCATTCTTGTTTATTTAATATATTTATTTGTTCTTCTCCCATTTTATAAACCTTTCAAATTAGATTTTAAATAAAATTATTTGTTTTTTATAAATGTGGAATTATAAATTAAAATATAAGAAAGATTTAAATAAATTTAAACGCTATTTATTTATATTTCTAAAATTAAGAATTGTAAAATTAAATCAAAATTTTTAAATAGATTTAAATTTTAATTATTTATTATAAAAATTTTAATTAATTTAAAAATATTTTTTATAAAATTGTTAAAATAATTAATAATTTAACTGAGTAAATTTGTTTTTTTTTTTTGCTTGTGAGTGAAAATAATTATTTATAATGCATTTATTTATTGATAAATTTTGATTGATTTTAAGATAGATAAATACTTTCTTGAATTGATAAATAGATATCTTATAGCGAATTATTTATTTATTTGTTTGTTTGATTATTTTTGCATATCTTAATTATGAATTTAGCAAGGAGATTTTAGTATTTGAAAAGGTTGAATCAACCAAATCTGTTTGTTTAAAGAAATATCGCCCAGTTTTCTGGCTTTAAGGAAACTTTTACCAATTTAGTTAGAGGTAAAAAGGAAGAAGATGAAGAACAAGAAAAAGAAATAGTTATTAGTTAATAGGAATATAAATTGTTGAATCTAAACAGCACCTCTTCAATCAAAAATTCTTATTTATAATACAAAAAGCACAGTAAAGCATCAATTAATGACTTAATTATTTATTTAAATTATTTTGATTATTAATAAATAGTTAGCTTTTATCATCCTAATGTCTACAAAGGCAAAGATGTAAAAAAAATTAATCATTTATTTGCAAATAGCAGCCAAAAAAAGACTTAATCATGAAATTATTTTTAGAGTTAAGAAAAATTGAAAATGTTGAATGAAGTTTATATGAAGATTATTTAATAGAGAATTTAAAATTATGATTTGCTTAATGAAGAAGATAAATTAGGTAAATTAGGATTATTTGTCCATTTTTTAATAAAAAAGCAAATACTTATTAGTCCTACTTTAACTCATATTATAAAACTAGAATTGGAAATGCTAGAAAAATCTAATTTTGGTATCATAAGCTTCGAATCTAAGACCGTCACAGATTAACTTATTGAATATGGTTAAAACTTTTTATTATTTTAATATACCAAAAAAACTAAAAAAATCTCCAATAAATAGATGATTAAAGATACGAATGGGAGCCACATGAGCCAAAAAACTATGTTTTATTTTTATTTTCTGCCTGGATCTTTTTAGGAGTTGTAAGCTTCTCTATGGAGAGATGGTGAAAAATATTATTAAAATATTTAAGATAGATTATAAATAAACCTACTATATTAAAAATTATATAAATGTTAGTAATTTATTTTTATATCAGTGGAACTCTCAAAAATTTAATTTAAGTTTTTAATTAAATTTAATTAATTAATTTATTTATCAAATTTATATTTAATTTAGTAAATAGCAATTACAAATTATTTATTAATTATCACATCAATTAAATGTAAAATTTATATTTATTAAAATAATTTAGTAAATTCCATGAAAAAAATTTAAATTTAGATGTATTTGTTTGTTTGTTTTACTTCATTTTATTTTAGTTTTTGATTATTTATTTTCCACTTTAATTTAATAAATTGATAAAAAAATGAATGAGTATTTAAAATAATTAATTAAAATATATCTGAAACTTAATTTTTTAAAATGTTATAATAATAATAAATTAAATTAAAAATTTAGTAGTTTAGATAAAGCATATCATGAAATTACTAATGAAGGAGATACATAGTATACAAAGTCATAATATCATTTTAAAAAATAGAAGTTAATATTATCATAATTTAATTCATACCAATAAAAATTAGTCAAATAACCTTAAAAAAAATAATGATTTATATGTTAGGAGGATAGATAGATAGATTTTAGATATGTATTTATTATACATTTTATACCTATGTGTTATATAAAAGTTTTCTAGTATAGAAATATAATTCCAACAAAAATAATTTAATTTAATTGAGAATATTTTTCTAAAAATTTTTACAAAATTTGTATTTGACTTATCACTTTATTTAGTAAGTATTCAATAATTTAATTTATCATTTTTATTAATATAAACTTTTATTATAGTGAATGTCAATCAAAATATCTAAATAAACAAGAAGGTGTTAATACTAGTAAATATAATTTAATATAATAACTTAATAGGGATTAAAATTAACAATTTTATGAGATAATAGTAAAAATAATTCAAATGTTAACTGTTTATATGAAATGCTTTTATTTATATTCAGTAAATTTTATATTCAAATTTTCTATAAATTTTAAATACTCTTTTTTTTTATGTTTTAAAAAAAGTATTAAAAAATATAAAAGTTTATTAGAAAAAATAATAAAAAATTAATTTTCCCCCTCTATCTTTTATAGAATTTTATTTTGAAAGATTAATTTACTATAAATTTTTTTCTATTATGTGAAAAATATATATTTGATTCTTAAATTGATCAAAATCTAAATTTAGAAACTAGATCAATCAGATCAATTATAATTTATAATAAATAAATCATGTGATTTAAATGAATAAAATTAGTTAAAATACACTATTATTTTTCTAAATTTATATATTGCTTATTTCATTACTTTGAAAACTAAAATCCTTTCCTTTTATTCAAAATAATGTTTTCTTTTTCTTATTAAAATGAATAAAATCTTCATATAGATTAATTAAAATTAATTTTATAAATTAATTAAATAATGAATTAAAATATGTAAACAAATTCTTTCAGTAAGTAATATTAAGATCTCTGAAAGTAAGAAAGTGAATAAATTTCAATAAAAACAATTTAATAATTTAATATACATGATTTTTCATATTAAAAATAATTTATTTGATTGAATCAAGTCAGCTGAGTAAACTAGGGTTATTATAATCCAAACTATTATTTTATTTTTTTTTAAATTAAATGGAGAATTTTATTTTTGATGTTAAATGAATATTTTATTTGTAATTAAAGTTTTGCAAATAAATAATATTTCAGAGCTGCATAGATTTTATTTAGGTGAGATCTTCCTAATAATCAAATTTCTTTATGCTGCTATAGAAAAATAAAATTCAAAAAATAGAGTGTGAGATGATTGTTCAATAGATAAATATTTGGGAAATTTAATTTAGAATTACTAGCTTACAATTATTGGAGAAGCAAAAAATTTACATTTACATTTCTAAAAGAGGAGAAACATAAAAAATTTTTTTTCCTTTAAAAATTAGAAGCTTTTTACAAGGCTTTGGGTATAAAGTAGATAGTTTGATAGATATTTTTTATTTACTTATATCAAATCTAATGAATTAATAAATTTGATAATATCTTTGGATTACTGAACTATCTTATTATCTTTATAGAACAAACTATCAAATAAACCAATAATCAAATTATATTATGAATGAATGTAAAATTAATTTCAAAAGATTTTCAGTAAAAGTTGCGTTTTATTCAGAATACTTGGGCTGGATCGCTTTTAAGAATTAAAGTAAATTAAATATTAATGACTGAAAACAAAGCAAATTGGATTAATATTATTCTATCTATGAGAGCTGCGAACAGTATTAAATAAATTTAGGCATATAAAAATTATTAAACAATTCAAATAATAGAAGATAGATAGATAGTTAATTGATTTTATTATTAATCACAAATTAATAAATAAACAAACAAAGTTTCATTCAAATATCAATATAAATCATTAGCGGTAGTATACAAATTCAGTAAATAAATAAACAAAATAACAAAAATTACTTCAAATTGATTGCTAAATTATTGGTAATTTATAAATAAAAGTACCTTTTTCAGTTTTAAGCCCTAAATTTTCAGAGAATAAAATTGATTTTTACTCAAAATGTAGCAGAAACTTGTTGTAACTGAAAGGGGATTAGAGAAAAAGCATTAAATTCAAGTAGATTTGGAGTCTCCAGATAAACTGAAAGTTTAATTTGATGAGCAATTCTTATTAAAAAAGTAAAAAATGAATGAAAATCTGTCTTAAAACAAATCAATATCTTCCGCCAAGCCTTACTTTCTTGAGTGCAGGGAAGCTTTAGAAAAAACTGTTGTATTGAACGAAATTTTACCTGCAAGTGAGAGTACTACTCATAAGCCTTAATATCCAGGGATTCTTCCTCCTTAAAATATATTCTCCACATATAGTAGAAGATTTCCTTATGATCAACCTATGAGGGCAACCACATCTCACTAAGAACTGAGAAAAAAAATAATCCAGCAAGGAGATTTAAAATCAATTTATGACATGTTTTCTCCTCCATCAAACTCTCATCAAAAATTTAGAGTGAAGTCTCTCTTTAATATTCCACCAATAAAGAATGAATCAGCATCTAAATTTATTCCCAGTGAGCCAGTGCAAGAAGAGCAAAAGGAAATAAAGGCAATCCTAAAATCTATGGAAAATAACTAGAACAATGCTAAAAATCAAATGCTTTCATCAAGCTAATTTTATATAAAATAAGATGCAATGTCTAAAGTAGATAAAAATTCTCAAAAATAATACAACTTGCAGCAGTCTACAGAGCAGTAAATTAATGTGAACTAAAGTAACCTTAAAAGCAATAATAGCAATCTTTAATTAAAAAATGATATACGCTAATCTTAAGATCCTTAATCTAAATAAAATAAACCAGAAGAATTGGCTAAAGATAGTCAAAAAAATAAACCTTCCCTTTTAAATTAAATAGGAAATTTCACACCATAAAACAACAGAGCCAATCAATAACAAATTCCAATTAATAGTAACTCCAATCTCAATAAATAAAGCGAATTTTTCGATAATCCTCTCGAAAAAGCCACATCTGAACCTAAATCAGAGCCAAAAAAGTTTATTCTAAATAATTTTAGTCCTATTAAAGGTGGTATGTCTAAATTCCTTAGTGTTCCAAATATTTCTTAATTACAAGCTTCAAATATCTTAAACGAAAGTGTTCTTAAAAATAAAATCCACAAATGGTAGCTCATAAAATAAAATTACCAATAAAAAGACAAAAAGCTACAATCTAAAATACAAGAAAAAGTGACAATTATCCTAGAAGAAAAATGCAATAAGCCTGTTCATGTAGCAACAAGCTTCATAAACGATCTAAAAAATGCTGATGCCGAAATAGACGAGCTTTACGATGGTACAACCAAATAAAAAAAGAGATACCAAGAAAGACTGAAACTGTTTCACATAAAAAAATACAAAAATTTTATGTCTGATGTTAAAATGCACACTGCTCAATTAACAGACAAGCATCATTAAATAGCTCACTTGGGATAAAAATTATAGGAAAGCTCTAAAAATGAGCATATCTGAAATATAAATAATTAAAAACTATCTAATAAAACAATTTGAATCAAAAACTATCAAAGAAAAAACAATAACTTATCATTCATTCATTCATTCATTAAATAATTTCTTACTTTTACTTTATATATTTATTTCATTTGTTATGCATGCATAAAATAATCATTTTTTAAATAATAATTTAAAACTAATAAAAAATAAATAGAATATTCATATAAAATTATCACTATTATTCTAATTATTATTTCTTTAATCTATAAATTTAATTCAATTTCTATTAAATGAAAATAACCAGTTTTCATTTAAAATTCATAAAAATGGATAATGCTTTTAAAATGAATCATAGTACTGTAAACTCTCTATAATAAGACCCCCCCCCCCCCCCCCCCTCCTCCTCCTAAATTTAGAAAAAATATAGTAGGGGGTATCTTGTTATAGGGGGGGAGGGACGGGGTCTTAATATAGAGAGTATACAGTATTATCCTTTAATTAATTATTTTTCTAATAATGATTTATAATTTATTAAAAGCTTGATATTTATTGGTCTAAAAAATAATTCTAAATTATTATTTAAAATATTTTTTATTTAATCTTTAAATTTTATTTCTTTTCTCTAAAGTTTTAATTTTTTTCTCTTATTTTCATAAATTTACAATACAATTTATAAATAATTTTAAATAATATCAAAATAAATTATTTTTTACTCTTTTCTTTCTTTTCATTTATAGTAAATTTACAAAATATATCATTATATCCTTTAAAATTATTCATAAAACTTTTAAATACTTATAATTAACATATAAAGAACCTTCATTAATGAATTACTAATAAATTCATCAAAAATTATTTTTTTAAATATGAAAAGTAGGAAATTATTTTATCTTTGCTAAGTAAAATGTTAGTTTAATTTTCTATTATTTGATAAATCATAATAAAATGCTTTAAAATTTTTGAACTCCTACAAAATTTAATAAATAAATAGATAATATATTAATAAATTCAATAATAATGTATTTATTTATAATATTTAATTTTATATTTCTATTCAAAATATATTTCATAAAATTTGATATTTTTCCTTTAAAGTGATTATAGTAATAATATAATTTTAAATTGCAAAAGGTTGATTCATAATACTTATGGTTTAATTTTAGCATAGCATTTATCTTAGTTTTAAATAAAAAATAATTTAAAAATGTTTTATATTTTTATTAATTTTTAATAAAACACTTTTATAACTCAGTTTGTTTGTTTGTTTTTTGAAAAGAATTTTTTTCTCAAAAAATTTTTACCTAAATATGAATAAATGGTCAACAATAAATAAAAAGCGGTTTAATCCAATAATTATCTAAATGAAATCAAAAAAATTATCACAATCAAATTTGAATAAAACACATTTACGCGTAATTAGTTAATTAGTCTCTAAGATAATGCAAATAAGTAGAGTTATTTACTTTCCTATATAATAAATTCAATAATAATGTATTTATTTATAATATTTAATTTGATATTTTTCCTTAAAAGTGATTATAGTAATAAGATAATTTAAATTGCAAAAGGTTGGTTCATAATACTTATGGTTTAATTATAGCATAGCATTTATCTTAGTTTTAAATAAAAAATAATTTAAAAAAGTTTTATATTTTAATTGATTTTTAATAAAACACTTTTATAACTCATTTTGTTTGTTTGTTTTTTGAAAAGAATTTTTTTCTCAAAAAATTTTTACCTAAATATGAATAAATGGTCAACAATAAATAAAAAGCGGTTTAATCCAAAAATAATTTAAATGCAATTATTTAGATAAAAATAGAAAAAAAAATTATCATAATCAAATTTGAATAAAACACATTTACGCGTAATTAGTTAATTATTCTCTAAGATAATGCAAATAAGTAGAGTTATTTACTTTCGAACAAATGAGTGCTAATTAGGAAACTCTTGCTAATTTGACGATAACTAATCTCTCAACTGTTTTGATTACCACCAAAAAAGTGATAGACGAAGATTTCCATACACAAAGAATAGAGCTACAGGTGAGTATACTCTTAATTATATCGATGAGTTATGTAAAAAAAGATGCAATAAGGATGATGTAAATATTTTTGTTATCTTATTTAAATAAAATTTTTTTAAATTATAAAGTGTCCTTTTGCCCATAATATTTATGAGTAAAATTATCATCCAATGAGAATTAAAAAAGAAGTCTGCTCAGATTAACAAGGTTGCCAGTTTAAAATTGAAGAAGACGAATATCTGGCTGATACTGAAGAAATTGTTAGCTTAATTGATGGAAATAGTGGCAAATAAAAGTCTAAGAACTACTGCTATAAATTTCACAAGAATTCAGAAAAAGAATACTATGATTAGCTAAGAAAAAAATTTGAACCTTAATACATCAAGATGAGAGAAAATTGTAAATAAATAAATAAAATATTATTTATTGTTTTTCTTTTAAAAGTTTGTCTGTCACTAATTCAAAAAACACAAATTTATTTACTTCTAAAAATAAATATTATGCAAAAGTGTAAAAATATTAAATATATCTTTGAAATAGAAAAGCTTTTGAATAAATAAATTAATAAATTAATTGGCGTTAAATTTATCATTTATTTTATAAAAATTAATTAATAAATTAGAATATTTTCATTTTATAAAATAAAAGTATTGAAAAATAAACTGTTTGTTTAAGGAGTAGCAGACGTAAGCACCTAGCATGATAAAGAAAAATTTTTAAATTCGACAATATTAAACTACACTGAATTTATAAATGAATAACAAAACCATGATATAGAAGAATCTACTTACTCGGATTTTAATTTTTAAAGTAGTATTTATGATTAAATCATTGATTTGAATGATACAAAGTAATCACCATTTGGTTTGACAGTTGCAAATAACAACAAAGATGAAAGCTTCTTATAAAATGAAATAATTGAGGAAGAAAACGATAATTAAAGTGATATCAAGCAGATTAACAAAAATGAAATTATTAATCAAGAAAATAATGATAATAATTTAAAATCCTAAAATTCTAAAAATTAAAAAAGCTATTAAACGAAAGATTAAAAAAAAAGCAATTTTGTATCTAATTCGAATAAGCAGATAGAAGAAGATAAAAAAAGCAAATAATCAAGAGAAGACTCTCCATTATTTCCTCAAAACTCTAAATAAATGTATTCTAATCAATACGAAACCAATAATTGCTAAGATAATTAATAGAAATCTTAGAAATTTGATTATGTAATTGACAAAGCTTATTAACAGTTATAAGACAAGATTCTAGGACAGTATACTTTTGTTTATAATGAGATTTTTGATGAAGATGAAGGCTAAATGTTAGAATTCAAAGACTACTATTTTAATTAAGATGATGACAGTATGAACAACGGCAATTAGAATTTAGATATAATAATCAATAGAACGATATAAACAATCCTAGGCTTCTTGAATTCTAAAGTAATTTTATTGGTTTTTAAATTTCTATTTTTAGATATGCTTTAAATTAGTAAATTATTTTTCTACATTAAATTAATTTGTTATTTGCATTAAAAATTTTTATTTTTTATCCTCTTTTTCTTTTAAAAAACTTTAAAAAATTTTATTGAAAAAATAATAGGGTGGATTTATTATTTTTGGAATAAAAGATAATAAAAAAATAAAAGGATCACAAATGAATATGGATAAATTTATGAATTAAATAAGTCCAATATTAGCGAGGTGCTAACCTCCTGTTCTTGAAAAACATCATAAGTTGCATAGATTGAATTTGATTGGAAATTAACAAAATAAAATTGTAATCCTATAAGTGATGCCATAAAAACACAAATTATTTTTTGATAGCAAGTCATAATATTTCAGAAGGACTAATGCAAGTGTGATTAAGCACGAAAATAAAGAACTCTCGTAAATAATTTTTATTGAAAAAATTGATATTTATTTTATTAAAAATCTTTAAATTTTATAGGCATATTATGATGGAAAATTATAAGGAATATTATAAAAAAAAATAGGAAAACCTTAAAACTAAGTTAGAAATGTTGAAAAAAAAGGAAATTGAAGAAGAAAAATAGAAAATAATAGATCAGTAAAAGAGAGACTATCTTGCACTTTTAAAATATATCAAAAGCTAAAGCGATATAAATAAGATTACTGGAGTTATAGAATACAAAATATAGGAATTAGAGAACAACTGAATTCATTTATTTATCTTAAAAATATTTAATTGTATTAATTTATTTAATAGTTTTCAATTTTTAATTTAAAAAAACTATCATCATTTGTTTAAATCATTTGCTTCATTCTAAACTAAAATTTTTCATATTTTCTTTATTAATTATTGTGTAGTATCCTAAAAATTAATTGTTTATTATTTGCTATTTAATAACAAGAATAAATTGTTTCATTAATTTAATAGGATTTTCTATATGAAAAGCTATTTAAGAATAAAGAATATATATTATAAATGAATTAAAAGAAATAAATTAATTATTAAATAACTTAAATTTACATCAGTTAGGATTAATTCTAGCAGAATTTTTAAATGAAGCTTGAATGATGAATAAATATTTATTTTAGATTTTGTGATTATTAAAAAAATTTATTGAATAAAGAAATATATTTTACTATTTTAAATATTGTTTGAATAATTAAAATAATGTTAAAGCTTAAATTAATTTTACAAATAAATTAGTTTTTAGATAAATAAAATTTTAAAAGAAAAAATAAAAATAAATTTTTTTAACTAATGATTTTTTATTTTAAATTGATTTTTGATTAATTTATAAGGTTTAAGATATTAAATGATAGTAGAAATAAATTTGCTACTAAATAAAAATCGTATTTCAAAAAAAATATTCTGTTTATCAAGCGAGGTGATTTGCAAATTAAATCTAAAAATTATTTATTATAAACATAAATTTATTTATTTATATTTTGTGATTAATTAATAGATTTTTAAAGTTAATATCATTAAAGCTTTTTGTAAATCAGATCATAGCATATACATATATATAATAAGGAGTTAGAATAATTGTAATGTCAAACTAAAATTATATTATTGAGATATTTAGCTATCTCAAAGAAGGAAAAGTATATTAAATGGTCAATAAATTTGACGATTTAGACTCTCTTAAGTTGGTAAATTTATCAATTTAAATAAAATGAATGATTGAATATCATAAAGTATGTCGATTTGAATTTAATAAATTACTTTATAATAAATTAGAATGAACGCGAGAATTTAATGAAAAATGAGCAACATATTAAAGAGTAAGTGAATCAGAAATTTAGAATAGAAGAAATAGACGAGCCATTTATCAATTTCTTGTTTTTGTATGTGAAATGGTTAATTGATAAAGATCAAACAAACTATTATGATCCATATAAGATTCTTATCAGGGCTTTGGATTAGCTTAAAAACATGCTTAGTATAATGAAGAGCAATTAACAAAATTTGATGAAATTTATCACCCATTTTATTCAGGTTTCTAAAATCATTTCTAAAAAGGCACTTGACTTTGCTAGACAGGTAAGTTTAAATGAAAAAAGATATTAATTAATGACTTGAATTTATTTTGAGTTTTCGTGTTAAAATTTACTTTTAAAAAAGGATAGAAAAACAAACATAAATTCAATAAAAAAAGATTTTCTTTTAACAAAGCTTAATATTTAAAATAAAATTTAGAAAATGTTATTTATTTTCTGGGAAATTTAATGTTTTTTATATAGAATAGAAGAGATGAAAATAAGTTTATGTCAGAATTAGAACAGCATTTCTAAACATGGATTTCAACTATTAATAAGCAATTGAAAGACCAAGACAGCTAGTTTAAAAAATAAATTATTTTAAAGATTTATAATATTTAATTGGGTATTCGTTTTTAGAAATATGATTATCCTGGATGTTCAAGTATTGTCAACCATACAAAAAATTATCAGACTCTTCCTAATCCTTACTTGAATTAAGAGCCAATTAGTTAAAGAGTACTTTTTATGTACTATTTTGGTAGATTATAGATTTTCTCTTAAAATTTCAAACAAGCAAGTACTTGCTTGCAATATGCTTTGGACAGATGCCCAGCTGATGCCTTCAAACAAAGAAGATAAATTTTAAAGTACTTGATTCCTGTAAATATGTATTGTGGCAAGTTTCCTACTTCTCAGCTAATTAAAAAGTATGAATTATTTGAATACTCAGATTTAGCGATTGCAATCTTAGAAGGTAACATGAAAAAATTAGAAGAACAAAGAGAAAAGTGGAAAAAGTGCTGGATCAAAAGAAGCTTGTACCTTTTTATTGGCATGCTCGAGACACTAACAATAAGAAATCTATGTAAAAGAGTTATTTAAATTATGGAAAAATTAAATGATGGCAAAACCTTTAACATAGAGATAAATAAATTTAAGTTAGCCTTTGAATTTTCTGCTAAAAGGCCATTCGAAGAGGAAGAAGTAGCTTGTCTTCTTGGAAACCTCTTTTATTAATAATAATTATATGGTTATGTTCACAAAGGAGCAAAAGGCACATTGGTAGTTCTTAGTCCTAAAAATGCATGCCCAAAGTTTAAATCATGAAGAAAATTAAACAAATTTCATTAATTTTTTCTTGTATTTCCAAATTTGTAATATTTTTATGTATTTTCAACATTAATATAAGCTTCAAAGAAAACTAAGCTAAAATAGAAGTATTTCAACATCTAATTAAAAGTTTGTTTTTTCAAAGCGAAAAAAGTTAAAAAGGAAGTATTTCTAATTATTTTCTTATTTTAAACATTTTTTAGTAAAAATTAAAATTATTTGAAATAATTTTATAAAATAATTATTAAGATGATTTTAAATTTTGAATTGAAAGTTATAAAAAAGTTATTAGAAAGAAATCTAACGAATAATTTTAAAAGTAAAAATTTAATTTTATTTTAGAATTAAATAAAAAATCTAAATTTATTTGTAATATTTGAAAAGAAAATATCTGAATAAATAAATTAGATAGTTCAAATTCTCAACAAATATTTATCATTTTTTCAATTTAGACAAATTTAAATGGGGTATTTTAAAATTTATAAATAAAAATATATTATAATTATAGAATGTTTCTTTATTCGTTGCCAGTTCTTTCTGCTTAGTTGAATTAATTTTTAGTTAGCTTTTTTGTTAGGCACAGTAGAAAATAATGTTTAGCAGCATTAAGAGAATATTAACAACAATTTTAATATGTCTTTTGTCTCTGTTTATATGTTATTTATTTATATATTTATTTAGAATCAGAGCATATCTATTAGATAGATTAAAGAATATTAGTTAATTAATTAACTAGGATGAGAAAAAAATACTTTGTTACTGATAATTTTTAGGATTTTTTGCGCTGAAATTCAATTTGCACATATTGAAAAGTTAAAATAAAAAATTAAATATAAAAAAACAGTAATAGTATAATAAAATAAACAAGTCTTTTTGTGCTTTTTATACAATTTAAGCTAAACAATTCAATTAATTATATTTATTAACATTCTGACTCCAAGAAGACCTAGTTTTAGGGCGAATAAACGATAAAACGATAGACATGAGTGACAGTGAACTTAGTGGAGAAGTCAAAGAAAGTTAAGAGCACAACATTTTAAAATCAGATATGATTGCTACTTTTGGAGATAAATAGATTAAAAATCAATAGATAGAACATTTGAGTTATTAACAAAGATCTTAGTTAGGTAATCAAGGCGGTGGCCAACAAAAAGACATATAGCAGATTTATTAGTTTGATAGTGGAAAAATTCAGAATCCATTCTACATTGATTAGAATTAGTTTATACCAGCAAACAATAATTTTAATAATAACTTTATCACTTAAAACATAGATTTTTAGTATTAACAAGATGATAAAGTTAATTATGCTCCTAAAAGCTTTCCTGAAAAAGATAAATACTAGTTAGGAGGTAATTTTTATCAATAAAAAATTAATAATTATGCGAATAATGAAGGAGATATTGCAATTATGATGAATAGCTCTATTCAAAGCGCCCATTCATAGTAGATTATCAATAATGATATTAGTGATGAAGAAAACGAAAGGAGATTGGCCAACAATTTTTAAATTAGTGGAAGCAGTTTGAGTCCAGATTTTAAAATTGACACTGTTAAGAGCACCAATTTGCACAATACAAGTAATAATTTGAAATAAAAAGAATCGCATTTATAGGGTTAAGAGATAAATTAGTGGAAGGATGAGCATGTTGGCTATGAGGAATAAAACGAATAAAAAAGAAATTGTGACAGCTGTCATGTGATCCCAGCCAATTACATTGCTCTTCCCTGCTCTCACAATTTTTGTATAAACTGTTTAATGAAAATTTACTTGAACCCTATGTTGTGCAGAAAGGATTTCGACAATTTTGCAGAGCTTGTTTGTTAGATATGCTCTAAACCCACTAAATTAGACTACGAATCATAGATTGCCATAGAAACAGAAATTTAGCAGTTGTTGATTAATAGTATGAATGACTAAAATCCTTTATAAATGATATCTAATCCTAATTTGTAGTTTGAAGATAATAATTAGCAAGGAAGCAGAGAAGATTTAAACAGTAGTGAAAATTAATCTATAAAGGAATAAATTTAGAAGAAAGATGCAAAATAATTTCAATCTGCTAATAATTACTTATAAATGTATGATTAATAAAATCAGGATAATAAGCAGTAGTAGCAATAAGTTTAGCAGTACTTTTAGCAAAGATACTAAATGCCCAAAGAGGAAGTTATACACGAAGAAGAGAGTATGGAAACCTTTCTCACTAATGAGACACACAAGTTGATTCACTTCAATAGTAGTGACTCGCCTTATTAAAGCTTGCCTAAGAGTTCTTTCTAAAATAAGTAGCATTTGACGAAGAGTGCATATTCAAGCAATCAAGCTAGTTAAAATGGAAATATTCTCACAAACAGCTTGCTTAAAGTTCTTCATAACAATAACAGCAACAACTTAAATAATAATGAAAAAAATAATATTCAAAATTTATAAAATATTTAGCAAATTTAATTTTCAGATTTCAAGAAAAGCCTAGAAAATTACAACAATAAAAACAACAATGAAAACAACTTTTTGCAATTTTAAAATGACGATTAGGAGTTTTAGGTTAAAAATTTAATGTTAACAGAAGAAAGCGAGGGAATAGAATCTGAAAAAAAAAATATAAGTGGTATTTCGCCAATTGCATCTAATAATAACAAAAATTAGGGTTAATAAAATGTATTAAAAACTGAATCAGAACAAAATTAGGATATTTCTAATAATAACATATTGGAGTTTAGAAGAGTTGAAAGTGATTTAAGCAATCAAGGTAATAATATCTTTGACTAAGATTCTTAACAGGAGAATAATTCTGTCGTTATAAATAGAGAAAAGCCATAATTTATCTAATCTTAATATATTGCTGAAGATAAGGGAAATTTAGTTCATTCAAATGTTCGCCTTTTAAATTCGATTCAACAAAGCAAAGATTTAGCTCATCTAAATTAAATTTATTCCTAAAATTTAAAAAAATAAGAAACTCAAACTCCCTATACTCCCTCTGATTTAAATCTTCTCCATTCTATTTAGCAAAGTCAAGATTTGCAGAGTTCTTATCAAGCTAATTCATAAAAAGTTTCTAAAATGGAAACACCAGTTTTCAGTCCCTAAAATTTCCATCTTTTGCATTCGATTTAATAAAGTAAAGACCTTTAGAATCTTTCTCATTAAAATAGCAATCAAAATTAATAACAAAATTTGAATTAACTCAACTCAGTACACTCAAATATATAATTGCTGCATTCAATTTAAGATATTTCCAGCTCAGCTTCCAACAAAATTTCTCAAAAACAAACTAGCAGCTAAAATTCTGCCGATAACAAATTTTAATAGGTCAAAGAATAAATAAAATAAGTTAATAGTTCAAACTTAATTCCAGGAGAAGATGATATTAGCTAGCAAAATTAAAAAAGAAATCTTTTGGTCTCTGAATATATTCCTATGGAGAAAGTAGATGAATCAGCTTCAACTCCCTAAGTCTAATCACAAAATAATAAAGATAACATAAGCTCGTCTTAGCAAAATAGCTACATGAGATTGACTTAAACAAATAAATCAGCAAACAATCCTCATCAGATATAATCCAATTAAGATAAAGAATAAAATCTTTAACACTAACATAGTGTCTAGTAAGCCCAACCTTAATCTCTCAATAGCAGTTCTTAAGCTAGCAAATAAGATTCAAATATAAATAATAAACTTGTAAATAGCAAGATTTTAGACTAAGAATAAAATCAATAGCAATAATAAAAGTAGACACTACAGACTTCATAAAATAACTATGAAAGTAGATTTTTGAGAACAAGAGAGCAGATAAAAAGTGGAGGCAAAATTAGCTATAGAAGCAGTAGAAATAGCAAGTCAGAAAGCATGACAGAAAATTAGCTTATGTAAAGTTTGGAAAGCAACAATATTAATGCCCTTAGTACTAACTGCAATGAACATCCTTTAGAAGATGCACAATTATTTTGCTTTACTTGCGAATGTAAATGCATATGTTTAGCATGCTAAGCAGATTCTATTAAACATAATGGGCATTAAGTAGAATATGTTACGAGGAGCTATGACATTCTTTAAGTGAGACTTTAAGAAACACACCAAGATATATCAAATAAGATAGAGTTGATGGATTCTACTTATTGGAATTTTTCGTAGCAAAAAATTAATGTTCAAAAGAAGAATGAAGAAATGCAATAGTAAATATTGTAGACATTTAATGGCTTAAGAGATTTAATTAAACTCAAAGAAAACGAGCTCTTGCAGTAGCTTTCTCAGCACCAAGCAAACGCTCTTTAAATAGTTGATCAAGAATGCAACAAAATGCAGGAAGCAAGAAAAACTCTTGAAACAGTCTCAGGAAAGTTGAATATAATTTAAAATGCCCAGCCATCAGAATTAGTTGAACTATCAGATTGCACAATAGCATTTAATTACTACGCAGAATGCAAAAGAATATTAAACGAAATAATTTCTAAAACTAAAATTGACTAAGAGCCAATCAAGCAATTTGAAAATACTTCATTGGGGATTGTTCAATAAATAGCTGACCAGGTAAAGATCTGCATAAATGAAATAAAATTCCCTTAACCTCAAAGAGATTTAAGACTCTCTCCTTAAAGCAACAGATTCATTTCTAGCAATTTCTAGCTGAATAACTACACTCCTCAGCATCAATCAATAACCACAATTGAAGAAGTTATTAACTAAAATGGAAATTAAATTTTTAATAAACTAAACTAAAATAAAACAGAAATCAGTTCAAATTCAAAAGAAAATCTGGCAAACTTAGAAAGCATAGCAAAATTCAAATAAATTCTACACAATAACTCAACATAAAAAAATATCAGCAATACAAATTCAATTCTATTGGATAGGAAAGACTAGTAAACCCCATAAACAAAATAAAAGATTCAAACAAATTTAGATCATTAAAATTAATAGCCTACTAAATAGGACATTAAGCTGTAGAATAATTTTGTAAATGAAAACAGTTATAACACATCAGAAAGTTAGAGAAATTAAATCAATATAGAACCTAGCAAAAGTAGCAATAACAGTTATTTTCTTTACAATAGCAGTGCACGATCAAATTAGCCAAAAAGTCAGAAGGGAGGATATTTTTTGAGTGCAAATACTGATCAAAGTGATAAATAAGCATTGAGCTCTATAAATAAATTAAGGATGTAAAATAACTTTTCTCCTTGTTCAGTTGACAACTCGAAGAGTATTGATTAAATTGAATAAAGAATTGATGCTTACCAAATAGCCTCTACTGACTAAAATAGAAACTCTTTTGACTTAAAGGACAATGTGGATATTAAATTCTCTAATTAAAATGCTTCTTAACAAGAAAGTGGCTATGCTTCGAAGATATAGCAGAGCTATCCAAAACTAAAAATTTCTTAGAATCATCTTTAAGATGAAATAGATAAAATTAATAACAGTCTGTTTGAATTGTAAGCCAATATTGATTTGAACACTATCTTTTGTAGAACTGAGCATTCACCTTTGAAAGAAAAGAATGAATATCTAGTTAATTATTCAGAGAGACAATAGAAACTGAACTCTAACAGAATACCCAAAAAGAGCAGTCCAAGCCACTACCAAAACCAATAAATAAATGCATCTTCTTTGAATTCTTTGAAGTAACAAGTCCTTTCACCCACAACTGCATCAAGTATCCAAAAATTTTTCAAAAACTTCTAACAAAAATATGATTAAAAATCTGGATAATCCACTTAACAAAACTTTTCAGTCAAAAACAATATCAATAATAATTCAGAAGGAAGATAGGTCAATAATCTGAAATTGTCGAACTCTATTTTTAGCTACTCCAAAAAGATTAATGAATAAAATCAAAACTCATCAGTAAAAAAAGAAATAAGATCTAAATATTAACATCATAAACATCTTAGTGATATAAAATTAAATTCCATTTCTATAGGCAATGATGCCTCAAATTAGTCTAACATCTTATCTCCAAAACCACTTCTAAAAGATTTAGACTTTTAATTGTACAGTAATAAAAGCAACAAAGATATTAATTTCAATTTCAACACAACTTAATAGCCCAGTGATAACATGCTCTACCTACCAGAGTAATCAGTCATTGAAAAGCTATCTGCATTTTAATAAGACATAAAAAATTCATCCATCTTCTAAAAGGAGCTTAGAATGAAAGAAATTGACTGGATGAAATCCAAAACAATAACTTTGCTCAAAAAATCTGAAACCCATTTCTAGTCTCAACACGCCTTAAACGAATAAGATCAACCAAATTATATCATACAAAAACCTTCAATAACTCCAAGCAATTATCGCTCAAATTCAAATATAAACTTGTCTAAACTTTCAATAAATTCAACTACCAATCAATTCAATACTTCAAGCAATTCTCAATATATTTAAAATAATAACTATCACTCTGAAGGCAGACAAAGTTGTTTAAGTAGTAACAATAATTTGAGATCAATCACACCATAACAATCGTCTCCAACAGCTAACTATTTCAATAAAGCTACTTACAATTCTTCTAAGTAAAACATAAATAACTACTAATCAGGCTAATACTCATAAAAAAGACTTCAAAAACCGAAAAGTTTCACCTCAAGAAATCTCTTAAGTATGTTTGATAAATCTCCTTCCAATAACTTTTTAGTATTAAATTAAGAAAAAGTGCTTGGAGAAGCTAAACAATTTAAGAATTTTGGAAACAACAATAACAACAATCACTAAAATTTAATTGAATCTTTTAACTTGATTAACAACCATAATGGTAATTTAAATATGAATAATAAAAATAACAGTCTTATTTGAAAAATATATTAAAATATATAATTTTATATAATTTAATACTATTTATAATCTTATGTATGTATCTTACTTATTTTATAAATTTCTCTTTCAAAATTATTTCTAATCCTCAACTTTTTCCATAAATTTCTTTCTAAATAATTATTTCTATTCTCAATATTTTAAATTAAAAATATTAATTCTAACTCTTTAATTTGCAATAATAAAATCTATTTTTTTAATTTTTAATAAATATTCCAAAAATATGAAAAAATTCTGAATATTTAATTTAAATTTAAAATCTAAAAAATCTCTACTTTAATTTTTCAAATAATTAGGAAAAATAAATTATGCATAAATTTTTATTTATTATTCGTATAAAGGAACTGTTTAAATTTGTAGAGCTCATAAAAAAATATGTAAAATATAGTTTGTCACACTATATATCTATTTAAACTATATATTATTTATGTTTGTAAGATCATAGTCAAGGTATTAAATATTTGTTAATAAAAACCTTTTTATCTATTTTTTTGTTTAAAAATTAAAAAAAAATAAATAATTTAAATTTTATAATATAATGATTAATAATTTATTTTAGCAACTAATTGCAAACCAATCATCATACCAGCCATACTTAACTTTCAGAGTTGATTAAATTCTAAAAAAATAAATTAAAATATATTTTAAGGGTAAATGAATTGAATTAAAATGAGTAAATACATTTGACAAAAATACTTAACAAACCCAATTTGAACGAAGTAAGTTTATTTATGTTTTTAAAAGATTTGTTAAATTACTTTACATACATACATTTATATATAATTTAATCAAGATTTCATCTTCTTTTTTTAGTTAAACCTGATAAACCAGGGATGTTACCACCCAAACTTTTCATCATTTCAGCCATATTTCCTCCACCTAATCCTTTCATAAGATCACCTACTCCTTCCATCTTTGACATTTCTTTGACCATGTTCATTATATTACCCATACCACCCATGCCTTAGATCATCTTAGGGTCGAGGGCTGCACCCATTTAGTTCTTTATTTAGTTAGGGTTTCTCATTATATTACCAATATCACCTCCTTTACCAAGACCTTTACCTAATCCAATAAATACTTTAGATATTTTTTTGTACTCGTCTAAAAGTTAGTTAACATCTTCTAATGAAGAACCTGAACCTCTTGCAATACGGACAATTCTAGAAGGATTAATGGCAACAACACCATCTAATTCGTTATCGTTCATGCTATCCATGATAGTTAAGAATTTCTTTACTTTTCTAATAGATTCCTTTTCATTATTTTTATCAAGTATACTGTTACCCATACCAGGAATCATACTCATAAACTAGTTAATTGAACCTAATTTTAAGATACTCTTATATTGTGCCTAGAAATCTCTAATAGAGAACTGTCCTTTTGTTATATTTGCGATGGCTTTTCCTTAAGTTTCCATATCAACAGCTTCAGTGACAGTTGTTATCATACCCTTAATATCACCCAAACCAAGTAGTCTTTTGACAAAACTTTCAGGATTGAAAGGTTCCAAGTCTTCAAAATGTTCACCAGTACCAATAAAAATAATAGGACTCTCAGTAGCAGCGACAGCACTCAAAGCACCACCACCCTTAGCATGACCATCAAGCTTAGTAATAATAACACTACCAACATTGACAGCATTTCTGAAAGCCTAAGCTTAATCGTAACAAGCTTAACCAATCGAACCGTCCATGACGAAAATACATTCATCTGGGTTAACTGCTGCTTGAACTTGTTTCATTTCATCGAACAATTCACTTTCTTATTTGTGACGACCTGAAGTATCAACAATAATCATTTCGTAGTTCTCCTTTTTAAAGTGTTTAACACCTTCTTCGGCAATAGCTACAGGATCAGTTTCGGAATAGCTACCATAAAAAGGTACTCTAACTTTTGTTGCATTTTACTTAAGTTGATCGAAAGCACCTGCTCTGAAAGTATCAGCACAAATCAATGCAGTTCTCCAACCTGTTAATTAATAAAGAATGATATATTTGTTTTAGTTCTAAAAATTCAAAAAAACTAGTAGCGAAATGAAATGAAATCTAAGAATGAGTTTATAAATCTAAAACTTTTATCATTATAATTTGTATTTTACTAAATTTAAATGTTTAGTATAAACAATTTCCTTCTATGAATTAACAAATTCATTAAAATTTAAAATTAACTCCTTTTCTTTTTAGAACAATTAAAAATTTGAGGCTATAACTACTTTAATTGAAGCTAAATAGTGCAAATTCTAAAGCACAGGAGAATTAGATGTACAAATTAAAAAAAATTCTCACATTTTCACATTGAATTGCTTATATTTTGGAAATTAATTTACCTTTTTTTTACCAGTGATATGCGTACTTTGTACAAGTGGTGGTTTTACCAGCACCCTATAGACCAACAAACATAACAACATTTGGTTTGCCTCTTTTAGGAACGAATGGCTTTTTATTTGAATCTAACATTTATGTCAACTCCTAAACGACTGCCTACTGAATCATCTTCTTTAAATTAACACCCTAACTATCTTCCATCTTAAATTTCATGATGATATTACTCTTTAGTTTGGCTACATATTTGACATTAACATCAGATTAGAGAAGAGCCAACTAAATTTCTTTCAAAACTTAATTTAATAATTCTTCATCAATGACAGGAGCCTTATTTAATTGCTGTAAGGCATTATTGATTCTTTTACCAAGATCTGCAAGCACCATTTCTATAAAAACTTTTTATGACTATTTGAATAAATAATTTTTTTTATAAAATTTGTTTTGAATTAAATATTGAAGTAATTAATATATATTTGATTAAATTCTTCCTTATTAATCAATTGGTATAAATTATATGAAGAAATTCAATCTAACACTAATCAAACTTCAAAGCTATTGAATATATCTTCTATTTATCTATTTAATTTAGTTAGTCCTTTGCTAATCTTAATGATTATTATTCTAAAATAATCTTTTTTTTCTACTAATTGTATGCGTTTTAGAGACGCTTTCATATTTTTAATTGAAACACGTATTTACATTTATTTATTATTAATTCTGCACAAAAGCTTTTTCAATATAACTTTTGTCATAATTCTTATTATAAAGAATAAAAGAATTCTTAGAGTCTATAATAACAAATAATCAATATTATAAAAAATCTAATTTATCTTACTAGCCATTCATCAATAATTTAATTCACGCCCATTAACAAAAAAAAATTAATCAATCAAAACAATTAATTAATTATTATTTTATTCATATTCATATTAATTTAAGTATTACAAAAAATAATTAAAATCTAATGTTGAGGTATTAAATATATGAAGTAAATATTCAAAAAGTACCATAGTATATCCATCCATGTATTATAAATAAATGTGTTCAAAATAAAATAATTTTCTTCAAAATCTAAATAAAATTTTAATTTAAAACTTTTAAATATAAAATGTTTTAAGTGTGAATCTACCCAAAATCGATTTTCAAAAATGATAAAAAGTGAATCTAAGGTGATTAATTCAGAATATCAATTCATTTTTAAATAAAATAATATTTCTCATACATAAAATAAAAATTTTCTTGCAAACAGTTTGGCGTGCTTGGAGCTCTTCAAGGTCTCTACCAGTAAACACATAACATTTCTTAAAGAAGAAAGGGCTCAGACCTTTTATATAAGTGTATAAAGGTTAAGGTTGCATCAAACACATGGGCTTCTTATACAAAGAAGCAATCTTATAACACAAAGATTTATCCAACAGTACATTTTTCCATACCTCTGCTCAAGCTCTCAAAAAATATTTTTGTCTCCATACCAAATTGATCTATTTCTTAGCATACTTGATTTGGAGCATAAGCTACTATAACTAATAGAATTTTCACTAACCTAAAGCGATACATTTGATTTTTCTAATCTGCAGTCTTGACATATTAGGAAATATTTTTCAACATAAATACTTTAGATTTCTCGATTGTTCAGACTTTTGTGACAGAAGGCTGTGCTAGGTTTTCTGCACTTTTGACATATAAATTTTGAAAGCAAGGTGCATCCCTGTCTCTTATTAAATTTAAAGAATATTTAATTAAAAAGCTTTTATCAAAATAATAATTTTTTTTTGAAATAAGGTAGATATACTTACACGGTAAAATTTTAAAACATATTTGTACAAATTAAGTAAGAAAAAATTAATTTAATCAATTATTTTGATTAAAATTTTTCTTAAATATAATTGAAATAAAAAATTTTAAAATTAAATAAATATTGAACTGTTCTTCAAAATAAGCTATAATTTTTTTCATAATATTAAATCAAAAATATTTTATAACTTAAATTTTAAATAATTTATTTGATAGAATGCTTAAAGTAATTTTTTCTTTGATAAATGTGTTAGGGTTCATGTTTAACTTTAAATTAAAGTATCAGATCTGATATAAATCATATAAAATTCTGTAGATAGAAAATTGTCCTTTGAAAAGTTTATCTATAGTAATTGCCATTAATTAGGAAGAATATTTAAGATTAAATATCGAGGATATTTCTTCATTTATTAAAAGATTAATTTCATAACATGGTTAGCCAAAAAAATTAAATTTTCTATTTAATAATTATTCTTCTTATTTGTTTTCATATAATTACTCTTATTGTTTTGTTTTTAAGTATACATCAATGTCTTCATTTTGATTTTCTTAAATGTTTTCTTAAATCTAAGATTTTATATTAGGCTTTTAATAGAAACCATAGGTAGGTTTTTATTCATCTTCAGCATAGATACGTAGTAAGAATTAATAATTTAAGAGCTATTAGTAATAGGATAAGAAATATGAAATATCTAGTATATCTTGTGTCTTAGGTATATCAGATATAACTATTTCTCCTATATCTACTTGCTATTCATCCATATTGTCAAAGAAATTAGCAAAGTCATACATTTAACACATGTACATTCGATTTATTTATAAATAATTTATTTATTTACTTTTGAAGATAAAATCAAAACACTCAATTCCACTCGATTCTAATAGGATTCTCTTAACATTTTAAGTAATTTTCATTATTTTTTAGCGTCCTAGACCTAACATTACATTTTATTGTAAGTAGGCTGCAGTAATAACAAGTTCATTAGAAGATAGCATATTGAAACCATTCATATAAAGCTCAAAATCTTGCTTATTTATTTCTTCTGTGTTGTCATCTGAATTTTTAAGCAATAAATTGATTGAAAATCTATCAAACATTATTAAAGGACATTATTCATTACTGATAATACTTTTATACCTCTTAATAAATTAATTACAATTTTCATTTAAAGAAAATTATGATGTCATATAAAATTCTTCATGAAGGCGAAATATAGATTTAATGTTTTAATCTAAAGTTAAAGGAGATATAAACTATAAATTAAATGGCTCATTATTACTTTAAAAATTAAGCAAAATCAATTCATATTTCCTCTTAACTTACTAAAGAGCTTTGTTGATCTCGCTTTCCTCAATCAAATCTCTTATTTGATCTAATTTCTTTTAGCCAACTTTTTTAGGACTGAATATTTTTTAGTAATTCTAGAGAATTGTTTCTCTATCTTTTTACAGCTTTGAGTTTATTTGGTTTACACATTAGCGAATAAGTTTAATAAACTCGTCCTTAAATTATAATGCTTCTATTTCATTTATGAACATTTAATCTGATCCATTAAATTATAAACTACTAACCTCATTTGATAGAATGGTCTTTAAATCTTTAACTTATTGTATCATTACTTTTTTCAATAAATTATTATTAAACTATCTCAATTATTAAAGAAGTAAATAAGATTTATCAGTGTCTTAAAATTCTAAGTAGTCTAATTATTCAATAAATTTACAAATGCATATTCTTAATCAAATTAAATATACTTTTCAATACTATTTATGATATTTATTAAATATCAAAAATTTCTGCTCAAAGAGCTTCCTTCCATTAATGATTATATAAATTAACATAACACTAATTACATTTATTATATTTTAAACAGTATTTAATGATACTTTATTTATGTGGTACTTTTAATTTTACTTTAATATTTCAGTAAGTTAAGCTTTAGAAATTTTAAAGAGAGTGTAGAATATGTTTTATGTTACGTTGTTAAAACCATATAAACCCATATTTTTTATTTTTTGAACTTTAAATGTTTAAAAATGCTCATCTTAATATATTGTTAAAATGCTAAAAAAATTATATTTTTTTATATTTTATATCTTTAAAATTTTATAAAAAAGGTTTTTTGAGTATTCTTTATCAAATTTCTTTAAAAATTCTTAAATGATTTAAAGAGTTATCAAAATATAAAATAATTATTAAAATATGAAAACTTCATTTATAGTTCATAAAATAATTAAAGGATTGGTTGGTATTCATTTTTTATAAAATTAATCAAATTAATAAACACTTATTTCATTACTTTAACTGTGAACTAGTCAAAAATATTACTATTTGCATTAATAAAAATGAAATAATAGTTGAGTCGTTAAAATTTTATTTAAATTAATAACATTTATCAATACATTTAGAATTTAAATAGTTTTATTTAATTATTATTTTTCCTTTTTTGCAGCTTTTAAAGATATTTATAATTTTTAGTTTTACCACAAATTATTAATTTATTTGATCTTAATATTTCTTAAATATTAAGTTAGTGTTTTTGATAATAATAGTAATACCTAAAAATCATTTTAAATATTATCTTTTACATTTTTATATTCATAAAAATTTATTATACAAGACAAATTTAATATTTTTAAAAGAGCTCTTATTTAAATAGTTCTGAATCGTGTATGGATAAGAATTAATTTCTTTCTAATTTTTTGATTTCTAAGCTAAAATTTTTTCGATCAGAAAAAAAAAATTTTATCAAAAATTCATTAGAATGAAATAGTTATTTATATCTATTTTATGTGTCTCTCTGAAATCTTTCTAAATGAAGTAAGCACTAAATAATTAATTATTTTAAAAAGATAATACAATCTTATAATAAATATTAATAAATTAAATTAAAAAAAATTAAAATTATAAAAAAAAGAAGAAGAAATGGATCAAAATAAAACAGAATGCCCTAAATGTAAATCAAGTGAAAAGGTTATTAAAATAGTTTATGGAAAACCAACAGCTGCATTGGTTGAACAAGCAGACAGAAAAGAAATAATTTTAGGAGGATGCCGTCTTTCAGAAAATCCAGATAATTGGTATTGCTAAACTTGTTCTCATAAATTTCATTGAAATACATTAATCAAAAAATTGAATTGATAAAATATAAATTAGTATGCATTTTCATGTTTTTGTTAGCAATTTAAAGTTATTGAAATATTGAAATGAATAAATAAACAAATATTATAAATTTTTAAATCAAGCAATTTAAAATACAAATTCAAATACTAAATTACTCTACAGTATCGTTTTCTCGTACTAGATATAGCAAAAGTATTATTTCAGATATAAGAATAAAATTCTAATTAGTCAAGTATCCAAAAAATATTATATACTGTAGTCCCATAATAATTAAATCAATACTTCTTCTTAATTTTTTCTATTTTTTCAGTTTCAAAATTTTAATTTTACTTTTAAAATTTAAAATCTAAAATAAGTCTATTAAATATTATTTATAGGTTTTAAATAATTAAGTTATCAAATCAAATGCTTGCAAATTTTTTATTTTTTTGAATATTAAAAGATTAAAAATACTCATTATAAAATATTGTTAAATTGCTAAAAAAATAATATTTAGTTACGTTTTATATCTTTAAAATGTTATAATAAAGGTTTTTTGAGTATAATTTATCAAATGTCTTTAAAAATTCATAAATAATCTAACCGGTTATCAAAATATAAAATAATCATTAAACTATGCAAACTTCATTTACAGTACATCAAATAATTAAAGGATTGGTATTCATTTTTTTAAAAATGAAAAATTTGAACAAAGTTAATCAAATTAGTAAACACTTATTTTGTTACTTTAACTTTGAACTAGCCAAAAATATAATTATTTGCATCAATAATAATGAAAAAATAGTTGAGTTGCTACAATTTTATTAAAACTAAAAACATTTAGTAATATATTTAGAATTTAATTAATTTTTCTTTTTTCCTTTTTTGTAGTTTTTAAATAGTTTTTTATAAATTTTTAGCTTTACCACAAATTATTAATTTATTTGATTTTAATATTTCTAAAATACTATTTTAGTTTTATTGATAATTTAATTATATCTAACTAAACTCATTTTAAATATTGGTTTTTTCATTTTTATATTCATAAAAAATTGATTATATAAGATTAATCTAATATTTTTAAAAAAGCTATTGTTTATTTAGTTGTGAATCAAGTATGGATAAGAATTAATTTTTTTCTAGCTTGTTTTATTTCTAAGCAAAATTTAGATCAGAAAAAAAATTTTAATCAAAAACTCATTAGAAATAGTTATTCGTATCTATTTTATGCGTCTCTCTGAAGTTTTCTAAATAAAATAAGCGCTAATTAATTAATTAATTATTTTAAAAAGAAAATTCAATCATCTAATAAATGTAAATAAATTAAATTAAAAATAATATAAATTTCAAAAAAAAAGAAAAAGAAATGGATCAAAATTAAAAAGTATGCCCTAAATGCAATTCAAGAGAAAAAGTTGTCAAAATAGTTTATGGAAAACCAGGAGCTGTATTGATTGAATAAGCAGACAGAAAAGAAGTATTTTTAGGAGGATGCCGTATTTCTGAAAATCCAGAAAAATGGTATTGCTATACTTGTAAACATAAATTTCATTGAAAAAAATTAATAAAAAAATTAAATTATTAAAATATAAATTAGTATTTATGCATTTTCATGTTTTTATTTAGTAATTTAAAGTTATTGAAATTAATAAACAAATAAATAAAGAAATCATATAACTTTAAAAAACAAGCAATTGAAATAAAAATTTAAAAACTAAATTACTTTTCAGCCTCGATTTCTCTTTCTTGAGCTCGAATTTAGCAAAATCTTATTCCAAAGAGTGAAATTAAAAGAAAATATTTAAGAATAAAATAAAACTCCAATGAGTAAAGTATCAAAAAAATATTATATTCAGTAGTCTCTGAATAATCAGTACTCTTTTCCTTTTTTTCTATTTTTTCAGTAACTCTAATTAGGATGAAAAAATATTACAAAAAATATAGAAAATTTTAATTTTATTATATGTAAAAACACAGTATAAAAAACTTAATTATTGTAAATTTGTATGGAACTTACTCTACAATTTACTTACAAGAAATGAAATTAAAATACAACAACAAAAAGTAATAAGTTGATATTATTTAATATTAATTAACTCAATTCAAACTGTAATAATGTTAAAATACTTCCTGGTCTAAAAGAAATTTATATATGTCATCGATTTTTATAAAATTATTTTGAAATTCTTAGTAGAATAATTCTTCTTTGTATGAACCCATCTGTTTACATCCATTTGTTATATTGAAGATTTCATAATATTCTTTTTGTTCTGGATTTTATGAGAGAATATATTGCTTATTTTCTGAGATAAAAAGACTTTAATTTTTTGGAATTAAACTTAATATTTTAAAAGCTTGCTATGCTTACCATATTTTGCAAGGAATTTAATCATCTGAAGAGGTTAATAGGTATTTAGAATCTTTACTTAATTGGAATGATACAATTTTATTATCAGAACATTTAAATTTATTGATTAATTTAAAATCTGGTTCTAATTTCCAAACAAATATTTACATTATATCTGTATTAGCAATTAAGTATGTACTATCTGAGTTGAAAAATAATTTTAATACTATACTTTCAGTAGAAATTTTTTGAATTTAATCAAAGTTATTATCAACACTCCATATAATAATAGTTTTATCAGAAGAGCTTGTAGCGAGATATTTCCCATCATCCGAAAAAGCGCAAGAAATTACTTCATCTGAATGGTTTTGCAATGCTTTCATTAACTTAAATTGAGATTAAATGTCCCAAATTTTGCATGTCTTATCTTTTGAAGTAGTTGCTAAAAACTTTTTATCATAAGAAACAGCCATGGAAGTTATAGTTTGAGAATGGAATTAGATTTTTTAAACAAATTCAAAATTACTTTAAACACTCCAAATATTACAGATGTTATTGTTAGAATTAGATATTAAAAATTTATTATCAACAGTAAATAGAACTTAAGTAATATTTTTATTTTCTTAGTTTTCTATTGTTAGCTGCAATTCAAAATCTTTACTTACATTCCATACTTTTATTGTATTATCATCAGATCCACTTGCAAGAAACTCGTTGTTGTTAGAAAATGCTAAAGAAGAAATAGAATCTAAATGGCCTTTTAAAGTTAAATAATATTCAAATCCTTTTTAAACAAGCCAAATTTTGCATTTACTATCACTAGAACCTGTAGCGAGATATTTCCCATCTGTAGAAAAAGCAGACACTAAAACTTTTTACTTTTGAGTTTTTATCAAGCTTTAAGCTTCGTAATATTCTAATCCTGTTCTTAGGATCTTAAAGAAACCATCATTGTATGCAAAAGCTAAATATTTGCTGTCAGAAGAAATTGAAATATAATTGACTTGAGTTTGATTAAAGATCTCTTTTATGACTCTAAATTATTCAAATATATTCCAAACTGTACAAACGTTGTCAGAAGTAAGTGTTATTAGATAATTACTGTCATATGATATTAACATTTAATTTATTTTAATATCTTTTTCAATCTACAATTTCTAAAAAAGTTAAATATTTTAGTCAAAATCCCAAATGAAACAAAAGTTCTAACATGATGTTAAGATATACTTTCCATCTGATGAGAAAAGAATTTGAGTTATACTATTCGCTTATTAAATAACAAAATTTTATTTAAACTCAAGTGGTTTTTTATTGATGAAGGTATAAATGTTAAACGAGTTGTTGTCGAAAGCGACTGCCAAATATCTGTTGCAATAGGAGAAATCTATTGATGTTATTCTAACTTCTTTTGATTCATCTTAGATATCTATCTCTGAGTGAAATTAAATCTTTTTAGAGACATCAAAGAGCTTTAAAGTATTACCAAACGATACAGCTAAATATTTACCATCATGAGAAAAGACCATTTATTCTATACTTTAAAAATGAGCTTCTACAGTTGAGTGAAATTCAATCTAGTCTTAAATCACATACAAACCTATCATCCCATTTGAATAAGATATAACAAATTTCTAGTTTGCTTGACAAAAAGCTATTTTTTCTACTTGATCATTCATTTGACTTAGCTTCCACACCTACTAAAACTCATTGGGATCATTTTCATCTATTTTATAAAACAAACACGAGTTATTTTTAGATAATGTAGCTAGATGAGTGACATCTTTTGAGAATCCAATTTAATTTATAGATTTATTTTCTTCTTTGGAGAATTGTAATTTCACATTTTCATTCAGATTAAAAACTTTTAAAACTGATTAATTCAAGGCAATAGAGAAATATTTGTTATCAAGAGAGAACGACATAGAATATAATATATCTACAGTATTCAACTCAATCGTTTTAATTAAAACAAAACTTCCCAGTTCTAAGCTGAATATTTAGCATTAGCTTTTTTCTTAAATAAAAGCTATTTTCTCAGAGTTATCTGATGATTCTATTTATAGAATATGTCTTGGAAAAGTTTAAATTAACTTGAACTTGTTATTTGCAGATCTAATTTGAGATTAATTATCTTCCAAGTTAAAAACAATGTACCTATTATTTTTAGTATTTATAGAAGAAATTAATTTTGAAGGAAGATTGAAGATTTCGCTTTATTTTATATCGTTATACACATTAAGTATGTCAAACAATTATAATTCCTAACTTCCCTAATTTGCCATAATAAATTAAAATCCGTTCTATGAAATGTAAGCTGGATATCCTGATAAATTTTTTAATTTTCCAAAACCTTCATAAATATCTCCTAAGTACAAGTCATTATTCTCTAGAATAGCAAGAATTTTATTATCGTAAGACTAAGATATAGCTTTAATTTTGAATTCAAATTTATGTGTCTTAATGATGTCTAAGTATTTTTCACTCACTTAAAATAAAAAATTATCCTAAGTAAAATTAAAAATATCATTCTGTCTTTGGCATTTATTATAATTCATTATGCCAACTTTGTTAGATTTCATTAATTGTATTCCATTTTCACGAAATTTAAAGCAATTCATGCAACCTGTTTATGAAATCGAAAAAAATTAATTATCTTCAGACCAGTCTATTTCTAAAAATGTCAGAGTGTCTCTTAAATTGTATTCTTCTTAAAATAAATTGAACAAGGCACCAGTTGTGGAGGCTCCTTCAAAATTCAAGTTAGAACCTAATAAGTATGCTTGATTTAAATTTGACTTGTTGAAATTGATGTTTCTGTTCTTCCTTTCAGGGATGTAAACCTTTGTGAACGAACAGTAAGTGAGGTCAAGAAAAGGAAATTAGAAGTTAGACATAAAAATTGCTGTTAGTAGATTAGAGCTACCAATATCTAATTGGCTGTGCATTGATTTTTTTAATGTTTTGGCTCTTTTAATGAATTAAATGTATCTATTTTATTATAGTGCTTCATCCTAGCAATAACTGTCAAGAAACTTGCTACTATCTATGAAATTTTTAATTAATTTAAAAAATTTAATGAGTATTTATTTCTCTGATCTATAATCGGTTGGTCTATATAGCAGCTATTAGTTAATACCAAATTTGCATATCTTCTCAGCTCCTAATAAATATGTTTTTTCTATATTACAATCGAAATCATACCTCATAGCTCTAGCAGCAAAATATTCAAATAAATGTTTGGTTCTGAATTCAATAGCACTTTCTAATTGCGTTAATTGATTATACAGCACAGGGTTCTTCTAAAGTGCTAGTTAACTTACTTCAAAACTGGATGCTTTACTGACAGCAAAACTCGATTAACCATTCATAGTTTGAGCTAATTGCATTTACTAATTATTTAGACCCGCAATTGCAGTTGTTTGGTTAGCATTTTTTTCTTACTAAATAGCAACTCTTTTAAAATCATTAGAGTATGTATTTTTACTCTTTATTTAACATAAGGTATTATTTAAATTTGTCATAATATCTGGGTTAAAATACCCACATATTTTTTAGTATACTTCCTCTTGCTATTCTACTGTTAATAGCTCTTATAAATCTTCGCTTAAATAGTAGTCAATTAGTAATTTATTTCCTTAAAGATAATTTAGCACTTTACCTTTGTTTGTTAACATTTTAATTGAAATGCTTTGATAATATTCAAAAAACGAAGACTTGATCATTTATATTATCAATTCTGAATACTAGCAAATACCAATATCTTTGTATATCTTTTTGGCTTCTCTTAAGAATAATTTCTAGAAAAACAGCTCTTCAATTAAAATATTTTTTGATTTCAGCTATTTTATTTCTTCAATTTAGTTTTTATCTTCAAGCAATTCAACTAATCTGGCAAATAGGAATAAGTTTCCAGGGTTTTTTATTTATTTTTCTATAAATCTGTTGCTGTGAATGATATCTTGGGTATATTTTAGCAACTGCTAAGACTAAACATCTGAATTACAATTCAATTAGTAATAAACCTAGCAATAATCAATTATTTATTTTCTATTAAGCTTTTTTAGCTCAATGCATGTAAACAAATCTCTATCGATTCCGCCATATTCACAATCAATACTGAAATATTTTGTAAAATCCTTTTCTTAGAGCTAGTCATTCCTGCAAGTAACTATTATAAGCAGATTCTTCCATTGGTTCAAATTTAATTGTTAATAGATTCTAAAAAATTATCCTTAATATTAATCAAATCCATCTAAAAGTAAAACTTTGTATTTTTTCGATGCTTTTATTATTTAAATTAAGCTATTTCCCATTCCTTAACTGATCAAATAGCTTTCCAGCGATGGTTTCTAAAAATCTAATTGGCTAAAACTAACAAAAATAGGAATATAATCACAGTTCAAATCTCCATTTTACTAATTCATTTATTATATTAGTTTATTCTCAATTTTCTTTAGAAGCATTGTTTTTCCTGTCCCACCTTCTCCTACTATTGCTAAGATATGATTCTTAATTAAAGTATTATCATTAATTTTCTAGTTGCTTATTTTCTATTATTTCAAAAAGCAGTTTACAATCTTTTGAAATACTTAGTCTTATTCTTTAGGATTTTGTTTTTGTGCAGATAAATCACCTTCCATGAAAAAAAGTTATTTTCCAAATAAAAATTAGAAAGACTAATCAATGTAAAGCTCCTTTATTTCAAATAACAATTCATTATTATGAACCATATTTTTGAAATATTTCTATCTTAATTCTACTTACAATTATTCTATTTACTTAAGCTCAAATATTTCTTGAAATGAGTTTTCATCCTCTATTTATTCTTCTAATGATTTATAAGTATTTAGATGAACTCCAAATTATATTAAATCGCTCTTTCTTTAATCTTGTATTTCTATCATTCGTCTGGAAATCATTTAATTCTCTTTTAAATATCTACTTGCATATTCTTTGAAACTATCGCTGTTGAAAAAGGAAACTTAAACTAAAGGATTTCTTTCTGTGACATACAAATAGAATAGATGATTTTAATACTTTTCTGCTTCTTTCTTTTCTTTTACTTTTTCTGCTACTACCCTATATTTCATAAGGATCTAAGAAATCAAGAATCGGAATGTTGGATCTGTTTAAGAGAATATGAAAAACTTCTACTCTTATTCTGAAATATTTTTCTGTTTTGGCTAGAATTGCAAAATATTAATAAACTCTCTCATTTTGCTATTCGTTATAGGAATCTTCTTTTCCAAAGCTGCATTAAAATTAAATTTATATTTGATCTCTTGTTCATGAAAGCCGCATTCGAAATAAAAATTGATTTGAGTTAAGATATATAAAATCAATTCATTCACATCTGCTTGCTGTTTAAGCTCAATAAATCTATCAATATAAAATTCTATTTGGTCTTCAAATTTAATTTCTTTCTTTTTATCAAAAAGCTCTATCATTTTGAACCAAATTCTCAATAAATTTTATTCCATTTTAGTAATTTGAGAAGTCATTACCAATCTAAAAGAGTCTGAAATTTTGCGTTCGTCTTGTGGTTGAGCATTTCTCTCAGGGCCAACATCAGTAATTGTTTTAATTGAATCATAAAGAGATATTCCTCCATCTACGATTGATCTTAACTGGCTAACTAAATTAATATTTGAGCTTTATTGCTAATTTTTAACTTTATAGTTCCACTTCACTACTTCCCCTACAAATTGTTAAATTTTTATCTGTTATTATTAGTTAATATCATCGAGTCTAATTCTTTGCTAGATAAACATCTAAATAAACTATATTAAACTAATTATATCTGTGCATGAGCGATCGGTACTTATTACTTGAATTTATTACTTCAACTAATTAAACTTTTTATCTAACTCATCAAAATCTGTCTACTTGCTTGAGCTATTTTGGATGATCATTATTACATACTTTAAAAGAATATTTAAAATTTCAATAATAAACACTCTATAGTTTTCTATATCTGCTAATATCTAAGTATTGAGATCAATAAAGATCTTTTCAAAAATGAAAGCGATCTCAGTATCCTGCTTTGAGCAATTTATAACATCTGCTAAATGTTTTTAGTTGAGAATCTACTGAAAGACATTTAAAAACTCTTAACTTACTTAACTTACTGATTCTTATTTAGATTGCTTCTCTACAATGTGCTTATTAGAATTAACAACTCCCTTTGAGCAAGCTACTCCTCCTCCAAGTAATCTTTCTTTATTTAATTCAAATATTTAAGAATATTTCTTATTAAATCTAGTTTAAACTTTCATCTTCCTAACTAATTTTGTGTATCCAAAAGATTTTAGCAGTTCTTTTTTATTCATATTAGAATAAATCTAATTCTAATTCTACTCATTTTTGATCAGCATAAGTCTACTTTAATATTACTTAATAACTTGTAATTTTTGTATTTACTTTTTTATATTTAATGGGTCAATAAACTAAAAAATGATTTTAAACTTGAATGAAAAACCTAAATTTATATTTATGATAAACAATATATATCTTTGTTTATTTCCTCTAAGATTATGCAGAAAACAGTATGTTTGTTTTTAAATTATTAATTATTAATCAATTTTTTTTTTTGAGCTTTTAATAATACTTTAAAGCTAGCTAATTCAGGTAAGAAACATTCTACCAATTTAAAGTCTTTAATATTTTATTATTTATTCAAAAGTAACTTAAATATATAAACTAATTAATAAGCTTAATATATCCGGTTTATAAAAAAGTGGAGTTTTATGCTCAATTAGTTATTTTTCCTGTTTAGCACTAAAATTTTAGTCTATATTAAAAAAAGGATCATCATTAATATCAAATATTTGATATTTTTTAAGTTTTTTTTAAATGCAATATTGATAAGATTTGTTAAAAAATAAATATAGAAAATAATTAATTTACTCTGAAATAAAAGTAATAAATTGAAGAAGATGTTTCTTTTTTGTTTAAAAATGTATAAAATGAGTTAACGATTGATAGCTATTCGAAATTATAAATTATAATAAAAAAATTTTATGAATTTATTTAAATAAAATTATATTAGAAAGTAAACTATTTATTATTAAAAAGCTAAACACCAAATAATAAATATTTATTTATTTACTATTTAAAAATCAAGAATTTAAAAAATTAATAATAAAAATAACTAAGATCCCAAAGAACTAATTTTCTATAGGTTCTTAAATGTGTAAATTTAAACCATCTTTTAAAATTTATAACTAAAATAATAATTTCAGTTAAGGGATCTATCTATTTTACATAATGTAGATATTTTTACAAATTTTAATTTATTCATAGGTCTTATTTTGAAAATACACTTTATTTTTAAATAAATTCTTACAATCATAATTGATTTGATTTGATATGATTTCTTTTTTAAATACTCTGAATCATCTTTTAAATATTTATTTGAAAGAACTTCTTTAAATTGAGAAAGATAATAAAATTTTTCTATTTAAATATGTGTTAATTCACAGCAATCTAAGCAATATACATTTTGATTATTATTTGATATTCTTTTTTGCCTAACCAAAATAATCATTTGTCACTTCAATAAAAATTGGAGTTTTACTATTGCTATTTGATAAAATTTTCTTCTGTAGCTAAGTAGCTACTATTAAAAATTAAATAAAAAATTATAATTACTTAATTAATTTATAATTTTTATTTTATTTTAATATGTTTATTTATTTTTTTTTTAATTTAAAATTTTTAATAATAATTTTTTTATTTTATATAAATTAAAAAATAATTTATAAATTTTATGATATTTAAATTTATGTTCTTTTTCCTTTTCTTATTTTATTTAATTAAATATTAATTAATTAATTTATATATTAATAAATTATGAAGTCTATCATTTCACATTAATAATTTATTTTTTAATTCATTGTTTGTTTATAAAACAAAATATTTAAAGTATCTAAAACAGCTAATACTCCCTGGCTGAAAGGGTTAAATTAGTTTATATAATTAAAAATATCGCAATCTAAAACAAATAAACTCTTTTTACAAAAGTATAAGTGTCAAATTTGAGAGATTAATGCACTTTGCTAAAGCAGAACCTAATTATGACGCACCCACTGCACCAATTTTAAAAAAACTTTTTAAATATTGAAGAAAAAATATATAATTAATTAGTAATTTGAAGAAAAAAACGTAGAAAACATATGATATAATAAATAAAAGCAAAAATTACAAATGATGAGTTAAAATAACAAAGAAAGAGGAAAATTAAAGAAAGCACAATAAAAAGAAAAAGAAAAATAAATCAAATAAATAAAAAGAGCTTTAAATTAGTTTTTATAATTAAAAATATCACAATCCAACACAAATAAACTGTTTTTTACCTAAGGTTAAGTGCCAAATTTGAGAGATTAATGCAATTTGCTAAAGGAGAACCTAATTCTGATACCCCTACTGCACCAATTTTAAAGAAAATTTTTAAATATTGAAGAAAAAAGATATAATTAATTAGTAATAAGAAGAAAAAAATGAAGAAAACATATGATATAATAATTAATAAAAAAATCAAAAATTACAAATAAAATGATGAGTTAAAATAACAAAGAAAAGAAGAAAAATAAAGAAGGCACAATAAAAAGAAAAAGAAAAATAAATAAAATAAAATAAATGAGCTTTATTGTTTTAAATTAGTTTTTACAATTAAAAATATCACAATCAAAAACAAATAAACTGTTTTTACCTAAGTTTAATTATTAAATTTGAGAGATTAATGCAATTTGCTAAAACATTACCTAAGCCTGATGTACTTTTATAAATGGAACTTATGAAATATTGAAAAAAGAATATAAAATTAATTAGTTAATTAGAAGGAAAAAATGAAGAAATAATAATAAATAATAAGATTAATTAAAAATAAAATCAAAATTTCAAAATAAAATGATGAGTTAAATTAATAAAGAAAGAAGAAAAATAAAGCAATCACAATAAAATCAGATCAATATAGAGAACCTAATGAGATTAAAGTGAAGAGTTAAAAACTTTTTTATTAATAAAAATAAATTTAAAGGATATTAATAAAAAATTAATAATCACTTCTTCTAATTTTAAGTATTATTTCATATTTTATTTCATTTTTTTTTCTTCAAAAATATTGAAAGCAATTTATTGAATTTAATTAATTATAAATGGATAAATAGAATAAAATAGGCTATTAAATATTAATTTATAAATTTACTTTTATGAAGAGATATCACAAAAAAATTAATCTAACATTCATTATTTAATATTAATATTTGTATTTACATTAAAATTTTCTCGAAGCATAAAATGAACTGGGTGAAGCTTTGCATCTCACACTTCTTAATTACTTTTTTAGAATTGAAAATAATAAATTTATATAAATTGTTAAATATAAATATTTATATGCTTTAAAATTTATAATATTTTAAATAAAAAAAATAGATTTAAATAAAATATTATTTACTATATAAAATATTAAAAATAATATTACTGAATTAAAAATATAAATATTTATTTATTTATTTTTTATTTGAGAATTTCTAAAAATTAAAATTTGAAAGACTTTAATTTAGGAAAAAATATATTCATTTTATAATACAATTAATTATTTATTTTCTTATTGATAGATCTGATTTTTAATATTTAAATTTATAAAAATGAGATTTAGTAAATTTAATTCTCTTAAGCCAAATAATGTTCTACTTTTATTTAATTTATTTGGGAAATTGATAGATTGATATAAATAAATATATATATTGATAAGTATTATTTGTTTACTTAATTTGAAATCAAATAAGAAATATTAATGAATTTAAGAATATTTATCATACAAATAGATTAAATAATTAAATCAATTTTTTTTTTAATTAAATAGAATGGAATTGAAAATATGTTGCTAAATTATATTTTTTAAGTAAAAATACCATATTAAAACATTACATTTAATTTATGATTTAGCTCATAAAAATGGATTCTCTCAATAATTATAAGTCAAAAAGGTTTAAATTAATTTTGAAGGCTAAAAAAGTATAAATATTAAATTATTTCCCAATTCCGCCAACTTAAACAAAGGGAAAAAAAGGAAGAAATAATTGCTTTGAGAAAATTGGAAGTTGGCTGTAAAGAAAAATCATCTCATTCGTGTCTTAAAAATTGTATTTTTTCCTTGAAAATTAGATATATTAAATTCTAATAAATAGAATTTTAAAGATAAAATAAATAAGATTTATAATGAAGAGTAAATATGTTTGATTGATAAAATAAGATATCTATCAAAGAAAAGTAAGAAAAGCCATTGATTTTAGAAAGTAAATTAAATATAGTAAAATGAAAAAATTATGTGAGATTAATTAATTAATTAATTAATTGATAATATGATAGGATCTTAAAAAACATAGAATGAAAAGTATTTCATAATTAGCATATAAATAATAAATAAATGAATTTATTAATTAAAGATTGCGCGTGAAATATATATTACGAGCAAGCAAATTAAGTGGTAAAGAAACAAATTAATGTGAAGAACTATGTGAGTTTGCTTGCTCGCTTGATTTGTTTGTTAGCTTGGCTGCTTGATAGATTGTTAATTTGTTAGTTAATATGTTTGTTATTTTGTTTGCTTGTTTATTTGTTTTTTTTGTGAGTAGAAAGAAAGATTTAAATAAAAAAAAAGAAAAAAGAAAGGAAAGGAAGAAGGCGAAAGAAGAATCTGAATTAAAAAAAAGTAAAAAGGTATCAAATAATCCAAATTAAAAATATAAAGAAACAAAAAGTAAAAGATTAAATTCAATTATTTTAAAAAAGTCAAAACTATTCTAATATTTAATACAAAGCTAAAAATTTGCCTAAGATGTCCACAGTTGAAAACAAAGTTGAATAATAGGTCGTTACTGAATAACAACCCAATACCACTGAATAACCTGTCTAATAAGCTCAAGAAGGTGCTGAAGGACAATAACAATAACAATAATAATAACAATAACCCAAGAAATACAAGTACCTTAAATGCAATTACAAATATTGCAAGCACTACGAAGATATCAACTAAATAGTTAAGTCTTTCAAGCATCTCCAATCTCTTCAAGTTGAATTAAAGGTTGATGAAATTCCAAATGCTCTTTGTTATGTCATCCGTTCCAACAATGACGATGATGTCCACAAGGTTAGTTTATATTTTCTTTCTTTTTTTATCAATAAAAATTCAATTAGGCCACTAATTAATCGTCTCAAAACACCTTTAAAAGGATAGATTGTTATATAAGTGAACAGATTAACTGTAAATTCATTGAGGATTTACTTTTAATTCATTCAAAACATGTGGTTTAAGCGAATAAGTTATTTGATATTCAACTAACTTATTATTTTTATCAATATAGGCTATTAAGTATGGTATTTGGACTTCAGTTCCTGGAAACAATGTTAAATTGAATGCTGCCTGGGAAAAGGCTTAAGAATTAAACGTTGACGTCTATCTCTTCTTCTCCGTCGTTAAGAGTGGTCAATTTATTGGTGTTGCAAAACTTAAATCTTCCTTCCAAGAAGAAACTTTCTCTTACTGGTGGTAACCCCACAAAGTAAATAAATAAATATTTATATATATATATATATATACAAGCAAGCAAGCAAATATTTAATTATGATGAGCTTGTTTCTTTCGTGTTTATTATTGAGAGACACGATCAAGGTTTATATATACCTTGAATATGAAGAGTTTAATTTCTATATAATACTCTTATTAATAATCTTCTATTAAAAATAATAGTTCAAAGGTCACTTCAAGATCGAATGGGTTTTCGTTAAGGATGTTAAGCAAAAGGCTTTCGAAGGCTTAAAGAACATGTAAGAATAATTAATTATTTCTAATTTGTTTATTTTATGGCCAAAGTGCAAGTAGACAAGCAAGCTCTCCAAATCTCATTTCTACTTTATTTAAGTATAGAAAGATATGCTTATAAATCATAAATTCGCAGATACTTCAAAAAATTAATTAAGAAATTAAAAATAGTCTCAAGTTTCCACACGATAGCTACTTTAGATAAATATTTCAATCTATCAATCAATCAAAGATAATAAAAGCTAATTTTTTTGATTTATAAGAACACAAGCATATCTTTAATCACAATTTAATTTAATATAAAAATGAAATGATAATTAAAATAGCTTCGCGAAAATTAAAATCTTATTTGTAATGGATTAGCATTTTAATATTTTTTTAATGTAAAGCGTTAACGACGATATTTCCAGAAGCAAGGACTGCACTGAATTGAACTTTGAAGCTACTGGTAAGAAGATGCTTCAAATCTTCAAGGATACTAACTCCTCTACCTCTATCTTCAAGGATTTCGTTTACTTCGATCAATAAGAACAATTCATTAGAGCCAACTTCAATTACTTAGGTCGTCAAAATAATAAGGGAAATTATTAATAGAGAAATAACATCTAAAACTAAGCTTAATTCCAAAACTTTTTCCCTTAATTGATGGCCCAAGGAGTCTTCCCCTAGTACACTCAAGAATAACTCCAACAAATTTCTCAAATGTGCTTCACCAATATATATCCTCCCAACACCTATCCTGCATACAATAACGCTTACATCATGGGTAACAACTTAGGCAGCGGTCACGGAAAGTACCACAATAATAACAACAAAAGAAACTTCAACAATAAGAAAAACAACAACCACTAAAACAAGGAAAAGCCTTAACACCATTAAAACAATCACTAACACTAAGCTCAATAATAACCCCAATAGGCTGAATAAAAGAACTGAGTTAGTTTAATAAATGTTTTACAAAAATGATTTCGTTAGTCAGCAGTGAGGGAATGACTGACTGATTGATCGAATATCATTTTTTAATACAAAAACTTCTCTAAATATTATTATATTACAAATATATATAAAAACAAAATAGTATCATAAACCTATAATGCTTTAACCTTCAAACAACCAATTTATCAATCAATCCATACACCTATCTATATACCTCCCTTAAAATTGAAAAGCAGCTTCCCTTTGAGTATTTAGCACTTACAGCTCTTTGCCTATTTCAATTAAAAGTTTATATATTAATAGAGTAAATGTTTATTTATGTATCACCAAAAGACCTCTCAATAATAAAGCAATTTTAAGGCAACTAATTATCAAAGCTCTCAAGCATCTTTCTAAAATAGAAAGCAAGTAAGCAAAAGAAAGAAAATATTATATATAGTAAGGCAAAGCAAAAATAAGTACCAAATGGCTCAAAATTTATTCATGAAATAGTAATATATGAAAAGCATAAAACCCTTACAATATTACTCAAGAAATATTCTGAAAATTCACTCACAAAAACACTCTCACACACATAATAACTCACATTTTCTTACCTGAAGCTACAAATAATCAAAGCAATAATAGTAAAAAAAATCATTTATTAAAAATTTTGCGAAATATCTATACAAGCAACTCGCTTTAAGTATGTATATGTTATATAGTTTACAGACTTTAATAAATGGTTTCATTATTATTTCATCTTATTTAATTTAAATAAATTCTCAAAATTTGTTTATTTATGTGTTAGTATTAAGGCCTTTCGTTCACTATTTTGGTAAATCCATACCTTATTTAAATAATTCAATGAAAATTGCATAAATTATATCTATTTTTAACAAAGTTAATAAAATTTCTTTAATATTTCATCTTATTTAATTTTAATAAATTATCAAAAATTAATGCACTATGGTATTAGGGTTTTAATTCACTTACTTTGTTTATTCACACATTATTATTTAATTGAATGTTATTTGCATCAATTCTATCTGCTAATTACTAGAATTATTTTCAATTTATCAAAAATTAAATAACTAACTAACTACCTATCTCTGATTCTTACTATATTTTTAAGTACTCGTTTTAAATAGAAATATAAAGATTAAATAATTAATGGTACGCTAAATTTTTTATGGTATTCTTCCTAAAAGCAAATTTAGAAATCCGTATTTGATAATTATTATAATTTATTAGTTAGTTTTTTTATATCCGCTTATTATTAATTAAATTTCCATTATAGCTAAACGCCTATTTAAAATCTAGTGGTATGGCAACCTCTAGATGTTAATTAGGCTAGGTTTTTTTTAAAAAAAATATCTTTTTAAATAATTTTATTATAGAATTTAAAAATAAAATTAAAAAATGAATGACACTCAACTGTGACCTTACCCCCCCCCCCCCCATAATTTTAATTTAAATATTAAGGCCAGTATAAAAAACACTATTGTGAAGAAAAATCTGACCTTAATCAAACCACATTTAAAATTATTTAAAAACCGGCCTTAATTTGTGATATATCTTTCTAAAAGCAAATTTATCAATTCATTTTTAATAGTTATAATAATTTATTTTTTCTTATTATCCAAATTAATTTGAAATAAAAATAAATTAATTTTTAATATATATATATAATAGTTAATTAAATTTTGATAAATTGTTAGTCAAAATTTGAAAAAAAATAAATGAAATAATAGATTAAATATTACAACAAATTAGAAGAAGTAATTATTTTATTTTTTTTAAATATTCTTTAAATTTAATTTTATTAATAAAAAAGTTTTTAAATTCTGCAATCTAAACTCATTAGATTCTCCACATTGCTCTGAGGTATATTTAATTTATTAATATTATTATCAATATATTTTTATATTTAATTTTCATGTTATTTTTTTGTTATTTTTCTAATAGTAATTTTCATTTATATTCTTTCATTTTTATTAAAAATAATATTTTTTTTGATAATTCTAACTAAATTTTCACATCTTTTCAATTTTTATTTTTTAATTATTAATTTTTAATTGTTTATTATTTGATATTTTTTCCTTCTAAAAGTTACAATCAAATTAGCGATGAAAGTGCTTCAGGTTTAGGTTTTACTATAGCAAATTGCACTAATCTCTCAAATTTTACACTTTATCTTAGGTAAAAGCAGTTTATTTATTTTTGACTGTGATATATATTTATTATATTAAAATGAATTTAAAACAACATAACTCATTAAATTTATACATTTTTTTTCTATCTTTATTAATTTAACTTATTTTGCTTTTATTAATTAATTTGCTTCTTATTATTTATATTTTTTCTTAAATATTTCAAAAGTGGCAATTAAATTGGTGTAATTGGAGCATCAAACTTAGGTTCCGCTTTAGCAAATTGTTCTAATCTCTCAAATTTGACACTTGATCTCAGGTAAAATAGTTAATTTGTTTTGGATTGTGATTTTTTTATATATAAAAATGAAAATTACAATATAACTAACTCTTTTTTAATTTATTTATTAGCTTTTTATTTGGTTTATTTTTATTTTTTTTTATTATATTTGTGTTTTTTTTTCTATCATAGTTAATTTAACTCATTTTTTCATTTTAAAATTTTGTTTTATTATTTAATAATTAATTTCTTATTATTTCTTCATTTTTCATACTAACTAACTAATTATTTTTTTTTTCTTCAATATTTAAAAAGTTATAATTAAATTGGGGATGAAGCTGCTTCAGACTTAGGTTATTCTTTAGCAAATTGCTCTAATCTCTCAAATTTTACACTGGACCTTGGGTAAAAATAGTATATTTATTTTGGGTTGTGATATTTTTTAATATAAAATTAATTTAAAAAAATATTATCAATTATATGTTGATTCTTCAATATTTAAAAAGTGGCAATTAAATTGGCGATGAAGGTACATCAAATTTAGGTTTTGCTTTAGCAAATTGCACTAATCTATCAAGTTTGACACTTTATCTTCGGTAAAATAATTTATTTATTTTTGACTTAGATAAATGTTCATTTCTTTTTATTGTGCTTTTGTTTTTATTTTTGTTTAATTTAACTCATTTTTTAATTAAAATTTTGTTTTATTCAAAATAAATTAATTTTTTATTACCGTAGTTTCTCATTAATTTGAATTATCTAAAAACTACGGTATTTCATATTATAATTATATTACCATCAAACTAAATATTTTTCAGGGGTGGGTGGTTGTATGAAATTTTATTAGATGATTTATATATAAATAATATGAGTGAGTTTTTATAAAAGATTAAAAAGAAGTAAGTAAATTAATAAATTGTATTTGAAAATTAGTTTAAGATAAATTTCATAAATAATTTATTTATTTGTTTTAATAATCATGATAATTTTTATTAGAGTTTATATAATTTTTACTATTTGAATAGGATACAAAATGTATAATTATTTTTATTTGTAATAAAAACATCAATATCAAATTAATTAATCAAATGCTAAGCAAAAAATAATCAATTTCATGAATTTCTATAAAAAATATCTAAAATATTTATAATTAAAACAATAAATCAATTTTATACAAAAAATATGTTAACAATTATTTGAAAAATTTATAAAAAAATAAGTAAATATACAAATAGCTAAAGTGCTTATTATTAGTTTTAAATTAAACACTCCTTTCAATATTTTAAACGGCGATGGTGGAATTAATAAACTATTTAATGCATGTATTTACTTATTTTTTAGTTATTTATAATTCTAATTAAAAGTAAAAAGAATCTAAGAGAGGTTATTAAATGCTTATGTATAGATACGTTAAGAATAATTAATTGTTAAATCAAAAAATAAATTAATTAATTAATTTTTTTGTTTATTTGTTTGTTTGATTGTTTTAGTGCTAAGTTAGATTGTTAATTTACTTTAATAATTATTAAATATTAAATAACATTAAAAATACATTAAAGATAATGAAGACCTTTGATTTTAATTACAACTAATCAGCACTATAGAATTAATAAAAACTTAAAAATGGAACATCTTCTCAAATTTTAAAAAATATAAAGGATTAGGAGAATAAAAATAGCTCAAAAGATTAAGAAAACTTCAAAAATTCTCAGCTTTTGAGTGTTAAATCCATCAAGAAAATCGAATAAATTGAATAGTAAAGTGATAGAGTATAAATTCTGAAAGTCCCAAAAATTTAGTGGCAGCTTAGCGATTTTGAGCTAGGAAAACCATTAGGAAGAGGAAAGTTCGGCCAGGTGCATTTGGCTAGGTAACATTAGTTCTTGATTGTGTAATTGACTTACGAAATTTTTAATAAAGAGAAAAAAGAAGCAATTTTATTGTCGCTCTAAAATGTATAAGTAAAGAGTAGTTGAGAAGGAGCAAGATAGAGCATTAAATAAGAAGGGAAATCGAGATATAATCGCATTTAAACCATAAAAATGTGCTTAGAATGTTTGGATTTTTTTGGGATGAATAAAAGATTTATTTAATTTTAGAATATGCTCCTCAAGGAGAGTTGTATTAAGACCTATAAAAGCAAGTAAATTTATTTCTGAAACACACCATTATAACTAAATATTAAATATAATTATTGCGCAATTTATGCTTTATGAAATAAAAATAATTTGTTCATATTAATAGATAAACAAGAGATACCCTGAATAAAAGGCAGCTAATTACATCAAATAAATGGCAGAGGCTTTGATTTATTTACATAGCAAAGACATTATTCATAGAGACATAAAACCAGAAAATCTATTGAATTCATTTGTAAACAGCTTCATAAATCAATAAATCTAACTAACAATTAAATAAATAAATATCATTTAAATATCAATATGCAAAATAGATAAAAAAATTATTCAAACAATCAATGTTATTTGATTAAAATTTTTAATTATTAAATTTATTTTATTGACCTCATTTATTTATTTACTTACTTACATAAAAGGGAACAATTAAAATAGCAGATTTCGGATGGTCAATTCATTCACCTTCAAACAAAAGACAAACTATCTGTGGTACCCTCGACTACCTATCCCCTGAAATGGTAGAAGGAAACACTCATAATTACACTGTTGATATTTGGAGTCTTGGTGTTTTGTGCTATGAATTTTGCACTGGTAAATTATTTGATTAAATGAAATTAATTTATTGATTTATTTATTAAAATGTATTTTAAAAAATTAATTACAAATAAAATTAATTTTTAATTAAAATCATTAAGTAAATAAAAATAATTATTATTAATTTGCAGCTTTGTATTTAAATTTAATTGCCATGATTTTACTAATAAATAAAAGTAATCTTTATAAAATTTATAAGAAAATTAAAACAAAAATTAATTGAATAATCGTTATTGTTAAAAATGGAGTATATTTACGAATAATTTTTAAATAAAAAGGATAACCTCCATTTGAAACCAAAAGCTATGATTAAACATATGATAGAATTAAAAAAGTACAATTTAGTTTCCCTGATTATTTGTCTATTGAAGTCAGAGATCTTTTATCAAAAATTTTAGTTTATGAAAAGAGCTAGAGATTAGATTTAAATAACATCTTAAATCACCCATGGATCTAAAAACACAATCCTCCTTAAAATTAAGTAACAAGTCAAGTACCACTTTAACAGCTAAACTAAAATATTTGTTGATTAACTTAAACAGCAATTTATTTTTATACAATGACACAATCCTTTTAATTATATGATCATTAAAGATCTTTCTATCTTTATAACTAACAAACTAACTTCAACCCAATTTTTCTTTTTCTAAATTAGAAAAAAGAGAAAATAAAAATAATACTTAATAATTCCTATAATTAATATAACCTAACATTAACTTTTGTACATATATATTCATAAATAAAAATATAATTGATATTCAAATAAATAAATTTTAAGAATATAAATCAACTTTAATCATTAAAAAACTAACTTTTAAAGATTTTTATCATATTTTTTAAGTTTAATTTATTAAATTTTTTATTTTTTACCATCAATAATTCAAGTTTTATTAATTCATCTTGCATCTAATTATGAATTACTCAATTTAATTTTTATTTATTTATGTTGCCATTTTTTCAAATAAAAACTAGCATTTTTTATAATCAATTTTAAAGGTAATTCTAATTATTTAAACATTTTCTTATTAAAAAATTGTTTAAATTAAAATTTTTAAATATTTTTTTATATTTATTTCAATCCATCATAAAAAAAATACTGGAATTAGTTAGTTGCCTTCTATTTAAAACAAAAATCTTTTTTTTAAATGGTTAAAATATTAAGGTATTTTTATTTAAAATATCATTAAAATGTTTTTAAAATTAAAATAAATAAAAAATTATAAATTTTTTTTAATATGAAAAATCATCACTCATTAAAAGGTAATTTGAAAATATCATTTTGGATCAATCAATCATTCATATAATTAATTAGATTATAAACCTTCAAAGAAACTTTTGGTTAATTTCTTTAGTTATTTATGCGAAATCTATTAATTAATTGTTTATTTATTAATTCATTCATTCGTTTGATAAAAACAACTTAAAAATTTCAATATCATTTAGATATAATTTAGAACAACAAATAGCTTTTAATAGGGAAATTTAGTTTAAGCCAAATCTGTTTATTGATGTATAAAGGAAGGGAAACAACAAAATACTCTACTAGTTAAAATAGAATTAGCTATGAAGATGATGAATACGATAAAGACAAATAAGATGATTTTAATTATAAGCAAAGTTAGCAAAATCCAGATTAAAAAGTTTAATATGTACCTGTACCTGTTATGCAATATCCTCCGCCTTTTTATGGATATAATCCCTATTAGCAATTTATGCCTCCTCCTTAAGGCATGTAGCAAGGCAATCCAGCCTAACAAAAAGATTAATTTTAAAACCCTAACTATCCTTTTTAATATCCTAACTTTCCTCCTTTTAATCCACAATATCCATTCCCTTAGTAGCAATTTAATTTTTCAGGACAGTATTTCTATAAAAATAAGGATAAAAAAGAAAGCGGAATGCATTTAAGCAAATAAAAAGATGAAAACTCAGCATTCAATTCATCTCATTATGGTAAATTTAAGTAAAATCAAGGAAAGCAAAGTCACCTTGCATCATTAAAAAATAAAACTCCTTCATAAATCGTGAATGAATTTAAGGCATATACTTTACCAAAACTCAGACTCAAAAGACTGATAAAATTATAAGCATTAATGAAAGGTTATCATGTTAGAAAATATGTAGTACCCAGAAAGAAAGCAATGATTAATGTTATGAGAAATTATGTTGATAAGCTAGTTAAAAATTATGTTGAAGTAAAGTACATTTTTATACATTATTAAATATTAATCAAATATAAATCTTTATAATGTTGTATATTTATAGATTAATTAATCAATAACAATAAATACTGTATATAATTTATAGGATAAAATAGTGCCAGACATTGTGCTTGAAGTCCTAGCTTATAATAAATATAATGAAGATGTACATCTCTATTCAACTGAGTATAGAACTTATTTAGAAATTATGGATAGGATAGTTTAAAGAGTAGTAAGAAATGAAGCTCAATAAGTTGTCAAAGAATCTACTGATAATATTGTTTCAGGGTAAGCAACAAATAAATATAAATAATTAATATTTTAAATGATACTTTTAATTTTAAAAGCATTTTATTTTAGATTATTAAAATAACTTTCTAAGTTTTTCAGATTCCTTTAGAGTTTGATAATCAAAAAAAATTTGAAGGTGAAAAATTTCTAAAAAAATGAAGCAATTCTAATGAAACAGAAATTTAAATTATTTTTCTTCTTCAATTAAAGATTTTATCATATAATAACAATAAAATTTGCTTTTATAAAGCAAAAAGAACAATTTTATTTTAACAAATTCAAATTTAAAAATAAAAAGTAATTATGAGTGAAAGCCTATCTTGATAAAAAAATTAATTTAATTTAAATATTATTTAATAGATTACTTAAGTCAAATTCAAAAAAATAAGTTTAATAAATATGATAGAATTAAGTTATAGTAATTTTAGGGGGAAAATTTGGATGAAACTTAACATACAAACAAATAAATATAGTTATGATTCTTGCTTTTTAGTTAAATTTATTTTCAAATATTCATTAGAGTTAAGCACAGGCAAAAAATAATAATTTAACATAAAAAATCCTTAAAAAATAAAAATAAACTTAAATAAATAAAAAATAGATATTATTTTTATTAATTTATAAATTTAAATTTAATGTTAAAATACTAACCAAATTTAAACATGTTTAAAAAAATAATAACTAACTAAACTTAAAAACAAAAATATTTTTTTAATAAAAATTGGATTAAAAAATATCTAGGATAGGATGATTCTTTTTTTATTAAATAAATTAATTGACTTAAACAAAACTAATTAATTTTTCTTTACTCTTAATATTTAATTAGTTTTAGAGCTAATTTAAATTTAAAATAATTTTTTTGATGATATTTAGAATCAATCACAAGCATAAAATTTAACTTTTAAAATATTTTATGCTTTTTAAGTTAAAAAAATATATTTTTACTTTTATTTTATTTTACAATTAGAATCTTGAGGCAAAGAGATAATCAGAAACCTATTGAAGAGAAAGACCCGATGGTTTTAATTGCTAGAGATATAATTATTAATACAATTAAATAAGATTGCTTAGAAGTAGCAAAAGATGGTGTATAGGAATTAACTTTTGAATATATGGAAGATATCCATATTAGGAATCTAATTAGTTCAAAATATGTAACAAGAGCAGTCAAAGAAGTTGTGGTTGATGCTATTTAAGAAATCGCTATTGAAGATTTAGTTGATGAGTTAATTCTTAAGAATACTTAATAGCTAGCTCTTCCTTTAGCCCAGCACATGTATGATTTGGTTTAGTAAGAAATGGAGGGTGTGTAATTAGAAAAAGCTATAGATAACTATATTTTAAGAGGAATGATAGACATTATTCTTGAATAAGCTAATGTAATCATTGACGATAACAATAAGGCTCTTATGGACATATAAGAGGTATTACAATAAAGCAATCCTGATTCTAGAATAGGAATGGATGGAGTTATTTAAAATAAAAATCCTAAACCATCTAAAAAGAAGGATAGCAACTAATAATAAAAATAACCCTTAGAAGAAATTTAATCACAATAATCAGATAATTCGATTTAATAATTAGATGAAGCTTTAAATAATTAAAATTAGCAGTTCAATAACTAGCAAGGATCAGAATAATAAATACAGCAACCCCCAAATATGCAACAGCAACAATATTAACAGCAGTAATAAGAGTAATAACAATAATAATCTTAGCAATAGTAATAATAATCTTAATAGTAGCAAGGATAATAGCCTAATTAGCAATAGTAAAACCAGCAGTATTAATAAGCTAATAATAAATAATAAGGTAAAAAATGATTGAAATCTATGTAAGTTAAAACAAAAGAAACTAGTAAAAAAAGTTAATAAGAAACTAATAAATAAATATCCACTCACTTATTAATCCACTAATTTATCTAATGTATTTAATTTTAATAGATATATATATTTTATTTACATTAATATCAAATAAGATAGAAAATTAAAATAATAAATTGAAAAAAAAGAATAAAATGCTTTCACCATCAAAATTTACTTAAATTTTGAATTTTCTTTTATTTATTTTATTTTGTAATTTAAAATAAAATTATAGCCGCAAATTTAATAATTCACAAAATAACAAAACAAGTAAAATTGTTTTGATTATTATTTTAAATTCCTATTGAAATAAAATATAAAGTTCCTTTCTGATAAATGATGATATTTTATTTTTGGATATAGAATAAATGAACAAATGAACAATACTATTTTTTCTCTAAAATTGTTTTTATTGACCACTCTAATTTGAACTTTCTATAAATAAATACTGATGATATTTTAAAATTTTGTAACAATTTTAATGAATAGAATTCAACATTCATTAGATTTAAAATAATTTAAATTTCATGTATCCCTTAAATTTCATCAAAATTTTATTTTTTTAGTGTTAAAAATTCGATTTATTAGATATTTTTTAGTTTTCTTTTTGAAAAAGAAAAGGAAAAAGAGTATTTATAATTAATTATTAAGTTTCGATCTATTTTAAATCTTAAACCGAGTTCTCCTTAAATAATTTTCTATTACTTTTATTACAATAACCTAACCATCAAAAAAGACGATTAATTTTTTATAATGAAAGTAAAAAAAGGTTTCTTTTTTTCTTAAAGACAACCATTTTTATTTTAATCTCATAAAAAAATAATATATATTTTTAAAAGCATGCATCTTTCATCCTATAAACTTATTCATCCTTATAATTTACAATTCATTCTACTTTTATCAAGTGCTTATCAAAAATTTCTATTAAAAGCTAATTTGGATTTATTAATGAATATCACACTACAAACAAAATAAAATGACTACAATTGACTTTTAAATATCTTAACTGTCTCAAAAAACTTAATTATTCCAAGCTGTTAAATCAAAGAAATTCCAACTAAAAAATCTAACCATTAAAAATATAAATACGAAAAATTTAAAGTTATTTTTATAATAATCCTATTAATTAATATTTTAAATGACTCTGGTTTAAAAAGCAAAACAAATAATTCTTTACTTGTTTAAATAAATGAGAAAGTGAATTTTGTTAATTTTCTTCTTTCCTTAAAATTTTTAGCCACATATTTTTTAAAAATAAAATATTTTTAATTTTTTAAAATTACTAGACAAAAAATTAAAGAAACCTAAAATATTTAAATAGAGTAATATTAAAATTTTAGGCAATTAGTTTATTTCCTATGGTGCTTATGATAATTAATAATCTTTTATCCATTTTTATTTAAGAGAGATTTTTGAAAGTGGTATTAAATTACTTTATTAGCTTTATTAATTTGGTAAATTATTTGGCTACTTATATTTACACTAATAAGGTATTTAATGTGTATATATTGTTTTATTTAAATAAATTATTAATTAATTTGATCTATTTTCAACCACTAACATTTTGGATTTATTGTGAATCTTTTTTTAGATGATTAAACTAGAAGTCTTTTGTTATTATTAAGTATAATTCACTATTTAATATTTTATAAATTTGATTATCAAAATATGATTTATTTCCACCCAATTTTTTTATTTTTTATTTATAAAACAGATAGATGGATAAATGAATGCTTATAATATGTAAGTAAGAGTAATTTTAAAATTTTAGGTTTACCATTTATAAATTTTACTTTTTTACACTTAACTAAGAAATAAAACAGTAATTTTTCAAAAACAGCTCCTCTTCTTTCTATAATAAAATAAAAGCTGAATAATTTCACTTAAATATTTTCAAATGATAAAGGGTATTTGATTGTTTATTTTGCATATATATTGAAAGTATTTTAATTTATTTATAGCGACAATTATTTTACATTAATTGATTGAGAAGTTTATTTAAAAAGAGTTTTATTGGCAAATACGGTCTTTAAGAAGTTTAAGGATTTAGAGATTTATTAATTAAAAAATAACAAAAACAAATTTAAAAACTATAATTTGCAGTACTAAAAAAATGCTCAAGAGATTCTTTAAGTCTAGGAATTTGAAAGTAGCAATTATTGCTCTTTGTGTGGTAGGAACTGTTTACTATGCCACATCTTCTGGTGAACCTGATTTCCCTGTAATTGACATGTTTTAAAATAGTATCAGTGCCAATACAACTTATAGTGATGTGATTAGCTCTGAGAGAAAAATGAAAATCTGTGGTGGCATTTTCCATACAGATGATTCCAAATTTTAGCATTAATGCTAACTCTTCTGGACAACTCAAGATATTGTTGCTAAGAAAGATGCCAATGACTCTCTTACTGTTTACATAGCTTATAAAAGCTTTGAATACGCATCTTAAATTAATCCTAAGAGTATTCATCGTAAGAAACCTTAGATTTTGGATTTTAAGAGTTAAGATTAGAACTTGATTTTTAGAGCTAAGGTTACAGCAAATGGTGAATTGCTTAAACTTGAATGCCCTGCTGACAAAATACCTAATGATTTGCTTGTAAAAATGACTGAAAAACTCATTGATCAATACTTCCCAAACCTTAACGCTACTCTCTATGATGATGAAGATTATGATTTCAACCTTTTAGGTGCCTCTAAATCAAAGGCTCCTAAACGTACTGAGCGTACCTCTCTCGGTAAAGTAAAACCTAAATTTACTTTCAAGCGTAATAAAGATGGATCTACTGAACTCAAAAAATCCTACACTCATGATGACATAGTGAACAAAGATAACGTTTTAAAGAAACCCAATTTGAAATATCATTCTAAGTTCACAGTAAAAGATGGCAAAGTCAGATAAAACAACGAAGCCTTATCTTTTTCTCTTAATCGTGCATAATAAAACATGACTCTTGCATCTAGCAATGGATAAGATAACAATTAAGAGTTGATTGGATCAGTGAATGTCGATATCGAAAGCAATTTAACTCTCACAAATGTAACTAAGAACGTAACCTTTATCAGACTTGTTGATTTCTATGAACAAAATATTTACTATCGCCAACTTAACACCACAATCGATGAACCACTTAACATTGTTCCTTAACCTTAAAAGACTGTTTTGCAAGATGGTTCTGATTTAATTTTCTAGAGAGATTATCAATTCTTTTAACAAAGCATCTTGAATAATAACTTTTACTTGAGTGCAAGTATTCACACTTCATTAAGAGAAACAAATATTAATGCTGATATCTTCTTGAACAACAAATCTTTATTCTCTATTTATTCTTAAAAAGTAGAGCATAAATTCTTGGCTTGTGATCCAATTTAATTATAATAAGACTATTCAACCTAAGAGTTCAAAATATTCTCATATACTTATCCATTGTATGGTGGCATAGTAAAAATTCCAGTTAACATTAGTGTCAACTTAAAATATGGATGGGCCTTCACAGAATAAAAGAGAGAGGATTATAGCGATTGCTAGCTTTAATTCAAGCCATACGTATAACCAAATATTCTAGGAACTGCTTCTGTCAACTTTTTAAATATGGGAGAAGCTGGTATAAGAGCTCATGGTATTTTGGTTGATACTGTAGCTACATTTGAGGCTGATGTAAATAATGATTTGGATGTTTAGCTTGGAGTTGATATTTTAATACAACCATATAGCTACGACATTTCCATGTATTATTCAGTTGTTGAGTGTCCAAGCAGTAGTGGTTTAGTCTCTCTTGTTAAAATTATAGCCAGTAATGTTGGATTTTAGTCTGACTGTAAATTAGATGGAGCTAATTAGACAATTATTCCCTTAAAGAGTGATAAATCAGATAATCCAATTCAAAAGAATATATTCTCAACTAACTTCAATGTAAAATAGATTGCTTAAAATGCATTAAATAATATTGGAGGTGGTGGAAATAGTGATGCTGGCTCCGGTGACAGTGAATAAGTTGTTTTTTATCAATGAAAACTTATTATTATTATAATAAAATAATTTCTGTAAAATTATATAAATAAATATCTATATCAAACTACTAGCTCTAATATAATTTTTTTTTACAGAGTTCATTCGTTAATCATTTTTTAATAAACCCTCTTATATTTGGATTTAATATTCAATTTATTTAATTATTAATTATTTCATATTAAAATATATTCAAAATTTAACTTTAAATAAATATATAATAACCATACAAAAAAAAAAGTAGTTGTTTGAAGCTGCAATAATAGTGAAAATTTTATGTAATATTTATTTTTTAAATCGCTCGTTTATTTTTTAAGTGAAAACTAAAATAATGTAAAAAATAAATAAATTGATCTAAATTTTTACTATTTGTAAATAATAAAATATTTGTTAAGAGGTATAAAGGTATTAGTGGTAATAATTTAAAATATATTAATAAAATATTAATTATAAATAAATTTATTAATAGGTACCGTAGGTACTCTTCTATAAGGAGGGTCAAAAAATAACTTATTTCCAAATTTTACTCTCCATATTTCATTCATTTCTGTTTCCAGCCATGGCAAAAATAGGGGAGGGAGGAGCAGATGTATCCAAATGTATAAATATTAAAACATACATTAATGGCTCAAACAAATTAAAAAAATTCAGATGTTAATAAATAAAAATAACTTTAGTATTATTTAATTCTGATAGAGAAAATTTTTATTAAAAATAAATTATTTATTTATTTATGTTTTTGGATAAAAAAACTATGCCAATGAAAAAATATAGTTGACAAAAATTAAAAATAAGATAGCAAGCAAGCAAATAAGAAATCAGATCGCTGAAAATAGAAAAATAAAATTTACTAATATTTGGTTTGTAAAAGTAGATTATAAAATGAATGAAATAAAAATTAACAACTACTTTTTTTTCAAAATAAGTCAGTGAATATTATTCGCCTTTTTTATTACCGCAGTGATGAATTTTAATAAGCTTTCTTATTGAAATAAATAAATTAAATAGTTAATTGATAATACATCTACAATAATTTATAAGAAAATAATTATACTACATTTAGCTAGTATATAAATATATAAGCAAACAAACAAACATATTTTCATAAGCAATAAGCAAGCGATAATCGAAGTAATCAGAAATGAGTAATCTTAAGAACTGTTCTATATCTCTACCTATGAAGAATTAGTAGCCAATAGAATAATCGATAAAGCTATTTTAGGTAAGCGATTCCAGCAAGTTAAAGTAATAATAATTAAAGTAGAAGATAGATAATAACATCTAAAAAAAACCTACACCTCAAATATTTTAAGACACTTCTAACCTACCTTAGGCGCAATTAATATACTTAAACAATCAAGGGCTTACTCCAGGATCTCAGTAGTCTTCCACGACTTTTGGCGCTAAATGGAGTCCTGTAAAAGCAACCAAAGTCTAAGCTGACGAAGATTGTATTTTAACATAGCGAAATTAAAATTTAGCTAATGCTCAAGAGAACATAAAAAACTATCAAATTGCGTAAACAAAAAGCTCTAAAGAGAACACAATTTAATCAGTATTTACATAAAATACTCTATAGGCATCATAGCAAAAAATTTACCATCATCATAAGAATTTTTAAAGCTGTGGAGGAATTAATTTAGGTTAATTTAACCAATAAATGCATCCTCAGTTTATTGATTAAGACAATTTAATATCTCCAAACTAAAGTGTTAAGAATTCAAGAATGTTAAACAGTACACATTCAACAAATAATTTCATTTTAAACAGAAAAGATTCTGGGAATTTGATTAATAACTAAAATGTGTAATTAAATGACACTCTCGCTCAGGTTAGTAATGGTAGTTCATAACAAAACTTAAATATTAATAATGTTAGTAATATAGGAGTTTATAACCCATTGAGCAATATGAGTTCTCCATTAAACTAAAGCGTTAATGTATTTTTGTAATCAACCAGAAATAATAAGTAAATTGAGGAAGCTGCCTACAAACAGCAGCAGTTGCCAATAAAAGATTAACAGAAATAAATATCTAGCACATTTAACTAATTTCCATAATCACACAGAGTTTCATAAGTTCAGTCAAAAAGCATAAGCAGCATCTAGCAAATAGGAATTAATTTAGAGTAATTAATTAGCCCTTAAAGCAATTTATAAGATAAAACTCGTTCATTTACACCTAACTAAAGAGCTGCTAATGGGATAGAAAGTAAGATCAAAAAGAATTAAAACTGCTTTTTAAATAACTAGCAGATCAGCAATAGCATAAGAACTTAGAAATAAAATTATATTCAATACTCAAACTATCCTATGAATTTGATTGAAGAAGAGAATTTAGAATAAATCGATAAATTAATAATAAAAAATAACACTGGTCCTAATGCATAAAAAGTATAAGACAAGAAAATATTCAGTGAAGATACCTACAAAAATGAAGTTAAATAAGTGTCATTAAAGCAATTAAGCTTAAATAATTTATAAGGAGGACAACATGCTTAAGGCGTAAATTTAAGCAACCATCTTTAAAATAATTAATAGAGCAAAGTGAATCTCTCAAATAATAACATAGCAGTTCAAACACCTTAAAATTCTAACTCTAATTAGTATAGTCAAAACGCTTTAATTTAATAGCTGCTTGCACCATTTTAACCTAATAAACAAATCAATTAGTAACCACAATAATAATAATAACAATAACAACAATAATAGAAATACTAACAATTTACCTAATAAAATCAATTAATATAGCCTAAAAACTAGTAATAATAATTATAATTTTAGTAAAGTAATTTGTATTAAACATTACAAAATGTGTAGTAGTAATAATAACAATATGCTTCTACTAACGTTGTTAATAATATAAGCAATAATAACAACAATAGTTAAAATAACACCACAAATAAATTTGTGTTTGATTAATACTGCATAAATTAAAAAAAAGTATCAACCCATGATAATGGAACACATCAAAATGCAACACTTCAATAATCATGTTAAAATTTAATAATAAATAATAGTAATAATTTTAATTCAAATAAAATATTTAATTAGAGTTCTTAAAATTTCATGATGGCAAGCGCTCAAAATAGTGTAAAAAGCTAAGTTCCTAACTTAAATTTAAACTTTGATCAATCAGTTTAAAAAATTCAAAGCAATACGGGAAGTACTTCTAACAGAAGTTCCACTCCTTCTCTTTTGCATGCGATTATATCTCCTCAATGCAGGTAATAAATGACGTGCATGAATCCTTTAACTGATAAATCTAGCGTAATTACACCATCAAACAAATTTATTCCTACAAATTTACAATTTCAGGATGGATAAAATATTGGAATAACAACTTTGCTTAATAATCAAATGAATTTAAATAACAAATAAATGCTCAATAACACAAACATACAAAATAGTAAAAGCAATAACTCTAATATCACCACAATTATTAGCGCTAATAATAACAATAATAATGTTAAGTAAAAAATACAAAACAATAACACCAACAATATTTCAAATTAGAAGAACTATAACAATACCAACTTAACTTAATCAAATACTCTTCTTTAGTAAACAAAAGATGAACAAAGCTTGATCAATATTTTAGGATGCAGTTAAAATTGTGAGTATGAGTATACCCCCAGAAACTAAAATACTCAAGCTTAACATAGCGCTGCCTCTTATGGTACAAACTAAAAGTAATAAATTCCCCATCATTAATCGAGTAAGTCTCTCTCAGGAGTAGGAAACAAGAGCAACTTTAACAAGAACTCTGAAACTCCTTAAAATTAATAGAACAATAGCTATTTTAACATAATTTAAGATATTATGAAGAGTGTTGAAAAAAATAACCAAGATAATTGTCTCTAAAAGACTCCAAAAGTAGAAATCTCTTTAAAGTCAAATACTCCTTCTACACCATAAGTTAATTACTTAAATGCAAGTCCATAATTGATTTCAAAATAACCACAAAAAGAAAAATAGAGTAGCTCTAACATTTAATTATCGAGTTAATAAGATTCAACTAAAAACTAAATTGAAGTATTTTAGGTGACTGATTTTAAGTAATCAACAAGTTCAGCCGATGTAGCTATTTTTAAACCTAACAAAAAAGAAAAACTTTGCACCGAAACAATTGACACTAATATATTTTTCCCTGTTGATACTTATAAAAACATAAAAACTGAGGTATCCTAATCAAATAATGGTCAAATATTGTTGCTTTCACAAAACTAATAACTAAATACAGAATAAAGTGACAGTTTTTACTATTACCAAAGCAAAAGAAAATATAATGTAAAAGACTTTGAATTCATCAAGCTATTAGGATAAGGTGTATTTGGCTAAGTTCATATGGTTAGGTAAATAAACAATAAATTCATTTAAAATTTTAAAAATATTTTTAATAATAAGAAAATTAAAAATTTATTTTTTAATTAAAGAGATAAGAAGACGAAGGGTATTTTTGCTTTAAAGCTAATTGACAAGTAAATGATAAAGGAGAAAGAAATGGAAACTTAGCTGTAGAGAGAATTAAACATCCACAGCTAATACAGCAATCATGAGAATGTTTTAGAATGCTTAGGATACTTTGAAGATGAAAAGTATTACTATCTACTTTTAGAGTATGCCTCAGATGGAACCTGCGCCTCTTTGATTGAAAATCTTCCTTTGAGGAGACTTACTGAATAGCAATCTTGTAACATTGTTAAACAAATTCTTGAGTCAGTCAACTATCTCCATAAAAACAAAATTATTCACAGAGATTTAAAACTTGAAAACGTTTTGATTTCTAACGTAAATAAAATTACTTTTTTTATTTATTTATTTTTAGTCATTTTGATTTATTTAAGTTTCATAAAAAAAAAATTAAATTTTATAATAAATATTTGAATAATTTTAAATAAAAAGGGGAAAGTAAAATTATGCGATTTCGGTTGTGCAACATTTTGTGATAATCCTCCTTATTAAAGGAGAAGATCATTTTGTGGAACATTAGATTACGTATCTCCAGAAATGATTTAAGACTAAATTTATGATAAAGAGATAGACATATGGGCTATAGGAGTTATTACTTTTGAGCTTTGTTCAGGTTTTGCTCCTTTCACATAATTTAATGATCAGTAAACTTACTCAGCTATTTAAAATGTAAATTTTTTATTTTTATGTATAAAATTAAACTCCATATATTCATTTAGGTTAAACATGCTTGGCCCAAGTGTTTTTCAGAAGAATTAAAAGACTTTATTTAAAAGATATTTGTTGTTGATCCAACTTAAAGAGCAACAGCAAGTTAATTACTTTATCATGATTGGATTCTTAAACATGAGAATTTCAATTTAAAAAGTGCTTGAACTTTTATTAAATATACATATAAATTATACTAAACTATCAATAAATATATAATATTACTGAGTATACTATGTTAAATCAAATATTTATTTGTTCTTTATAGTTAAAAATTATTACTATTCTTAATAAAAACTTATTCATTCCTAGTTTTATTTCTACAATTATAAATTTTATTTACTATTACTTTTGTAACAAATTTTTTAAATGGTAAAATTATTTGTTTCTTGATAGGATATAGTAACAATAATAATATAATTTAATGTAAATACTCATAATTTCTCATCCTTATAAATTTTGACAAAAAATTTTTTTTTTTAAATTATCAAATCTAGGAATTAGTTAAAATAATTAGTTTGGTAAAAGGATATGGGATAGATATTATACATTATATATAGTGGTTTATAAATTACAAGAAAATTAATTTGATTATAATATAGTAAGGAGTTTTTAATTAATTTTAAGCTTTTTTTGATATTTATTTGTTAATTAAAATAGTAAATTTTTGAAATTAGAAAACTTTCAATATTTATTATGAACTATTTCTCTGCATCTGTTAAGGACCATTCTATTTAGCTTATCGTTTTCTTCTAATATTCCTAAATTAACTGTTGATCTTTCAAGTGTAATTATTGGAGGTTTGCCAAAGCCATCCACAGAAGGAGCTCTTGCTCTAGTTTTTGTAAGTTACCTTTCTAAATCATTTCTTCTTCTATCTATATCATGTAATCTGCCTTGCAAATCTAGACATTCCCTTCTTTTGATTTCTAACTAGCTTTGCAACTCTTATAAATAAGGATGATTTGGATCAATTTATCCAGCCTTTCCTCTCCAAATTTCTATATCTCTGCAAGCTTTATCTAAATCTATCATAGCTCTATGATACTTTGACCTAAATTAGTTAAATTTATTTAAAATTTTATTATAAATAAATAATAAAATTAAACCTTTCAACATTTAAGTCGGCAATTAAATTTTCAACTTGTCCTTTCAATGAAGTTATTTCTCTTTCATGCTATTTAAAATTATTAAAAAATCATGATTTTTTATTTCCATTTTAAAGTTATGCTTACGTCAGCTATAATTGTCTTAAGTTAAATAGAATGATTATTAAATTATGTTTCGAATTCTCTCTCCATAAGGTGTCTTTAATCCTCTAAATTTACCTTAATTTAAGTCAATTTAAGAAAATTAAATTAAATAAAATTTTATTTACTTTATGAATAGCTTCCATTTCGTTTATTTTTTGATTAAACTATTCAATCTGCAAAAGTCTTTTGGCTTCTGAAGCTTCGTAATCTCCATTTGCTATCTTCAATTTATTTTCTAATACAGTAATATTGCTCTCAAGTTTATGCATTAAACCATCATAATGTTATCTCTGATCAGTAATTTCTTTTTCTAATTTCTAACGGAAATCTATTTGCATTTCTCTTTTCTCTTTATCTGCGTTTTCTCTATTATTAAATTTAACAGTTTCAATCTCCTCAATGTGTTATACTTTTAGTCTCTCCATATCTTTTTTCAACATTTCTAGTTCGCTTACTAAATTATTTTAAATAAAAAATATTATTTTAAATTCCAAGTAAAATTATCTAAATCCCTAATCAAAATGAATGAGATTTGTCAAAAAAATTAATTTTGAATTATTTCTTTATAAAATTCTAGTTTTTAAAATAAAAATTAATTCTAAAATCATTTTTTAATTTAAAATTATTTAAGTTAAAATTAATATTATGATGATATACATTTGCTTAACAATCTTTCATTTTCATCGATGATTTGGTTGAATTTAAGTTGTAAATCGTTGTATACAGCCTTTCTTTTTTCTATCTCTTCATCTATTAATTACATTTTAGCCTTTAGAGATTCTATTTCTATGTTTTTATTAGATCTATCTCTTCTCATTTCATCCAGTTCATCATCTTTAGCTCTAAGCTTAGATATGAAATCTTCAAATTGCTATTTGTGTTATTATTCAAGTCTGTCATATTTTAATTTTAGACTTTCGTATTCACTTTCTTTTTCTAGTTTGGCAGTATGGACTCTTTCTCTTTCTATTTTTGCTTAGTGCAATTCCAGCTGCAAATCTTCATTTTACTTGATATTTTTTTCAAAAATAATTAAATTTGAATTGAATATTTTATAATTTAATTTTACTCTTATCTTCTCTATTAAAAGATTTGATTAGGAGTCGTTTTCTTGCTTAATATTATCAATTTTTTTTTCGAGAAGTGCAATTTATCTTTGCCTATCATCATTTTCAGCTTACTACTGCTTTTTAGTTTTCTTAATGTGTTCTTCATATTCCTACTTTTGATTTTCTATTTCTTTAGTAAATTTCTCTATTTATATTGTTGTATGTTGTTCATGGTGAGATGATAATTAGTTAATTTTATCTTCACATTCATTCTGCAATTCAATATACTTTAATTTAATTTATTAAATAAATTTTAATATAAAATATTTTGTCAATTTTATTTTACCTTCTATCTCCATATTTCAACTTCTTCAATTCTAATTTTAAGTCCTTAGTTTAATTCGTCTATATTATGAATCAAAGACTCTATCTTTTTCTCAAGATCTTCGTTTCTCTCCATAAGCATAGTTTGATCAGAGTTGAGAAATTCAAGTTTTTATGATTGCTATTATTTAAAATTAAAAAAATAAAACTACTTTCTAAAGTAAAATCAAAAAATATAAATACTTGTTTAATTTCAAATTATAAATCATCAATAATTCTTTGTAATTAAATTATTTAATTGTGACTTTTTTCGTTTTCTGCTTGTACAAGAACTATTTTCATCAAGAGATTTACTTTTTCCTAAAAAATATTTAAAAAACTAAGTAAAAAATGTTTAAGAAAAATTGAAATTACGTCTTAGTTAATTTGGTTATGAGCATCTAAGTTAGCTTTTTCAGTTTTCATAATTTATTCCTTTTATTCATCAAAGCTTATCCTTAAATCAAGAATCTACTTTGTGTGATCTTGTTAAATTTTTTATTATCTTTCTTCTGATTCGAAGTATCTCTATTTCCATTATTCCAATTCTATTCTATTTGAATCAGCAACCTAACATAAAAATTATCATTAATAAAATATTAACTAAATAAAATAATATTCTACATCTGCTAACTTTTAATTCTCATTCAGAACTACATTTAATTTTCCCTCAATATCTTTGATTCTTTTGTTAGCATCTGCATATAACCTACTTAGTTCAGTTAGCTCTTATTACTTTTTATCAAAAACTCCTAGCTAAATTTAGAATTCTTGAAGCAATGAATCTTTCTCAATAATAGCTTAATTTAATTCCTATATTTCAAGCAAATACTATTTCATTTTATTTTCCATGTCTACATTCATAGTCTTGGTGTGTTTTAGCTAGCTTTCGTAAACTCCCTTTTCCATCTCAACAGTCTTCTTATGTTCTTACAATTCTTTAGAGAAGTGGTCCTTCCAATAATTTCTAATTTTTTCTGTTTGTTCTTCTATATGTTTTTCTCTAATTTCAAAGCTTTGTTAAGCTTAATCCAATTTTGACCTCAAACTCTCATTAATCATTATTATTTTTTCATTCTCCATAATAAGCTAATGTAAAAAAAATATTTTTTTTAGTATTTTTTAATTTTAAATTGAATTTATTTTTACTTTATTCAATCTCTCTTCATAACTTTAGATCAGTTCTTCCATTTCAATTTTTAATTTTTCTTCATTAAATGCACTTTCACTATTCCTTTTTTAAATTTCATAATCTCTATCTTAGATTTTCCTATTTAATCTTTCATTTTCAGTTGAAAGTAAAGCAATTTTATTTTCAAATTCAATTACTGTGTTTTTATAATTTGAAATTTAAGTAATTAAATGCATTTTTTCTGCTTCTGCTGCTTCTCTTGAAGGCTTAGAAGCAAGATCGTCCATTAATCCTTAAATAATTTAATCTTTTTCTTTGCATAAAATATACAATCTACTAACTTCATCCTAAATATATTCATAAAATATTTAAAGCTTTCCTTTGAATGAATATTTTTGCTTTACCTTATTGAGCTATACACTGTGATTAGAAATAGTGCCAAATGCATTTGTCTGACTAGAAAATGGAGAAAACTTTTAAAATTAAAATGATAAATGCAAAGAAATTTTATCAAACAAAGTTTACTCTAGGTTCTGATTCTTTTAATTTGTTATTTATCACTTCTTTCTCTACATTTAATGCATTAACAAGAGCTCTTTCTTTAATTAGTGAGTTTTCGATATCTTTCAAATGCTTGTTTCGAGCTGACTCTAACTAAGAATTATTCATATCTTAAATTGTCATTGGTTTACTAGCATATGAGGGAGTGTTTAAAGTTAAGTTTTCTGTATTTTTTGGCTTAAAATCTGTGCTAAAATTCCTAGTTTAAGTTGAAGTCTATCCAATTTATGTTAAATTATTTGTAGATCCTGTGCTTTGCAAATAATTTGGTCTTGTATTAGAAACTATTTTTGTTGTGATCGTTGTTTTTGATATTGAATATCCATTTTAACTCTTGCTATCTTTAATTATAAATCAATTTATAAATGAAATTATAAAAAAAGTTATAAAGTTTACCTGAATCTTAGAAATATGACTAAGTCATTTATACTGGTGAAACATCTCTTGAATTGTCAGGTTTTGTAACAAATAATTATGGCGATTACAAAAACTTAACTTTGTTGTCTGAACCTTGCTGTTCTGAATTCTTGCTATTGTATCCTTGAAAATCAGACTCTCTTAAATTTGGCGTAGCCATCTTATTATATTTTTATCTAATCTTGTATGCTAATAATGTTTTTATATTTTGGCTAATATTTGGAAGTTAGAGATATTTCAATATATTTATTTATCTATGATGTTATTAGTTTGAATATTATTTTTATTAATTGATTGATTGATTGATTTATTCACTTAAAAAACAAAAACAATATATTTTAAAATTTGATTTTGATTTTTTTTCAGTTGTTTTCAATTTACAAACCAATTATTTAATATTTAGAATTGACAAACACGATTAAATTCACTCACTAAAATATTGGTTAAATATTATTGATTATTAGCAGATTTATATTTATTTAATCAAACATTTTGAATTTGCTGTAGAATGGATATTTATTAAGATTTATTTAAATTAAATAATACTCAATAATAATTTAACTTTTGTTATGATAAATATGCCTTTTTATTCTAAATTTAATTTACCGTTTAATATAAATTTATTAAAAATTAAAAAATTATTTTTATGATAATATTTTGCAATTTTATATTAAAAAATTATTTTTGTATTAATATTTTATATTAAAATTTTATTTTATTACAAATTAATTTCTTAAAGATAATTAAATAGGAATAATAACCTTATTTAGTAGTAAATCCTTGTTATAATTAACAATTATAATAACTCTAATCAAGTAAAAATATTTGAGTTTTCTAAAATTGAAAAATGAATAAACTATAATTTTTTTTATTATAAATTTATTGCTTATGAATTACATAAAATATAAAAAATAAATATAATCTAAATTTTTAAAATTATTTTTATAAATTAGTTACTGAAAAAATATTTCCTACACCAACAGCTTTTTCCATCAATATATAATTTAAGCCATTCGGGGGAGTTTTACTATATTTATGTACTTTAAACTGACAAATGAAATTTTTAGAATTTATTTTTTTTAAAAATAGAAGGTTGGGGAATTATAATGGTATATATATTGTCTATATTATCAAATCATAATCCTGAAAAAATTTCAATTACAATGTGAATTACATGTATTTTAGATGTTGATATTTTAAAGTTCAATAATTTTTTTACATAAACTTTATAAATTATTTAACTATAATACTTAAGATAATTATATACGCAGAATTTAAATATAATATTTAAATTGTATAACTCTTCATATCCCTCAAAAGTTTTATTCCCCAACTGAGAGGATTAATTATCTAAAATAGATATATATTAGAATGAAAAATTCTTAAAAATACTCTTTAACCATGATATTTTGAGTTATAGGTACATTGTAGTTTCAATTAAATTAACTTCAAATTTAAAATTGCCTTAACTGTATGAATTTAATTTGAGAAAATTTGACAAAATTAATGGCAAGTAACTAGTCATTCAATATTTATTTTCAAAGCAAAATGTTATTCATAAAATTAGCTATACTTCTTTATGTACAAGTGTAATTCTTTTAAATTAATTTATATGTGTGTAAATTACTTGCTAACATTATTTATTATACCTGTTTTTATTACTTTATTAAACAATTTTTTGTAAATTGTTGTCAAAAGATTCTGAATTTTTATTTTTAAGTGACTCCAATAAATTTTAAAAATGATTTTGTTCATTTTGAAATATTTCAGTTAGATTTATTAGATTTATTTTAACATTGAGTAATAAATTCGACAGCTTTTTTATTTTGATATTCGTATTACTGACATCATATTTAAGTATTTTTGGAGTTATTAACTCTGCAAAAATTGTCTATGTTAATTTTTAAAAATTTGAGATTATTTAAAAATAAATGAAAACAATAAATTTCTGATAGCTGATGATGCTATTTATATTGATTTAATAATGGTAATAAATTTAAAAAAGAAGAAAGAAATTTCCAACAAAAGCGATATGATTTTTGTTAATTAATGTTGATTAAGATAGTACTTAGAAAGATAGTAGATAGGATAAATATGTGATTTAAAGAATTAAAATTAAATAGTAATATAATTACTTTAAATTCATATTTAACCTAAATTTGTTTAATTTTAAACTTTTTTTTCCTTTTTAATAAATATTAACACCATTCAAAATAGAATATATATTTTTTAATTAAATGAGTGGTAATCGATTTCTTAATGAAATCAAAGTGAAGCAAATCTAGTAAATACCACAATTTCTAAACGTAATAAACAAGTATTATATATTATATAATGTTAAGTTGTCACAAAGATAGTGCATTAATAAATATTGCACGCTTACATTATTTAAGTTGAGGGGGTTTTGATTAATCTAAAAATACTTGAGACCAACAAAAAAGTAAAATTTCTATTTTTGTTTTAAATGGAATGAGTTGAAATGCAAATATATTAAAAAAACAAAATTTAATTTTGCGCGAGATTCTTTATATGTTTTATGATAGCCAAAGACCAATTTAAGTTGGTAGAGTTTAAAATTTTGAAATGGGTCTAATTTCATCGAAATTAAAAAAAATAAGTCGATATTTATTTTTATATTGATATAGATTTGTATTGAGATGCTTTCTTCACTCAAATCTGATAGAGCAGATTTGTAAATTTATCTTGATTTAAATTTTATTACTATAGGTATAGTAATTAATTATAGTGCTTTCTTTGTTTGTTTATATAATAAAAAAATTTTTAGCATGCTTTCTAATATTATAATTTTAGAATACTAAAGACGATTGATGATGCGCAGATCATTAAATTATCTAAAAAAAGAATAGATAAAACTATATGAAAAGAGGTGAGTTAATTAATGTTGGTTGATATATTTTATAATCCCTCACCAACAAATAAATTTCAATTATTTATTTTTGATTCTTTCCAACTATTTGTAAAAAAGTGTCTTAGAAAAATAATTACTACTAATCAAATTGTTTATAATAATCAATAGTAGTCTAATTCTTACTTATAACAAACCAATATCATCTGATAATCCGTAAGTAAAAAGCTTAGAAAAATAGATCAACTTGATCTTATAATAATTAATATCAATTCAAAAAAATTATTAAAAATAATAATCAAAAACCAAACAAACAAACAAACTAAAAATACTCTTTTTCTGTTAATTGATTGGATATCTAATATTGTTCATAACAATAAACAACTCTCACGCAAATCATACCAATAAAATATTATTATAAATAACTACTCATAAAAATGTCTCACCTTTTAGCTGCTGCTAACCTTGACAATGTCTTTCCCCACTCTCCACAATTCAAGTATAGAATTATATTTCTCCAAAAGTTTATTTTTATTTATTTCTCATTTACATAATAGACCTACTGAATCTCCTTTGAATGACATCATGGAACTCTCACTCCCTGAAAGCCTTGTGAGCGAAGAATCAAATAATGCGTAAATAAAAATTAAGTTTTTTAAGCTTTTTACTCATAAATTTGCTATTAAATTATAGAAACGACTCAGAAAAAAATGAAAACCAATAAAATAGCTAACCTAAAAGAAGACTTACTATATATGAATTCTTAGATAGCAAAAGATCCAACTCTTTTTGAAAGAATAACTTGATAAATGTTTGATATATTAGTCAAATATCATAATAAAACCTAAAAACTTAATGAAATCATTCTTGTTTTAGCAAAAAATCTACAATTAAATTGATAACAAATAATGTTGAATAAAGCTGCACACATAATTCAAAAGTATTTTCTCAAAGAAATAATTTATATCTAATTAATACTATTAAAACATACAAAAAATAAACATAAATACTTCAATTATACAAACAAAAAAGCAATCTCTATATGAACTAAATTCAAATATAATTAATCAGTTCTAAATTAAGCCTTACTTTTCTTCTTGTTAAACGATTGGTTGATTGATTAATATGCTCAATAAAATTAGAATCTTTCTAAAATTCTTTTTACACGCAACCAAACTCTAATTGATTCATCCTTTCATCCATCCATCCATACATTATATTACTATCAAATGAGTCTTATTAAATAATAACCAATATACTCTGCTTTCAAGCAACATTTTTATGATAATTATTATTATATTAATTCATTTTTAAAAAATTATAATTTTAAAAAAGTATCAATAACCTAACCTACCTACCTACCATTCCTTCCTACCTCTTTATTACTCTACTTTTATTTATAAATAAATTTATTTCTTTGTCAATTATGTTGTAAGCTTTTATAAATTTTATGTTGCCAAATTTAATTGTATAGAAAAATTTTCACAGGTTCAAATTAATTAAGAATCAAAACTATCTTCATTTAAATTATTTAATAAAATTGAATCCTATACTTGTATCCATAAATAGAACACTTTGGTCTATCAGCCATTCATTCTTTTACATTAAATAAAAAATTAATTTACTATTCTAAAATTAAATTCAAGCTAATTAATTAAATTTACAAAGTATTTAATTTTAATTACAATACTGAAAATTTATTTATTAAATAGCCAAGTAGAATTAACTATTGAATCTGTTATAAAATTTTTGATTAATTTAATATTTTATTAACTGATTCCAAATTAATTCGACTTTAAAAAATAGAAAATGAAATTCAAAATTTTCACAAATAAAATATAAATATTGAAATACTTACTATTTATTTTTGAATAATAAGCAGAAAAATAAGGAAAAATATTTAGAAATTTACCTTTTTTCTAGATATGGAAGATTTCTAGATATATTTAAATTTACAAAATGATTAATTATTTATTTTTTACAAGTGACGGATTATTAAATACACTAATCTTAATATCAAAGATTTCTTTATTATTTCTTTAATTAATAAATAAATAAATTGTTACTTTAATAGATAGAATAAATAAGTAGATCTACATACATTAAAAATGATGATTAGCAGATAGATTTTCAAGCAAGTTTTACAAAGAAATCAACTCCTTTGCTCTAGCTCATTTGTATTTTAATTCACTTACAATATTTTAAATTAAATGTCTTTTTTTTCTTTTAAAAATAGTCTTTATTCTCCAAGGTGATCAAACATTTTAATTATAATTCTAAAGAATCGAAAATTTTAAAGCAGCTTCTAATTTTAATAACAAAAGATTAAAGAATTAGAAAAGAGTGAAGATTGGGATAAGTTAATTAGTAAAAACACTAAGCCCGTCATTTTAGATTTTTATGCTGAGTAAATTAATTAATGCAAAATGATAATTTATAATAAATGATCAAGCAATACATTTTGAGTTAATAAATTAAATGATTTTTATTTAATTATTATTATGAAGTTGGTGTGGTCCATGCAAAAAATTAACTCCAATTTTGCAAAAGCATGTTGAAGAATCTAATGACAAGTTTGACGTAGTTAAAATTAACGTTGATAATCACTCAGATATTGCTGGTGATCTTGGAGTAATTTATTTTTTAAAAATAACATATGTTATCAACACAAATAATTTAATTAAATTAGATCAGCTCCATTCCTGCTGTGTTTTTGGTTCATAAAGGATAACCTCTTGACTGTAATTTATATCATTATAAATAATGGTTTATCTTAAATATCACTTTTTTATTCTAGAATTTTTAGGCTTAGATGAAAAAAAGCTTAAGGAATTTGTTGAAAAAGCTAAGAAACTTTCAGAAGAAAAGTGAACAAATAATTTAATAAAATAAATAGATCTTTTTTTTGAAAAATTAATAGCATATTAAAAATGTTTTTAAAATCATAAATGAATATATAATATATGTTATATTTATGGTAAAAATAATTATTAACTATTTTCATAGCTATAATAAACATTTTTGCTCCTTGATATTAAATTATTTACTGAAATATCATTTAATCTTTGTATAATTACACACATATTATATCAAAAAATTTTAAAACATTGATAAATGTTAAATTAGAACAAATGTAACTTTTATTATATCTCCTACATTTTAAAATATTTTTATGTTAATTAATTGTTTACTAAATTAAAATTTAATATCAAAATAGGGCAAACAAAAATATATTACTTTAACTTACTATTGAAAATAAGCTTAATTTTAAAATATTTATGAATGAGAATAATTTATAAACATTTTAATATTGAAAAAAAAATTAAATACTCTAGTTTCTCATATATTATTAATGTATTTTTATAACATTAACCCTAAAAAAATAGGCAAATTAATTTTACAGTTAAAAACTTTTTTCATTCATTTTTTTTGTAAAAAAAATTAATTCAAGATTAAATATTTGATAAAAAATTTTATTTTTTTTTTATCAAAAATGAAATACTTGATTAAACACTTTTTATTTATTTATTTCTTCCATTAGGTTTGAAACCTGTTTCAAAACCTTTTTTTGTTTGTTTTAAATTTTTTTTATTTTATTAAATAATATTTATAGTTATATTAAATGTATATTTCTTAGTCAATAAATCATTATTCAAGAATAGGTATATAATTTTCGGTTCAATTATTAAAAAAAATAATCTCAATTCAATTTAATTTTCGATTAGATTAATTGATCTAAAATAATGTAATTATAAATATTTATTTCTAATAATAAATTAATTTTGAAAACAGTGTGGGTTATTCAAAAATGAGGTTTAATTCTTATGTTCTGCATTATAAAACTACTATCTACTCTAAATTTTAGATTTAATATGAAGTTTAATTATATTTATTAATTAAATTTCTAATTAAAAGTTATTTAACAAATTTTAATCAAATTTCTATTTAAAAATATTTTAAAAATAATATCTTAATTAATAATTAAAAAAATGTATTTTAATAGTATTAATTAATTAAAATTACTAACTGGATTATAGTTATGGTATAAAATTGTTCAATTATTTTTGATTTAAAAATTAATCTTAAGTAATTTATTTTCTTTTAACTTATCTTTGTTACTAAATGATAAAGTAGCACATATCTAGAGTAGTTGGAAGCATTAAGTTTGAGATATTTAATGATTAAATTATCAAATCTTTAAAAGTTGTTTTTTACACTTGAATGTAAATTATTGTTATTTAATATAATTTAATAAATTTTTAATTATTAAGTTAATAATTTCTGAATATAAACTTATTATTTACAATAGAATAGAAAAATATAATCAAAAATTATGGTTCAGCTCTCTTAGCATAAAGTATCAGATAATCCAATACTTCTTTCTTCTTATTTATATTTTGGATTCACATCCTTATTTTTTATTCAATAAAAAAAATTTATTTTAGGTTTTTTTAATATTCTTTTCACAATTTATAAAAAAAACTATTTTACTTACTTTTATATAATTAAATTTATAATTTGGTTTACTTGAAGATTTATTTTTAAATTCTTTTTAAAAGTATAAGATAATTATTAATGTATGTATTTAAGGAATAGCTTAGCATGAAAAAGAAGCTTTTTGCAGCTTAGCTCTAAATCTAAAAAATGCATCATCTTTATAGATTATAACTTCTTCGATTGTAAATATTATTATCTATTTTATTGTTTTGATTTTAGATTTTCAAGAAAGTATATTTTCTTTAGAATGTATCTTTAAATATTAAATTAGAAATTAAGTAATAATAAATACTCTAAATAAATCATAAATAATTTATTATTGTGCTTTTTTAATTAATTAATTTACTTTGTTTTAAATAGCTAATTTCTATTTTAAAAAATACGAAAAAAGACTTTTATATTAAATATTAATTGCCAAATATTTTAAATTTTTATCATAAATATCTCAAAATTTTATAATTTTTTAAAATACTTTGATTTGATTTTTTATCCTTCATTTTTAAAATATTTATAACTATCCAATATTGATACAAACACTTTAAATTAAGAAATTCTTTTTTTAAAAATTACAGATTTCTTTTGCATCCTAAATTTACTTAGCCTTACAGAATATGTGTATTTAGTAAGAAAATTTCTATTTAATTTTTGAATTCAGAATTAAGCGTTATTAAATGACTCAAATTCCTGAAATATGAAAAGTAAAACTTCTCTTTACAAATTAATTTTGATCAAAAATAATTTTTTAAATGATAAATTGAAAATATTTTATTTAATAATTAAGAGTTAGTTGAAATTTAGGAAGGATAATATCTGTAATTTAAATCTTGCAACTACTTAAAAAAATAATGATCAAATAAAATCAAATTGTAAATAAGAATATTTTGGAAATAAATGTATAAAAAGTAAGTTCTCTACTTTTTTATAAGTTTCCCTTATCTATTTATAAATCTAATTTTTATCAATTTCTATGATTATAATAAAAATAATTAGAGGTAAACAGAAAAGACTATGATTTATTTTTTGTTATTAGTTTTAGTAAATTATATTCAATTTGCTAGAAATTTGATGCTATTTAATCTTTTTTTGAAAATCGATCCTAAATTAAATGTATAATGTCTTGATTTTAAATTCTACTCTTTTGAAATATTTTATCTAAATATCTCAATTTATTTGTGTTGAAAACAAGAAAAAGAAGATAATTATAAATTTGAAGTCTTTAAATTTTGATAAAAAATTTAAGGTAAATAACCAAAGTAAAATATACCATAAGCATTAAATATTTTTTGCTCCTTTAAATATCAATTAGTAAAAGCTATTTATAGAATTTAAGAATAATGAATTAAAAAGCTGAGAATCATTTTATTTTTACCTTTAAAATGCAAATTATTTCAATATGGAAATACTCAAATGATAGAATATACTTTCAATCAAAATACTGCTAAAAAAAATTAATATAAAATTAGCTTTTTAAATGTAAATCTGATCAAAGTAAACATACTTAAAATATAATAAGCTTGAATAAAAAATACTTTTTTATACATTATATTTATTATCATAATTTTTTAAAATCTTTATTTCTTTATCTATTTTTTTAAATTTATAAATAATATTTTATTATTGAAACTAAAGCAAAAATATTTTTTTAAATCTTCAAATAACCCAAACTCTCTATATCTATATATGTTTTTATTTATATTTAACAAAAATTCTTTTGAAAGAAATATTCATTAGCTAATTTTCTATAAAATAATCAAAATATTCTTTATGATTACTCTCTGTAATCCAATGCATTTTGCTAGAACGATTAAAATGTCTTATTACTCTTGTCATAACTTGTAAATAAAAAATTTAAAACAAAGACAGCGGTCAATTTTTAATAATCAAATAATTATTTTAAGGAAATAGATTTGTTTAAATAAATAAATTAAATCAACCAACAAATAAATAAATAATTACATTCACGCGCGAGTTACTTAAATATCAGAAAACACTAGTTTATTATAAATATTTTAAAATTTTTAATTTACTCTCAAATGTAAAAAAGGAAAGAGTAAGAATTAAATGTATTTTTACATAAAGAAAGTTGTAGATTTATTTTATTTCGATGAACTAATCATATATGTATGAAATGGATCTTTCATTTTTTCTTTCTTTAATATACAAACTTGCTATTTATTTAGCTTTTATCTAATTATTTGCAATAATTAAAAAAATTTTGAATGAAAAATAAAATATTAAAATTAATCTAGAAAAGGATTCATGCTTTTTAATATATAAAATTAGTTTTCTAAAGATTAGCTATTTAACAATAAAAATTCATCAATATAGTATAGCTGAACAATTTATTACTTTGTAGTCTTTTAAATGTCTTTTTGATATATAGAAATTGTGGGCATCTAGAAAAAAAAGACCTTGAAAAATATAATCATAATTTAAATTTTGTGGTTTTTTTAAAAGAGTTATATTAATTGAGTATTTCATGTGGCTTAAAACTTTTAGATAGTATGAAGATATTTAATTAAATCTAATTTTTCTCATTTAGTAAAATCAATTAATTAATTAATTAATTAATTTAATTGATGGTATTTTGTAATGCATGAAAATATAATGAATTATTGATCAAATATTTAACATAAATATTAGAAATACTTTGAAAAATAAAATAGGGAATTTCACAGCGAAAAAACAAACAACAAACAAAACAATTATAGATAGAGAGTAAATGATATTATTAATTTTAAAAGAATTTATTTTTATTTTTTAAATTTTAAGTAAAAAAATAGATCTTGATAAATTATAATGGCACTCTTACTAAAAAAGACAGCAGGATATTTATAAAAGCTTTACTAGACAGCATTAGAAATCATGGAAGAGAAACATAATGTCATTTTAAATCAAAAGATTTACTGCTTGCTTATTTTTATAAATACGTTGCAAATTAGTGGATACATTTTCTCAGCGTATGTGAAACAAACTAAGCCTGCAGATAGCAAATACATTTTCTTGGCTTATTTGAATGAAATCTCTACAGGCACTTTTCTATTAAATAAGAAAAGTCTCGAGAAATTAACTTTACCTATATTCTTCTTGCTTAAAATTGGACTGGCTTTAATTATTATTTTGTTTATGATCTTTAATTACTACAGAAACTACGATATTTAAAAATATAATTCGTATAAAAGGTCATTTAGGACTATAAACTAAATTATAGTACTACTTTTTGTTTTATCATAATACATTTTACTTATTCCCGCAACCGAAATCTGTTTGGCAATCGCTTTCTGCTAGGATAGTGCGTTTTAATTCTTGGTTTAGAGCTAAAGTGCCTGTCAAAATTATTCTAATATACTTGTGGTTCTTGCTATCATAGCGATTGTTGCTTTTTAAGTCTTTCATATTTTGATAAAATTCTTACTTATAAACTATTAATTTGAAGATATTAGTTTGCCCAAATGCTAATTTTCTTTTATTTAATTATTGAAATAGCTAATTTTTCTATTCATTTAAATAATTAATTTCTCAAGTAATAGTCAAAGTAATTTAATTTACATACTTGGATTGTTCTTGGGAGTTATGCTGGTTATACAAGAATTAAGAGATAGCTACCAAACTAATAGCATAGTTAGTTTATTTTCAAGCATAAGAGCTAGTTATATCTTTGTGAGCCATATTATAATTGCTGTTTTCTAATTTAAAAATTAGCCCATTAGCGAAGAGTTTTTTTATTTTTTCACACTCTGCACTGCTGTTTTAGTCTATTTACTTTTGCAAATTTAAAATCTCAAGAGGAATTAAATATAAGTGCTTGATTAAAGTAACTAAATAAGGTAAATTTCCATGAGTTCAAATCTTATTACATTTTTCAAATTATATTTCTTTAATTTCTTTTAAGTAAATTTATGTAAAGGTTCTAGTAGATCCACAAAATTTAGTTTATAGAAAAAGCAAATTATTATTTTAGAACCAAATAAATTCCTTTTTCATTGAATGAAATATTTTAAATTACTTTGTTTTAAAGTATTTCTAATAGAAAAATATTTTTAAAATGACTTTCAAATAGCATATCAAGATAATTAAGCAATTTGAATTAATTGTTTTAATAATGATTAATTTTGAATGAGCACAATTAAATTATATAAACTGTAAGCTAAATTACATAACAAATTTTTTAATTAATTAAATTTTCTAGATCTGTAGATGGGATAGACACCTTATTAGAAGAAATAATGAAGACTTACAAAAATTCGTATTAGAGCTGTTATGATAATTTACGTTTTCACTATTTAGTTTCTTATCATAAACGATCTTGCATTTTACCTACTTGTGTTTGCTAAAGTTAAAATTTAAATTATTCTAAAAATTAAATAGAACTAAAATTTGTCAATGAACTTATTGAAAATATCTTTAGCTATGTAATATAGCTTTCAAGTTTTAGCGCTACAAGAAGCGTGAGAGAAAAAATATTTTTGAAATACATTACATTTATAGCATTCTCTTTAAATAACCCGCTTAAGTCCTATTTTGAGCTAAGAATGTTTAATAAGAAATACCATGAATTAAATAGTTTTTAATTTAACGCAATATCAAATATCCTTGCCAAAAAATTTGAAAACATGATTCATTAAACACAGAAATAATTATATTTAAGTAAGCTAAATTAAGATTTAGATAATAATCTTGTTTTTTCTATCTAAGAGATTGTGGACACAGATAAAATTGAAAAGATTTTTGTTGATCTAACTTCGAATTTTTTAAAGCAGAAAATATTATTCTATACTTTGATCAAGAAAGAGAAGCTCTCTTTTCAAAAAATAAAGACATATTCATAAAATTTACTTGCGTCATACGAAATACTGAGAAAAAATCTATTTCTTAAGTTGAAAAAAATTAAAAACAAAAAGGAATTTTAGAGAAACTATATTTTGCAAAAAGTAAATATTTTTTTTTGCTATTAAACCTTTTTATTTTAGATATTACATTTTTTATGAAATATTTTTAAATTTTCTGAAAATTTTATTATTTTATTTTTGAGGGGAACTAACGCTTATTGAAATTAGATAAATATATAAAGTAGAAATTTGTTTTAATAAACGAATTACCAGCAAAATATTATCCCTTTATTAATGATTGTGCCCCTCTCTATTATAGATATTTAAGAGTCATAATTAAATGTTTTTTTAATTTTATTAAAAAGATTCTATAGATTTATTGGATTGTTGTATTTGGTGGAATAAAAAAGCCTTTGAAATTACAGAAAGAAATGAATTTGATTTTTAATTTGAATCAAGAAAGAGCTTAGAAAGAGTTCAATTCACTAAATTTAATCAAAGGAAATATTTAGATTGTGTAAGCCAGTATTACTTAAGGTTATGGAAAAATAATGAATAAATAAGAAACACAATTATCTAAATTTTTTGGCTTTAACTTTGAAGAGTTTAAATCAATTAATCATATAAAGGAGCTAATGCCATCATATGTAGCAAAAATTCATGATGAGATTGTTAAAGATTTTATTAAGAGAGGACATAGCATACTTCTTGAAGAGAGTCATTAAGTATTTTGTCTGGATAAATAAGGTTTTTTTGTTCCTATCACTTTGTAGTTATCGCTTGTTTATGGAATAACTGACGATTTATAAATGAATGCTGTCCTTTTAAAATTAAAATCAGATGTATCTTATATTACATTTAATCAGGTTGGCTAAATTAAAGGGTTCGATCGCAATTTTTTTTCTCATCTTATGTAATTAGAAAATGCGGATTAAGTATATTAAATTCAAATTTAAACACCATATTAATATTTTTTTTATTTATATTTAAGAAAATAGACTAAATGAACCTTCTTTTAAAGAAGGATTTAGAAAAAATTAACTTATTCTTTTTGATCCCTTAAATGGCTTCAATTGTTCTTGAGTATTTAACTAAGATCAATAAACAAAATAAAATTACTGAAGAAAATTAAAATAAAGAATCAAACATTCTAAAAAGATAAATTTATAAAGATGTTGAGTTGAAGATCTGTCTACCAGCAGATATTTTCTCATTAATTTAAGCATTTTAAATTTAATATGATATAAATCAAGACACTTCAACAAAATCAGTAGAGTATTCTACCATTAATAACTATTTTTAGTAATATGATAGCTAGATTTAAATGCTTAATAACTTTACTTCCTTCTATTTACGTAATTAAGAAGTAATTTATTTTTAACAAAAGAAAAAAATTTATCTAAAATATTTTTTATACTAACAAATAGAAATGGGAACAAAATAATTGCTTCAGCTAATTTAATTCAGCTGGGAATATAAAAGTTAACATGATAAAAAAAAATAACTTGGATAAAAGTGATTTACAAAATAAATTCGAAGAAGAAATGATTTTTGAATTATCCTTTTCAGATACTTATCTTGAAAATCTTTGTGAAAAAACAGAAAAATATGAAAAATTGAGTAAAGAACTTCAAAATAGCCAAAATGATAATTTGAAGAATAGAGATAACTTTAATTATAAAGAAGTATAATTATAACAAGATTAATCATAGTACCATGCTTATCTTGATCAGATATCACCATAAAGAAGTACTTCAATTAAAAAAACTATAAGTCTTAGTTATTTGAATACTTAAAATATAATAGATAATGATCAAAAACAAAAAAACGATTAGAATACCAATTCAGGTAGTCTTTAAAGCTATAATAATAATTCAAACCAAGAATCTCAAAATTACAATAATATCGAAAAGCATAAAAATACTGTAAAAAGAGTAAAAGAGGTCAATTTTAACTTTGAAGAAAGTGAAAACATCAAATAAATTGCTAAATTGGAAGATAACTTAATAAGTCCAAGATTAAGCACTAGACAATAATTTTCTATAGATAAATTAGAAACAACAATAAATGTATTATCTTCAAATAGGATCTATTAAAATAGCTAATAATTATTAAGCTCTCCTATGAATAATTCCTTTGTTGGATAGATAGTTTAAGAAAAGTAAAATCATGAAGAAATTTATGCAGCCAAATTATCAAATAGAAGAAATCAGGATAAAACATAGCTGGAAACTGTAAATGCTTAGACTCAATCATAAAATAATAGAGTAAGAGGTAGCTTAGCTAAAGTGTTAAAAAAGAAGATAGAATCTTAAAACTACCAATTACTAGAGAAGCAATAAAAAAAATAGATATCATAAATTAACTCTTCAAATAAATCTTAAATCTCGTCTTACGAAGTAGTAGATAACGAAGTATATGACAGCTAAGACACAAGTTCTTACTTGGATATTTTAAAAGAAAATAATTTGATAAACAACATAATTCACCGTCAAAAAGAGAACATGAGTTCTTCTTTATTAAAAATTATACTAGGTAAATAATTTATAATTAAAAAAATATTAATTTGATATAATAATAAATAAATAGGATATACAGTTATTTTCTCCACAATTCTATCCACAATATTTCTGTTCTTTATTTATAATAAATAAAATCAGCTCTAAGATTATTTAAACAAATCTACAGTTTACTCTTCATTTTTTTCTCAAGTATCCTAAATCAGTTTAACATAATTGCTCAAATATGAGATAAATCTAGGCGTACAGCCTAATTTAAAACTTGAACAGATTTATTAAATAGGATAAAGAGATTAATTTGATTTAATTTAATAATATTTGAAAAGTGTTGAAAAAATAGTGGAATTAGAAAGTAACCAGCAAATTGTTGACACCCAAGTCTACTCAATAAGGTATTAAACATTAATTAAAAAATAAATCAATAAATACTCTTATTTATTTGTATAAAATTTAAATATGAAAAATAAAATAAAATCTTCTCTAACATTAATTCTTATAATGAAATTATCTCAGAATTAATAAATTTATTTAACTTAAATTATTTGTTTTATTAATAAAATATTTTTAATCAGTAAAGGAAAAGAATTTTAATTGTCCTCTTTTAGCTTTTACTATGAATACTCTAATGCGATGTTCTATGTAGTTTAACAAGAAAAACAACAGAGGTACTAAGACATGTCTTATTTCTTGTTCTCAAATATACTTTAAAGCTAGACTATTTCTACAACTTTGATTTAAAATAACATAAGTGATTTGAATATCATTATAAAATAAATAAACTATGCTTTTTTGTTTGCAATTTTTATAGCCATAGGAATCTAAATCCTATTAATAGTTTTTATCATACCGAAAATAAATAAAATCAATAAATTCTAAGAAGTAATTCTGACTGTTTTCTCAAGAGTCACTTTTGAAGAGGTAGAACTACAGCTTAGTAGATACTAATGCTATTTGGATAGAGTTTAAAATACAGCTAAAAATTGGATTTAATTTGATTTCTTAAGCGTTCAAACTCTAAACGCTGTTGAATTAGCTAAATTGAGCTAGAAAGGCTAGTTTAATGATATCAGAGAATCAAAAAATATTCAAAGTAGTGTCAATTAATTGGAAGATAGAAAAGGAGTTTATCAAAAGTAAATATCAACCAAATTAAATAAAACTCAATTAAATATATTAAAATATATTATTCTTTTGGCTGTTTTTAGCTTAAGCTCAATAACTTTTATGGCTGTAGGATTAGGAATAAGTTATAGTAATTAAACTGACATTAAAAACAGGTTAGATCTTTATTAATATAATTAAAATGCAATTTAATCTTTTAGAAGTATTTTATCACTAAGCGAGATAGCTTTAAGGATAAACGCAATCAGATAAACTGATGTAAATTTTCCTGATAACAATTTGTAAGAAATTAGAAACATATTTAGCTTAAATTTGAATGTAATAAAAACTTACATTATAGAAATGAATCATTATGTTTCTAATTTATCTAATTTGGACAATAATGAGGAAAAATAAATAGAGACTATTTTGTAACAAAATCTGTGCAATATTTATAAAGACGAAATATAGTGCTCAGATACCTCTTCTACTTAAAATATCTTCTAATAAGGATTTTTTTCTGTTTTGAGTTTATATACATCATTTTTTCAGCAATATTCAGAGCTGTTGAAAGAGTCGTCCTTAACTAAACAATAGCTAATAGCTTTAGCTTAGTAGTATTCTTCTACAGATGAGTATATCAACCTTATACCTTAAGGATTTAATATTCCAAATAGAAACTTTGAAAATTTATTTTAGACAATTTAACTTCTATTCTAGAACAAACTAAACTATCAAAAAATCTTTTTATTGTGTTATATTTTAGTAGGAGGTTTTATCATGTATTTAATCTGGCTGCTATTCTCAACGAAATTAAAAATGATTTTTGACAAAGACATTAATGCTGTTAAATTTCTCCTTACTTGCATGCCTCATGAAAAATAATAAGATGATCATATTAATCAATTATTAAAAATTGTCAATAAAAAATGAAAGAAATTATACATATAGTTAAAGAAAATTTTTATTTATTTTAAGCAATTAAATTAATTAAAATTAATAATAATAAATAAATTATCAACTTATTAATCAAAAGGTAGTTAGTTAGTTTTTAATAAAACCCTTTTTCAAAGAAAATTTTAAGCAATTATTTTATTTTTATGTAAAATACCTAACTTGTATAATATCCTTACAGAATTTTATTTCTATAATTGTTATATTGTTAATTTTTAATTTTCAAAAATTCATTATTTTTTTATAATTTAAAAATGAAGGACGGACTAAATAACTAGAGAAGGTGGGATAAATAAATATTTATGTTTTATTCAACTTTTGATTTTTGAAATTTTAAGCAATTATTTTATTTTTATATTATACCGTAAGACCTCATTCCCTCGTCCCTCATTTTAGGTGAACAAACAAACGAGAGAGGGTGTTTCTCAGAAAGTATTTTTTAAAATTAAATTTTTAAATTAACAGAGGTCACAAGATAAATCAAGCTATATTCGTGTTTTTAATATTTTTTAATTATAGAGAAGTTTTTTATGATAAGTGTAAATAAATATGTGATTGATTGACGTTAATTATCTTCATAATTGATTTTCATAGAAATTATTAAAAATTTTTAGTGGTTATAAAATTATATTTTGCTCACATCCATTTTTCTCAATATATAATATTTTATATCTGTTTTATTTATTTAACTCTTTTAGAAAAAGTGAAGCACTTGATCCTAATAATAAATAAACATAATATTGATTGTACAAATAAAGAAGGGATGTTAGAATATTTATTCTTTTACTTTCTTCCTCTTCTTCTTTTGTTTGATTTTAACAAGCTTTTCCTAATAAGTTTATTTTATTTAAATGGAATGATATATCTTATTTATAATCTAAAAATTAGATTTGCCCAAATAAGGATTCATAAGTTTCTTGAAAAATATTCTATAATAAAAGAGAAAGATTTCCTCTTTCAAAATCTTTTAAATAAAATCTCCTACTTAAACATTCAAAACCTATCAAAAGGTCTAAAATATCGCTACATTTTTTTAAGGCAATCTAACATTCTTAGACCTTAAAATACTAAATTATTTTATCCATCTAAACAACAATAAGCCTTTTAATTAGTTATTTTAATAATCCACTTGAGCTAAGTGATTATAAGTCAGATTAAATAGAAGAAGCGAAAGTATTTTTAGTTTAAATTAAATATCATTTTAATGCAAGTGATCCACTTTTGATCTTTTTTATCATAATGTCAGAATAAACTACTTAACAAAAAGCACAAGAATTTCAGTAACTAGCATATATTTAGTGAGATATGGTGTAATAATCAGAGGTATTTTGTTTAAACGAAGCTTGACATAAGCATTATTAATAAAGACTAAAATTTAAATCATAATTAATGCATTTTTATAGTGTAAAAAATTTGAACATAGTATCTAAGTACTTGTATATAAAGATACTTATATTATATAATAGTTTTTTTGAGGTAAAAGTATAGTTTTTTATTGATAAAATAAAAAAAATTAAATCATATAAGATTTAAGCTAGTAAATTTAGAATAATTCATGCATCATACAAAAAAAAAGTTTCCATTTTAATAATAAAAAATTTAGGGTATATAAAATTCTTTCTTCTTCCTTTAATTAAATCTCTAATTATTTTATCGAGAAAAAGCAATCAAATTATAAATTGAGATTAGCTTGAGATAGAAGTCAAATAAACAACATAACATATATTTTTAAATTTTCATCATAGAATTATTTATAATAATTGGAAAATTTGTAAAATTGCTTAATTCAATAGATTGCTTTATCAATTATCAAACAAACATCAATTTTAAAGCATTTTAAAATCAATTAAGCTCTTTAACTAAACAAAAGCTTTAAAAATAAAGATTTATAAATCGTAGAAGGTTTGGGGTTTTTATTGTATTTTAAACATAGAATAAAACTCTTTACTATTTAAAGAAATCTTGAATTTATAATTATTTTAGATACCTTTAAATTATATTTTTAGTATAAACATCAATATATATCATTCCTTTATTCACTAAATGCTTTGAATATTTCTATAACTTGAACTAATAATTACCTTAACTCCTTTATCCTCACTCTTTGAAGTACACGAAAATAAGAGGGGCTGAGAGAAAAACCAAAAAATATTTTTTTTAATAAAACTCATTTCTTACCAATCAGTGCCTATCTAGCACTTACGATATTTAAAATAAAATGAAATATTTAAAGGATTGGATATAAATTATTTTGTTACTCTGAAAAAAAAGAAAATATGTAAAGCTTACTTAATAAATCAAAAAATAAACATCATATAGAATAAAATAATTGAATCTAAATCATGAAAATAAAGTACCTAATCTGATCAATCAATAAAAGAATATAAAAGAAATAAATGAATTATTTATTTTATATTAATATTTGAATTATTTTTTTAGTCAAATCAAACCACAAATAAATAAGTTGATTACGTCATTAAAATGCAAATAACAATCTAAATTGCTTTTGATAGTAATTTAGCTTCTTTTTTGTATTTTTAATGGACTTTAGAGTTAAAAAACATATTTTTATAATTTAATTTTTTATATTCATGGGAATTTTAGTGATATTTTAATATTAATTTCTAAGAAAAACAATTTATTTAAAAGAAAAAATATTAAATATTTTTTATTTAGTTGCTTTTGAAAGCTCAGGTTAGCTCAATCAATTTAATTAAAATTTTGGTTTGAAATTATTAGAAGTATTCTACAATAAATTATAATAATTAATTAAAGTAAATAATCAATAAAAATAAAAAATAAATGGATAATAACATATTTTAGGGTTTATAATTTATTAGTAACATTTTTATGAATTTTTAATAAATATCATAAAATAATTCCTAACAAAATGCTTAAATCCCAAAAATGAACATAAACATTTTTGATTCAGTTTTCAAAGAAAATCTTAAAAAAATAAAAAAAGAAATTATTTTAAGTACATTAAACGAAATAAATTAAAAAAAATAGCAATCGCCTCAGAAAAAAGATATTTCAAGCTTCATAACTAGTAATGAGTATATCTCGATTTCAAAATAAATATAACAAGAATTAGAATAAAACAGTGATTAGAAATAAACAGAGGAATGGAACTTATTTTCTTTCTATTACTTTATCATAACTTATTTTCTTGACTAAGAAAATTACAAAAAAAATTATGAATCTTGGGGACCAACTGATGATAAATTAAAAAGTTGTATATAATATTTTATGGAAACATTAACAATTGGCAAAGTAGAAGATCAAGTTAAAGATATCAAAAAAAAAATTAAAAAAGAAATTGAAATAAATTATGAAGAAAGTTTTGAATAGTAGTCTTTTACTAATTACTTTTTATCATTAAAAAAACATGCATACAGTGATTATTTCTAAAAGTTAAAATTGAATAGAATTAAATTGGATTAATACAAATTAAAAGAAGAAGAGGATTTCTTAAACGATTTAATTGAATGCTACGAAATCTGGGGAAACATGAGCTTAATAGAAGAATACAGATAAAGCAGAGTATTGCTTTACTTTTAATTCTTAGACAGCTATTTAGGGCAAGAGTCAAAAACTAATTTAATCAAAAAATACGAAATTTCTGAATTCAAATTTTTTGATAAATTTGATGCATTCTATGTTGTGTTTTATTCAGATTTTATCAGCAAACTAGAAGATGAAGATGAAATATATTTTTATTTTCTTTTTGCTTGCATCTTGAAGTTAATTAAATATAACTATCTAGTATTAAACTAAGATCAAAAGCTAGCCAAACTGATTGAAAAAATTAAAAGTTTTAAAAGTATTAAATTTATTTTAGGATACCAGTTTCTTCTTAGATTAATGATAGATTTTTAAGAGAAGTTAACACTTTCTGAATCGAATGATGACTATTTTTCCTAAGAATTTGAAAAAAAATATTAACATGAGTTTTGTTAGAAAAGCTTAGTTTAGTATTTAAAGAATGGACTAATGAAAAGTATGAAGTTTCAGATAAATATATCAACAAATAATAGCTCCAGCTGTACATCGATTCAGCATAAAGTGTTTTGATTCTGGCAATATTACCAGATTTAGTTAGGTTTTATGATATTAAAGAGATAATACCCTACCAACCTACCAACATAGATATAGGGTATGCTTAGCAAATCATAAGAGGAAAAAGACTCTATCTTAAAAATCTTTAAGACAAAGAAAAAAATCTTGCTTATTGGAAAGGGTTAATAGAGAATATAGAAAATATGAGAAATGAAGAAGACAAAATTAAAAATGAAGATCTACTTTTAAAAAAGAAAAATGAAGGTTATGAGGTATAGAAGATAGAGATTTTTTGCCAGACAATCTGCAGGATAAACTTATTAACTTTATAATAAATTTATAAAAGTGAAAGCTAAATGAAAGATAGTTCAAGCAAAGAAGAATAACCACAACTTTAAGATGAAATTTAAAAATTAATATAATAAATATATTGCTCTTTGTATTAAAGTCTATACAGATAAAGATAATTTTACTAAACTCTTAGTTCTTTATTGATAGATGGAAATAGTATCTTGAATTACTTTATTAAATAAATTATAAAAAATAATACTTCTTCTGAATCCTAATATCAATCTCATTTATTTAAAAACTTGATTCTCTCTTTCAAATAGGATTTCGATATCAAAAATTTTATTAACTTGAGAAAAGGAGCTAACAGAAATCTTTCTTTATAATCTACAGATCAGATGTTTGAAAGTTTAAGAAATGAATTCTTGGCGGTACATGAGATATTTATTGAACTATGTAAAAATAAATTTGAAAATAAAATAGAAACAGATGAAAAAGAGCTAGAAAAGCTAACAAATATCAAAAATGCATTTGAAAATAAAATAGAAACAGATGAAAAAGAGCTAGAAAAGCTAAAAAATATCAAAAAAGCATTTGAAAATATAATCTAATACTATGGTTTTCTTAACAGTAAAAAGTATGAAGTTATCAAAATAAATCTACAAATGTACATTAAATTTGTAGAATTAATGATTGAGTAGAATACGCCACTGTAAACTTCAACATATTCATATTCTGACAAAAAATTAATAAGTGAATCTTAGTTTATAGTTAATAAAGTAAAGCTTTAAGAAACTGTAGTAGCTTTGAAAGAATCAAAAGATGATGGAGAAGGTAATTTAGAATAATAAATGAGAGAAATTAGTATTCTTTACAATCTACCTAAAAATGACCTCATAATTCAATATGTAGGACATTAAAAACATAACAAATAATTTTAGATATTTTTAGAATATTTTGATGGCTAAACTCTAGAAAAATATTTAAATGATAGCTAAAAATAATAAGATTAAAAGCCTAAAGATTTGAAATTGCAATAACTTTAAATTTCTAAATAAATTCTTTAAGCCATTGACTATTTGCATGAGCACAATATTGTGCATGGGGATATCAAACCTAGAAATATTTTAATTAACTCAGAAAAAAAAATTAAGATAATTGATTTTAGTGAATCAAGTTTTATGGTTGAAGAAACACTAGGTCAAACTCCGCTCTATGCTGCTAAGGATAAGTTTAAAACTAGATAAATAGATTATTATAGCTTAGGAATAATGTTTAATATAATTTTTGGCTTTAATAAATTAATAACTTCAAGTAATTGTTAACAAGAAAGAGAAAAATATAAAGTGGAAAATCATGAAAAATGTATACCTAAATCTGCTTCTAATATTGATGAATATCAGTATTCTTAAATTCTGTTTTATTAAATACAAAGTCTACTGAATGTATAACCTTACTTAAGATGTACTATTAAAGAGCTAATTTATATTATTAACTTAGAGATCGATATAATTAATAACAATCTTACAGAAACTGAGCGTTAAGAATGTGAAAAGAAATATTTTAAAAAATATGGTTAAATAATTTAATATAACATTGATGATAAAAATGATATTATTTTAAATCACTTATAAGAAGTACTTGATTTAGGTAAATAAGAGATAGGTAATCCTGTAAGTTGCTCAGAATAATCAAACACTTCTTTATATAATACTATTATAAAAGATCAAATGTTTGACAATCTTACAAAAAATAAAGAAATATCTTATCTAGGTAATTAAGTGAATTCTAATAGTTGCTCAGAATAATCAAAGACTTCTCAAAATAATACTATAATTAAACTTAATATAGGTAAATAAGCGATAGGTAATCCTGATAGTTGCTCATAGTAATCAAAGACTTCTCAAAATAATACTGTTAATAAAGATCAAATGTTTGACAATCTTACAAAAAATAAAGAAATACTTGATTTAGGTAATTAAGTGAACCCTGATAGTTGCTCAGAATAATCAAAGACTTCTCAAAATAATACTATAAATAAAGATGGAATAATTGATGATTTTACTAAGAATAAAGAAATAATTGATTTAGGTAATTAAGTGATCGGTCCTGATAGTTGCTTAGAATAATCAAAGACCTCTCAAAATAATACTATAATTAGAGATCAAATATTTGACGGTTTTAAAAAAAATTAAACTGAGAATGAATTTTTCGATGAAGATAAAACGATTAAAAAAGGAATCAAAAATCAAGATAATCAAATTTAATTAACAAAAAGCTTATTAGGCTAAGATAAACAAAATTTAGAGTAGAAATCTGACAATAACAATTTATAATTAAAAAATAATATTCCAGATTAAGAAAACTAAAGTAGCTCATAAAATTGCAAAAGTGAAAGTTTAGAAAGTTACTTTATTGACCAGCTAGATAAAATGGAATATGAGATGGTTTTAGTTAAATATTTAAAAAGTAAAAATCTAAATATAAACATTCGTAGTCTAGGAATAGATTTTAGTTAATTTAAATTAAGATCTAAAGAAAGGATATAATATATTTTTTAATTATTATCAAACGCTTTAACAATTCCAGTAATTCTTTCTATAATATCAGATCCAACGATGCTACCTATAATAATAGCAATTTTAAATAAACAAATTACTAAAGACCATAAAAGGTAAATTTATAGATATTTTTTATAAATTACAGAGTGAACATTTTTAAGAGATCGATTATAAGTGTTTATTTAATATTGCATTCTAATTAGACTGTTGAAATGTTATTTTTTATGAAAAAAAATATGTTGTTAGATAAATAAAAAATGTGTTTGAAATTTACATTCATTTTTATTTGTTTTTTAAATTCTTTGTATTCATTTTAAAATAAATTTTAGCTTAACTATTTCGAAGTAAAATTTTTAATATTATAAAAGTAGATTCTATTTTTTCGTTTCAAGTTTCTTCTATTCAACAATAAAAATAAAAGTTATCTTTTAGCAATTTTTATCAAAGATATAATTTTAAATTTGTAAATATTTTTGCTATTTGCTATATAAAAAACGAATTATTAACTGTTTATTAGCGAACTATTATTTTAGATAACATTTACTACTGAATACAATTAATTTAAAGATAATCCATAAAACTAAAATTAATTTTATGGGGTACTTTAACGTATCAAATAAAATTTTTATTGCATCAATTTTTAAAATGAATCTTCAATAATAAAATCAAATTCTTCTAATTCTATTTTTGACTATTCATATCCACAGCAAGTAAGCAGTATTTATTTAAAGTTTATTTTTTAATAAATTTCTTTTTTGATTTTTAATTATCTTTTAAAGAAAATGTTTATTATTTTTAATTTGCCAAATATCTAAAATTTTAAACTCTATAAAATAATTAAAAATCTGTGTATTTATTTTTTAAGTTTATTTATCCAATTACAAAAAATTTAAAAATAAAACATATTGTATTTTATTATTCAAAATTAATTTTTATACTTATTCGCCCTTTTTTCATTAAAATGAATTTATTCTTAAGACAACCAATCTTTTTGATTTATGACACTTTGCTTTGAATTATTTTTATTTTTTGAGACTAAAGGTAATTCTAATATAAATTAGTGCAAATAGAATAAAATTTTTAAATAAAATATTAAAATCAATAAATTAAAAAAACAAAAGTTAACAGAATAAAAATTTAAAAGAAAAATTAATAAAAAGAGTAAATTTAAAGAGTATTGTTTTAATTTCATTTTTTGTTTTAAAAAATATCACAATCTTAAACTAATAAAATGTTTATACCCAAAACAAAGAGTCAAATTTGAGAGATTAGTGCATTTTCTTAAACCAAAACATAAGCTTAATGAACCTTCATCACCAATATAATTATCCCTTTTTAAATATTGAAGAAAAAAATGCATATTTAATTAGTTAGTTAGAATGCAAAAATGATGAATAAATATAAAATAAACAATAAATGAATTAAATAATTAATAATAAAAATAAAGTTGAAAATGAAAAAATGAGTTATAGTAGCAAAGATAGAAAAAAAACACAAACAGAATAAAAAAATTAAAAAAAATCAAATAAAAAGCAAATAAATAAATTAAAAAGGAGTTATTTATCTTGTTTTAAATTCATATTTTTATTAAAAAATATCACAATCAAAAACAAATAAACTGTTTGTTTTTACATGATATCAAGTATCAAATTTGAGAGTTTAGTGCACTTTCCTAAATTAAAACTTAAGCTTGATGCACCTTCATCATTAATTTAATTTTTCCTTTAATAAAATAGTTAGAAGGGAAAAATGAAGAAAAAATATGAAATAATTAAAAAGTGAATGAATTAATAATAAGAAAAAGTTGAAAATGAAAAAAAATAGTTTTTTTAACAAAAAAAAAAATTAAATAAAAATCTAATTAATAAATTAAAAGAGTTAATTAATTATATTGCTATAAATTCATTTTTATATTAAAAAATATAACAATCCAAAACAAACAAATAAACTATTTTTACTTAAGTTAAAGTGTCAAATTTGAGAGATTAGTGCAGTTTCCTAAACCAGAGCCTAAGCCTGATACACCTTTTAGACCAATTTAATTCCAACTTTTTATATATTTAAGAAAAAATGCATAGCTATCCTCAAATAATTATTTCTTGAGTAAGAAATAAATTTTTAGTAGAACAATAAATATTATTTAATTAAAAAAATTTTAATGAAATAAAAAAAAGATTTTTAAAACAGGTTTCGAACCTGATAGAAGAAAAAAATTACTAAAATATATTTAATCATACGTTTAATTTTTTGATAAAGAAATCTCATTTTTTTTTCAAATATTTAATCTTGAATTCAATTTCTTTTACAAAAAAAAAGAATGAATGAAATAAATCAATGTTTAACTCTTAAAATTAAATGTTTTTTTTTTAAATTTAGATTTTTTCATTCAAAAATTAAATCTTTGATTAAAAATTTTTTTTTTTTGTTTATTCAGTTTCGTTTCGAAACCAATTTCAATATTTTCTTTTGTTATTTTAAATTTTCTTTATATTTATAAAATAATATTTAATATTCTACTATTCTATGTTAGCTATTTGAGAAAATCAATATAGTTAATTAGTTATTTAGAAGGTAAAAATGAACAAAAAATATGAAATAATAAGAAATTAATTAATTAATTGATTATTAATAATGCAAAAATTGAAAATGGAAAAATGAGTTAAATTAGAAAACAAAGAAAAAACACAGCTAGAATAAAAAAAGAAAAATTAATCAAATAAAAAATAATAAATTAAAAAAAAAAGAGTTAATTATATTATTTTAAATTCATTTTTATATTAAAAAATATCAAAATCCAAAACAAATAAATTTTTTTTACCCAAGATTAAGAATTAAATTTGAGAGATTAGTGCACTTTCCTAAACCAAAACCCAAGCTTGATACAGCCTCATCATCAATTTTACTATTCCTTTTTAAAGATTGCAAAAAATATACAGCTAATTAATTATAATAAAAAAATGAAGAAATAATATGAAATAATAAGAAATTGATTGATTAATAATAAACCAAAAAAAAAGTTGAAAATGAAAAAATAAATTAAATAAAATAGAAAGAAAGAAAGAAAGAAAGAAAGAAAGAAAGAAAGAAAGAAAGAAAGAAAGAAAGAAAAAAGATAATCAGAATAAAAAAATAAAATAAATTAAATAAAAAAGAAGAAAGAAAAAAGATAATCAGAATAAATAAATAAATAAACTGTTTTTACACAAGATTAAGTGTCAAAATTGAAAGATTAATGCACTTTTCTAAATCAAAACCTAAGCTTGATACACCTTATTCACCAATTAAAGTATCCCTTTTTAAGTATTAAAGGAAAAATATAGTTAATTAGTTTATTTGAATAAAAAGATATAAAAAAACAGCAAATGAATTAATTGATAATAAAGCAAAAGTTGAAAATGAAAAAAGTGAGTAAAATTTTAAAAGAAAGAAAGAAAAAATTCAAGCAGAATAAAAATAAGAAAAATAAACTATTAAAAATCTAGTAAATAAATAAATAAGAATTAATTATATTGTTTTAAATTCATTTTTATATTAAAAAATATCACAATCCAAAACAAGAAACTATTTTTACTAAAGATAAAGTGTCAAATTTGAGAGATTAGTGCACTTTACTAATCCAGAACTTAATTTTGATACAGCTTCTGCACCAATATAATTTTTACTTTTTATTTATTGAAGAATTTTAATTTGTTAGTTAGAAAGAATGAAAAAATGAAAAAAAAATATGAAATAATAAGAAATGAATTCAATAATAATGAAGTAAAATTTATTAAATAAAAAAATAAAAAAAACATAAGTAGAATAAAAAAAAATCAAATAAATCAAATAAAAAATTATTTTGTTTTTATTTTCATTTTTTTTAATAAAAATCACAATCCAAAAACAAAAAAAATATTTTTACTTAAGAACAATAATCAAATTTGAGAGATTAGTGCACTTTCCTATACCGTACCCTAAACTTGATGCGCTTTCGTCACCAATTTAATTATTGCTATTTAAATATTTAAGAAAAAAAAAAAAAAAATAGTTAATTAGTTAGTTTGAATAAAAAAATATGAAAAAGTAGCAAATGAATTAATTAATAATAAATAAAAAATTGAAAATTAAAAAAATAAGTTAAACATTAAAAGAAAGAACGAAAGAAAGAAAGAGAAAACACAAATTAAATAATAAAAGAAAGATAAATGAAATAAAAAGCTAATAAATAAATAAATTAAAAGAGTTAGTTATCATTTTTTAAATTCATTTTTATTTTTAAAAATATCTCAATAAAAATTTAAATAAACTGTTTTTACGTAAGATCAAGTGTCAAATTTGAGAGATTAGTGCAATTTTCTAAACCATAACCTAAATCTGATGTATTTTCTGTACCAATTTTATTCCAACTTTTAAAATATTGAAGAAAAATATAAAGTTAATTAGTTTATTAGAAAAAAAAAATTAAGAAAAAATATGAAATAATAAAAAAATAATAAAAAATTATAGTAAAATTTGAAAATAAAAAAAATTTAAATTAACAAAGAAAGAGGGATGTAAAAAAACATAAAAAAAATAATAAAAAATAAATATAAATCAAAAAAAAATCTAATAAATAAATAAAAAGAGTTAATTATCTTGTTTAAAAAATTTTTTAATTAAAAAATATCACAATTTAAAACTAATAAACTGCTTACGAAAGATCAAGATATAAATTTGAGAGATTAGTACATTGACCTATACAAGAAATTAAACATGATGCACCAAAATAACTGATTTAATTAGACCTTATTTACATTTAAGAAAAAAATAAGTTGAAGAAAAATTTTTAAAAATAATAAGAAATGAATTAATAATAAAATCAAAATTTGAAAGTTAAAAAATAAGTTAACTTAAAAAAGAAAGAAAGAAAAAAGCAGAAATAAAAAAAAAAATTAAAGAAAGAAATAAAAAACTAAAAAATAAATTAGAGAATTATATTGTTTTAAATTCATTTTTATTGTAATTAATATCTCAATTCAAAACAAATAAACAGCTTTTACTTAATACAAAGTGTCAAATTAGAGAGATTAGTGCAGTTTTTTAAACCAGAACATAATCTCGATGCACCTTCTGCACAAATTTAATTAAAACTTTATAAATATTGAAGAAAACAAATATAGCTAATTAGTTAGTTAGAAAGCAAAAATGAAGAAAAAATATGAAATAATAAGAAAATAATTAAAAATAAAAGCAAAATTTGATAATGAAAAAAAAAAAAATTAAATGAAAAAATAAAAATGAATGGAAGAAAAAAATGTAAGAAGGATAAAAAAAATATTTATATAAATCAAATAAAAAATCTAATATTTAAATTTAAAGAGCTATTTTAAATTCATTTTTAAATGAAAAATATCATAATACAAAACAAATAAACTGTTTTTACCCAAGATTAAGAGTTAAATTTGAGAGATTAGTGCACTTTCCTAAACCAGAACCTAAGACTGATGCACCTTCTGCACCAATTTAACTATCCCTTTTTTTTATATTGAAGAAAAAATATGAAGCAATAACAAATTAATAGTAAAGCAAAAGTTAAAAATAAAAAAAGATAGATGACTTAAATTAATAAACAAAAAAAGAAAAAACACAAGTAGAAAAGAAAAAAATCAAATAAATCAAATAAAAAGCTAATAAACGAATTAAAAGTTTATATTCAATTTTATGCTAAAAGTTATCACAACCAAAAACAAATAAACTGTTTTTACTAAAGATTAAGCTCCATATTTGAGAGATTAATGCACTTTTCTAAATTAGAACTAAAGCCTTATGCACCAATTTAATTATCCCTTTTTAAATATTGAAGAAAAAATATGAAATAATAACAAATTAATTAATAATATAGAAAAAGTTAAAAATAAAAAAAATTAGTTAAATTAACAAAGAAAGAAAGAAAAAATATAAATCGAATAAAAAAAATGAAAATAAATCATATAAAAAGCAAATAAATAAATTGTTATTTATTTTTTTAAATTCATTTTTTTATTAATAAATATCTTAATTCAAAACAGTTAAACTATTTTTACTTAAGATAAAGTGTCAAATTTGAGAGATTAGTGCACTTTCCTAAGCCAGAACTTAAGCCTAATGCACCTTCTGCGCTAATTTAATTGTAGCTTTTTTAATATTGAAGAAAAAAAATATAGTTAATTTTTTACTTAGAATGAAAAAAATAAAAATAAATAATAATAAAGCTAAAGCTGTAAATGAAAAAATGAGATAAATTAGCAAAGAAAAAAAGAAAAAAAACATGTAAAAAAAAAGAGAAAAATAAATCAAATAAAATCGAATAAATAAGTAAAGAGTTGTTATATTTTTTTATATTCAATTTTATTCTAAGAAATATCACAATAAAAGCCAAATAAACTGTTTTTACGAAAGATAAAGTGCCAAATTCGAGAGATTAGTGCACTTTCCTAAGCCATAACCTAACCCTGATGCACCCTCTGAGCCAATTTAATTTTAGCTTTTTAAATATTGAAGAAAAAATATATATTTAATTAGTTAATTAGAGTAAAAAAATTAAGAAAAAATATGAAATAAAAAGAAATTAATCAATATATAGGCAAAAGTTGAAAATTAAAAAATGAATTAAATTAAAAAACAAAGAAAGAAAGAAAAAGACTAAAAGGATAATTAAAAAAAGAAAAATAAATCAAATAAAAAGAAATTAAATATATTTAAAGAGTTAGTTATCTTGTTATAAATTCATTTTTATATTAAAAAATATCATAACCTAAAAACAAATAAACAGTTTGTTTTTACCCAACTTCAAGTTTCAAATTGTAGAGATTGATGCACTTTCCTAAACTATAACCTAAATTTGATGCACCATCTGCACTAATTTTATTTCCACTTTTTAAATATTTAAGAAGAAACATTGTTAATTAGTTAATTAGAATTAAAAAATGAAGAAAAAATTTGAAATCATAAAAAAAATTAATTTATTGATTAATAATAAAATAAAAGCTGAAAATTAAAAAATGAGTTATTAACAAAAAAAGAGAAAGAAAGAAAGAAAAAACAAAACCATAATAAAAAAAGAAATATTTCACAAAAAAAGTAAATAAACAAATTAAAAAAGTTAGTTAGTTATCTTGTTTTAAATTTATTTTTTTTTTTAAATATCTCATAGAAACTGTTTTTACCCAAGATAAAGTGTCAAATTTGTGAGTTTAGTACACTTTTCTAAACCAGAACCTAAGCTTTATGCACCTTTTGCACCAATTTAATTATTCCTTTTTAAATATTGAAGAAAAAATTAATTAGTTAAAATTAAAAAATGAAGAAAAAATATGAAATGATAAGAAATTAATAATAAAACAAAATGAAAATTAGTTTAATTGAAAAGCAAAGAAAAAAAATAAACTTAAACGAAATAATAAAAAAAATTAATCAAATAAAAAGCTAATAAATAAACAATTTAAAAGAGTGAGTTTTCTTATTTTAAATTTATTTTTATATTAAAAAAGATCACAATTCAAAACAAATAAATTGTTTTACGAAAGATTAAGTGCCAAATTTGAGAGATTAGTACATTTTCCTAAACCAGAACCTAAGAATGATAAACCTTCATCATCTAATTAATTGTAGCTTTTTAAATATTGAAGAAAAAATATTGCTAATTAATTAGTTAGTTAAGGAAAGTATGAAGAAAAAATATGAAATAATTAAAAATAGAATAAATTAATAAAAAAAAAAGTTGAAAATGAAAAAATGAGTTAAATTAACAAAATAAAAGAAATAAAAGAAAAATAAGCAGGATAAAAATAAGAAAAATAAATCAAATAAAAAGCTAAAAAATAAATAAATAAAAGACTTATTTTTTTTGTTTAAATTCATTATTAAATTTAAAAAAAGATCTATTCAAAAACTAATAAGCTTATTTTACATTAAATTAAGCGTCAAATTTGAGAGATTAATGCAGTTTCCTAAACCAGAAGCTAAGTCTGATGCGCCTTTTGCACCAATTTAATTCCAACTTTATAAGGATTAAAAAATAAATATATAGTTAATTTTGTTAGTAAGTATGAAAAAACGAAGAAAAAATATGAAATAATAAAAAGTGAATTAACTAATAATAAAGCAAAAGTTAATTTAAAAAAGAAAGAAGAAAATAAAAAAACATGACCTGAATAAAAAAAATAAATCATGTAAAAGGTTTATAAATAAACTATAAGAGTAAGTTATATTGTTTTAAATTCATTTTTATATTAAAAAAGATCACAATCCAATACAAATAAATTGTTTTTACCAAATATCAATTATAAGATTTGAGAGATTAGTGCAATTTGCTAAACCAGAACATAAGATTGATGCGCCAAAATCACCAAAATTTTTGTTGCCTTTTTAATATCTAAGAAAAAAGTATATTGTTAATAAATTAACTAATTAAAAGGATAAAATAAAGAAAAAATTTGAATTATTAAGAAATTAATTAAGATAAAAGAAAAAGTTCAAAATGAAAGTTATATTAACAAAAAAAGAAAATAATGACTTGCAGAATTAAAACAAAATAAATCCAATTAAAGAGAACATTTCAAATATCAAAAAATGAATAAATAAATAAATAAATAAATAAGAATCAAAATAAAAATTGAGTTAAAATTATTCAACAAATGTTTGTAAAATTAAAATGGATGAATATTGATGATAATTTTTATTAGAAAAATAGCAATGTAAATAAATAAATAACTTGATTGAAAACTAAATTTAAAAAAATATGAATAATTTTATATTTATAAATTATAAAAACCTCAGTTCAATATGGAGAGCCTAATTCGATTAAATTGAAGAGTTTTTAAACTTTTTTATTAATAAAAATAAATATTAAACAATATGAATAACAAAATAAATATTTACTTCTTCTACATCTTTGAAATAGTTTTTCTATTATATCATTTACTTATTTTTTTTTACAAATACTGAATAGTAAGTTATGGAAATTTAATAAATTTATTTATTTTTTCTAATTAATTTGTAAAACAAGAAGAAATAAATAAATAATTATAATTATCAAATATAAATTTATAAATTTGCTTTTAGGAAGACATATCACAAATAAACTCATTACTAAATCCTTGCAAAATTTTTTGTTCCTGGATTTAAGATATATCTAAGACCAAGCTGCATTTAGTATTTTAAATCTAGAAAGAGCTGTATGTTCTATTGAATTGTTTTTCCATGCCAATAAGAATTTGTTGATTTTTTTTCATCAATTAGAATGGCTAAAATAATAATAATAATAATAATAATATTATGAGTAAAATGTAATAAATTACAGTGATATTATCTATGTATTTTAAGTGTTATTTTTTATTAAAGTGACGCCAGGATACATAATTATTTTCTGAAATTATTACCAAAACCAAAAATAGAAACTCATTTCAAATTAAAGCTTTAAATAAAATAATAATAAGATATTCTTTGTTGATAAATTACTTAAATAATATCATAAATAGCTTGGGAGTATATTTTTAAAATTATCTATAAATATTAAATTCAATTAATGATTTGAAAGCGGATTTGCTTCTAAATTTAAACACATAATTTTTTTGATGATGTGCAAAAAAAATTAAAAAGAGGAAATAGAAATTTAAAATATTATATATTTATTTTTCTTAAAATCCCAAATTTTTAGGAAAAAAATAGCAAATTTGTATTTTTTATTAGGATTTATATGACTTATTAAAGGAAATTTCTAATTTTTTCTGAAAAAATTGATGATATTGAGTTTAAACAATAGAATTTGAATTAGATTTGTGGATTCTCTGAAATAAATATTTTTCTTAAGAGATCATTTAAGTCAACATAATTAGTAATGAAAATATTGGAAAATTTTATTATATTACTAATTGAAAATAATCCATTTCTAATCATTAAAATTTGATATATTTAAATAGTTGATATTGAAATTTATGCATGCATGATTTACCCTTATATTTGAAAAGAATATTTCAGAATAAATAATTTTCATACAAGTATTATTATTATAATTATAATCATGATTTAGCAAAAGGATATTAAAACAATCAAATTAATTAGATGATTTAGCCTGTATAGCTGCACTAATAAATTGATAAACAAATGACTAATTGATAGATAGAATGAATCAATTAATGAGTTTTCTTTTCAGTACCTTCCTTATAAAGTCTTTTTCCTGATATGAATTAGTTAGTATTTGTTTTTTACTATTTAAAATTTTTAAAAAGGGAAATAAAATAAATAGAAAATAAAAAGAACGTGCTTGTTTATTTTAATTATAAAAAATAAATAACAAAAATAGTCTTTAACTTTGATTGAAGTATAAATTCTTTTTAAGGAATCAAATATATAAAGCTAATTTGCTGATTGATTTGTACATTTATAAGCAGTGTTTTGTTGGAATAGAGAGAGATAGATCAATCAATCAATCGAATAGGGAGCAGAGAAAAAAGAACCGTTTAAAATAAAGTTATAAAGCAAATTTTAAGGGTATCTCGCATAGCTAGCTAGTCATCTGAATTAAAAACAGTGGTATTAATATTAAAGAATATAAGTAAAAAAGAGAAGAAAATCGAAGTTTAGTGTGAAATCCAACCGCTAGAAAGCACAATAAAAACAAATCTATAAAAAAAGGAGAAAGCTTAAGAGTTTATTATAAGTTTGACTCTGTCTTACTCAGTCAGATATTTAATTGTAGTAGGTCTCTTACAAATTACTATTAGCTTGCTTAATAAGTTTTAAAATCTACTTATTTATAGGATAAGCAGTCCATAAAATAAAATTCATGTCTTAGCAATAAATTGCTTCTCTTTCACCTTCTCACAAGAATGATTAGGCCCAACAAAAAGAAACAGGCATAGCTTCAGGTCAGGAAAATTCTTCTTCTGTAGAATAGAAAAATGCTACTACTACTTCTAATATTAATAATAATAGTGGAGGGTCGCAATAAGGAAACAAAGAGTAAAATGCTTATCGCAAAAACTATAATAACTTTAGCTAAAATAGTTATAAGAATTACTAAGGGAATAACAACAGTAATGGAAGCTATAATTAGAAGCAGAATGGAAAGTAAGAGAGGATTTAATTGATTTTGATTTAGATTATCTTTAGCCAATTAATTTTTAAAGTGTTAAAATAAATTTCTTTTATTTAAAATATAATAGTCAACACTTTATATCTACAAACAAAACAAGTGATAGTAGAGAAAAGTTTTCAGGAGGAGATAGCTATAAAAAAGTTAGAGATTCTTCTTCAAATAATTACAGGAAATAAACAAATCATCATTAGGATTCTGATTAAAATAATTACTAAGGAGGCTACGAATATCAAAAATATAATAAAACAAGTGAAGGATAATAATCTTCGCAGTATTCCTACAACAATAACAATCACTACCATAATTAGGGAGGATCCTTCCACTATAAATAAAATAACTAAGGAAACCCCAGTAATCCCTATTATAAAAACTACCAAAATGCATATTACCATAAGGAAAAAAAACTTTAAACGAAATACATCCCAAAAGCTCAACTCTAAGAACAATAAAAAGAATCTAATACTGATATTAATCTCAACCAAAACGAGTAAAACCAACAGCTCGAGTATGTCAATAATGAAAATAATTTATCCACGAATAACAGTGAGAGCAATAAACCAAATAGCTCTCAATCAGTGACTTAATAAAGTGAAGAAAAATAAATTGAAATAGAAAACTAAAATAAGCAATTGGATGCTAACAATAGCAGTAAAAATAGTAACAGTGATAGTTAAGAAAAAGAAAAAAGTAATTAAAAGGTAAACAGCTTTGACGATTCAAGAAAAACAAATTAAAATGAAGAAGTACATTACAAAAAAGTTTATTAAAAGCCTAACACATACATCAATAATAACAACAAGGTCTATACATCTAAACCTGGCTAAGTGTCAACTTAGTAATTGTAGTAATAAAAGAAAAATTATTAGAAGAAAAATATTAAAAATCATGAATATAATAATTCAAATAAAAACGACGACTCCAAAGATTCCTTACAAAGGGAGTATGATTTAAGTGATGAAGAGGATATTGAATCAAATGATGAAGATAAAAATTTCGAAAGTTACTAAAATCCTCAGAATAGCTCAAAGAAAAATAAATTCGATAAGAGCTAACAACAAAATGGAACTAAAGAATAGCGCCCTCCAAGTAAAAGTACAGACGAAAAGAATGAAAATTCTTATGCAAATCCTTAAATAAATCAAAGATAAAACTATCATAATGCTTTTAAATATTAAAGCAACTATGCAAAACCCTTTTATAATAATGAATCTGGTCATATAAGCTAAAACTTAAATAGTGGAAATGGTACTAGCAACTCCTATAACAATACCAATTAATTTAATAGCAGCCAGAAAAACCCTAAAAAAATGAAAACTTTCTACTATCAGAAAAAGAAGCCAAGCAATTCAGATGAAGAAGACATAGACGATATCATGTAATTAATTTTTTCTTTAAATAATAAATTTATCTATTTTCTTAAAATTAATGAATGACGTCTGTCTTATTATTATTTTAATTAAAATAAATAAATAAATTATAAAATTATTTGGGAAATCATTATTTTAAATGTGGAAATTTAGTTGCAAAATAAAATGTATTTTATAACTTTAAAGAAAACTTACACAATTTATTCTAATTTAAAATGTTTCCCCTCTTTTTTATTAAATAATTATTTTAAAAAATCTAATAAATTTAAATTTTTTCTATTTTTAGTAAATTGTTTGGTATTATTAAAGTGATCAAATGATGATTTTTTAACATATTTAATAGATAAGATTATCTTAGTGAAGAGGATTTAGAAGAAAATTAAAATCAATTCAAGGATAAAAGAAATGGAAGCCTTGTAAATAAATAAAAGAAAATTAAAGAAAATGTAGTTTATGTCTTGAAGGAAAAGGAAGAAGAAAAGTAATCAACTGAAGGTTAGATTGATAATGAAACCAACCAAAATACTAAATAAGACACATCAGAAGAACCCTAAAAATAAGAAAACAATTCAAATTATGAAGTTAGCTCTAGTTAAGAAGGATAAATCTAAAATAAAACTCAATAAAATGGTTTAAAAAATAATAATTACAATCCCTTTTATAAATAAAATCCTAACTAAAAGTAATATAATACTAAGGGTTAACCGATTAAACAAAATAAGAATCCTAATTACTAGCATGTGCAGGAAATATATGTGAGAGCTAAAAATGAACAAGAGAATAAAAATAACAATAACAATGGCAATTAAAACATTATCAAATAGGATAATTAGAATTAGTAATAGTCAAACAACTAAAATTAGGAAAATAGCAATAAATAAAATGAATAATTCGATCAATAAAAAGTAAACACTATTTAAAATAATTCAAATCAGCAAAGCTAACTACAGAGTGGTTACTTCAAAAAGAATTAATTTGTAGAAAAGAATAAACAAGAGAGGTAGTAAAATAAAGATTAATAATACAGAGAAGATAACTTGTACCAATAACAAAGCTATAGCAAATAAGAATAAAAGTAAACAAAAGAATCTTCTGAGTAGAAAGGTTGTGAATCTAGTGATAAAATGTCCCAACACAATAGCAATAAAGACAAAAATTAAGTTGAAATATAAGAAATGAATAAGATACATCCTAAAAGACAAGCATAATTTTCAAAAGAAGATCTAGACAACTAAACAAATAGCAGCTAAAAAGAAAGTTAGGAAAATGCTTCATCTATAGCATTAGCAAATGCCTAAAAGAAAAAAGAAAAGCTTGAAAAGCTAAGAGAAAAATATTATAAATAGTAAATTCCTTCTTAGACTTCTTAGGGTGAATACATTTAATAAGTAATTTATTTATTTATTTTTTTGAAAATTAATCAAATTCATTTTAAAAATAAAATATTTTTCTTTCATCATTTAACTTTTTTTTATATAAAGACACCACAAAACCTAGGATAATACCCTGCAAATAGCCATTAGCAAGTTATACAAAACTCAGTTTATCCATAATAATACTCAAATTAAATTTATGAATAACTTCTCTCTCCAGATTCAGATAATCATGATTTTTAACTTTAATTCTATGATTTTGCTAAACCATAACCCTAAAATGCTCTTCATGTTTAACCCTCAGTTTAGTAACAATTTTTATTCTATCCATATCCAAGAGTAGCAGAAATGGATTATTACTCACACTACATGTAAGATATATTCCCTTCTGAATAACCCTCTACATAGCTTTCTTATTATTAAGTTGCTCATAATCAATAGCCAGCAGCTATGTATCCTGCCTCTTATCTTCATTCACTTTCACACCAATAACAACCATAAATTATTTAAAATACTATTTAAAAACCATAGTAACCAGTTTAAGTAAACTCCTCAATTAACTCTGTAAACCCGCTACTCTCTTCACCTCAGCAATCATAAACAACAACACAGCAATCATAAATACAATAAGTCTAGAAATCAGATTAATACTAATATTCTTTTAACCTTGCAGGCTAGTCCTATTTTAGTAATTTCGCTTTGAAAAACGATAGTAAAATAGATGATAGTCTTTGGTATTATATAGACAATTAGGGATAAGAATAAGGTCCATTCCCCTCTATCTAAATGGATTTATGGAATGTTTAAAACTACTTCCCAAATGACTTATAAATAAAATTCGAAAAAACTAATAATTGGACTGAGAAAAGACAATTCTAAGTCGAAAATCCTATCCCTGAAGATGAAGAAGAGCTTCATTGCTTAGCTTTTTCAATAAGCGAATCTCCTTCTATTTTTAGCAACAGTTTTTACTAATCATAATAATCTTGATAAATTTAATAAATATTTAAAATTTTAATCTTAAAGTTAACTATTTATCCTCCCTCAATCCTTATATTAACTAAATGATGCAAAATAAAATTGTCTTCTTATATATAAAATACATATCAGATTTATTTAAATAGAAGATCATTATTTACAAATAAGTAATTAAAAACAAAAAGAAGACAAAAATTTAGTTAAATTAGGAATTAAAATAAGGGAATAAGTAATTAATTAAGAAAGTGATTGATTGATTGACTGATCTATTATTATCAAACCATTTTATATGAAAATAATAATTAAGTTATAAATTAAAATATATATTTCAATAACTGAGAATAATAGACAACTAATATATTTATTCTTGTTAATTTCAAATAAATACTTTATTTTAAGTATTTCAATTAATATTAAATTAAAATTAAAATATGTATTGATGTAAACTTTAAATATATTAGTTCAATTTAATTATTTGTAAAAATATACTAAACTCACTCCTCCTTTTTTTAAATATCACTAATATATTATTGTAAACACACTTATAATTATCATTTTCAACTTTAATATTTTTATTATTTTATTTAAATAAACATAATTTATAAAAAATAATTGAATTAAACATTTTATATAATGGGAGATCAAATTAGTTAGTGAATTTACAATAGGAGGATTTTAGGGCCAGGCCAATTTTCTTATATAATTTGTTTCAATCACCTGCACTCTTTTAAGTACTTTATTAATAAAAAAAAGGGTATATAATATTTAATCATTCTAGATACTGTTGTTAAATGTTTTAGATTTTATGTAAATGATCATTTAAAATATAATTTATTTAATTATTTTTCTAAATATAAAATTTAATGTTTTATAATTATTTAGAATAATATGACAATTTTATATAATTTTAATTTAATATTTAAGAGCATTTTACTTGAAATTATTTACAGATAATAAATTTTATCATTAAATAATAAATTATTCGCATATTTTAATTTATTGTGTTAATTAAAATTTATCTAAATATAATAAATATTATCGTTAAATATTTTGTTTAATAATTTAATTTCAAATAAATTAAATATCTACTTGAAGTAGAAATGACTTCTGTTTATCTTTGGTGAAACAAAATAGCTAGTAACCAAAATTAAACTTAAAAACATTATAAAAAAAAGCATTTTAATAAATTAGGTAATTCATTTTGATTTGGTAAGCTAGATGAAAGCTTTGGTTTATTTCTGAGTCCTAAAAGCCTTGCTAAAATAAAAATAGTATGTAATTAAAATATTAAAGATATCAAAGAAACTAATTGTCTGAATTCCTTTTTTTTTGGTGTAACATTTATTTAATATATTTTTAACTTATAATAGCTTAATTTATTTTTTAAATATTAGAATTTCTTCTTATTGCGTGCTTTTAAAGAGAGGCTATTCTTATTTGCCAATACTTTTTAAAAAATTAAAAGTCAATTATTAGAAAAATCAAGTAGAAAAATTAAACCATATTAAAGAAATCAAATAGGTTTAGTAATTAATATAATAAAGGTGAATATAATAATTATTGACTTAAAATAATTAATAATAATGATAATCATAAATAAACAATTAAAATAGAATATTTAAACTTTTGAAGTAAATTGTTTTCTAATTTATCGCTTATTTTATGCTGATAATTAATATATAAATACAAAACTCTTCAAAAGTTTAATATTTGCAATTTTTGCTGTTTATTATTATTATCATTATTATCAAGTTATTTATAATTAATAATTATTGTATTTATTTACTTTATTTATATATCTTGTCTTATGTCATAAATATCATATTAAATTCAACCAATCCTCATCAAATTATTTTTACATTTATAATAAACATTTTTATGTTATTAATATTCTCCATTTTTAAATTCTTTAGACTAATAATAAATTTATTTTCGATAGATTTAAAATAATTTAAAATATAAAAAATAAAAATTGCTTAGCTAAATCATTAAATATAAATAATTCTTTATTTAATTAATTTATATTAAAATTAAAATAATTATTGCTTATCTATCTTCTCTTTGTTACTATACAATATCCTTAAGATTCTTTTTTTATTTAACATAGCTATGAATTAGATTTGTAATAATTAGATTTATTGCTTTAAAAAATATTTAAATACTGATAAGTATTTTTAAAATATTTATTTATTTTTATTTGATTGATTTCTTTTCAAGTAAAACTTTTTATTCAAATTATTTTTAGAATGTTTTAATTATATATTATGTATGATGTATATCCTTGATAAAGAGAGATCAACACAAACGTAATTATTTTTCTCATTATTTTATTATTCATTTGGCCAAAATGAAATAATATAATTTTGAGAATCAAAAAACTGTTGTATTCTCTTTTAATATTTTATGGAAGATTAAATAACTAAAAAATAAAATAAAATTAATATCCATAAAAAAGTTTTCGTATAATAATTTATTTAATTAACTCTAAAGATTTGGAACCAATTTATTTAAAAGATTCTTTTTTAAAAATAAATTATATTAGTAAAATAAGTAAATAAATTTAGAACACTTTTAATTTATTTGTGCAAAATAAATTTGAAACAATTAATATATTCGTTAGATATTGTATTTTGTTAATTAAAAAGAAATTAAATATCTACTCATATTATAAATGTTTAAATATCAACCCTATTATTAATTTAGGGAATATTCCTAAGTATTAGGTTGATGTTTAAGTTACTTGTTAGATTGCTAATAAAATAAATACTAAGAGTTTTTATTTTAATAGAGTTAACAATATCTTTCATAGTTTATTAGCGTTTTAAATAAATAATAAAAATATTAAAAATAGCTAGTAAATCGATTGTTTTTGAATATGTGAGAAATGTCTACTTTAAATAAATTTTATTTATAGGTAAGATTTATAGCTAATTTTAGATTTAATATATATCATTTTATTTATTATTAAAATAGATTAAAGAAATTCATTATTTATTCTGAAGAAAAATAGGTTTATTTAAATTAATAAAGATAGTATTAAGCCTAGTTATTATAATTATGATAGATATTGATGCAATTAGAATCTACTTAATATTTATGCGTTCATAAAAAGAGTATCTATCTATTCTTTCATTATTTTAATTCCAGAAGAATTTTTAATATGATTTAGTGAATAATTTAATTATAATTTAAATGCTTTTGTTATGTTTTTAGAGATCTGTTTCTCTTTAGCATTTATCTTTAATCAAAGATAAATTTAAGTACAAAACTTTAAAAACATATATAAAGCTTTTTAATAATAATTATTACTAGCTCTATCAAATTACTTATTTTTCAGTAATTATTGTAATTATATATTGATTTATCTTTATGTTTTTTTTCTGCCAAAGAATTTCAACCACTCTTCAATTTTTTCATTTTTAATTTCTATCTAATTTTTAAAAACTTTGCTCAAGCTTTACTCTTTTTTAAAAATATTTATTTTTCAAAGTTATGTTTTACAAAAATAAGTTTATTACATAAAAATTTAAATAAATAAATTTTGAATTTATCATACACCAATCAAAAATAATATTTAGAACCTAGCTTTGATAAAATATAAATTTAGAAAATTTTAATTTTTCCCTCCATTTAAATAAAAGATTTTTTTTTTAATTTTCCTTAATTAATGAGAAAGCATAGTAAGTATATTAATATGTTAGATATTAAAAATAAAACAAATAAAAAATTATTATTTATTTTTTGTAAACCCTTTTTAATAAGAGTTGCTAATTTAATAAATTTTTGAGTGCTTGATTACTCTTTTATTTTTGGTTACTATTTTCTGTTTTTTTCATTAATAGTGATTTATTTCTTTCTTTATTTAAAATTATTATCAAATATATATGACATATTTTTATATCAATAAATTATTGATAGCTAAAATTTTTAATTTGAATTCAAAAATTTTTATATTTTTATTTTTAACAATGAATTCTTTAAAAAAAAAAACTAATTTAAAATGAATTTTATAAGAAAATCCTATTGTTAATAGTTTAAAATTTTTTATAGTAATTTATGGTTATTTGTGCTTATGAGTTCCCATTATGGATATTGGTCCTTAAATTGAAATTTTCGTCCTTATTTTTATGGATCATTAGCAAGGAATTAAAGTAATGGTTTTGTTTAAATTTATTAAATTATATGAAATAATTAATTCTTAGAAGGGATATTAGCCAAATAATAAAACAATATTTATTGTGTTCCGGTTCCATAGTATAGTGGTTAGTACTGGGGACTTTAAATCCCTTGACCTGGGTTCGAATCCCAGTGGGACCTTTCATTTTTTTTCTAATTGATTTGTTTGTAAAAATTGATACATAGATAAATAAATTAATTAATTATCTTTCATTGAAAATAAATATCTTGTAATTTTTAAAAATAACAGTTAAGAAAGAGCTTTAATTTTTTAATATGATAAAGATAAAGCGAAAGATAATTTACAAGTAAGAAATAAAACAATATTAAAATTTATATTTTTATGAAGTGCCCGTTATTGTTTCAGTTAAGATTAATAGTTCGATATTAGCTTTAATCTATTTATTTTATCAATAAATAAACCTCCTCATTCTAATTATCATTATACATGAAATTAAATCAACTGTGAATCTGAATACTAAGATATCAAATAAGATCATAAATACTCAAAAATTAAATCTTTAAAAATTTAATCCATTAGTTTATTATTTTTTTATATGAATCATTACTAAAAAAAAATTACTGCTGAATAGAAAAAACTAAACAAACATAAAAAAATAGAGAGTTTTAATAATTAGTTTAAAAATATATTTATTTCATACTAAAGAAAAATTTATCCAAAAATAGCAATTATAAAAAATCTATGATTGATTGATTTAAAATCTTTAAAAAATAGTATATTTATCTATCATAATATTAATTTATCTTGCTATTATTTTATAAGTAAAATAGTAGTTTAAATACAAAAAATGTAAATTTAATAATGGTTTTTATATAAGTTGTATTATTAAATTTAAGATTTATTTATTTATTTTTTATAAACTAAAATTTTTTATCAAAGAACTGAGATCTTAAAAATAATTTTTTATCATTTTATCTTTGTTTCTATGTATCAAAAAAAAATTCATTAGAAAAATTATTTAATAATAAAGTCTTCTAAATTTTATATTCTAATAAAAAAAAATAAAAGAAATCTAATTCATTATTTATTTTATAAAAAATAAAGAGACAGATGTAGATTTATAAATAAAAAAATAAATTTTACTATAAAAGTATAATAAGATGCAAAAAAAATAAAATTATTTGTTAATATTTGGATATGATCCTCATATTAAAACAATATGAATTAGTAGCAATCTTTAAATTTTCTAAAATAATTCAATTCTGTTTAAGCTTTTGAGTGTTCTTTTCTGATTACTAAGAGGACTAAGATAGTAAATGAGAGCTAATTCTTTTGCTGATTGCTATACAGCTAAGCAAAGGCACAATAACCCAAAAACTGCTAGGAACAACGTATAAGAAAATGTATTCAACATAATTTTTTATTGGTAAACTATGAGGAAATCCATACTAGAAGTAAAGAACAGTCTTCCAAAAAGTAAAAGCGTTTGCAAGGATAGCCAAAAAAGTACCAGCTAGTTATTTCTTTTAAGAGTTAGAAAAGATGAGACAAAGTGCAATTGTGTTAATAATGCATTCGTAAATGTTAAGGATGGATTATTCAACAACAAATTGATCCTGCATATCTCCATAAAGCTTATCAATTTGAATATATGTAGCATATGGTGTCCAAAAAGCATGAAGATCACCACCAGGAAGTGTACGAGGTCTTAAAAGAACAAAAGAAGCATCCCATGTACAAATGAGAGTCGATAAAAACAGCCAAATTTTAACAAATAGTGGAACAAAATCGAATTTAGTCATTTATTTTTAATCTTGCTTGTATTTTTTGTCAATTATAATTAAACTTTTTTATGAAAAATCTTTTTCTTGTTTTTTAAAAAGATATTTCTGATTTTTTTTAAATAAAAGGATTGATTATGTAAACCAAAATTCAATAGTTCTTGTTAAGATATTCTTTAATAATATTATTTATGTTTAATTAGATATATTTTCAGCCAATAGTGTTAATGTAAATAATTTGTTTTTAGATATTGTTTGTCAATTTTTTTTTCAAAAATTTTTTTAATAATAATATTATATTGATCGAACTATTCTTAGGAGTAATCATTGTCTGTAAACACATCTTTTTGAATAATGAAGGATTGGTAGTGCAAATCAAAGATCAATAATTCTTATAAGATATTTTTTAATAAAATTAATTATGTTTGATTATGTTTCATAAGTAATAACTGTTTGTAAATATAATTGTTGTTCAATGTATGATCTTTACACTAAGAAATATTTTAAATATTGTAAATATTAGTAAAAAATCATATTAAAAGTTAATTATTTATTCCAAATCTATTTATTTCTATTTTTTTTATAATTAATCAAAAATTAATATTAAAATAAATTGAATAAATATAAATTAGATTTAAAAAACTAAAAATAAATTATTAGCTTCAATTAAAAATTAATTATTTTATTTTTTATGATAATTTAAAATTAAGAAAAGGTAATTTCTAGACTAAAATTAAATTTCGAAATTTAATTAAATTTTTAATAATTGAGTTTTAAATAGTTTATCAAAACTGATTTTTTGAATATAATAATGATAAATAAACTTGATAATTTAAATTAGTAATTATTGTTTACTTTTTAACTATAAAAATCATTCAAAAAATAAAAGATATTTTTTTTACTTATTCATTGTTTGTTTATGAATTAATATGTAAGATTTTTGTTAATTTTTTATTATCAACATTAAATTTTTTATTTTAAATAAAACACTCATTTTTATAAAAGTTAATTTTACATTTATTTTGGTAAAAAATTAAAAGTGAATGAATATAAAGCTTAAATAAAAAGAGTGGAATATTTATCTATTAATAAAATTTATTTTTTAAGAGGAAAGTAAAAATTATTTTGATGATTGTGTTATTTTGGTGTAAATAATTATGCCTTTAATTAGATTTATAATTAAAAAAATATAGAATACAAACAAGATTAATATTTGGGGTTGGGGTTGGGGGTTGGGGTTGGGG